AATGGTTCATCGCTTGATTATAATTATTGCTATCAACCAAATTAAAAATCACCCTATTAATGCTCTATTAAAAATTCATCATAAATTTCTATCAATGCAGATTAATTATAGACTGCATATAGTTCATAACCTATGATGGTAATAGCAGGGTTAAAAGAAAATTCGACAATTTACTTGTTTAAATTTTACTATAACAGTCAACATAATATTGAATAATCGAATTTTACATTTTAAGAAGTATTCTCAGATTTTCTTGTAGCTTATCAATATATTATAATTTTATATCTAAATAAAGAAATCTAAATACTATCTTTAGATTACACAAATATTGTTACATTAAATTAATAATTAATAAATAAGCTTTTCAAAAATATTCAATTTAATCCAATATAAATTGTTATGAATACTTAATTGTTATCTTCTTTACTATTTATCAATAATATCAATGAAGTTATCATAGTTTCAATAGGTTAAAATAACATTCCAACCCCTATTTCAGTGATTTAAGTAAATTTCAAAATTTAATAAATAAATTTAGTAAACTAATAACTCATTTTATCATACATTTGCAATAATGATCAGAATATTTGTTTCAAAGTTTGGAACTATAACAATTTACCTAAATATTATTATTCAAAAAGCATGTATAGTGTAAAATTTGATAATAATATGATTATATAATCTGATAATTAGTACTTTTATGTGACTTTTAGTAATTATACCGTTTATATTTATAATCCTTCTTTACCACAGCATATGAGTTTCTATTATATCCTCGAATTGGCATCACCAATAGTATGCACTTCAGCTATTTTTTTGATGCAAGACAATTTTAACTCTGCAGTACTTTTTTATAACAATAGTTTTTTCAATCTTAATAATTTCTAAATATTCAATTCTTCTTTTGATGGAGGCAATCCAGACGTATACTACACAAAAACCTACCCTTAAGTGATATATAATTATTCTGTAGTTTCAGGAATAAATCCAAAATCTGTCTACCAAACTCCTAATGAAAGTATTTCTTATTTATCAAATTTCACAACTTTTTAGAATCAAAAACAGTAGCAAATTCAACTTACTTAAGATAATTTAATACTTAGGCCTATAAATTAGTCATCTGAGATTAATTCAATTGCAATCTAATATCCTATCAGTTTAATCATAGATAGACAAGTCAGTGATTGTTAATGCATTTCCCCTTAATATTGTTATGTAGATTAACCTTCAAGATTATAAATTTCAAATAATACTGACAATTACACATTAATAACCTCTATCAATAACTAATTTTTTGCTTTATAGAATAATGAAACTATTCAAATTCTTAACGGTGATTTGACTATCCTATCAAATTTTAGTTACTCATATCTAAATTTTAATGAATGTTTGATATCAACATCTAATCAAAACAATTTATATTCAATCTGTTACAATGATATTTCTTAGTATTGGCTAACTTTTACATTAAATACTTCCGGTATTGTATCAAAATTCAATCATATCTAATTTAACTAAACATTTTAAAAAATTTAAAAAATAAGCTGCTTATTAGACTAAATATTTATTTTGGCTATGCTCAATAATAAAAGTTAGGAATTGTATTGGATTAACTCATTTAACAGCAGCTTATAACAATTATCTGTTTATAAAAATAACAAAAGCATGTGTCAAGATTTTGATATTGGTTTATTGTAATCCAATTCTTTTGATTTTTAATCAAACACAATAATATTATTCATGACTAATGGATTTTAGCTCTATTATCAAATGATGTTTGTTTCAGTTAATTCCATTTAGTTATCATCCATAGTTTCTTACCAGTTATAAATTTGCAATTAATAATTTGGTTGTTTTTTGGTGTCTGAGATAATTTATAACCTTTTGATTTTACAGACTGAAGGTCATAATATAATTTTGATAGTAAGCAATAGTAATCTCAGTTTCATAATAAAGATCAGAGTAATTATGGAATAGATTTTGGGTTCGCCTGTCCTGGCCTCAGTTATTTAAACCATTCCAAATTATAATTTAATCAATGATGGTTACATAGTATATTCAGAGGGCATTTTGATGCAATAATTTTAATATTTTTTCAATGATTACTTTGTTGGAATTTATTAACTTGCTAATTTAGCAGAACTACAAAATCCATTTGAGCCAATTTTAATGTTAGGTTAGTTTAATACAACATCAGTTTAAAAAGCAATGATTGTAAATAAGACCAACCCCTAGAATATTGGAATTATCTTATCATTTTTTAATAACTCAATATATTCATAAGCAATAAGTACATGGAACTTAACCAAAATTGTTTTTACAAGTAACAATGAAATTAATGTTTCTATCTATTGTGAAAATGTGTATTCATCTGGAACTTATAATGTAACATTCCATTTGCCTAAATCATTTAATTTTAACTTTAGAAGATGGGTTTATATTTTGCTTTCAATAATAGTCGTACTGTTATTAGTATTTTGCATAAAAATAAAATAAAATACAAAGAATTTAGAATATATATCAGAGGTTGAATTATGATGTAAACATGCTATAAAATTCCAATCATATTATTTTTCAATAAATATTATGAATCTAATTAATGTTGAAATTTATTAGTATCTTTTGTTTTTGTTTGGAATATTATTTATTGATTCTCACATCTTTGTGATTAATTTGACTTAAAATTGAAAATATCATTTATAGAATTTCCTTAACAGTATAATCATAATTATCAATTGCATCTCTACAATTGTTAATGAACTTGAATTTAATAAATCATTCTCATAGATTCTTATTTTATGATTCAAATTATTTCTTAATTCTTAAAAAAAGATTTAAATTAATTTATAGGTATCAAATGGGTGATCAGTGTATATTCGATTAAATAAAATTCTTTTTCTTATTATAAAAAAAAGTTTATATCAATTAAAATTAATTTTTTTTTATTNTTTGTCCTTCAATCCCAACCTAGAAATACAAAAACATATTTCAACGCTTATAAAAATTATATAAATCTAGCTTTAAAAAGGTTTGTGGATTTCCTAAATGCTTACCTAACGAATTTTTAGATTTGATATTACCCCCTCTAGAACTTCTTATAGCAAAGCATACAAATAAGGTTATCAGTAGGATGAACAACGGAAACTTTGGTTAAACTACTTTTATCAATAATTACTTTAACGAGATAGAAGAAATGAATTAAAATTCAATATACAAATTTCTCCCCAATAATTTTAATTAGCTGTTCTACCTGTACCCTAAAATCTGTAGGACCCACTAATGTAATCTTTCATACCGCCATATAATAAATTTCCATTCCAATTTCCATATTTCAGAGTTTTTAATAAATCTAAGAGGCATCTTCAATAATAATTAGTAAATACAATAACCAAAAAACTAATGTAATAGATTGGAAAAAATAATTGCAAAGCTTTTAACTGAATGATTGAGTTATTTTTATGTTAAATAGAATAATAATAATAATAATTAAAATTAATTATGCTTTTTGAATTTGAAATACTTTTTTTATATAAAATAGAATAGACTAATGTATTGTTTTCAAACCTTATTTAAATGGAGGTGAATAAAGAATCAAACCTACTAGAGGTATATCCAATTTCAACTACCGGCAATCCAAATTAATTCGTTCTCTTTAATAAACTTAGTCTAAAACCCATTATCTAGGTTTGATAATATCTTGTCGATGCAATTCATAATCAAAAGTTAGCCATTCTAAATTCCTTTTGTGTATAAATTATAATAACAAAACTATTTATTTCATTATTATTTATTTACTTCTTTCCCAGATGATAATTTAAATCTAAATTTATGCATGGGAAACTAATTAATTATTTGACTATTTTAAACTTGATACAATAGCCCCATTCTAATTTTTAGCAAATGTAAAAGACATATTAATTTTATTGAACTAAGCTCAACTTTCCAAATTTTAAGTGATTTACCTATTTTGACTACAAAAGTAAGACTCATATTTTCTTTGGACTTGTAGGCGTTTTTGTAATTTCAATTCCAGTATGCTTACTTCAAGAAACCTCATTTTAATTCAATATACCTAAACGTAATTAATAATGTTAAAACTAATCTATTAATTTTAGTTTTATTATTGGCAGCAACCTTTTGTAATCGTAGAGTTTAGGGTAACTTAAACAATAGAAACCTATTCTTGCTAGATTTTGCATTCTCAAATAATTTTCGATTCATTGGAGAATATGGTTAAATTTCAGATATAAATACAATCAATTACCAAATTCTGTTTTACAAATTTATATTTTTGAAACAGTCAGACTTTGATGAGCTAGCCAATTCAGTTTTTATCAGTACTTCTGTTACTACTAAATTATCTCCATAAGCGAAAGTTCTCCTAGGTCTTTTATTTTATTCTTCTACTTAAGGTATCACTTGTACATTTATCACTTTTTAATTCATTTTGTGTTATCAGTTTGTGATTAGCGATGCTCTAATTATTCATTCCGTAACATAAAATATATTTAGGATAAAGATAATGATACTTAATTAAGTTTATAAATTTATTAAGTAATATGTAATTCCATTTTTTAAATTGTCTTGACTCCATTTTCTAAAGGATTTATCAAATTCTAATTATGGATTGAAAAATCAAATTAACTCAGTTTAAACATAAAACTAAAATTTAAAAAGAAAATTTAAATATAAAGTATAAAATCAACCAACAAGACAATAAATGAAATTTGGCTATTTATTCTGATTGTCAAACATGTTGACTTAAAATGATATTTTGAAAAGAGTAGGACTCACTCTTCATATTTTGTTGGTAATAATCAAATATCGATGTATTATAAACACTTTAAATGTTGATGATACCATATGTATTTATTGTTATTTTCCTTGTCAATATTGTGTAGATGCAATAGTAAGAATTTATTACAATCTAAGATTAATTATATTAATNAACCTTATTTAAATGGAGGTGAATAAAGAATCAAACCTACTAGAGGTATATCCAATTTCAACTACCGGCAATCCAAATTAATTCGTTCTCTTTAATAAACTTAGTCTAAAACCCATTATCTAGGTTTGATAATATCTTGTCGATGCAATTCATAATCAAAAGTTAGCCATTCTAAATTCCTTTTGTGTATAAATTATAATAACAAAACTATTTATTTCATTATTATTTATTTACTTCTTTCCCAGATGATAATTTAAATCTAAATTTATGCATGGGAAACTAATTAATTATTTGACTATTTTAAACTTGATACAATAGCCCCATTCTAATTTTTAGCAAATGTAAAAGACATATTAATTTTATTGAACTAAGCTCAACTTTCCAAATTTTAAGTGATTTACCTATTTTGACTACAAAAGTAAGACTCATATTTTCTTTGGACTTGTAGGCGTTTTTGTAATTTCAATTCCAGTATGCTTACTTCAAGAAACCTCATTTTAATTCAATATACCTAAACGTAATTAATAATGTTAAAACTAATCTATTAATTTTAGTTTTATTATTGGCAGCAACCTTTTGTAATCGTAGAGTTTAGGGTAACTTAAACAATAGAAACCTATTCTTGCTAGATTTTGCATTCTCAAATAATTTTCGATTCATTGGAGAATATGGTTAAATTTCAGATATAAATACAATCAATTACCAAATTCTGTTTTACAAATTTATATTTTTGAAACAGTCAGACTTTGATGAGCTAGCCAATTCAGTTTTTATCAGTACTTCTGTTACTACTAAATTATCTCCATAAGCGAAAGTTCTCCTAGGTCTTTTATTTTATTCTTCTACTTAAGGTATCACTTGTACATTTATCACTTTTTAATTCATTTTGTGTTATCAGTTTGTGATTAGCGATGCTCTAATTATTCATTCCGTAACATAAAATATATTTAGGATAAAGATAATGATACTTAATTAAGTTTATAAATTTATTAAGTAATATGTAATTCCATTTTTTAAATTGTCTTGACTCCATTTTCTAAAGGATTTATCAAATTCTAATTATGGATTGAAAAATCAAATTAACTCAGTTTAAACATAAAACTAAAATTTAAAAAGAAAATTTAAATATAAAGTATAAAATCAACCAACAAGACAATAAATGAAATTTGGCTATTTATTCTGATTGTCAAACATGTTGACTTAAAATGATATTTTGAAAAGAGTAGGACTCACTCTTCATATTTTGTTGGTAATAATCAAATATCGATGTATTATAAACACTTTAAATGTTGATGATACCATATGTATTTATTGTTATTTTCCTTGTCAATATTGTGTAGATGCAATAGTAAGAATTTATTACAATCTAAGATTAATTATATTAATAGCCCAACTTGCTAGCTAGAATTTACACATGATAGAAGTTATTTTCTGGTTCCTTGTCAGGTTTGTTAAAGCATTTTAACTAATTCTTGATATTAAGATCTGTTCAACTTAATTGCTGTGTGGTCACTGGCTATTAGTTCATTGATGTTCCATCTTAATCTAAACTGAATCTTTCAAATGGATTCTTAATCAACATTCATTAATTAGAATTCTATTAAAATAATATTCTAATTTACATTAAATTAAATCTTCTCCAATTATTTAGACAAATTGTTTCTTTATTACGCAGAAACTTAACTTTAGTTTAAAAAATCTCAAAAGATAGTAATTTCGCAATTGATAGAAATATAATAAAATCACACCAACAGATTATAAATCTTCTTTTTTTTTTACTTTAAGAAAACTCTTTCGAGAACAAATAACTTTAAATTTTTTTAGTGAAATACATTTATTCCTACATAGATTACCTCCAAAAGTTTGTGAAATCTAAAATTAGCTACATCCATATTATAATTTTCAATTATTATTATCATTTATCTTAATTGCATTCCGATGTCTTAATCATATATAATTATTTATGAAGCGAACCAATACTAATTAATTATTGAAATTAAGTTAGGATAATACTTATTCATTTATAAAAATAACGATTAAAATCCGCTAAGTAGAATAGAAGATATCATGTCCTCTATAAATTGTTATAAAAATTAGTAGAAAAGACGTATGGAAATGTTATAATCTCTGTTCAATTTAAGTCTTATTTACTATCAAAAATTATTCACCATTTAAAAATTTATTATCTTTAGATGTCTTCTTCTTTGCATATTCAAGTTGGAGGGGCTGGAGTAAAGATTGGTGAAATGTTATGGAAATTGTATGAAAAAGAATACAACGAAACAACTCAGAAGAATTATATTTATGAAGAAGTTGATGGGATTTATTATCCATAAGCACTTTTCTTAGATACAGATGATAGAATAATACATGAAGTCTAAAAGAATACATCAATAAAATTTAAGAATAACTCATTTTTACATGCAAAAGAGGATGCATCGACTTATTATCGAGGGTGGTATAGTGTTGGAGATAAGATTTTGTTTGAAGCATTAGATTATATTAGAAAAAAAATAGAAACGATGGATCGATTAGAAGAAATAGTAATAACAAATTCAATAGGTGGAGGAACTGGGTCAGGATTTTATGTAGATTAGTATATTATATAACATAATATGTGAAACTGAAGGTAAAAATACACGGATTTATGATTTTCCCATCTTCAGAAATGTGTAATAGTACTGTAGAAATTTATAATACTATTAACTCAAGTCAAGTCCTGATAGAGAACTTTTACAGCATTACAATATTTGACAATTAGTCAATGTTATTGATCATCAATTAGGTTTGGACTTTGTTGATTATCAACATTTAAATAATGTGGTTTCTCAAATAATTAGTTCATATACTGGATTAAGAAGGTTTAACAACAGTGATAATTCTAAATTTTTATCAAATTTGTGCCCTTATCCTTAGATGCATTTTTTAATTCCATCATATGGCTAAATGACTTTAATAAATGATTACACTAGAAACGAATTAAAACAAGAATAATTTATCAAATATTTCACAAAAGTAGAGTAAAAATTATATCAATGTCCTAAAAGTCCTAATTATATTTCTACTGCGTTATTATTTAGGTAAAAATAATTGAACTCTTTTTATGGTAAATTTGATTTAACACTAAAAAATTTTGAAAATTACTTTGGCTAAAGTCCAAATATATTTTAATGTCAATCATCCAATTACTAAGTATTACCTGAACTAGCATAAATGAAACAAACTGGAACCTTCTTTTCTAATGATGCTTCAATTGTGAGTAGATTTAAATTATTAACTCGTAAGTTTGATATATTGTATGCGAAAAGAGGATTTGGACATTGGTATGTTGGCTAAGGTCGAAAAGAGAAAGAGATGAGTGAATAAAGAGACTAATTTGGTGATTTAATAGCTGATTATGAGGATTTTCAAAGTTGTGGAAATTTACAAAATGAGATCTAAAATGATGATGAATTTTGAGATACATTATTATTGATATGCAAGCTTATAGTATTAATTTAAACTTAAAAAAATGATTCTAATTAAATTATTATTTTCAATAGCATTTTATTATTTTCATTTAAAATAATATTTCTTAAAGTTCAAACAGTTGATTCTAACCTTGTCACAATTCGAAAATGATTAAAGTTATATTTTAATATTCAATATTTATTTTTTCATTTCTTCACTAAAACGATATATTATAATACTATTCATAATCTCCTAAGAATTGCTATTCTTTGTAGAGTTAATCAAATGATCGATAATTAATTCTTTTTCAAAAAAAGATATTGATTGTTGTATACGTAAGGGTTTCATCTCTTTAAGTATATTATATTATTTATATAACGCTCAATACTTATATTATAAGTATAAGTATTAATATTTGAATAGTTAAAAATGAGTACAACTTTTCAAAAATTATTCAAATAAGATTAGAATGATCAAACAGGGAGAAGAAGTACGAGATGAAAGAAGATGATATTAAGTAGTGATCCGCATCGAAGTTTTATAAGTGCACCCTCAACTTATTCTAGACCTATTATCAGTTTCAACCTTCTCAAAATGATTTTCTAACCATATCTAAGTTATTTTAATTATAAATATTTTCCTGCTTAATATAAGGATAAAAATTATTTTTTATTTTTTGAAAACAATGGATTTATAGAATTTTAATTTATTTTTGATTTTTCAGAATGAATAATATCTGAGAAATGATATATTAATAAGATATTTGCAGAAAAAGGAGGTGAAGTATTCATGAGAATCTTAAATTTCATAATCACCTCTGAAAAGTGATTTTGAATATTTCTCTACTGCAGAACTTCTTATTCAGACTGTTTAATGGGGAATCGAGATTCGAATGGCCCTATTTTAAAATGCTATTCATTTAAATAATCCAATTCAAGGATGGAGAATCAAAAGAATCACTTTTTTTAAAGGGAATCCTAGAATGCTGCCAGGAAAGAAAGTAAGATAGAAGTTATGAATATGAAGGTGGTGAAGATTTTAAATATCAGAATTTAACAGAAGAACAAATCAGAATTTAATAGAAAAACTTTACTGAAGCTTTAGATACAGCTGATTATGTCATTGTAAAGTAAAGTAATATTTAATTAAAAATAATGCTAGGTATCATTAGCTCGGATTCTGAATAGGGCAAGAGTAAAAAATAATCTAGAGGAAGTTGGAGCTAAAACAAGGCTGGTTAGTTTGTGAAGACAGATTAGGATGTTGTAAATAATCAGGATAAGCACTTCAATTAAATGAAAATTTATGTTATTGACCTGAATGAAGGAGGGAAGTTGACGATCTCAGAGCAGACAATCCCATAAGATTTTAGAGATTTATCCAGATCTTTGGTTATGAAACCTATTTCAAACTCCATCCTAAATTATTCTGAAGCTCCTAAAACATTTAAACAGGTAAATTATAATGTTAAAATAGTGTGCTAAATCAATTAGAGAAATAACGAGTTAAAGAGCTGAGATTTGTTCTAGGCTAAGAATTAATAAACAATATTGTAGGTGAAACAAACTATGAGGGACTCTTTAAATGTGTCAAATTTTAAGAAGAACAGGTGAATGGTGATGAAACTTCAAGATCTAAGAAGATTATGTTCTGCTATTGATAATATTAGCTTTCAAGTAGAAATATTCAAAGCTTTATTCAACCTATGAGAGGACTTTAACCACCCAAAGTTGAGTCAATTGTTTATAATTATTCAACTTAAAAATAAATGAGATAGTATCTTCTTAAAGTTATCCCTTCAGCACATTTTCCGTTGAATCTCCTCTAACCATAACACTTATAGATGGTATAAAAGAATTAGTAGGGAAATTAAAAGAATCAACCGATCATAATATTATTGATGTATTATTAATTATTTTAATTTTAGATTGATTTTTCTTGAAGATTATTAATTCAAATTCCATACGTTATGCAACATTTCTAATCAATTCCTGATATCAAGCCATTATTATTTCAATTTTTTATCAATAAAAAAAAACATATTTAACAGGTATTTTATCAATTAAATGATAAATATGCAAATTTAGAGTCGTGCCAATTTTTAGAATCTCTAAAGTATCCAAAGCCATTTGCACCACTCAGAGCGGACGAATGCCATCCTCATTTCCATGGGATTATATGAAGGTCTGTATCTAAGCTCGCAGTCAGTTCATCAAGTAATTGGCAGAGCTAGTCGAGCAAGAGTAATTGGTCAATCATCCCTCTCATGGCAAGAGTGGATGTGCATCCGCCTGACAGTTTTCTAGTAAACTTAATAGAATCAATAGATATAGGTCTGTTGACTGGACTCCAGTGCTCCTAGTTTTGGGTTTAACTTTAATAGAATGGAAAACGATTCTAGTTTTTTGGCTAAACCAAATACTTAATTAGTCATGAATGTCTAGAATAGAGGGCAATGAATTAAATCAGTCCTTAACGCATCATTTCATCTAACACACATCTTTATTGCTATACCCTTCTTACTATTTGAATTATTGGTTATCATAAAATATTAGTTTAGTTATTCCTTATCTTTCTCATCTAATTACGCTGTCAAATTTTCAATTCACATAATTGTTTTAGAATTGTAATTCTTATAAGTATAAAATACAAAAATATTTTGTTTTATATCTATTTTTTATTTACAAAACAATTTAATTTAATTTGTTTATTATTCACTTAAAATTCAAGCATGTTTTAAGTTTTGATATTTGAATAATAATCGAAATTTCTTTGTAAATTCTATATCTTTTAAATGATGAAATTAAATCTTAATTATGATTACTTACTTAAAGTATTTTTCTCTAGAGAATTATGCATTTTTAATACATATGATGTCAACCAAGTAAATAATAGATATTTCTTATTGCTTGTTTTCAACATACTTCAATTATTAAAATAAACTTTAGAAATATAAAAGCAACCTATTTAAACGCTAGACTAGCTATTTAAATTAAAAAATGCTAAATATCAGCTACTACAGAATAAACACAATTGGGCTTTCTTGTAGAATACCTCTAAATATTATAGATGAAAAATATTTTCTTAAGATCAAAAGGAATCATCACTAAATTGCGAAGATGAAGATTTAAATATAAAATTACTTGATGCTAAATTTTAGATTTCATTTAATTGTTTATTTCATATATTTACTTTTGATTCTAAACCCATTAAAGTGATCGAAAATTTCTCTTTTTGATTGTAAATTATTCACTAAATAATATGATATTTTTATATTTCTTTCTATATTGATCCTTAAAGTTATTAATTATGAGAAAGTAAGATATAAATACTAAAAAAGCCTAGTTAGTCAAGTAATTTATTATTTATTTTGGTTAAAACAAGGAACCTAAATTAAATAGTATATAAAGATATACTTTTTTAAAATATTTTATATATGTTTTTCTTTCGCAATAATGAAGTTATTAATCAAATCTGTTTCTCATCTCCTCGAAAGCAAAATTTTTCCTTCTTTAATCTATACAGTTTTCAAAGTGCAATCTAAAAGGTCGGATGATTCTGGTAATGTGTAAGAGATTATAATTTCTTAAATTTCTCAACTTAAGAATTACCCAGGTTATAGTTAATAAAAATACTAAAGAAGCAAAGTTTCAAAGTAATAGCTCCAACATTCTAAGTTATTTTTAATTAAATGTATTGCTTTGAGAAGACAAATTCTAAATTGAAACTACATAGACTAGGTATTATTGAGTTAAATAGCAAACTTTAACAGTAAAATACCTTACCTAAAGAAGCATAATAAAAACTAACCAAACTGTATTCATATGATAATATAAAGATGCAGTTTCGCCAATTAAAATAAATTAAAATAAAACTAATTCAAAAAAATATCATCTCTAAGAAAATTGAGTCAGATTAAAGCCCCAGAAAAATATTTTTAGATTCTCAAATCAAAACTATTAAGATAATAACAACTCATTTCTTACAATATTTGAATCAAAAATTGTCCAAAGTATAACTCAATCAATGCAAGAGATCTCAAGTTCCTTGAAAGGCTATTCGAAAAACTCTAACATCAATTTTTAGACACTAAATAACTTAATAAATTAAGAAATAAATCCTTAATAATGGATTATAATCCTTATACATCTGTCTAGAGTAGTTCTTATTTGTATGAGATTAGCAAATGTATTGAATATTATTTTATATAATAACTAAAACCTAATTAAATTCTAAAACTATTATTTAGATTTTATTTTTAAAACAATCTTATTAAAGATTAATTAATTTTTTTCATTAATAAATTTTTCCCTATATATAATATGAAAATCAAAATCATGCCATTAATCCCAAAAGACCGAGTGAAATAACTGACAAGATGTAAGCACTGTCGGTGGTAGTTGTTCCATTATCTGTGTTATTGTTAGTTCCATTTGAATTGTTTGGATTGACAGATCCTGAAATGCAACTTTCACATTTATTAGTAGCGGCGTTCCAACTATAAGTGTAAGCTGATTTAGTGTAGCAAATCTTGGAATCAGTCATGGTTCCTGGATCAGCAGCAGCGCATTTTCCGCTTTAAAGAACACAAACGGTGGATGAGGTTCCATCGAAACTTGGAATTGGTTGACAATCAGTTCCGGTGGCAAAGGTATCACAAGCGTGATTAGCACAATTTGTTCCTGTTGAGTTTTCAGTCCATTTGCATGTTGGGTTGGTTGTGCAAGCCAATTTATCTTTGGTAGCATCGGCACAAGCTGTGAAGGTCTTGCATGTTCCATTAACCTTATCAGTTCCAGTGGGAGTGAAAGCACAAACAGTTGATTTGCTGTTTTCCAAACCACCTCCGTTGCAAGATGTGATGGTCTTATAGGTTGAGCAGGCAGCCTTGGCAATGCAACTTGTTCCATTGGAAACACAAGCCTTTCCTGTGATAACACCCATACAATTAGCATTTGATGTTCCTCCAGTGATATCTTCACATTGCTTTTATCTGCAGGCCTTAGTTCCTGTAGTAGCTCCAACTGGTAATGCGAAAATACATTCTCCATCAGTTCCATAGAAACAACCAGCTTCAACATAGCTTGAGCAAGCAGCATATGGGATACATTTGGTTCCATCAGTTGTGCAAGATCCTCCAGTTACTGAGATAAGTTTGCATTAGTCGTTTGTACCCTTTTATTCATCTCCACATTCCTTCAATTTACAAGTATTAGCAGTGGCATTCCAATAGCAGATACCATCAGTTCCNAATCATTATCCCATATCTTTCCTTTAGGTTTTCAATGTGTCACTCTTCTGTTGGTGAAACAATTATGTAATCCAATCAATTTTTATGTATAAATTTTGTGAACTTATCACCTTCCTTCTTATTTGACTGTCTCGCAGTGATTGTTAAATCAATAATGAAAGGAATGCTTTAATTATTTTGTCTTTCAAAATTAGTTTAATAAATTAATATATTTGATCTTAAATATTCAGGTAAAATTTACAACAGGTTAAACTTAATTTTTAAGGAATTTAAAGTTTTTTTAAAGATTACTGAAGAATTCCAAGAAGATTTGTAAATGAATAAAGAAATTCTTCCTCAAAATTGATGAGAGATTTATACTTCAGTCTAAAGAAGTTCTTGTTTGTAATAACTAAATCCTATTTTAATTAATTCTATATTTACTATTTATTTGATTTAATTAAAAAACTGTTTTCTTAAAAGATTTAATTAATTAATTTTTTTCATTAATAAATTTTTCCCTATATATAATATGAAAATCAAAATCATGCCATTAATCCCAAAAGACCGAGTGAAATAACTGACAAGATGTAAGCACTGTCGGTGGTAGTTGTTCCATTATCTGTGTTATTGTTAGTTCCATTTGAATTGTTTGGATTGACAGATCCTGAAATGCAACTTTCACATTTATTAGTAGCGGCGTTCCAACTATAAGTGTAAGCTGATTTAGTGTAGCAAATCTTGGAATCAGTCATGGTTCCTGGATCAGCAGCAGCGCATTTTCCGCTTTAAAGAACACAAACGGTGGATGAGGTTCCATCGAAACTTGGAATTGGTTGACAATCAGTTCCGGTGGCAAAGGTATCACAAGCGTGATTAGCACAATTTGTTCCTGTTGAGTTTTCAGTCCATTTGCATGTTGGGTTGGTTGTGCAAGCCAATTTATCTTTGGTAGCATCGGCACAAGCTGTGAAGGTCTTGCATGTTCCATTAACCTTATCAGTTCCAGTGGGAGTGAAAGCACAAACAGTTGATTTGCTGTTTTCCAAACCACCTCCGTTGCAAGATGTGATGGTCTTATAGGTTGAGCAGGCAGCCTTGGCAATGCAACTTGTTCCATTGGAAACACAAGCCTTTCCTGTGATAACACCCATACAATTAGCATTTGATGTTCCTCCAGTGATATCTTCACATTGCTTTTATCTGCAGGCCTTAGTTCCTGTAGTAGCTCCAACTGGTAATGCGAAAATACATTCTCCATCAGTTCCATAGAAACAACCAGCTTCAACATAGCTTGAGCAAGCAGCATATGGGATACATTTGGTTCCATCAGTTGTGCAAGATCCTCCAGTTACTGAGATAAGTTTGCATTAGTCGTTTGTACCCTTTTATTCATCTCCACATTCCTTCAATTTACAAGTATTAGCAGTGGCATTCCAATAGCAGATACCATCAGTTCCGAGGTTATTACATGCTGTTTATGTCTTATAGGTAGCACAAGCTGCTTTAGCAATGCAAGCAGTTCCATCAGTAATACAAGTTGGTCCATATGAGAGACATTCATCGTTGGTGGCAGCAACGGCATCTGTGCATTATCCGAACTTTTAGCATTTTCCAGTTGGTAACCATCCGCAAGCTCCATCAGTTCCGACGACGCATGATGCCTTCAATGTTGTGCTGGCACAATTGGTAATTGGAATACATGTGTCTCCATTGGTTGTGCACAATGGTGAGAATCCTTAGCACTCAGAGTGTGTCTTCTTGATAGCATCTTCACATCTGTCATAATCATAGCATGATCCATTAACCCAAAGGCATGGTCCATAGTTGGATTTAATACAAAATTATTTATTAGAAAATTCAGTACATGAGGTTCCAGTAACACAACTTTATCCATTAGTCTTGCAACCAGCGAGGAAGGTGTTACATTCATCGTCAGTTAAACCGTTCTTGTCACCACAAACTCTAGCTCTGCATTTATTTGTTGCAGTATCCCAACCACATCTTCCTACTCCATCTTTAGTTGTTGAGGCAGCAATACAGATTGATTGAGTCTTGTATGATGCACATGTTGTAATGGTCAAACAACCAGCTCCAGATGTAGTACATGTATCAGCAAAGCTTTAACATTGAGCATGAGAAGCAATTGTTGCTGGTTAATCTTCACAAGTTTAAGCTCTGCATGTTGAGTTGGATTCTGTCCAAGCACAGAATTTACCATTGACTTTAGAATTGGTACATTACGAGTAACTGGTGTTACTGTAAGTGGCACAAGTAGTAATAGAAGCTGTACATTAATTAGCCCATGTGCATTCTGCTCTTAATTTACAAGCGGCTTATGATGTCAAATTACTGCAGTTCTTAACAGATGAGCATCCATAACCAGTTGTATAACAATCTTTATGATATTTCTAACAATCAGCATCTGTTGCAAGTGTATTTGGTGCTTCTGTGCATACTCTCTTAGCACATGCTCCTTTGATTGTTCCAACTGTAGTAGCTTTGCATGGTCCATCTTTAGCCAAATATGTTGGGCATGTTTCTTCAGTTCCATTGAAGGTACTGCAATTCTTTCCATAATCAATACAACCAGTTCCATCATAGACACAGAAAGGATCATCTGTTGCCTTGAATGGTGGCATACCATCATTACAATCCTTATTGTTTTTACCAGCAATATCACTGCACTTCTTCTTTGCGCAAGCAGCTGTTACTAGTGCAGTTGAAGTGTTCCAACAATAATCTTTTCCTGAGCTTGCCATGAATTTAGCACAAGTGGCCTAATCTCCTTTAAATCCACTGCAAGATGATGTTGCATCAATACATCCAGTACCCTTTGTAATACATCCTTTCAAATAAGCAGCACAATCAGTATCTGATGTTGCTGTAGTATTATCAGCACAAGTTCTTACTTTACATTTTCCAGTGGCAGTATTAGAAGCATCACCAGAACAATATTCATAAGTTGGATTTTTATTAGCATCCAATCCAGTGTATCTTTTGAATTATTCACATTACAATTTAGTTCCTCTGTAGGATGTGCATTGTTCTGTATTTGGAATGCATCCTGTTCCACGTGTGACACATCCACTCAAATAAGAATCACATTCAGAATCAGATGTTGCTGTAACATTGTCATAGNGCAGTTCCATCAGTAATACAAGTTGGTCCATATGAGAGACATTCATCGTTGGTGGCAGCAACGGCATCTGTGCATTATCCGAACTTTTAGCATTTTCCAGTTGGTAACCATCCGCAAGCTCCATCAGTTCCGACGACGCATGATGCCTTCAATGTTGTGCTGGCACAATTGGTAATTGGAATACATGTGTCTCCATTGGTTGTGCACAATGGTGAGAATCCTTAGCACTCAGAGTGTGTCTTCTTGATAGCATCTTCACATCTGTCATAATCATAGCATGATCCATTAACCCAAAGGCATGGTCCATAGTTGGATTTAATACAAAATTATTTATTAGAAAATTCAGTACATGAGGTTCCAGTAACACAACTTTATCCATTAGTCTTGCAACCAGCGAGGAAGGTGTTACATTCATCGTCAGTTAAACCGTTCTTGTCACCACAAACTCTAGCTCTGCATTTATTTGTTGCAGTATCCCAACCACATCTTCCTACTCCATCTTTAGTTGTTGAGGCAGCAATACAGATTGATTGAGTCTTGTATGATGCACATGTTGTAATGGTCAAACAACCAGCTCCAGATGTAGTACATGTATCAGCAAAGCTTTAACATTGAGCATGAGAAGCAATTGTTGCTGGTTAATCTTCACAAGTTTAAGCTCTGCATGTTGAGTTGGATTCTGTCCAAGCACAGAATTTACCATTGACTTTAGAATTGGTACATTACGAGTAACTGGTGTTACTGTAAGTGGCACAAGTAGTAATAGAAGCTGTACATTAATTAGCCCATGTGCATTCTGCTCTTAATTTACAAGCGGCTTATGATGTCAAATTACTGCAGTTCTTAACAGATGAGCATCCATAACCAGTTGTATAACAATCTTTATGATATTTCTAACAATCAGCATCTGTTGCAAGTGTATTTGGTGCTTCTGTGCATACTCTCTTAGCACATGCTCCTTTGATTGTTCCAACTGTAGTAGCTTTGCATGGTCCATCTTTAGCCAAATATGTTGGGCATGTTTCTTCAGTTCCATTGAAGGTACTGCAATTCTTTCCATAATCAATACAACCAGTTCCATCATAGACACAGAAAGGATCATCTGTTGCCTTGAATGGTGGCATACCATCATTACAATCCTTATTGTTTTTACCAGCAATATCACTGCACTTCTTCTTTGCGCAAGCAGCTGTTACTAGTGCAGTTGAAGTGTTCCAACAATAATCTTTTCCTGAGCTTGCCATGAATTTAGCACAAGTGGCCTAATCTCCTTTAAATCCACTGCAAGATGATGTTGCATCAATACATCCAGTACCCTTTGTAATACATCCTTTCAAATAAGCAGCACAATCAGTATCTGATGTTGCTGTAGTATTATCAGCACAAGTTCTTACTTTACATTTTCCAGTGGCAGTATTAGAAGCATCACCAGAACAATATTCATAAGTTGGATTTTTATTAGCATCCAATCCAGTGTATCTTTTGAATTATTCACATTACAATTTAGTTCCTCTGTAGGATGTGCATTGTTCTGTATTTGGAATGCATCCTGTTCCACGTGTGACACATCCACTCAAATAAGAATCACATTCAGAATCAGATGTTGCTGTAACATTGTCATAGCATTGTTTATTTGTGCATGCTCCTGCAGCTGTTGGAGAAGCTGGTGCTAGTGGTTTACATCTATCTTTTCCTGTTGTATCTAATAAGAGATTGCAAAATTCTGTGGATCCATTAAGTGAATTGCATTGAGTAGTTGAAGTAACGCATGTTTAACCATTTGTCTTGCAAGATTTGAGGTAACTTGAACAATCAAAGTCTGTATAGAATTATTTATCACCGCATACTCTATCTTTACACTTTTTATTTGTAGAATCCCAAGCACATAAATCTCCTGATGAATTTGCAACTCCTTCACACCAAGTTTATTTGGCTGCATCATCACTACCTTATGCTGTATAATTTGCACAAGTATCTTTGGAAATGCATTTACTTGAATAATAAATACAATCTGGAGCATTATTAGCACAATCTGTAGCACTGGCGTCATTATCGGTACAAGCTTATGCTTTGCATTTCTTATCAGCATCTTTCATGCATGGGTAATTGGTTTTTGATTTAACGGCTTTACATTATGCTTCTTCTGAACCAGATGCGGGTCCAAGAGCTGCTGTAGTTGTTCCATCGTATTTACTACAAATATCCACTGTGACACACTTAGTACCTTGAATAAATGTGCATTTATTAGTTCCGTCAGATAAAGCTCCACAAGCAGCTGCTTTATCTGTTGCATCTGTCACATCATATGTATCGCATGTATCTTACTTTACACAGTAAGTACCAACGGCATAAGTACATGTATCTGCAAGTGATGTACCCGCACAGTATGATCTTTTATCATCTGCTGAGGTTCCAACGGCTGGAACTTTATCACAAGTATTATCATCATTTACACAAGTTCCTTTATAATAAACACATTTTAATGAATTTGCTTAGAGGTCACAATCAACTTAAGATGTTGGACTTGCAATATCTTAACAATCAAAATCTCTGCATTTAGCGGCTCCAGCTGTAAATCCACATTTTTTACCAGTGGAATTTATTTTACTCAAGCAATAGGTTTATCTAGCTGCATCACCGGCGGGTAATGTTGTATATGAGTCACAGTTTCCTGCAGCTACACAAGCTGTTTAAGTTGTCGCATGAAATTCATCGTATGTGCAGAATACAGTTGCTCCATCTTTTGAAAAGATTTAGCAATATGCAGTTTTAGCGCTACCTGCCAAACCTGTGGCATCTGTAAAAGGAAGTTTAGATGTGTCAGCACAGTCTCCAACAACAGAAATACCACCTTTTGGTGTTCTACATTTACCAGCTGAGAATACACATCCAGTTAAATGTAGATCACAATCATTTTAACTAGTTGCTGTAATGTTTTCACAAGTTCCTGCTTTACACTTGGCTGCGTCATCTTTGATACAATATTTAGTTTTGTCTTTAATAGATTGGGTAATGCAAAATGCATCAGTTGTTGGAGTAGCTCCATCAAAGGTAGCTTTGGTCCAAGCAGAAGATAATGTGAGAACGCAATCAGCATTTGCTGGAGTTTGACAACCTGTGCCATCAGCTTTAATTTCACAATATCCTTTAGTAGTTTCATACACTGACTTACAATAATTAGCCTTCTTAGTATCTGTGTCTGCATCAGATGGGAAAACTGTTGGACAAGAGCCAGCTGCAACTGCTGCATAGCATTTTCCAGCATAATAATAACATCCTGAAAATTTGCTGTCACAATCTTTTTAACTTGTAGCTGAGGAGATAGTAGCACAAGTGTATGCTGTGCATGTATTACCAGTCGACCATGTACATCCTGTATATGTTGCAGTTCCTAAACCGAATTTTGTAACATCATTAACAAGTTTCAAAGATTCACAAGCAGCCTTTTTATTAGCATCACTTAGTGAGGAATCTAAGGTATAACTTCCGCAAGCAGCAACAGTTGATAAGCAACCTGTGTTACTCACTTTTTAGCATATTCCGTTAGAGTAACCTAAAACATCATTACAAACTTAAGCAGATGTTTAAGAAACTAATTTTTCACATTTGTCTTGTTAAGTACAAGTTGCATCACCTGTCTTAAATGAGCAAAACACTCCAGATATATTCACATATTTCTAACATTGTGTTAATTTTTAAGCATCTGTAGTAATTCCAGTTGGGAATGCATAGTCACAATTTGCCTTATTTGGTAAATAACAGAATGTTCCTGCTAATTTACATGTATCAGCTGCTGCACTTGAAACACCCTTTTATAAATATGTAACACATGTCAATGAAGTAGTAAATGTGCTCAAGAATTAATCACAAGTTCTAACTGCACACTTTGTTCCTGAAGCCCAACCACAAACATATCCACTGTTATCTTTAATAGTTGTACAATAATCAAACTTTTATTAATCAGTTGTAGCAGTATCAGGGGTAGAGTAACTAGTACAAAGACCTGCATCAATACATGGAGCTCCAGCCTTTAAAAACCTACAAGTTGATTTATAATCTGTGCAATCTGAAGCTTATGAAGGACTTGCTTTGTCTGAACAAACTCTATCTGCACAAGTATCATATCTTGTGCATGCAACCTTTGTCCAACTTGGAGATAAACCACCACTAAAATTGGGACAAGTAGCAACAGTTCCTGTTTATGCAGCACACTGTCTTGCAGATTTAGCAACACAACCTCCTTCAGATTTTGCTATGCATCCTGTCAAGAAAGCCTCACAATCCTCATCTTTTGTGGCTGTTGTATTATCTGTACATTCTCTAGTTTTGCAAGCACCTGATGTAGCTGTTCCGAAGCAATATTTTGAACTATTGGTTCCTACAATTGCTGATTCACAAAATGCAGCGACACCTGTGTAACTTGCACAAGTTGTGTCAGCAGCCTTAGGATCAACACAGCCTGCATTACCATTATAGACACATCCATCTAAAAATGATCCACATGAACCATCAGTCTAGTTTTCAGCCAACTTGCAAGTTTTTACTTTGCAAAAATCACTATCAGTTGCACTTGCACTATTGTAGCATTAATATGTTGTAAAGTTGGTGCTTGATCCACTCTTATAAGCAAATAGCTTATTGCAATTTTCTTAGGTTCCTTTCATTGATGTGCATGGAGTAGTGTAGTCAACACAACCTTTTCCACTACTAATACATCCTGGTAAGAAAGTAGCGCATGTAGCATTATCTGTTGCATCTGTATTATCTGCACATTTTCTTGACACACAAGGTGTTGTATCTGTAGCTGAAGCAACATTAGTACAATATCCTGGATAACTTAAACATGTTGATTATGTTCCAAGAAGTTTGCTACAGTCATATTTGGTTATGCAAGCATCAACTCTATTACTAATACAGGTTGATAGTTCTGCTGCACAATTTGCATCAGTATTGTAATACGCTCCTGTTAAATCTGAACAAGCCAAATCTTTGCAAGCATTATTCAACCAACCACATTTTCCTGTTACATAAATGTATTTTGGATTTCCTTAATCATCTACTCCATCTTATGTTTTGATTCTAGCTTNGAGCAAAACACTCCAGATATATTCACATATTTCTAACATTGTGTTAATTTTTAAGCATCTGTAGTAATTCCAGTTGGGAATGCATAGTCACAATTTGCCTTATTTGGTAAATAACAGAATGTTCCTGCTAATTTACATGTATCAGCTGCTGCACTTGAAACACCCTTTTATAAATATGTAACACATGTCAATGAAGTAGTAAATGTGCTCAAGAATTAATCACAAGTTCTAACTGCACACTTTGTTCCTGAAGCCCAACCACAAACATATCCACTGTTATCTTTAATAGTTGTACAATAATCAAACTTTTATTAATCAGTTGTAGCAGTATCAGGGGTAGAGTAACTAGTACAAAGACCTGCATCAATACATGGAGCTCCAGCCTTTAAAAACCTACAAGTTGATTTATAATCTGTGCAATCTGAAGCTTATGAAGGACTTGCTTTGTCTGAACAAACTCTATCTGCACAAGTATCATATCTTGTGCATGCAACCTTTGTCCAACTTGGAGATAAACCACCACTAAAATTGGGACAAGTAGCAACAGTTCCTGTTTATGCAGCACACTGTCTTGCAGATTTAGCAACACAACCTCCTTCAGATTTTGCTATGCATCCTGTCAAGAAAGCCTCACAATCCTCATCTTTTGTGGCTGTTGTATTATCTGTACATTCTCTAGTTTTGCAAGCACCTGATGTAGCTGTTCCGAAGCAATATTTTGAACTATTGGTTCCTACAATTGCTGATTCACAAAATGCAGCGACACCTGTGTAACTTGCACAAGTTGTGTCAGCAGCCTTAGGATCAACACAGCCTGCATTACCATTATAGACACATCCATCTAAAAATGATCCACATGAACCATCAGTCTAGTTTTCAGCCAACTTGCAAGTTTTTACTTTGCAAAAATCACTATCAGTTGCACTTGCACTATTGTAGCATTAATATGTTGTAAAGTTGGTGCTTGATCCACTCTTATAAGCAAATAGCTTATTGCAATTTTCTTAGGTTCCTTTCATTGATGTGCATGGAGTAGTGTAGTCAACACAACCTTTTCCACTACTAATACATCCTGGTAAGAAAGTAGCGCATGTAGCATTATCTGTTGCATCTGTATTATCTGCACATTTTCTTGACACACAAGGTGTTGTATCTGTAGCTGAAGCAACATTAGTACAATATCCTGGATAACTTAAACATGTTGATTATGTTCCAAGAAGTTTGCTACAGTCATATTTGGTTATGCAAGCATCAACTCTATTACTAATACAGGTTGATAGTTCTGCTGCACAATTTGCATCAGTATTGTAATACGCTCCTGTTAAATCTGAACAAGCCAAATCTTTGCAAGCATTATTCAACCAACCACATTTTCCTGTTACATAAATGTATTTTGGATTTCCTTAATCATCTACTCCATCTTATGTTTTGATTCTAGCTTAATTTGCTAAACAAATTGATTTTTTCTTATAATCACTGCAGGCTGTATTACTAGTACAAATTGGTTACCATGAGCAATTATTAGTACCTTCACAACTTTATTATTTGACAGTTGCATCACAAGTAGTTTATGAAACACATCCAGATCCTGTTGTAACACAATTAGTGAAATAATTGGCACAAAGTGGGTTAGTATTAACATTACTAGCAGCAGAAGCGCAATCTCTAGCAACACATTTGGTTCCACTCTTCCACGTACATTTTCCTTCAGTTCCTACTCTAGATTAGCAACTTGTAGTATCTCCATCATAAGAAGTACAGGATTTCAAATTAGCCTTAGTAACACATCCTTTTCCTGTAGTAACACATCCAACTTAATATTTGGCACATGCATCATCTGTTGTAGTTGTATCTGGAGCTTCGTCACAAACCTTTGGTGCACATGATGCTTCAGTTGTTGTACTTGTTCCTTTACAATATCCATCAGTACCAATGTAGACAGCACAAGTAGTGGCTGTTCCTTTATATGTATTACAAGCTGATAATGCTGAAACACATGTTTTTCCATTTGTCTTACAACTGCTTTAATATTATTTGCAAAGTTCATCAGTATTGAATGCTCCATTTTCGCATTTTCTTGCTCTACATTTAGAACCTCCAGCATCACCTTCACAAACTCCATCTGATCCAAGATATCCAACACAAGTAGTGTTATCACCTGAATAGGTTGAACATAATGGTTTTGTTGTTGCCAAAACACAACCTTTTCCTGTTGTGATACATCCTTTCTAATAAGCCTTACAGTCATCATCAGATGCTAATGATGTTGGTGCATTTGCGCATTCCTTGGCTTTACAGTTTGTTGTTCCAGTTGCTAATTCACAATTTCCATCTGATCCAATGAATGATTAACAAGCAGCATCATCTCCAGTGTATGTAGCACATGCAGGTCTGGGAGCATTAACACAACCTTATCCTTTTGTCACACAACCAGCTAACCAATCTGAACATTTGGTATCTGTATTTAGAGTGGCATCAGCCTCTGAGCAAGCATAATCTCTGCAAGCTCCAGCAGTTGTATCCCATTTACATTTCAAGATTCCTGAGATACTTGGAGTAGACTCACATTATTATTATGTGTAAGCCTTGCACTCCTTAGCTTCAATACATGCATTTCCATCACTAACACAAAAATAGGATATAGCCTAGCAGTCTGTTGTTGTAGTTTTAACATATGCTGGACATCCTGTAAAATGTGTACATTTTGAGTCAACATAAGCACATCCAAAAGTTTTAGCACAGTTGGCTTCAGGCTTATCAACAAGTTCACAATAAGGTTTGAATGAAGCAACTGGATCGACTGTTGTTTTCTTTTAGCATTTTGCTGCTGTTGTTCCTGATGCAGCCACCCATTCACAAGCTCCTGTAACTGTTACTTCTTATTCACAATCATTCTGTGATTTTAATTATCCACAATCATTACATCTGTTTGTGTATTAAACTTGCTATGCTAAGACCATAGCTAATAAGCAAATGAAAATCAAATTTTTCATTAAAGTATTGAAATATCAATTATAATTAATTCAAGTTAAATTAAAATAAAGATATTTAATTTTTTTTTTAAATATTATTGATGTCACATTTTTGTAAACTTAAATGATCATAATTAGTTTTTATTGTTAAACTACATTAATATTAATTATAAAGTTTATCTAACTATTTCCTTTTTAAAAGTTTCTACAATGAGGGTTTGACAATTTAGTGATATTGTTTTTAAAAGTATACATAAATGCCTTCATTCAATGTTAGATTATATATTTTTTTTGAAACTTTATATAAATGGGTATTAGTAAAAAATTTAACAAAATACTCCAATGAGAGTGATTAAAAATGGAAGTTCAGCACGAAGAAAACGAGATTCTATATACCAATTACTTTTAGAGGTAAATTGAAATTAACCGAGAAAGAAGAAAAAGGAGTTGGAAGCAATTAAATTTATTTAAGGCTTTAAGCTGATCAATTGGCTTTTGACAATATTGCTTTAAGCACCAAGAATGCTAAAATTTAGAAGAAATGGACGATCAACATTTTATAATTTCATGGTGACTATGAATTAATATTAAAAAGAGCTTAGGGGATATTTATCTAAACACTGTAATACTTTGAAAAAACAAAAGGATTTGAGAAATGCTAAAAGGATGTAGCTATACCATTTTTAATAATGTTTAATTCTATCTGTTAAATCGATTAAATAATGACAGGCCTAAGCTTTGGATATGCTAAATCATAAATTATATCTGATGAGCTTGGAATTCATGATGCGAACAAACCGTCATCAAAGCATCCAATCAATCTATTTTTATACTAGCTTCTTAATCAAAATGGGAAATTAATAAATAAATTGAGTTAATTCGAATAATATAATTATTCCTTAGAAAAAAGATACAATTAAAATAGAGAGCCTGATATCACTTTAGCAAGCAAGAAAAGCCTAGAAATATCAAAAATCAATCGCTAAGATTCAAGCATTTCTTAAATAATGTTATGGTCCCATAAATCGTCAAAGCTAGCTTTCCCAAATAAGAAACTTGATCTCAAAATGCAATTGAAGTGATTTAGAATAAAGAGAGTTTGAAGAATCATAAATCGTTTTCTTTTTTTCCTTCTAAAAATACTACTTCATGTCTTATTATTATTTCAACTCCAATTTGGATAGGAGGGGCATGAGATGCTTTTCTTAACTAATCTGAATTATTTTCTACAATTTCAATAAATATATTTAATTCGATGAATAATTAGATTAGTTTGAATAATTTACTATATATAGTGAAAAATAATAATCTGAATTTATTGAAGATTAAATGAGCATTCCTTTTTAATTATTTTTGAAGAAATAAATAGTGAGGGTTAATGAAGGTCACCAGCAGATATATAAAAAGCGATCAATTCACAACTCTATTTATATTTGCTCAATTGATAATTTTTGAAAGAATTCTCCATTCTATTATTATATAAAGTATAGAATGATCTGTTAAAGACTTCTAGATCTTATTTATATGATCTATTTAAAGCCTTCTGGAGCTCTTTAATACAAGAAAATCAAATTAGTTGAAAAAATGAATTATTTAAATTGTAATTTGTTATTTAATATGGCTGAGGAAGTGAATACATAAAAATAGTCTCTCATTACCATCTTATTTTATGTTGGATTGATTGCATCAATAATTGTAAAAATTTCTAAAAATTGACTTTATTTATTTAGCATTCTCATACTTGATATATACCCTTAGTCTTTGCTGAGGTATTAATTAAAGAATTGTGATTTGAAAACATCTTTGCTCCTTCAATCAAGAGTTTGATTTACTAAATAATAATAAATTTGGCATTATATATGTAAATTAAAAAATTGACCACAGCTTTTAGATCTTTTTGGGTAATAAGAAAGTATCCTCATATAGAGTAATAAGCTAGTTACTTCACTATGTATGGCAAGTTAAGAAAATTTTATCATCATTTTTTTACCAATTGATTTTGACTAAATTTTTACAACACTAAGAACCTTACAAGAATATTTACAACATATGATTAGAAAATCTATAGAAAAATAAAAATAGTTATACTATTAATATCTTTAATGATTTTCTTCAATTTTTATTGAATCGCTTTTTCTATATATTATTTGATATTCAAAATTATGAATGGAGAGCATAATTATTTCTACTTTATTGTTAATTTGACAGTTTCTAGATGGAAAGCGTCTTATTTTCGTTATTCATTTCTTTATTTTTGCATTAATCTGATTGTTTGTTTTCAAATATTTATGTATAATTACTTCTAGTTCATCCTTTGATGTTGTCTTTGAACAATCTGAAGATGTTGGATTTATAATTAATTATTATAATAAATATAATGGCATAGCAGAAAGGGAAGAATAAAATAAATCACAGATAGCGGTAGGGAGACTGGATATGCGATAGCTGCAATAATATGAATTTTGCATTTAGAGATACATGCAATAGATGTCATAATTAGAAGAATTATCAAGAAAATGAAAATAAGGGATTCAAATCCGCTTTATTCTTGACAGAGAGCAATGGTGATATTCCACCAATATCTGATAGATCTATTAAGTCTTCTGAAGAGAAAAAAGATAATGGCAATAATAAGTTCTCATTTGATAAATTACCATCTATGGAACCGATCTTGAAATAGATTACAAAAGAAGCATGTAAAAAACAATTAAATTAGAAGAACAAAAAAAATATGATTTATTTGAGTTTGAATGGCAGTGCTAAAAATGTGAAAAGATTAATTAATACTATAAAATTCACTGTGCCGAATGCGGAGCTTAAAGGTACAGAAAATTAACAGTATGATTTTTATAACCTAAATGGGGGTTTTTTGATAAAAATGGTCTCAATTCTCTTTCTTTTTATTCCCAAATTTAGAAGGGGGTTGTACAAAGATAAACAAAATAATAAATAAATAATTTTTACTTTATTAATAAAATTTAACTGTTAAGATAATGAAAGACATGTCCAAAAAGATCTTCGAAAAGGAGAATTAAGCTGAGGTGTCTAATAACCCTAGACATCAGAATAAATCACTAACTCAATTAGTCTCACTAACATTGATCAATGGAAATAGAAGTAATGAATTAATAATATTTCTTTAAGAAAATGAATTTAAGAGTATAGATCTTAAAAACAATTATACATCTATTTCCTCCCGTCCACTTGTATTCTGTAAGCCGGAGCCTAAATTAAAGACTGTAACAACTTCTTCTCCATAAAAATAATCCCCTATAAAACCAAAATAAGTAGACACACAATCAAATGAGTTGTGTAAATTAATCAACAATTATTCAGAGCCTATTTTAGATTATTACTTGGAATTAAATGTACATATTTATAAAATCAACAAATATAGAATTAAACACCAAAAAACTTTTTGTCCAATCACACAGTAAGTTCAAATCTGAGAGCAAAGATGGTTGATTGGATGGTTGAAGTACTCACTTCATATAAGTGCAAAGATTAAACCTTCTTTTTAGCTGTTAAGTTGATGGATTCGTATCTATAGAAAACATCATAAAAGCATATTCCTCAAGATTTACATTTAATTGGTGTGACTACTATGTTCATGGCTTGTAAATTTGAGGAAATCTATCCAGTGAAATTATAAATTGTACATGAGAAGATTGCACACAAGAAACTAACCAAGGATGAGATTAAAGATAAAGAAACTAACATTCTAACCGCTTTAGATTTTAATTTTATTGGGATTACTGTTCTTGATGTCATTACAATTGTACTCTCCATATTGAATATGAATCAATAGTTATATTAAATAACATTATATCTTGCTAAATTGGTAAATAAATGTATTTATTCTAGGCACTTTATGACTATGAATTTGTTAATAATCACACATATGTGCAGATAGCATGTTCAGCCTTGATTGTCAGTTCAAAAATTGTCGAGTAAATTGATTAATCACTGTCATCTGAAGTAGTTATACCATTGATAGTTTCAACTTTGAAAATGGACAACTCTGATGCCATGGATTCAGCTAACAAACTATTGAATTTAGCCAAAGGATTTGATAAATAATATCCAAATCTGGAAAATTTAAAGAAGTTTAGCAAATTTCAATTGTCAGATATGTTAACAACCCAACCCTGACTATTACCTATTACTTTTATTTGTTAATATTATTATTTAAATGATTAAATAAACTTCAAATAGAACCTGGGGTGATCATTATAAGAACTTTATACTTTTCATCTCTCTTTTTTTATATACTCTCATTGGTTTAAAGAAGGAATGCAATAATTAAACAAATTATGAGTTAAAATACATCATCGATAATAGTAAAAATTATGATAGATTATAATAGATACGCCTTTCAAGAGAAAACCAAAGGATAATGATGAAGCTGATAATGGAAGGGAAGAAATGAAGTCTAATATCAAAAAAGGACTGGGAGGAGAAGCTGAATGTAAAAGTTGAGGTTGAGCTGCACTTTCTAAAAACTAATTGTTTCATAGTAGCATACACAGGCTACTAAGTTTGAGATTGTTTTAAGTAGTCCAAAAGTATTAGGAATAAGAGACCTGAGCAATAATAGTAAAAGACTTTGTTTTATGTTGTTTTAATTAATATAAATTTAACATAATATTCTTATTATTATTAAGTATTATTTTGTGATTAATATACTTATTTTTGATTAACAAACTAACTTTTGGTTAGTCTGAATAATAAACAAACTATAAACTTTATAGACTTTTAGATATATTATGTTAAAACATAATCGATGGTTAAATAGATAATTCTAAGAACATCAGAATTTTAAGAATTTTCTAATTGGAGATTGAGATTAGAAATGAATACATAATATTTCATCAAATTCTGAGAAAAGAGTGAGGCATAGGGTAAAAGTAAGGGTATGATTAGATTTGTTAGAAAGGGTAGGGACTTGTGGATACTGAATCAAATTCCTTTTGAGTTTAAATCTAAGGCTTAAAGTCTAGAATTTGTCTGAAGACTATCTAAGAGGAGAGTAACAGGTTTTGTAGGAGTGATTGTGAGGCTAAATTAGTATTTTTTATTTCTTAAGTTAGAGCCTGGGTCAGCTTCTGATATTGGGATGATATGAGTTATTTCTGTTCGTTTGCTAAATTTAATTGATCCCCATTGGTGGGCTGCTTATCCACATAGATCTAGGCCTTTGATAAATACTATACTTGCGTGGTTTGAGATTGCACACACAATGGTTGAACTTGGAGAGTGAGGGGATTCAAGACTGACACTCTGACAATGCTCTCCACTTTCAGTTTCTTTTTTCTGGTTTCTTTCTTTCCAATACGACCATCTTGTTCGAATGCTTTTTGAATTGTTCTGACTGTACAGTACTTTAAATGAAGTTTGTTGGCTACCTAGAAATGAATCGTCAAAAATGCATATATATAGTGGTATATAGATAAGGAATTTAAGTAATGTGGAGAATACCTCTTAAAGTGATAATTTTTCTTTTAGTAATAAGTCTAGGACTATTTTGCGTTAGTCTCGATCTATTTTTTGATACTTCTTGGTGTGCTTGAGTTAGGATGAACATTCTTGTGATTTAACCATATTTAAGGAGGAATCTTGTCTCTTATTTATATTTATAATAATATTTTAAAATCAAATCTGGGTTTTTAAATTAAAATATGATTCACCTGAGGTTATAATAGGGACATTAAAATATTTCAAGATTAGATTTTGTTGATTTAATAAGACCTATTCATTATTTTGGGTATAAATTATGGTGAATCAACGTAAGTGATTTCCCATTAATAAAATAATTAATTCTTTGTTTTGATAAAAATATAAAAATTACCTACAATGAACTTTTTAATAAATATTTTTTATAATTTAAAAATGACGAAAACATAAATTTAGTATATAAAATCAATTAATAGATGATAACTCTAGTTTATTTTTGATTTGCTTATGTTCACTAACACTCTTCTTCTACCTATTGGCATTGCATGTAATTTTTTGTTTGTTAGAAATAATATTGAAATTATTAACGAATTACTTACAATGATCATAGTTCTATTCAGTGATTTGCTGAGAGATGGTCTTTGAGTTTTATTTGTTTTGATCTTTTTTATACATTGAAGAAGTGTCAATAGTATTACTGAGATAAGGTTCCTTGTCATTAGGCAGTTTCTGCTTGCGAATAAAGTCAACTAACTTCAGAGGTTATTTGCTTGAAATGGTTTGATGTTGATAATCATTTGTTTCTTATATTTTCTTCTTTAGAAAGGTATTCTCTTCAATTAGATATTTGTTTTATTCTTGTAAGACAGCAATTTCTTTCTTGAGTTGCTAAGTAAATGAATGGAACTCATACTTGAATCATGTTTTTGTTTATACTACTTTATTGAAATTATTCTAATTATTGTTAGAGCTGTTCACAGTATAGTTTAATTTATTGCTCTGTCTAATAAAATAAAATAAATGCTAAACTCTAATGTGTTTTCGTATTTCTCTCTCGTACTTCTGGACCTGTTTCTCAAGTTCCTGATAATCTTGATTCTGTAAATTTTGGAGTATGGCTTCTTTGATGAACAGGAGCTGGGAATCTAGATCTTTGAAAGTGTCTGAGGAGGGGCCTTCTAACTTATAAGGATAGTATTTTACTCATACCAGCTAAAGTATGTCTTTTAATATATTTTAAGACATTTTAATTATTTAAGATATGAATAGACAACTCGTGCAGATGTTTAGAAAATAATTCATTTAAGTACCAAAATACTTTGCATCGAATGAACAACCAATGATTTTGAGAAATGAAAAATCTGGGTATTATGTGAATCCAGAAGCTGTTGCCCGTCGAATGATAAAGGTGATTAGCTTACATGACGACATAAAGAATCCTTCTGGAATCACTCTACAATCTACATGGACTGACATTGGTTTGTCAGACATGGCCTACGTAGAGGTACACAAAATCAATTTAAATTAGGTGATGGTAGAAGTTGAAAGAGAGTTTGAAATAGAATTTCCAGATGCTGATGTAGAGTGTTTCAGAACTGTCAATGACGCTGTAGAGTATGTGGCAAGAAGCTTCTTCGCTGTTTGATTTAAGCACATATAATATAATAAAACACAATGCAAATATTCCTATTAATTAGCGTAAGTGCTGTGAATGTAAAGGCTATTTCAATTTGATTCTGCATTCTACTCTATCCAGTTATGTCTGATGTGCAAAGCCAAAAAGGAAGTCTTATATATCTTAGGGAAAATGGCAAAGGAATAAGATCTGAGGATTTGGATCATATACATTCCCAAGTGTTTACTCTGATTTTGAATTGATTACAAATAGAAGTTTGCATTTTCAAATTATGATTGATATCATACTCCTTTAACAAAGATGTGCATAAGTCTATTGAAGAATAATCTGAGTGAATACAGGCTAATGCGATTTTGAAAAGATCAAATGTCTCAAAGGCGTCTCAATAGTTAAAATCTATGGCCCTAAGAAACTCAAAGTTATGAAGTAATCTGATCTTTAGAAATATAAGAAGAGAATCATCACATTTGATAATGGAGATACATGGCATCCCTCATAAGGTACAAGGCTATCACGCCGATGATTAAGGAATTCATAGTAGTGAAGATTGCTAACTTCAACTGTAAGGTAGATGTGTAAGCAAAATCTATAGAAAAGCTAAAAATTTGGAATGATCACGGGGATACAAATGAGTTATGAAAAAGGGATATGACTATTTGGATAAAAATAAAGTTACTCTCATAGGTAAAGGAATACGAAATGTTGTTTCAATCAGTAAGACCATGATCAATTGCATTATATTGAATCTTATAAATATACGATAGAAGATTGGGAATTTGATTAAAATAACATTACAAATTCAACATGTTTGACTTAGATCCAATAGAAACACCATTTTAGTATGAGTTTATCAAATCAAACTCACCGATTGCCACAACTATCTATTAAGGATGAATAGAAAATTCTGTAAGATGAAATGAATAGCAATTGTGAGGAGAAATTAAAGTATTTAGGTAAATAGAATAACTATTATTGTTGTTTGGGTTCTGATTAGCAGTTTTGCTTAGTTTGGGTATATTATTGTGAAGAAGCGAGAGGTTTAGGAGAGTCTTAAGAGAAAAAGAAGGATTATTTTTATAGTTTTGAGAAGGAAAAAGGATTAGTTTGGAGAGAGGATAGCGATTAAAATTGATCCTTGGGGGTGTATTTAAATTTAATAGAAATTTATAAATATATAAAATATAAATAACAAAGAATGCAGCCAACATAGTTTCAGCAGAAGAGATTATAGTTTGAGGAAGAAAATTTATTAGAGAATAGCGATCAACTTCCTCCAAATTGCAGCTATAAAAAGACGGGTCCCTTGGCCTACGTTGTTTAGTACGTTGGTGAGAAAGGCACTCCACATGAGGGTAATGATATGGATTAATAAAAACTTAGGGGCACACATTGTAGTTGATGTTGATTTGAGTGGCACTAATGGATCTCCTGGATTCCCTGCTGAGGCTCCAAATATCACATTCAGGAATGGGTTCTAGCATGTTAATGTTTATCCTATGGGCAAATTATGCATGTATCTTTCGAACAAGGAAACATTTACTTCTGGCACAACACTCTTGGAAATCTTTTAAGGCATAAATTAGGTCATTCATCAGTATTAATGATATATTATATGATCAGTCCCACATTCCATGATCCAGCCAATGCATCCATTTTGATTTAAGAGGGAGGAAAGGGCTACGATGAGAAGATGAGAGACTAGGCTAAGAAATTGAGTTAACCCTAATATAAAGTGTTGTGAAAGAAATAATAATAATATATGATATTTCATAATCATTTGTAATCAAAATTTGGTTATCTCAAGTCTTGTCGAGTTATTTGAAAAGGCGAAAGACTTTTTGTGATCAGATCGCTATGAGGAGACATCCAGATTTTTAGGTGAAGGGAGTCTTGAAGTCGATTTGGGTAGACTGTTGACACTAATAAAGGAATTTAATTTCTTAGAATTTAATTCATCCCTTTATTCGAGATTGGATACCATCATATCCATTAAGTGCTTTTGTGCAGCTTGATACTCTTTGTTCTGTCTCAAGACAGGATCCATTCTGTCAAAGATGGTGGCATTGTAAGTATTCAACATTAAGGTGTTGCGTTTGATGAACTTTGGAGACAGGCCTGCTTCATCAGTCTACAGATTCAATAACTTCTTGGGTATGGACAACTATTGTTAGACCTTCTGATGTCTCAGTTTCATCTAATACTTTTGTTGATTTAATTATAGCTTCTTCATATCCTGATTCTCCTTCATGATCAATTGAGCCTGATCCTTCTGTGTATTATGATAATCAATTTTCTGGAGTTCTATGTATTCTTGCAACTTGCTGTATTGTTGTTACAACCTCTCCAATTAAATGTCTGAGACTGAAATCGATTTCATCAGACTTTTAGTAACAGGCATCTCTTTGTGAACTTCCCATTCAGCAGCAATGATCTTCTTGGCAGTTTCCTTGACTTGATCGAGAGTTAGGCATTTTTCAAAAGTGATAGATTCTATTTTTTGATTAAAAACCTGGTCGATCGATTTAATTTGATTGGGATGTTCAAGTTTATGTAGAGTTTCCTCCAAGCCTCTGAGATGTTTCTGAAGATCTGTCTCCACGTTCATTTAACTTAGTTTATAATCGGATAGACTCCTTAGATAAATCAATTTGCTTAAGTAGCTCTGGTTTTCTTAGAGTTTCTTTCTTTTCTGCTTGTGAGGTTTGGAGATTTGTCTCTGTGTGTTGTCCTTACTACACGAGGGAGTGTTGGGCATAAACAAACTCCCATCTCTCGTAGGTTCTTTGGAAAGATCCTTCATGGGTTTGAAATCACTTTTGGCCCTTGCATGATGGAGGATGTACACATTCTTATTGTTGATGTCATATTTGCTTTGATGGGGGAACTGTGGTTTTGATTCAAAGTGGTGTTTTTTTTCGAATCCATATAAGAATGAAACAAATTGATTAAGATCCTATTGCTCAAGGATGATTTGCTCATATTTTTCATGTTTGTATTCGTATTCATATTTAATGTAATTGATTAATTCGTCTTGTTTGCCAACAAAGGTCAAGATGTGTTGACATAAGTAATTGGCCATGGAGATCATCAAAGCGGATTCGTCGTATTTGTCCTTGTATTCGAGTGATTTACTTTGCAAATCCAAATTGATGATCAATAACTAAGCATAATGTTTCATTTGTCGCTTGCATTTCTTCTAATTGGAATTGGGTCTGTAATAGTCGCGCAAAGAATCAATGAGCATTTCGGAGATGGGGTCGAAGAATTGATTTTGAAAAACGTAAGAGTTCTCAAAGTAAGCAGAGTGAAGGAGAGTGAGGGCTTCTTGATAAAGAGTAACTGATTTTTGAGTTTTCACAAATTTCAGTTGTATCAATTTGTGCAAAAAGCGGCTGGCTTCTTTGAGATTGGTCATTTTGAAGTACAAATAGTTGAACATTAAGATCTATTGGATGGAAGTGAAAAGTTCTTGCTCATGATATCTCAACCAGAGAAGAGACTTCTTGTCCCATGGTTCATGTTCAAATTCAATTAAGAACTGTTTGAGTTTGGAGTTGCCTCTGGGAGATTGCATATCACCCAGCAACTTGTACTTACTCTTGCGGTTGGATGGATTTTGATGCTCAGTAAGTACATCTTGGCATTTGGCGATGTAATTCTGCATGGTATGGCATAGTTGCATGCATTGATCCAGTTAAGTGAGGATCCGGCCCTGTTTCGAATTGAACTTGAGAAAATGTTTACGCATAATTTTCAATCGACAATACAGCAATCGACGTATCAATTACATTTGCAGTTGGATTCCAGGCAGTTCGCTCTATTGATAATGATGAGTGAGGTGTTTCTCAGAGATGTTGACAAAGCATTTATACTTCCCTTTACGTAACATCCATTACGTTTCATAAATGTGAAATTCCAATACTTACATATGGATTATTTTCGGAAAATAATAATTAATAACTAGAACCTCAAAGATATAGCTTCTTTATTTAGAACAACCAACCAATTATAAATTTATTTAACAAAACAACTAATTAAATCATACTGCTTTCACTTACTCCCATTCCTCATCCACAGTTGCATTCTTTGGCTTCTCTAATTTCGCTTGTTTCCTCCTCTATATCACCTTCCTTACAGCCAAAAATAACACTATCAGAACCAAAAATGTCCCTGCTGCAATTCCAATCATCACCGCATAGTCGTCATCCTTGTTCGTGACTTCGTCCTTCTCCTCAATCTTCACGTCTGATTGGGTGCCATTGTAAATCAAACTAGTGTTATAGAAATAGGTGTAGGGTGCATCATATCCCTAATAGAAGGCTTAGAACACAATCAGACCATAAAGCACTTTTTAACCCTGAGGTCGAGGCACTAAATTAATGACATTTTTAATTCTTTTACCTTGAAAGGTTACTTTGTCGTTCCCCTCCTTGACTGTTTATAAGGATTTGCTATGGTACAGTTGGTTGCTAGTGTAATATTTGAGAGATTCAATGTCCATCTGACATCCGAAGGCATTCATAAAGGTCTCTTGATTGGAGTAATGCAATTGATAACTACACAATACATTCGCATACTTACATAAGCATCTTGAGTTCTAACAGGCCAGTCTTGTTTCTGCTCATCGTATCTACAGTAACAATAAGTGTCTGAGTCTCCTTGTTCTCTTCCACTTGATAAGTGATGCTCTTATTGAAGTACCAAGCATCGTGAGAATATTGTAGATGAGGTACCAAACTGTAGATGTTCCTCCTTATGGATAACCCATCCTTTGTGTAGCTCGCAAAAGAGGTTGGAGTTACGTTGAAATAGATATCACTCGAGTTGTTAAATTGATAGGAACTTATATTGCTTTAAGTTTGGCCTAAGCAATCGATCTTTTCGATGAGCAATTCTTGTCCCTTTGAACCAAATATGTTGTAAATTTGGGCAGATTGGATTTGCTCTACGTAATGCTAATTGGAATCAATGTATTTCAAACCATCCAAATTCAGTGTGATACTGTATTGACCCACACATTACAAACTAATTTTATAGAAATAATCCACACTAGGCAATTAGTATTTCAATTCCACTTGCGATTAGCTAATACTCCATTCCTATACCGGATTTATCAATATAAACTCACTCACATTCTTGGACATGTAAAAGAGTTCAACTTTGACATTGGATTGCGAATTCACAATCATAGTGTACCATTATTCTGCTGTGATTGGCGTGAATGTGAAGTGCGTAACATTCTATTCAGCTGTGTTGTTGCCCTTGTATGATTTGCCTAGATGCAAAGCCACAAAGTTCTATTCACTCTATAGACTCAACCAATACGAGGCCACTTGATTTGCATGAGGATTGACAACACTGACTGTGTAGGACGAATTAATTGGAATAATGTGTTGGGAGTAACTAAGATTCATACTGTACAAATAGGTGTCGTCGTCATAAAACTTTAATTCAATACTTTCTGAATACACAAAGATGTTCAGATCCCCAGGTTCAACGTAGTACTTACAAGTATCAACACATTGGTCATAGTAGATCCTTCCATACTCAATATCCAGTGGTATTGAATTATAAGCTATCAATAATTAAATGTCAGCACTCCTCAATGGTTTCAAGGCAATGATGTATGTGCAATAATAGCAAAAGTGTTTGCTTGTTTGGTTTATCTAAATGATGCCGCCAAAGAGGTTATCGTTGTGTTCCTGAAGTATTTGGATGTCATCTGTTCCGTAATAGGGGAGGAGATCAAAAAGACCGTCCTCGCTCTCGTTATACTGGGAGTATGTATTGATGGCCACATCGACATTATTCATTCCTTGAATCATTATGCGGAAAGACTCCTTTCGAATATGCTGATAGAAATAGTAAACGGTCTAATTGATGTGATGACCCGTAAATTGACCATTCGATATGTAATACAATTCAATGTCAGCATAATTTAGCAGCAATTCATAGGTGCATTCCTTTCTAAATCCTAAGACTCCGATTATGTAGGATCCAACGTTGTCAGGCTCTCTGATTATAAGAATGTCTGATTTATATGACATAGATTTGTAAGTATGGGTATCTTCAGTTGGGTAGGAGATCTTATCATCAACTAGTTTGTTCACGTAGATATCTGGATCACAATCATCAATGGGTCTGGCTGCAATTTGGATGAATTACACAGGGTTATCAACATAGAAGTAATAATAGGACATGATGTTCTCTCCAGAGTGACCAATCAACATTTCTCCATTGCGAATTATTGAGTATTCTGTAGATATCATTATGTTGAAATAGCCATCCTCGCCATCCACTGTCGAGATGTTGTTGTATGAGTTGCCAAAGATGTAAGAATATAATGACTATTGATTCAATTTCACACTTATCAATAACACGCAACCTTGTCTATAATTCTAACACATTTGCAAATCTGTCTAATCTATGATCAACAATTTATTCGACAGACTAGCACTGATCTCCTCTTCGATGTCATAGCTTGAAGACGTGGGGAATATGCTGTGGTTGTTGTTCTTTAGATCTTTTAAAACAAGGGAATAGTCTTTTATTGAACAAAACAATTCAATCTCAGTAAAGAGTGTGTACGCTTGGATTTGAATAGTGTTCTTGAGATCCTTCGGAACCACAAAATACAAATTAGATTATTGATATTATTCGAATGAAGGAATGGGTACCTATTACACAGTATTATCCAATAATTCAGTGATACCAGACACTCCTCGAATCAATAAGGAATACTCATTGTACCCAATACTCTCAACACCTATGTACACAATCATGTTTTCTGTGATATTGCTCAATGTCAAGTAGGTAGATGAATCCAATAGTTCGAAATCGCAGTTGTCTTTGTTTGGAAACTTGTTCTTCATGCTGACATACACGTTGAGGTTGTTCTTTTCGTTCACTTCGGTTGTATATGTTCTGATCACAAAGAGCTTCTCTAGAGCATAAGGGGACAGATAGTAATAAAAGGATAAGTGTTGATCGTCCAATTGAGTGATGAGTGGGTCTCCATAGAACAATTCCATGAGGGAACTTGAAGAAGTGAATTGAATTTCATAGGATTCATTGAGACCCAGAGAAACAGAGCTGACTTGAACATAGTAATATCGCTTGGGATTTTCAATTATGAGTGTGTGTTATGAACTTCTGAATGAAAAATCATATTGACTTTCATCAGGGAACTTGTCTCCGATGATTCCATTGGTGCCAATTACATAGCAGATGAAATAGCCATAGATCCCATTGAGATGAATGAAGAGTGGACCATTCTGTCTGTATTCAAAATTAAAATATGTGGCTTAATCAATCTTGGTCTGCAGATGAGTGTAGGAGATGCTTTCAGTGAGATGAATGTAACTGATTTCCTCATGTGATTTCCTATACACAAGAGGAGTGATGGAGTATCTGAGCAAAGCCTTGGCCACTATTCGAATGTAATACTGGCCAGCCAAAGTCTGGATGGCAGGTTCTGCCTTATATTACAAGACATCCAATTCCATATTGGCATACCTATCGTAGAAGGTGGAATTGGGTTTATCATAGGTTCTGGAAGCATAAGCATCATATTCTCCAGTGATGGCAGTTATTTGGAACACTACTTCAGTCAAATCCTCTTCGTTGATTGTGAAGGAATATAAGTCAGTGCCATATTCCAACAGGTAACTGCGATGAGTTGTTGACTCTGTTAGTTCAATGTGCTATTCTTATCCCTTGATGTATATTTGGTAGTTCATGTGTTCAACATTGCTGTAGACTCCGATTACGTATTAGCAATTAGTCTGTTCATTCTCGTACTTGAGCATTGTAACATTGGTTTCACATTCAGTCTTGTTGTAATAGAACTATAATATGCTTTCAGCTGAATACAACTCCGAAATTCCAGATTTCAAGTATTGAACATTCTAGAGTCTGTCTATCTGCTCTTTTGTGATTGAACAATTGTAGAAGTTATCAGGTCCTGCATTCACAATGTAAGTAAAGTGGTTGTTCACCGAATTCAATTCTGTCTAATTCTTCATGCATTTCTTCAATATGATCATACCATGTCCTGTGGGATAGCTGGCAGTTATTGTAAATGTTTAGTTGAGTTCATTGTAGATATTGATAATGTACTCTGCGAATTCATTCTACAACAAAAACCCAGATTCAAAGGCATGGACAGACAATAATCGACTATAGTAATTGCTCAAGTAGGCTACGAATGAATAACTTGAGAATTCATCGACTCCATTGATGGCAATAATGAATTAACTCTCATTTCCATTATTAATCCTATTTTAGGGAGATATTGTGATCGACTCATAGCCTAGGTCTAATTGGGATTGCCAAGGATAGAGTTTGTAATCCAAAGAACACTCCCCATTGTGACATGGTGAGATATAAATATCAGGATTGCCTTCAAACGGATGGATGTCAAAAGATAGCGAGTTTTTTTCCAGAAATTCCAAATAATCTTCTTCTACTATCAGCTTATAATAATTGGTCTTCCTCTCCAATACTAAGTCGTCGGTCCTTTTAAATAATTCTATCTCTCGGATTCGTTCATAGACTGTTGTGATGAAATACAATCTAGAATTGGGCACTCCCAACATCAACACAGTCAGATTCCCTTTAAGATTGGTACTGTTTTTGTATATGACAGCTCCTTTTCCTACCATCCAAATCTCTTCCGCCTCGTACTAAAATTGCATAGGGGATGGAGTTTCATTTCCTTCGTTGATGTAAAAGTGGAAGGACTCATTCAATTGGGTGTTCCTGTCTTAGAGATAGTGAGCTCGGATCAGGACTCTATCGACTCCATCCATAGATTTGGGCATACCGATTTTGAGGATGCTTTCTGTTTCATTATCGAATTTCACAATAACTGCTTCTCCCAATTACAAGACTTCCTCCTCCTCATAATGGATGGTTAATTCATAATCACAATCCTATAAACAATATACTCCTAAATAGTAAGTCATATTAGCAATCAAATCCTTTTCTTCGATTACACAAACATCCATTCCCTTATTGCCACACAACTCATCGTAGATGGTTGGACTAAATAAATGAGGATTCGATACTGATTATTCTCCTTACTAATGTAGAGGGAGGGGAATGAGCTTTGATCATGAAGAGCTTTCAACACAACAAACACGTCCTCGTTAGGTATCACGTTCTAAACTTGGAACTTATAGAAATGAACAGGATAAAGAACAATAGTTGATGTACCTGGCACCTTACTAATATCCATTTATTAAACACCAATACCCATAAAACTCATATTGTTTCTCTATCTCCAACTCCATTATTTCTTAATCGAGTGGCTGTGATAACGTCAGCTAAAATAGCAAGATCAATATTAACATAATAAAATGAATTAATAAGCATAATTTAGAAGGACTTATCAGATGGGAGCACAATTTCGTTTGAGAAGCTTACAACAGGAGAACATGCCCTTTGAAAGCACTCGTAAATAATGCAAAACAACAAGAAATGCTAATTTGAAGAAGAGATTTCAAACTGAATAGATGACTGTATTATCGAAAATAGAATTGTCTCATCATGGGAAAGATCAAGTGGAATTGATCTACGAATCCTACCCGGTTATTTAAGAAAGAATAACTAGAACCACAAAGAAGGGGTAACCAAGATTGACTGTCTAATCCCCTTAATTTAAAATGTTACAACAAACTAGCAAGACGATTTCTTTTCATCAAGTAAAACGAATGCTTTAAACTTACATAAATTAATGACATATAAATTGTATCCATATTAATATTCTAAATAAATCATTATTAATTCTATTGCACTTATTTCAGAAAATGCTCTAAATGCTTAGTTTGTTATTTCAAAAATTGCATCTCAGATTCCATTCGTTTCTCTTCCAATTCTCTAATCTCCTTAAAACTTCTCTGGATGGCATCAAGTTCATTCTCCAATAAGATTTTCTAATTTTCCAAATAAATCTTCTTTTTGTCAAAATCTGCTATTTTGGAATCCTACTCACTCTTGCCAATTTCAGATTCTGCTGCCTTCCTATTGCCAAACACAACTGATCCAGCATAGAGTGTTTGGTATGCTGCAAAAGTTAACTTCAAATTATCATACACTCTCATCAAGAGGAGTCCTCTCTCTGGACAATTGATAGCACTCTGTCTAATGATCTCTTCAAATAATTAACTATGTAGATCCTCTCTCACTGGACATATCCCACTCTTACTATAATATTGGCAATTAAATTCTACCGAGCCTATCTCTCGATCAATCTCTAATCTAATTCTGCTTCCAATTAATTCAATTCATCCCTCTTGACATCATTGACACTGACCACCTATTTGAAGAAGTGTCCTTCATGTTCAAATCGTCTCGGAGGGAAGAATTTATTCAGAATTTCATCAATCGACCATTTTTGATCCAAAGGTTACAGTTATTATTTTTTTTTTTAATTCAACACTTGTTCCTGCATTTCAAGTTGCATCTCATCTTCATTTATTTCAATTGGCTCCTCGTATCTCACCAAGGTTGGCATGTACTTGGGGTATTTCTTAAGAGTCTCTTCTGTTTATGACATATTGATTATTATTATATTTATATAACAGGGGATGTGTACATATACATATATATATATTTTTAAAAAACATAACAAAAAAGTAATTATAATAGACAAAATCACAACAATCCCAACTCATTCAATATTTGACTCATTATTAGTATGATTTTGGATTATTCAGCATTATTCACACTTGAAATCAGGCAGACTAGGAATGCATAGTCATCATCGCTATAGATCCTGTTGGAAACGATCAAGTCAGTTATTTTATTCTTAAAAAGGGGATCTGCTAATTATGGGATTCTTTTGGCAATGCTTTCCCAATCAATCTCTTGTTGTATTTCTTTCTTTTGTGGCCGTGGCTGCACTTATTAAATTGAAGTTGATTACTTATTGGACAAGTCTTATTGATAAGACTCTTATCCACTCTCCTGAAGAAGAGGGCTGGATTCAGAGTGGTCTTGTTCTTGTTGTTCATTTCTTGGATCCTCTTCTTACATTTTTCAAAATTCTTTTGATGTTCGGTATTGGTGGTTTGCACTTTTTTGAGGAAGTAGTTGTTTTTGAATTTCTCAACTGACGGTCGTTTTTATTGGATCTTTTGTACCTTCTCAAATGTGTTAAGGACTTCTTTGTATTGATCCAGGAATTTGAAAACTGGAGATGGGGTTCGACGAAGTAATTTGCTGCTTGAATTGGTTTGGGAGAGAGTGCTCTTGGCAGTCTCAACATGATGCAGATGCTGGAGCATCTATTGCAATATAATTCGCCGACCTCCTAGATTGCGTTAATCTGGAGAGAACACCTTGCTCATTAACGATTTTTATTAATTAACAAGATGATTATAATTATGCCAGCCTATAAAAGCAACTTGGAAGTGCAGATCAAGCAGGATCAGAAACAGGGGATGGGTCTGATAGATCATGAATAGACCGACACGTTCCCAGTGTGGAAATTTAGAGGAGGTTCAACCACTATATATGAAGAGAGTAATAATGAAATGCATTTTGCAGATCAAGTCTACACCGAGAGCGCTGAGATGTTGCCCAACAAGAATCAGCTCCTTAAAGTGAGCAAGTCAAGTAAGATTAATCGATTTATCAACATTAATAGAAAATCATTATGAAATCCTGTTGTCTGTAATGCAGCCACCCTTCATGGTCGTCAAGGACATAAAATCATCCAATGGATCCGAATATCCTCTCGTAGTTAATTCAGTCATTCGTTTGGGAAGAGTGTACTAATTATACACTATTAATTTAAAGTGAGTACAAGGTCATCGAGGAACGCAACAAGCACATGCAGACTTTTCAAGCACCCTGCCCCCTCAAAGTATGCTAATTAGACAATCAAATTTTAGTATTCCTTCCTCAGCGACTCCAATGTGACATATCAATGTAAGTTTTGTTTCATGGAAGGAAGGCAGAGCAAGGATCAACTCTTTCTCACTAATATCTGTCGTTGTGCTGGCAACGGGTAGGCTGTTCATTTAGATTGTTTACGTTACTGGGTGGATTCCAATATCACCAAGGAAGAAACTCAATTCGGCTTGACTCTCAAATGGTTACTAATTTCTCCATATTAGGAACAAGCAACATGAGTGTTCCATCTGCAAAGAAAGTCTCCCAATTCGAGTTCAGTACGAAGATGAATACTTCGATCTCTTTACACTTGACAGGCCTGATCTACAATACATCCTTGTTGAAGTATACTCTCCCTCTATCAATAGAACATCAATAAAGAGAAGAACTTATGCAATGAAATCTATTTAATCCACAGTCTCCTGAGTGACAATATCAAAATTGTAATTCATATCCCCCATATTAAAAGGGAAGAGGATTCCAATGTGATATCAAAGCCTAAGACATCACTGTCTCTAGACATCATGCCACCATCAAATTGACTGATGGTAACTTTATGATCTAGGACAACAAAAGTAAATTTGGAACTCTAGTATCCATTGATAAAAAAGTTTCGATTGATTGTGCAGCTTGCAGTTTGTAAATTGGCAAACTACTAATCAATTTTATCTAGTCCGATTTTATTTAAAAAGGTCTTTTTCAATTTTTAATGTAGGTGCTCCATCAACTTAACACAAACTTACTTAACTACCTTAAATAAATAAATAATTAGATGAAGATGAACCACAAATGGATGATGATTCTTTTCAATTAGAAAATAAATGAAAGTGACTTTTATATTATTCTAATTATATTTTATCTTTCCCTTTGTTATATAAATATATATATAATTTATGCAAAAAGCTAGCATTTTCAATAGGAATTTCAGGCTGCTCTTTAATTAAAACAAGTACTAAAATCTAACAGGTAAATTGCGAATGCATGATTGTAGCCCAAAAAGATCATACTCAAACTCATCTTGGATGGGTGTCTCCAGTAGATTATAGATTTGGAAGAACTATGTTGTATTTGACTTGTGCCATAGGATTCTTTTGTGCCTACATGGACCCAGGAGTCTTGCATGAAGCAGTATGAATCACAATTAATTTTAGTTTGGCCATTTCAAATAACCACCCAGATATGTGTTGGTAAGAATTGTGCATTAATCAAATAGGGATTTGGAAAAGGACTTGATGGAGAAGAGAAGAAATTGAATGAATAGATATTAGACAGACATCACGCAGAAGAATAATTAGAGCATTTCAAACACAACATCACTCAATACGATGGCAAATGATTTAATACAAACATATATAAAAACATATAGGGAATAATTAAATAATTTACAAATATCGGATAACAAAAAAAATCATTCACTGTTCCAAGAGTTACTACAATACTTCTCGAATAGGCTTCGATCTCTGCCTGGCTGCCTTCACGAGTGCAATAGCGTCTTCCAGAGAATAATTTAAATCCAATACTAAATAGAGTATGACTGTTTAAATGCTCCTCTGAATTCCATCAGTACAATGAACATAGACGCACTTACCTTCCTCAAGCAGTTTCTTTAAGATCTGATAAGCCTGCATTCCCTTTTACAGGAAGGATCGCTTATTGCAATCTCGTATAGGAAAATGCGAATACGTTATCTGATACGATTGACAAGATTCTCTGATGTGATCAAAGTAATCCTCCTGCAAATCTTTGTTGATCAGATCCTCAGTCGTTTATAGATTAACTATGGCATCCACTCCCAATTTCTATAGAATATGAATTTCACTAAAAACTAATTACGTTATATTTTACTCGCTATAGAGATAGGAACCAACATAGAGATTCTCCAATATCTGATTATAATTGAGAGCAAAGTCTAGGTCAGATTCTACGATTTCGATCACATTATTCAGAATGGGATGTTTCGTAAATACTCTGACTCCATTTCGTTCCCATTTTTGATCTTGTTGGTACTTATATGCAAATGAATTGATTGATTTGCTAGGGATTTGCAATTCCATCTTATACTCATAATCATTCTCCTCAGTAACTACTTAATCTAGTCTAATTTTGGATCTTCCCTTTTCTGAATATAAATTTACAAACATCTTTGAATCAACATAAGAGTTCACTTTGATTCTGATTTTGATGTGACTCCATGCGTCTTCCACATCGTCTTTGGAATTCAAAACTCTACTTATTCCATCTTCCCATTCAACGATTTGTCGATTGTTTTATTTCACAATAACGTATCTGTAATTCATGGGTAAACAACAACACTCTACACGAGCTCTCCAAATATCTCCTGGATTCCATTCCATCTAAATTCCATTTTACACATTCCATTACACTAAATGACAATCACCAACAATCAAAATCACTTCCCCATAATTCACGTGTCTCTAAATGGAAATAGAGCTCATATTGTTTAAATATATTAATATATCAATTACTTTTATTTTATAAATCTAACCAAAATATCGTTTTCAAATATTTCATTAATTTCAAAAATAATAATAGCTCATAATTGTTATTACTCATTATTAATATAATTAATACTCATCGTATTGGTTCATGAGAATTGCATAACACTGACTAATCTGACAATAAATAAATAAAAATAACTGTATTGAATTGAATTGAAGAAAGTAAATATATCATCATTTTATTATCTTTATTGAGATAATAACTATTTTATTTTATTTAATGAGACATAAATCAAATGGACAAAAAATATTTATTGATGCATCAAACCTTTTGTTAGATGACGAAACTAGCTTTTCATTTCGACCACGATTTTCAAAGCACAAGAATTTCTATACCAAAAAACCACTCTTTGAATATCATTATGTGACTCCAACTCAGAAGCATGCAAAAGAAATCCTTGATAAAATATGCCATGTGAACAAAAAGGCTTTGATTACCGAGAGACCAGAATCCTCCTTTCAAAAAAGAAAAGAATTTTCAGTCGACCAATGTTTAACTACAAGAGGATCAATGCAAAGAAAATAGATCAGGATCAAATCAATAAACAGATCGAATATATAAAACAAATTATTAGATTAAGATTGGTTGGCATTTGTGTTAGATTGAAAATACTTAATATCTCTTGAAAAATAATTAATTTATGTGATGAATATTTTTTAAGTTTCAATGTCTTACAATTTCTACAAGTAGCTAATTAATTTTATGAAATAGTAATATAATGAATAAGTGCTTTGAATGTCAAACTGATAATATTAAATCAAACATCTTCCAATTATTCTCCTGCAGCCATTCTCAATGCCAATTACTCCTTCAAAGTTCTTAATGATTTATTCAACAATCCAATGGTTTAAGACACGACATCTCTGTCAGAATCCCTAAAAGTAAACAAATCTAATCATTACCTTTGTGCTCTGGAATCCGAGTAATCCTAAGCCTCTTGTTCACATATGATGAATCGATCATTTCTAGATTATTGGAGCATTTCCAATCTCTAATTCACATTATCGAGAGTAGCTTGTGTCTACTCTATAACTTCATTGACTCTAGACAGACTTAATAAATAAGATACAATGCCAAATCTGATATGGCTGAGGCCAAAGTGCTTTCAGTGGTGTTGATTGAAATGACAAGCAAATTTCTAGTTTTCTCATAGGCTTGTATTCTTTTTTCCTCTGAGAACTTCTCAAGATCCATTGAATCATGAACTTGTTCTAATAATTAATCAATAAGCAAAATGACATTCTCAACTTATGCTGAATCTTACAATTGATTAACTCTTGAAGTTATGGTGGCCAAAGCTTTGAACATTTTCCCCCAGGAGGTTCTATAGGTGAATTTACCTATTTAATGGTTGAGAATTGATGAGTACTTGCTCTTTTGATGGATGCTCCGAAGTGCTTTTACAGTAATTCAATTCCATTGTTATTCAATTAAATAAAGGAGTTGTCATGAGACTATAGATTCTCTGAGAACAATGTTCTAGCCTACATCAAGATGGCAATAACATCTTCGTGTTCGTGAATTTTGTGTTGATGCTCATCATTTTCTTCTTCTCTCTATTGATCTAATTCATTCAACTCATCGCTGAATTCTTTAAGTTCTCCTTGCTTTTAAGTTATTAATTTCTATAAGATTTCTCTCTTTGGATAGAGTTCACCTTCCAATCTTGCTTCCAATTTAATACGTTCATTGTCACTCACTTTGATATTTTGATCTAAATTTTAGAGATCCTATATGAAATGGTTAGAGACATTACCACAGAGCAGGAGTCTTGATAGTCTTTGTGTGAAACATCCTCTTCCTTTTAATCTTGATAATATCTATCTTCGATTTATTGTAAAGTTCCCATCAATCTTTCAATCGGTTCTTAGGTTTACAATTACAAGTAAATCGTATCAAGAAGAGTGTGACCAAATCTGTTTTGATCAAGTTATTAAATTTGTTATTTCATATCCACATCTTCCAATGCATAGTTTATCATTAGAAGTAGTGACAATATTACAAATTTGTTCACGTTTTTCATAAAAATTAAATATAATTAATTCTATAATTCATTTATTTTATTGAGGTTCTGCCATTACTGAAATCTCGCCATCATTGCATCCACATATAAAGAACCTCTTATCCTTTGAGCAAGTTATGGACAACACAGGGGATTTGGCTGATATTTGAAATCTTTTCAATTGTTGCAAATAAGGCAAAGATCTTCTTACCAATTCGCCGTTCTCAGTGCCATATACCTACATCAATATAAGTGTATTACCATAATGTCTTAGAAGAGATTATTCCTCATAATTTGACAATCAATCAAGGATGAACTTTGTTCTGATTGAACTTCCAATAAGAATCCATTGATAGAATAACAATATATCTGATGATCAAATGCTGAATAGAAAACAATGCAAAACAGTGGTCTATTGCTCATGACAATCGAGTTGATTGGATTCTTATTCGGATGTATGAATGATCTCATCAATTGCCCATTGAATAAGTTATAAAGATATATGTAACCACCTGTGCATCCAGTAGCAAATAGTTTCATACTTGTAGACACATAAATGCAATTGATCTAAATAGTGAGTACTTAATTACTTGATTCTAGTGATCAAAATACATGCACTTGGCATGTAATTTGTAAATATCCTTTTGCTTATCAACATTCCATAAAATGACATGTCCACTCTTATCTCCAGAAATGATCATGGATTCTTTTTTGTCAGATGCTAATGTTGTGATGGTGGCAGTGTGTAGTTGATAGATATCGATAATTTGGTTGTTATCACCTATGATGATCAATTTACCTAGGTGATACCCTCCACAAATAAATAGTTTGCCTTGATTGAATACCAACATAGGATAGGAGGACAATTGAGCGGATACATCCCATATATTGAAAAGTTCAGTCTGGGGTTTTTCAAAATTGAACTGTTTTTCCCTTTCCAATCCACATTGGAATGGTGGTTAATTGGCTTGAACATCAGTTTGACTTGTCCATTTCAGATAATCAATTTTACCTTCTTTTCTTATACATATCAATCTCACATCTGAAATCCATTTGATCTTGACAATTGCTCTATTGCTTGCTTATTATAGATCAATTATAGGTTTCATAGTATTAGGCACTTTCTTTTTATTTTAAGGTCTATAAACCTTCAACTCTTGGGAATTCGAAACAAAATGATGTTCATTATTGATCTATCTGCCAATATGAGGTTTTAGGAATAACTATAACGGAGTAATTCCAAAGTTCACAACTTAGGCTTCAATGCTAAGTCTGTTTTCTTCCATCATTTACAATGTAAGTTGTTGATCATATGTCACATAAAAGTAAATATTTAAATTCTTCTCTGCTTCTTTGCCTCTCTACTTGAATCCAAATATCAAATCTATCCATTCTGGTATAGTTCTCTATATATCTTCACTTTCCAGGGCATTCCTTTGGCCTGCCACAAATCTCCATGGATTATTATGAGACCATTTAGGCAATTATACATTGTTAACCATGATTCCACTCTAAGTTTTACCGAATTACAGATTCTACAAATTAATGAACATCTCAGGTAAACAAAACATTTCAGGAATCAACTCTCTAACATCTGCAATATCCTCTGTTGCACAACGGAAACTCTCCACAAAAGAATAAAACAGACGATCTGGAATATCAAACTTATTTCCTTAGATCTCCCTAGCTATTGTAGTGAAAGGTTCCAATCTGATAAGGAATTAAGAAGTAATAGCCAATGATGAATAATGAGATCCATAATGGAAAGCTGGGATCTCCCCACCTTACTCTGACTATTCAAATCTCTCTATGTAACTCTTGATTCTTGAATTGTTTCCCAATGCACCCATGGTCTTTTGCATTGCTCTGAATTACCCCTCTGGATATATTTTAGCACTTGCTTCCTAGACTAGTTATTAGTCTTTTGGCTCACAAATGACCCAGGGAAATACGGGATATTGAGTGAAATCATTATAGCTTCTAGATGCCAAATTATTCAACAACAACAAGTACTTGAAATTACTCATTTATTATCTTATGGTTATGATTATATGTATACTTATTCCATTTCTACAAGTATCCCTACTTCTCCAACAGTTTCACTGGATCTGTGGTCTTACTCTGATTGAGATATGGTGCCAAATGAGTTTTGCGATGCTTCAATAATTTAGCAGATATTTCATCCAGATCGTTTTAATCGCAAATGTTAATAAATAATGATTTCCTATTGAATGATATCAAACATAAATTACCCATCAATGAAGAATATCTCCAAAGCAGTTCTCTTTTGTAAGTATTTCTTCTTTATCACCAAAACCAAATTATAAATCGGATACTTTTTGAGTAATCTCTAATCCTCCTTCAATTCAAACACTCCCAGAGCTGCATGTGATCCTTCACTCTTCAAATGCTCATATTACAATAAAATGTGAGTATTCGTTAAACTCATCAATGCATAATAAATATAGAGTCCATTTATAACTATGACCTTCTTTCCTCTAAATGTATTCTCTCCAAAAGATCTGATATTCTCAACAGCCTAAACCTTTTGATTTGCTATAGTCTTTACTGCATTCCTAATATTGTTACCAAAAGCCTTGCCCATGTTCAATAACTGAGTGGCAGCCTAAACAGCTTAAGAATTGGTAGATTATCTCTATCCATAAAGCTATTCAAATTTATCCATCTCATGGCCCAAAAGGAGAGGTGCTGTTTATGGAGTCTAATATACTGGTTTGTTTCGTAACACGTCTGGTATTATAGGAATACTCTTGATATAAGGTCTAGCAAATGATTTAGTGAGCATTTTTGAAATTTTGATTTTAAAGTACTTACTTTACACAAATTGCTCCTAAGTTATGTCTTAGATCAAATCGTTTCTTTAGATGCACCCCTAACATTAAGAGAGCCAACCATCATTCAAGAACAAAGAATTTAATGATTTGTGATATTTGTTTCTACCTATTCGTTCTCTCTCACTTTCCTTATAAACCCATTAAACCTTCCTCTCTTCAATTTCTATATACTTATTCTCCCCTATCTATTGTACATCTCTTGTAACTTTCTGAGGCGAAACAATTGATTCGATTGACCATTATTAAGGTATATTGGCTTTAATCTAGGTTTCCTATTTCAGAGCATTGCATTGAATGAGGAAAGAGATCAATTAATCCAATATGGAATCATCATGAAAGGAGTTAGCTTAAAGACTTTCAAATAGAGTTTCAAAATCTGAATATAACTCCATCAAGTACTTCCTCAATTGAGATGGCTGATTCTTCTCCTTTGAGACAAAGATTATGAAACACAAGATCATAATACTGTCTTTGAAGTGCTCATGATTCCTTAATTTGGATATAATATGTGTCAACCCATAACTCATTTCAAACTAACAAATCTCCTAGGTTATTGCATAAGTTATGAGGAATTAATGAATATTAGTTTGATTACTACTTTCCAATATGATTTCATATACTTGATGGTTCTGTATTCTTGAATTGAAGAAAGATTAAGCTTTTTATGCAGAATCAGGATGGTTGAAACACTTAGAAATTGAAGCAATTTATTCTTTAATTGTATATTAAATTAATAGTACCTTCTGTATTGCCATTGACCAAGTAATCCTTATGAATTAAATCATAAAAATTATTAAGCTTTGAGATCAATTAAGAGTAATGTTACTTAAGTTCAACTATATACAATGCCATCTGAATTATGTTCTTCCATAATTGAGAGTCTGTCTAAAAGGCCTTGCATTACTCGCTATTGTTAAAATACAATATACTGAAGTAAATCAATAATGACATTCATCTGCATTTCAACTAACTTCTGATTGTGATCAATTCCCCATTTTAGTAATTCATAAATGTAATTAGCACCAATAAATTCTGATTTCAAGACTTAAACTATTAGTGTGGAATGCAATCGACTACCAATTTCATAGATCTAAATAATAATAAGCATATTTTACCAGAGTATTATCCTCTTGTGTTGAGAGTACTCTTAGAAGTTCACTTTGAAATGTTGCCTATCCTAAGATAAGTATAGAATTGCCTTGATGCGATTTACAAAGACAAAGCAAATCTTATAAAATCTACGCTGTCAAATTTTCATCCAAAGAAAAAGCAACAATTTTCATAATTGCATTGATGATGCCTTCATTCTTTATTTAGTCTCTCTCCTCTATCATTAAGGATTCATTGACTCCAATTTTTATTTTATCAATCATCCAACCCATGAGCTAGTTATAAATAGAGGCAAATGATTCAATCTTTTTTTTCTAAACCTATTCAATTTACTAAATGGACATAGAAGATGAAGAAACCTCCTTAATTTGGGTTACTAGATTGTAATACATAGGAGTACATTCTTATTAAAATTATTGTTTAGGTGCTTAACTATTTTTTGTAGACATGGGAGGTTGTCTAACAACAGTTTATTACTATTTAGGAGATTCTGTATTCTAATTTTATAGAGGAGATTCTTATTGTTTTGGTGATTCTACATATGGTTCTTCAGGTTCTCGATGTCCTTGCATATACATATGGCATGCCTTAGCTAATCTGTTTATTTCTGCCAATTCCTTATTAAAAGCTTCGTGATCACTAATTTACATATTTGAATCAATACAATCCATTTTTTTTCCCCTATTCTCCTCCAAAATTATAGAGTGCATTTATAGCATCAGTGTCGATTTTGATGTGGAATTTCTTTTTCCCCTTCTAATCAACAGAGAAGGAAGGAGGGTTTGACTTTTCTGTTTCTGGAGCAGGTATAGATTGAGCACGTGGAGGAGGTCTTTAGTTGTTATCAAAGAATCCTTAGGGTGGTTTACGACGATTAGTCATAGAGGGTGCTTAGGGAACACTTTCATAATCATTGTTCAGGAATTGAGTGCCTAGATTTTTGAGTTCATCAAAATCACCTTACTATTATTATTATTATGGCTATTCCTTCTTGATAGGCTAGACTTAGGAACAACGATTTAACTCAATAAGTGGTTCTATAGCATTCGTGATGTATTCAATTGCTTAATGTGTTTAGAGTTTGTGATTTGGAAATTGCTGTTGGAAGATGAGATGTAAGAAATAGACGATCATTGCTCTGATATCGTAGTGCGGAGTTGATTTGAATATGAAAAGTAATGAATCTACGATGTTATTCTAATCCCATGATTGTAATATGAAATTGGTTTTGATTCCCTGATCTTCATTGTCAACTAATAAACTCTGAAAATGATATATAAATAGTACTTTTAGAATGGTGAGAATTTGCAATAGGATACATGGAGATATCTTGGACATTAAGTATTAATCAAAAAGAACTAGATGTTCAGACACATCCGGTTACTGATTGAACAAGTAAAAGATCTTTTCTAAGAATTACATTTGAAAGGACTCTTCAAAGTCATTAAAATGTTAATCACAACATTGATTTTCAGTGTATGCAAATATTAGCATATCTAAAATATCTTTGGATGATATAAAATGCTGATAATGCTATGGATTTTGTAAATAAACTTGACATGCCAATTATAAGTATTTAGAAAATACTTATTCACTAATGCATTTCTAATGCAATTTTGGATTCCATAAAATATGGATAAAAAAATGATCCAATAACCTATTGTCTCCAATCATGGATTTGATTTCACTCAATAGTTCAACACATTTCGTATTAATCAAAGGTTTTTCAAAACTCATTATAATTGAAGCAAGAGTCAAGAAGAATTGACTATTGAATGCTTCTGCTTGTAATTAATTATTATTCTTAAGAATATGGGTAATAACTTCGAACATAGTAGACAGATTAAGTTATGCTGAATTGATTTGTTTGTAAAGTGTTCCACTTAAATGTAACATCACGTAAAACAACCTGAAACCTCCAGAAAAGTGAAATTTATTCTTGTCTGCCATTACAGCTCCAGACTTATTTAATAATGTAGCATTGCAATTTCCCATAACATCAATCACGTGATTTCCATCTGTAAATTCAGGAATATAAATAGACATGATTCTCTCAAAGTACTTATCCAAACAAGCTGGTAATGTTTTCAATTACTTAAAATCCATTGGTAATTGTCCATACACTGACTGGATGGTCTTGATTCTAAGTAGGGAATATTTATAACTTAATTACTTTGTGGATGATTGATTCATAATGATAATGCATTAGGCTGTACCTAAGAGATTCTCACATATAGTAAATCTTGTCAAGGCTATGGTTTGGTTCAAACGGGGGAAATCTAATGTCATGCTCTTGGGTTGTTCATTGTTGAAGTACAACTGAAATTCAAAACAATCATTACTGTTAAATGTGAAGAAGTGAATTTCTTTTGGCATTCATGTGATATACCGATGAAATTCATCCCATTCTTCAATTGACCTATCAAAATAGCCCCATTGTCTGGTTCCTAATATATTGCTGGTATTATCCTATAATAGACACTGCCTCTCAAAATGAAGCATTCTAATCCACCCCCACCTTATTACCCTTGACCATGAACGCTGATGATTTTCTGAACACCCATATTCTACTCATTAAACAATTCATAATTTATATTCTCCACTTGAATCCAAATGCAAAACCCGAAACCCTCAACGAATGGCCAAGTAACCTTCTCCACCTTCATCCCACTGCCCATACCAGAGAAATAGAACAGATTCTGTTATTGCTGTCGAAGTGATTCCTATATTTTCGGATTTCAACTACTTTATACAATGTTAGCAATGAGCCAAAGTATTCTGCTCTTAATTATTATGGCAACTCCTTGAAGTAATGTTTCAACACCTTCCTTGACAAGTAACCTCTCTATGCTGTCACTATTGCTGCTCGTATCTATATGTATATAAACATGCAATTACATCCTACAGAAGGGAATCTTGAAATTATCCCAAAAGTGAGTTGTACTTGTAATTTAGTAATCCCTCATCAAATCTCAATTGAGAAGGATTTGTTACAATATTGTACTTCTGATTGAACTCACTCACAGTTTTTCCATATTTATCTTAAAACATAATAATATATTTATCATAATCAATAATCTTTTTTTATATTCATTCAATCACCAAACCAATGTACAATTCAAATCTCATGTTCTTGATATCTTCCTGTCCTTCTCTATAGACTTCGAACTCTGTCTTGTAGGTTCTCTTGCCTCCCCATTCTTCTGGCTTTATCTAATGCAGAGCACTCCAAGTTTGTTTAACAATCTCAGGTATGGGTCCTGGTCCTCCTTCAAACTTGGCATAACTGGAGTCTTCCACTTCATAGACTTCCATGCCTTCAGGAACAACTCCAACGTCTGTCACCACTTCACCTACTAGTATGTAATAGTTGAATTGAGATCTATCCTAGAAATCTTTGAAATCATAGTAAAGACAATAGGTTCTTCCAGGATGGGCTCTATGTTGGATCTTTTCATTCAGTTTGTTAGAAAAAAACTCCTTATAAGTTTGGCTAAAAGTGTTGTTCTATTGATCAGTCTCTTTTGCCAAGTAGATTCTCCTTCTTAGACCAACCACTTTGAATTTGGGTATGTGTACTATTTCTTTTTGAGGGATAGGATTCATTGTTAAATTTAATTGTGTTGTTTAATGAATATAATTAAGTTTATAAATTTAATTCAATGCGTAAATAGATTGAATTCTGACAGGAATATGACTCAATTTATAATAATAATATATTAATAATAATTAATTCTCATTTTTATAAGATTTTTCGATGAGAATTGAATTGTTCTCTATCCTAGACTTGACTGTGTCTTTCAGTAAAGAAATTGTTTCGTTTGCTAGCTTAATAGATTATATGATAAATATATTACAAATTTCCTCTTCTTGAGGTTCTTCATTCAATCCTTAGAGATTTAACTTAAAATCAAACTTTTTCTTCATTGTTTATTAAGCAAATTAGATGTATTTCTTAACAATTTCATCAGCTTTCTAAGTGGTTTATTTATTGATGTGTTATGATTTAGTGCCCAACTCACTGATTATTTTTTTGGAATTGGATGATTTAGCTTTGGTACTCACTAATTTTTGATTTTATTATGAATTATACTATGATGGAATCATATATTTAAATTCAACTTTCTATTTACTTTCCACAGTGTTCAACCCCTTGATTTAATCATGAATCTTCAGCATGAGATCCTCAGAAATCGGAGGAGGTCTTTTGTAAGTCCTATCAGTCAAGCAACCACCCTTGGCAATTTTATCAATTTAATTAGTTGTAATTTTCTTGGGCAAAGGTTAATATACTTTTTTGAGTGCTTCTTGTTTAGTTGATGTACTACTATGCATACTCCCATTATTATTATTATGATCTTATCTTAAACTTTTTTATTAACCTTAAAATCCTTGAACGGAAGTACTCATCGGTAGCTAATCGGAAGAGACTGCACTCCTCAATTGCTTCATCTTCTGATATTCCTTCAACATTCTCTAGATGGTTTATGAATCACTCTGCATTCTAGTTAGTTTGGGCTTAGCATCAAAATCATTAAATTAATCGATCCCCTTGCCCAATTCCAAGGGTTCCTCGTTATTCTGCTTGATATTCGATGAAATCTTTGATTCGCTTTTCGAATTCGTCCCTATAATAGACTGTGTTATACCTTTCTTACAACTTTCTGCTTGTTTGCGCTGCTTGATGCTCTTAGAATAAGTGGATTGCTTCTTGCGTTTCCCATACATCTGATTCACTTGCACAATGCACTCCTTCAAAGTAATGTCAGATTGTTCTGATTGATTTAATTGTTAGAGATTTCTGATGATCTGCAATCCCCTTAAATCGAAGCCTTGCTTGTTGGTTTCTTGAGTGGCTTCCTCGTAGATGTCATGTTCCTGAGTTTCGAAACTGATGTTGTCCGTCGATTTCGAATTCAATACCTGCCTACTCATCCCTTGCTAATGACTCTATTCGCGATCCTTCTGATAAAACAATTTATCATATCTATTGTTGCGCTTATTCATGATCTTATGAGCCTCAGTCACACACAAGTTCGGATGCATATGCTTGTAATTCTGAGTGTAGAAGTCTATAAGAATGTCCATGCGTGGCCCAACCTCTTCCTTGCTGTAGAATCTTGTAATATAACATTACCAACACCACATACCTTTTCAAATATTCCATCCGCTCATCTAAGATTACATAATCCTTAAAATATATTACATGCGAGGCGTGAGGGATCTAAGCTATGATTTCGTTGATAGGCTTTGCAAAGTAGAAATTAAAAGCTTCAAAGTACTTCTCCTCCAGGTAGTCTCTCATCTTTCTGCGTGCTCCAATTTTGCATAAATCACAACTCTTCATTTTATTAAATAATTCATATAAAATCAAGAGTCTCTGAATTAATTTTTGAAATAAGCCAATTCAATATATATATCACTTCTACAACAAAAACATTTCTAGCTTTTTATTATCCTGGGCTATCACTCGAATCTATCATAATTTAATAATAATGACATACCCTATCTTCCAGATCCTTGATCTCCTCTTCATAGTCCACATCCTTTAGTAACCCTCTCAGCTTTGAGTTCTCTTCTTCCAAGAGTTTAATCTATTAAATAACACTTATTCTAATACATTTTCGAATACTTTATCTCTACTACTATCACTTTGCTGCTGATGTCTCTTGCTCACCTTCTCATCATAATTTGCTGTATCATATTTAAATCTATATTAGACTTCTTCATGCTTCAATTTTTAATATGCAATCTAATGTTATTGCACTTCTAACTAGAGTTGTTCAATATTTTAATCAATTTTCATTCCTTCTTAAATCTATTAATTCAATTTCTCATTCTCAATTATCAGTCCAGTTATTTTATCTTCCAGATCCATAACCAAATTCTCTATCTTATTTTCTTGATTCATCTGCTCCATTTCATTCAATTTCTGACAATCGAATTACTCGAACTGTTTTAACAAGTTTTCGTATTGACTCTCTAATTCCTCTAATTGTTTGGATTGGAGGTCCTTTTCTTTTCTGAGTTATTCAACATTGCTAATTTTTATTAGTTGTTAATTATCTTAATTTAATTTTTCGTTTAATTTTGAAAGCATTAAAATTTTGTTTTCTAATTCCTTAATGAATTGAGTACTGTTTCCTCTTTAAATATTAGACTCTAGTTGAAATATTTATTATTATAGTGCATGATTCTGATTCTTTAGAATTTGAACATCCGACTCTAATTTTTGAGTTGTTGTATGAGACACATTTTAACTAAAAGGTTATTGAGAAACTCCTCTAAATTACATGTTGGGTTTAGTAATTGGAGAATTGGGTTAAAAGTGCTTCTAACTATAGTTCTTCTACAAAGGTGAAGTAATCTATTGCTATTATTATTATTATATTTGAAATTGAGTATTTCTGCGAAGTGGGGCAGGACTCATGAAAATTGTATTATTTTCATTAAGTCTGCTTGCATTGTTAATACTAGGTTAATCTATAGCTTGATTCTACTATTTGACCTTGAATTGGACATTATAATTTTGATTATTCTTATAATCACTATTTAGTGTAATAGCAGTTTTGAATTATTTATGTTTAGGCGTAGTACCGCAATTATCTAGATCTTAATTAAAATCAATTTGAGATAATGGTTATCTGGTTGCTTTAATTTGTGTATTCATAACTGTTAAATTATATATTTATATAAACAAAATTGTTAGTAGCATATCAACCAAATGATTGATCTAAAGCTTCTTTTTTTTTGGTCAATTCTTGAACCTGCAATTCCAATTGTTGTATTCTAGAGACTAATTGTTTTTTCTCTTCCAAAAAGAGTTTCTTATCTTCATGGAATTGCCTCTTCTCCTCCTCATATCTCTTAAAGCGTTCACGTACTTTTTGCTGTATTTATTACAACTACACTTTAAATTGATTTTAAGGACCGAAATCAGAAGTTTGACTTGAGATGGATTAGCAGAGTAAGAATTCTTTATGCTCAGTATTTTATTTGCGTGTAATTGAAATCTCACTTTTCTGTGGAGTCACTGAGTTTCTGGCCATGTTGTTTATGCTGGGTTCATTAAGACTTTTTCGACTTTATATAGTTTTAGTGATAGAAGGCGATTTACTCTGCATGTATGAATTTAGAAGAGTTTGGAATTATTTGAGTCGATTGTCCTAGTTATTCAATCTCACACAAGGATTGCTTTATTGCTCTCGACATTGAATCTTATTCACCGCTCGTTTAATATTCTAAGGGGATAAACAGTGATATATAGATCCTGACTTAGGTTACGATTACATTATTAAATATTAATTATCATATTGATAATTCCTACTCTCTATTCAACATTTAATATATAATTTCTACACTACAATTAATCAACCATAGAATTCCATCATCTTCAATGACACTATCGCAGTTTCCCTCACTATCTAATCAGGACTCTTAGCATACGCATTCAAAATCTCCAGTGTAATTTCTTTATTCGAACTCACAGTTTAGAATGCAGCAATAGCCTCATGACGAGCAATTGCTGGCTGATTCTCATCCTTTATCATATTAATCAAAGCCTCATGTATTTATTTTGGTGCTTCTCCTACCTAACCAATCACAAAACAAATCTAAATTATAATTCAATTCTAATCTACCTCATGTTTAAACAATGCTCCAAGTTTGTTGCTGATTAATAATTGGTCAATTTTATCAAAATAAGTATCAGCATTATTTCTCAAATAATAAAGTGCTCTATATTTATTAAACAGAGTTGTCTATTCATCCAAAATGTATTCCACTGGATTCTTCTCCAAATGCTCAAATGGAGCAGCGGGTTCTCTTGTCCCGAGGTACTTTAACCCATATAAATGCCCTAAATCATTAATTGACTTGGCTTTCTCTAACCCTATTGTACACGTATCTTGTAAGATATTGAGATCATCATTGACATTCTTCTTGGAATATTTCTCAAATATCTCCAAAGCTTCCTTTTAATTGATGTTTGCCAAAGCCTCAGCAGCTTCATGTCTAACTACATCAAATTGTTGATCATCACAAATTATTTAAATGAGAAATTAAGTGATTAATGATTCCAAACCTAAATCTGCTTACCCTAATGCATAGGCTATCTCATGTAATAGTAAACATGACTTATTCTCTACTTTATTCAGATGATGGAAACCCTATTTCAGGAGTTCCACTGCTTCCTTATTGTTAATGGTTCTCAATTCAAAAATTGCAGTGTATATCTAATCGACTGTGGAATTAGCATTGATAATGATTTCATAAAATTTTTGTGGTGATTTTTCCATTGTTATTAATAAAAATTATTATCAATAATTATATCTTCTCAAATTCAACAAACTTCTTGATTTCGTATCCTGTAGTTCATCTTTCAGAGATCTCAACAGCATTATTCGTTATGAAAATTGCTACTCCTCAATTCTAATCACTCTTTCCAACTCCTAAGAAATCTATACTCATATTATTCATTTCCTTACATCTTCTTTCTGATTTTTACTCTATTCACTCAATAATTATGATTATTCTAAATTTCTACTCAACATATCAGCCTCGATCAAGACTTCTTAATGAGCCTTCTTAACATGGTCTAAATCTTATTTCAACTTAGATATCGTTCTATTTAGTTATTGATTTTGAGTCTGCAGTTATTAATTAGCCTATGACAATTCATTCACTGCTGAATTATTTTGGAATGAAGCATTTGGTTGCTATTGGCTGATGTAATTCAAAGCCTCTTAATATTGTCTTCTTGTGTGTCTCAATTCTTAAGTCTTCTATGCCAATTCCTCCTTAATCTTATTTATTTCAAAAAATCATTACCTAAGCAAATTAGCTCTTGGTTGCATCTGTTTGCTTACTTAAGGACAAGAAGTCTTTGGATATGCTATCATACTCCTGTTTTATTCTAAACTAATACAAATTTGATACTATTTGATTTTGTCCTTTAATCCCTTCACTTCTTCATCTAATTATGTTTTCTCACTATTTAATTTGTTAATCGCAAGGTTTTCATCTGCGATTATTTTGTTTGGCTACTTCTATTATTCCTCATTCTCTACAAGCTCATCCTCCAATTCTTAAACTTATTATTTCAAATTTTCTATCTCCTTCTGTTATATCTTCACCATCTTCTGATATTACTCAATCTATGTTTTCAACTATTACTCACTTATTTATTTTTAATCCTTCAAATTATTATATCTTTCATCATATCAATACAATTTACCTTGCCTCTAATTGAGTCAGATGTTGAGAGATATCTTTAAATCGTTTTTCCCTTTCTCTGCATTCCTATAGCTCCAACTTTAGTTGCTTGATCTCTTCATCCTTATCCATAACTTGATGATCTTAACCTTAATCCATTAAATATATTATTATTAGTTTTTAAAATTTTCACAATTATTTGATTTTCATTAATTAAGTTATCGAAACTAGTTTGGAGGGATTATTTGGATCTTATTCATTTTATCATTTTTTATTGGAGATCTAGAAAACCTAAAATGCCTTGAACATATATTATTCATTTATGATTTCAATTTATTTGCAAATACAAATCTGAAATAATAAACTATTATTATAATTACATTGGCATTCCTAGTTATTTCAGGTTCAAGATAATTCTACTCCATCATTCATTTTAATATTGAAAATCTAAAAGGAAGTTTTTATAACAATTTCAAAATTACATTAATACATGTAAGATCAACAAACTTTAAAGATACTACAGTTAATATTTCAATAAAAATTATGGACTAAAAATAAATCTTGCCAATCAATTAAATAAACAAAGAAATATATATTAGAATTTGATTATTAAAATAATTTCAAAAGCTTATATTCTAGATATGAATTCTTTTTTATATGATCCTTTAAAGGTAAACAGTCAAAAGAATTTAAATTATAATAATACCCATTTAATTAGCAATAAATTTATTCTCAATTTGTTAACGTTGTCGCAGGATTTAGTAAATGACCTAATTAATAATGTATGCTATATGGTATGATTAGGTCTTTCATGATAACATGTGAATATATAAGTGCAATAATCTAAGTATTATGAACACATTCTCAAATATATGTTAATATCATAAAAATATATAATTTGAAAATCAACTTAATTAATTATTAAATGTATTGGGATAAAAAGATATTATATTCTATTTGAACAAACATGATAATCTATTGTTTATTATAATTATGTAGATGAAAATTTTATCTTTTACATGCTTAATATTCTTGAGTTTTACTTATTAAGTGAAATATGAAAATAAATGCAGTGATTGCAGTTAGCTGAAATCACAAAGAGATTGCGAATAATAATAAAGTATAAATGGAAATTGTGAGTGGATAATTGCTTAAGGAAGTACAGCAGCAAAATGCTAACTTGTAAATAAAGTAAACTAAAAATACACGCCATATTGTGAGCTTGTAGATAAGCCAGAAATAAACTGTGCTAAAACATTAGGATGTGCTTATGTTGACTCAAAATGCACACATTTTACAGGATGCCAAGCATATGTTAAAACTACAACAACAGACTGCTAGGCTATATCCAATTTTTGTGTTAGTGATGGAAATGCATGTATCGAAACTAAAGTGTGTAAGGCTTACACATTATAATAATGTGAATCTACTCCAAGTATCTCAGGAATCTTGAAATGTAAATGGGATACAACTGCTGGAAATTGCAGAGATTATACGTGTGTAGAAGCAAATGCTACCTTAAATACAGATGAAAAATGTTCAAGCTGGTTAGCTGGTTGCGTTACCAATGGTTAAGGTTGCGTTAATGCTCCAAAACCTGCATGTTCTACTTACACAGAAAAAGGTGCTGCTTGTTACTTTTTGATTGGTTCGGATGGATATTGTGAATTGGCAGCTGGTAACACTAAATGCATAGCTAAATAATGTACAAATGCTCCCAAATCATTATCTACTGATAATGACTGTTAGATCTATTAAATAGGATGTATCACAACAGGAAAGGGTTGTATTTTTGCAACATCAAAACCATTATGTTCAACCTATTTTGGTGATAANTATATTATTCATTTATGATTTCAATTTATTTGCAAATACAAATCTGAAATAATAAACTATTATTATAATTACATTGGCATTCCTAGTTATTTCAGGTTCAAGATAATTCTACTCCATCATTCATTTTAATATTGAAAATCTAAAAGGAAGTTTTTATAACAATTTCAAAATTACATTAATACATGTAAGATCAACAAACTTTAAAGATACTACAGTTAATATTTCAATAAAAATTATGGACTAAAAATAAATCTTGCCAATCAATTAAATAAACAAAGAAATATATATTAGAATTTGATTATTAAAATAATTTCAAAAGCTTATATTCTAGATATGAATTCTTTTTTATATGATCCTTTAAAGGTAAACAGTCAAAAGAATTTAAATTATAATAATACCCATTTAATTAGCAATAAATTTATTCTCAATTTGTTAACGTTGTCGCAGGATTTAGTAAATGACCTAATTAATAATGTATGCTATATGGTATGATTAGGTCTTTCATGATAACATGTGAATATATAAGTGCAATAATCTAAGTATTATGAACACATTCTCAAATATATGTTAATATCATAAAAATATATAATTTGAAAATCAACTTAATTAATTATTAAATGTATTGGGATAAAAAGATATTATATTCTATTTGAACAAACATGATAATCTATTGTTTATTATAATTATGTAGATGAAAATTTTATCTTTTACATGCTTAATATTCTTGAGTTTTACTTATTAAGTGAAATATGAAAATAAATGCAGTGATTGCAGTTAGCTGAAATCACAAAGAGATTGCGAATAATAATAAAGTATAAATGGAAATTGTGAGTGGATAATTGCTTAAGGAAGTACAGCAGCAAAATGCTAACTTGTAAATAAAGTAAACTAAAAATACACGCCATATTGTGAGCTTGTAGATAAGCCAGAAATAAACTGTGCTAAAACATTAGGATGTGCTTATGTTGACTCAAAATGCACACATTTTACAGGATGCCAAGCATATGTTAAAACTACAACAACAGACTGCTAGGCTATATCCAATTTTTGTGTTAGTGATGGAAATGCATGTATCGAAACTAAAGTGTGTAAGGCTTACACATTATAATAATGTGAATCTACTCCAAGTATCTCAGGAATCTTGAAATGTAAATGGGATACAACTGCTGGAAATTGCAGAGATTATACGTGTGTAGAAGCAAATGCTACCTTAAATACAGATGAAAAATGTTCAAGCTGGTTAGCTGGTTGCGTTACCAATGGTTAAGGTTGCGTTAATGCTCCAAAACCTGCATGTTCTACTTACACAGAAAAAGGTGCTGCTTGTTACTTTTTGATTGGTTCGGATGGATATTGTGAATTGGCAGCTGGTAACACTAAATGCATAGCTAAATAATGTACAAATGCTCCCAAATCATTATCTACTGATAATGACTGTTAGATCTATTAAATAGGATGTATCACAACAGGAAAGGGTTGTATTTTTGCAACATCAAAACCATTATGTTCAACCTATTTTGGTGATAACACCACTTGTGTCGGATATATTGGATCAGATGGAGTTTGTGAAGGCGACGCAGGAGGTACTAAATGCAGACTTAGAAAATGCGAAATTTGGACATATAATACTGATGAACTTTGTAAATAAAACCAAAGTAATTGTATTACAAACGGAAAAACATGCGTTTCAGCATTATCAGCTTGTGATACATATAAAGGAACAGCCACTACTTGTGCTGTATATATTGGTACTGATGGATATTGTAAAGGAACTAGTGCAACTAATGAAGCATCATGCTCACCAAAGGTTTGTGAAGAAGCTCCAGATACAGATACAACAGATGATGCATGTGCCAAATATTAAGTTGGATGTATTACTACAGGATAAGGATGTGTTACTAAGGCTAATTTGAAATCCTGTACTACTTATGATGGAGATACCACAAGTTGCTAATCTAGAGTAGGAACTGAAGGAAAATGTACATGGAAGAGTGGAACCAAATGTGTTGCTAGAGATTGTGCTTCTGCCGCTAGTAATGTAAATACTAACCCACTTTGTGCCAATTATTTCACTAATTGTGTTACAACAGGATCTGGATGTGTTTCATAAACTACTTGTGATTTAACTGTCAAATAATAAAGTTGTGAAGGTACTAATAATTGTTCATGGTAACCAATTTGTACTAGTAATACATAATGCAGTGANTTTACATGCTTAATATTCTTGAGTTTTACTTATTAAGTGAAATATGAAAATAAATGCAGTGATTGCAGTTAGCTGAAATCACAAAGAGATTGCGAATAATAATAAAGTATAAATGGAAATTGTGAGTGGATAATTGCTTAAGGAAGTACAGCAGCAAAATGCTAACTTGTAAATAAAGTAAACTAAAAATACACGCCATATTGTGAGCTTGTAGATAAGCCAGAAATAAACTGTGCTAAAACATTAGGATGTGCTTATGTTGACTCAAAATGCACACATTTTACAGGATGCCAAGCATATGTTAAAACTACAACAACAGACTGCTAGGCTATATCCAATTTTTGTGTTAGTGATGGAAATGCATGTATCGAAACTAAAGTGTGTAAGGCTTACACATTATAATAATGTGAATCTACTCCAAGTATCTCAGGAATCTTGAAATGTAAATGGGATACAACTGCTGGAAATTGCAGAGATTATACGTGTGTAGAAGCAAATGCTACCTTAAATACAGATGAAAAATGTTCAAGCTGGTTAGCTGGTTGCGTTACCAATGGTTAAGGTTGCGTTAATGCTCCAAAACCTGCATGTTCTACTTACACAGAAAAAGGTGCTGCTTGTTACTTTTTGATTGGTTCGGATGGATATTGTGAATTGGCAGCTGGTAACACTAAATGCATAGCTAAATAATGTACAAATGCTCCCAAATCATTATCTACTGATAATGACTGTTAGATCTATTAAATAGGATGTATCACAACAGGAAAGGGTTGTATTTTTGCAACATCAAAACCATTATGTTCAACCTATTTTGGTGATAACACCACTTGTGTCGGATATATTGGATCAGATGGAGTTTGTGAAGGCGACGCAGGAGGTACTAAATGCAGACTTAGAAAATGCGAAATTTGGACATATAATACTGATGAACTTTGTAAATAAAACCAAAGTAATTGTATTACAAACGGAAAAACATGCGTTTCAGCATTATCAGCTTGTGATACATATAAAGGAACAGCCACTACTTGTGCTGTATATATTGGTACTGATGGATATTGTAAAGGAACTAGTGCAACTAATGAAGCATCATGCTCACCAAAGGTTTGTGAAGAAGCTCCAGATACAGATACAACAGATGATGCATGTGCCAAATATTAAGTTGGATGTATTACTACAGGATAAGGATGTGTTACTAAGGCTAATTTGAAATCCTGTACTACTTATGATGGAGATACCACAAGTTGCTAATCTAGAGTAGGAACTGAAGGAAAATGTACATGGAAGAGTGGAACCAAATGTGTTGCTAGAGATTGTGCTTCTGCCGCTAGTAATGTAAATACTAACCCACTTTGTGCCAATTATTTCACTAATTGTGTTACAACAGGATCTGGATGTGTTTCATAAACTACTTGTGATTTAACTGTCAAATAATAAAGTTGTGAAGGTACTAATAATTGTTCATGGTAACCAATTTGTACTAGTAATACATAATGCAGTGATTTTAAGAAAAAATCAATTTGTTTAGCAAACTAAGCTAGAATCAAAACATAAGATGGAGTAGATGATTAAGGAAATCCAAAATACATTTATGTAACAGGAAAATGTGGTTGGTTGAATAATGCTTGCAAAGATTTGGCTTGTTCAGATTTAACAGGAGCGTATTACAATACTGATGCAAATTGTGCAGCAGAACTATCAACCTGTATTAGTAATAGAGTTGATGCTTGCATAACCAAATATGACTGTAGCAAACTTCTTGGAACATAATCAACATGCTTAAGTTGTCCAGGATATTGTACTAATGAATCAACAGCTACAGATACAACTCCTTGTGTGTCCAGAAAGTGCGCAGATAATACTGATGCAACAGATAATTCTACATGTGCTACTTTCTTATCAGGATGTATTAGTAATGGAAAAGGTTGTGTTGATTACAATACTCCGTGCACGTCAATGAAAGGAACTTAAGACACTTGCATCAAGCTATTTGCTTATAAAAGTGGATCTGCTGATAACTTTACAACAAATTAATGCTACAATAGTGCAAGTGCCACAGATGGTGATTATTGCTAAGTGAAAACTTGCAAATCGGCTGAAAACTAGAATGAGAATACATGTGAATCATTCTTAGATGGGTGTGTCTATAATGGCAATGGAGGGTGTGTTGATCCCTAAGCTGAAGATACAATATGTCAAAGTTACACAGGTGTTGAGGCATTCTGCGAATCTGCAATTATAAGAAATAATAGCAAAAAGTATTGTTTTGGAACATCAACATTAGGAACTTGCAAAACAAGAGAATGTACAGATAATACAACAGCCACAAAAGACGAAGATTGTGAGGCTTTTATGTCAGGATGCATAGCAAAATTTGAAGGAGGTTGTATTGCTAAATCTGCAAGATCCTGCTCTTAATAAAATGGAAATGTTGATACTTGTTCTAATTTGAGTGGCGGATTATTAGTTTCATCAGAATGGATAAAGATTGGATGCACATAATATGATATCTGCTAAAATAGATAATGCGCAGACTTAGCAAATCCTTATTCAGATTTGGATTGCACATCTTATAAATCAACTTGTAGATTCTTTAAATTAGGATTTCCGTGCTTAGATGCAGCTGTATGTGCTGCTTATATAACCCCTGATACTGCAATAACTGATTAATAAAAGTTTGATTATTGTACAACTATCAAAGATAGGAATGGACTATTTTGTGGTTGGGTCTAAGGAACAACGTGTGCGGTTAGAACTTGTGATTAATTCTTGAGCACATATTCTACTTCATTAACATGTTTTACTTATTTATAAAAGGGTATTTCAAGTGCAACAGCTGATACATGTAAATTAGCAGGAACATTCTGTTATTTACCAGAGAGAGAAGCTTGTAATTATCCATTCCCCATTGGAATGGATACAGATGTTAAAAAATTAGCACAATGTTAGAAATATGTGAATTAATTTGGAGTAGTTTGCTCATTTAAGCCAGGTGATGCAACTTGTACTTATCAAGACGAATGTGAAAAACTAGTTTCTTAAACATCTGCTTAAGCCTGTAATGATGTTTTAGGTTACTTTAATGGCATATGCTAAAAAGTGAGTAACACAGGTTGCTTATCAACTGTTGCTAGTTGCGGAAGTTATAACTTAGATTCATCACTAAGTGATGCTAATAAAAAGACAGCTTGTGAATCTTTAAAAGTTGTTAATGATGTAGCTAAATTCGGTTTAGGAACTGCAACATATACAGGATGTACATGGTCAACTGGTAATACATGCACTGCATTCACTTGTGCTACTATCTCCTCAGCTACAAGTTAAAAAGATTGCGACAGCAAAACAGTAGGATGTTATTACTATTCAGGAAAATGTTATGCACCAGTTTTCACTTGTCCATCAAGTTTCCCAGCTGATTTAGACACAGATACAAAAAAGGCACTGTATTGTAAATCAATGTTCAAATTGGCTGACTCATTTTGTGAAATAAAACGTGATGGTACAGGTTGCCAAACTGGATCAGTTACTGCTTGTGCTTCTGTAGCAATAGCTGTATCTTGGACTCTAGCTAATTTTGATGGAGCTACTCCAACAACTGATGCATTTTGTATTACACAATCTATTAAAGACAAATCGAGATATTGTATCAAAGATGACGCAACCAAGTGTAAAGATGGTGTTTGTGAAAACATTCCAAACCCAATTAGTTAAAATGATTGTGATATACATTTACTTGGATGTGTATTTTTTGCGAGTAAATGTAGAACACCTTTTGGTGTTGTTTCTGTTGCTGGAGACTGTGCCAATCTAGCTAAAGTTCCTTTTAGTGATGTTGCAAGTTTGACAGCTAGTGCTAAAACTGCATATTGCTAAATCTTTTCAAAAGATGGAGCAAGTGTATTCTGCACATACGATGAATTTCATGTAGTACTTTAAACAGCTTGTGTAGCTGCAGAAGCCTGTGATTCATATACATCATTGCCCGCTAATGATTCAACTAGATTACCTTATTGCTTGAGTAAAATAAATTCCAGTGGTAAAAAATGTGGATTTACAACTGGAGCCACTAGATGCAGAGATTTTGATTGTTAAGATATTTAAAGTCCAACTTCTTAAGTTGATTGTGACCTCTAAGCAAATGGATTAAAATGCGTTTATTATAGAGGAACTTGTGTAAATGATGATAATACTTGTGTATAGATCCTAGCAATTGGAAAAACATCAAATGATAAAAGATCATACTGTGCAAATTTATCAGTTATTGATATATGTACTTATGTTACTGGTGCTAACTGTGTGAAGGAAAATGCATGCAATACATATGATGTGACAGATGCAACAGATAAAGTAGCAGCATGTCGAGCTTTAAATGATGGAATGAATAGATGCACCTATATTTTTGGAAACAACTGCGTTACTTTGGCTTAATGTTATTAGTATGACGGAACCACTGTAGTAACATTTGGACCAGCAGCCGGTTCAGAAGAGGAATAATGCAAAGCAGTTAAATCAACTGAAGGTTACCCATGCATGAAAGATACACATAAAAAATGCAAAGCCTAGGCTTGTACCGATAATGACGGCAGTGCTACAGATTGTGCTAATAATGCCCCAGGCTGTCTCTATTATGAAAATAAATGCATTACCAAAGATATTTGTGCAGCTTATACACCATAAGGTGCTGACGATGCAGCTAAATAAACATGGTGTGAAGGGGTTTTGAACTCATTTGGCGAATTATGTGCTTGGCACTCTGAAAGTAAAAAGTGTAAAGATAGAATGTGCAGTGATAAGTCATTCTAGACGGACTTTGATTGTCGAAGCTACCTCAAATCTTGCAAGACAAATGGTAATATATGTGTTAACTCGTCAACTGATTGCAATTTAAATAAAGGCTCTTCAGATTTTTGCAATTCCTTATTAGATGCAACAGGAAAAGATAGATGCAGACTATCTGCTGCTACTAGTATACAATAACAATGTACAAACAAACAATGCTATGACAATGTTACAGCAACATCTGATTCTGAATGTAATTCTTATATGAATGGATGTGTTACTCGTGGTAGAGGATGTATTCCAAATACAGAACAATGCACATCATACAGAGGAACTAAAATGTAATGTGAATAATTCAAAAGATACACTGGATTGGATGCTAATAAAAATCCAATTTATGAATATTGTTCTGGTGATGCTACTAATACTGCCATTGGAAAATGTAAAGTAAGAACTTGTGCTGATAACACTATAGCCACATCAGATACAGATTGTGCTGCTTATCTGAAAGGATGTATCACAAAGGGTACTGGATGTATTGATGCAACATCATCGTGCACTGGATTTAAAGGAGATTAAGCTACTTGTGCTAAATTCATGGGAAGTTCAGGAAAAGATTATTGCTGGAACACCTCAGCTGCATTGGCTACAGCTACTTGTGCCAAGAAGAAGTGCAGTGATATAGCTGGTAAAAACAATAAGGATTGTAATGATGGCATGCCACCATTCAAGACTACAGATGATCCTTTCTGTGTCTTCGATGAAACTGGTTGTATTGATTATGGAAAGAATTGCAGTACCTTCAATGGAACTGAAGAAACATGCCCAACATATTTGGCTAAAGATGGACCATGCAAAGCTACTACAGTTGGAACAATCAAAGGAGCATGTGCTAAGAGAGTATGCACAGAAGCACCAAATACACTTGCAACAGATGCTGACTGTTAGAAATATCACAAAGATTGTTATACAACTGGTTAAGGATGTGCAACTAATAATTTATGCAGTAATATAATTAATAAATAATAATGTTAAGTAAAACCTGAATGTTCATGGGTTAAATATTGCACTGCTTAAATAATAAAATGTGAATCTTTGAATTCTACTAGTTACTCATAATGTGCTAATTCGAAAGTAAATGGTAAGTTCTGTCATTGGAATGAACAAGATTCAACTTGTAGATCTCAAACTTGTGAAGATTAACCAGCTACTTATGATTCTCACGCTCAATGTTAACATTTTGCAGATAATTGTACGACAACAGGAGCTGGTTGTATAACTATTTCCACATGCACTGCATATATTAAGAGATCTATTTGTAATGCTGCCTCGTACAGTAAAGATGGTTTAAAAAGATGCATCTGGGATAGCATACTAAAATCATGTAGAAGTCAAGAGTGTAGTGATATATCTGCATAAATTAATGCTGATTGTGATGCATTCGGGGAAGGTTGTAAATTAAATGGATAAAGATGTGTCCTTGGACTTTCATGCACTGAATTCACGAATTAATTGTTTTGTATTTCTTCCAAAAATGGACCTTGTCTTTGGATCTATGATTAATGTTACGATTATAAAAGATGTGAAGATGCAGGTAAAAAGACACATTTTGAGTGTTAAGCATTTTCACAAAAATGCACAACCAATGGAGACACATGTATTCCAATTACCAATTGTGCCAGCACAACATTGAAGGCATCATGCGTCGTCGGAACTGATGGAGCTTGCGGATGGTTACCAACTGGAAAATGCTAAAAGTTCGGATAATGCACAGATGCCGTTGCTGCCACCAACGATGAATGTCTCTCATATGGACCAACCTGTATTACTGATGGAACTGCTTGCATTGCAAAAGCAGCTTGTGCTACTTATAAAACATAAACGGCTTGCAATAATCTTGGAACTGATGGTATCTGCTATTGGAATGCCACTGCTAATACTTGTAAATTGAAGGAATGTGGAGATGAATAAAAGGGTACAAACGACTAATGCAAACTTATCTCAGTAACGGGAGGATCTTGCACAACGGATGGAACCAAATGTATCCCATTGGCTGTTTGCTCAAGCTATGTTGAAGCTGGTTGTTTCTATGGAACTAATGGAGAATGTATTTTTGCAATACCAATTGGAGCTACTACAGGGAGAAAGACTTGCAGATAAAAGCAATGTGAAGATATCACCGCAGGAACATCAAATGATAATTGTATGGGTGTTATTACAGGAAAGGCTTGTGTTTCCAATGGATCAAGTTGCATTGCCAAGGCTGCCTGCTCAACCTATAAGACCATCACATCTTGTAACGGAGGTGGTTTGGAAAATAATAAATCAACTGTTTGTGCTTTCACTCCTACTGGAACTGATAAAGTCAATGGAACATGCAAGACCTTTACAGCATGTGCTGATGCTGTGAAGGATAAATTTGCTTGCGCAAAAAATCCATCATGCCTTTGGATTGAAGATTCAACAGGAGCATCTTGTATTAATCATACATGTGAGACCTATGCCACAGAGGCTGGGTGTCTTAATATTCCAACCTTTGATGGCAATTCATAAACGGTGTGTTTTTTGTAAAATGGAAAATGTGTTTCTAGTGATCCCATTGAAATTACCGACCCAAGAATATGTTACTCTAAATCATATTACACACATACTTGGAATATATTAACCAGTAAATGTGAAAGTTGTATCTAAATCAAGAACCCTAATACATCTTAAACGACCGATTCTGTAAATTTCATTTTTTTCTTATCGCTCTGTCTATGGGTGGTATTAGTGTTAATTTGATGATCTTTATTTACATGTATTTCAATTAATATCATTTATTTATTTTCTATTACAACTAAAAGATTTTGCATTTGATTCAATTTATTCTTATATCTATACTTCTTTAATTTTTTTTCAAATTCTTTATTGAAATTATCTATTATGCTTCAATAGATACGATGAACGTGTATAAAATGTATCACAATTAAATCAGTTTCCTTTTACAAGTTAATCTTCTAACAACTTATTGTTCTACCCATAAATTTTTATGTATTTAAAAAAATACTTCAATGCATTGAATTAATAATTTGATTCATTCTGAAATGATTTAATCCCTTATTCTAAGGCTTTATTAAGATATTTCTTTCAACATTCAGAGTGAACAATTTAACAATATTCTATTATTTATGTTAAAAATAATTCAACGGTATTTTGATAAATGTTATAATGATTACATAACTTTATTATACTAAGTACTATTCTATGATCTGAGTGCTAAAATAAATTGTTAAATATTGAATGTAATTTAATAACATTTTAGAGCTAATATATATTAATATATACATAATAATTATATTAATCATTTTATTATTCTTTTCTAAATTTGGAAATTCAATCTTAGATTCAATTTCTTGAGGTTTATCAATAATTTTGTTTAGATCAAAATTTTCTTGAAAATTTCATATCAATTATTACCTTGCCGAACTAAGCTTGCTGAATTAAAGAGTTTTGTATGACAATTTAAGAATTTTGCTAGATTGTCTTTGCTATTTGTGTATTTAAATAATATGTGTATTCAAATAATATGTGTATTCAATAATATGTGTATTCATGTTTACCCCATAGACTAAAATTAATTGTTTCAACAAAACATTTGAGAAAAATAGTACCTAGAAAATCATTTCAAAAATAAAAAAAAGTAATTAAAGGATTAATAAACTTATTTATAAAGTATAATGATGTACAAAATCATTCAATTACATACATAATTACTTAATAATTAAAAGAATGTCTTTGCTTTTTGAAGGAAATTTGCTATATTCGAATGTATTTCGCCAATGTCCTATTAAATTTGAGTATAAATATTTGATGCTGTTCTGAATGTTGTCTTTTCTTTTGATATAAAAGGATTCATTTTGAGTCTTTTCATAAAATTTGAGTACTTTTTGAAAGACCGATTTCTAGTTTTACCAATTTTCGCTTTGTGGCTTGAATTTAAAGCTGTGATCTGGAAACTAATTTTTAGATAGAATATCCTGCATAAGGTATTTGAGTAATATGCTTGACATCCTGGATTGAAATTTATTAAATCTTTTGGATTCTTGAATAAAGAATGATCTAGATTTATCGACTTAAGAATATTGACTGCCCAATTTTATCAGGATAGTTTTCATCATTGGTTGACAGTAAGCTAAAGCCTTTTATTATAACCACTCTACTCAAATATTACTCTGTTAAGATAGTTTCAAAAATTCATAATTGATTTAAATGTTTATCTGAGTTTAGAAAAATCGGCTCTTATTTATTGCAAATAATTCTATTATTTCATAATTTAATGTAAATGTAAACTCCAGTTCCAATATCTTCGCTGTAATAATATTATTTGGTATAGTAACCAACTTTAAAGCAAAAGTAAATTGTTTCAGAATTAAACTTCTGTAAAACATGCAATTTTGCAAGATATTTGAAATTTTAACTGGAAAGGCTAAAAATCTATAAAATAGTTTCACGAGTATTCCGATTTTCTGAGTCAATAGTTCTCTTTTTCATTTGATGATGATTGATAATTTTCTAACTTAGGATATTGCTGCAATCTTGAGCAACGAAAAACAAATAGATTAAAAATTCATTGTAAATGTTTATATCAATCAATAAAATCTGTAATTTCATGCATTTTTTAGTGGTTTAAGCTACTTGGATTTTATCCCTACAACTTACTTAGTTAAATTAATTTTAAATCTCAAACCAAATGTTCTTTAAAAAGGAAGATTTGAGTTTGCAACTAATTATCTACTCTTATAAGTTCAATTAGAAATTATTCTACTTTGATGAATGTAGCTTTTGGATAAACTTAATAACTTGATGATTATGGCAAAAAGGAATATTTATCTATTACTGTAAATAAAATTAAATTTTTGCTCAATACTGGATAATGCTTTCATCCCCTGGACAAAATAAATTCTTAATTATCATTTGCTAATTATTTATTTCCTCTTCCAATTAGCCCTTAGCTTAACTGCATCCAAATCTGTGGGGAATTGCAAAGTGGTAGCTCCATAAAATGCATGTTGCAACAAGTGCCTAAGAATTTCATAATATGCATGCTGTGCTTTACTTTACTTTATTACATCAAACATTTGCACTTCAAATCTAAAATTCTTAATTGCTTCCGTTTTAAGAAAATAATTTGATGCTGTTATTGAAAATTTGATCAAAAATAAAGAAATGAAAATAACAAAAATGTTATAAATGTTAATTTTTTAAAATAATTTATTTCATATTCAAAATTTGTAAAATTCATCTAAGGTTAACTGAGACTATTATTCCATTTTTCATACCAAACATTAAATACCAATTTTAGACTTTCATTTTTCGTTTATCTTAATCATTTACATAATTCAATTTGTTTATTGTTTGTCAAAGAATTGCTCAATTAATATTTCTCAAATTTTACTTTAAATCATTACTTTGATTAAGTTAATTTTCACAAAAAAATTCAATATTAAAAATGCACACGTTTATTTACTTATTATCAATCGGCATGGTTAACAATTGAGTTCTTCCTTAATCAATGCGTCTCTCATTTTTCAGATTCATTCAAATCCTCCCTTTTCTCAGATTTTGTATTTAATATAATGAACTGAATAACAAGGCTTATAAAATATATATTAATTGTTTTCTTCTTGTATTGGTATAAAGAATGGTAGTTTTGGATTTAATTAACATTTGTTGAGTCTTCCTCAAAATCAATTGCTTTCTAATTTCAAAAGAATTATAAACAACCTCATGTACCAATTCTGAAACTCTTCATTATCTAGACACGGTTCCTTACAAATATGATCCTGGAAATTACGTTGAGTTACTAATAATCAAATTACCAAATCATAAAAATTGTAATGTTTCCCTAAAAGTTCTAAACCAAATTATTTGATGTGCATTAAGGAAAAAACTATTGAATGTTAGAATATTTATCTTAAATATTCCATAAGAAAGCTAAGAAACGTTACTTTACTTATGGAAACTTTGAAGATTTGGTTTTGCTCTATTAGAAGAACCTTTAAATTTTCATATAATGTAAAAGAAGGAAAATCAACACAAACTATTTGAACTATAAAAATCAGAAGAAAATTATTTATACAAGATCTTAGCCTTAAATTTTTTATAAAAAATACTATTTAGATACAAGAATCCATTGTTAAAGCCCTTACGACTTAGATATAATCTACCCAAAAATAAGTGGCTTCCCAAACCCCAAAATCTAAATCATTTAAAAAATAATAATGAAAATTTACTTCACCTAAAGCTTCCATCAGAAATCTGATGTTAAGGAAAACTTTTGTTAATCATTACTCTGTGGTGGGAATTTAATCATGCAAGAAAAATTTTCGAATCATCATGAATTCCAAAATCATAGCAAAAACTATTCATAGAGGAAGAATCTCTAAAAATAGCTCACATTATATTGATGGCAATCTAATTCAATGAATTTCACATTCTTTGACTAGAGAAGTATAAACAAGTCGTGTCATAACACTAACACACTTACCATCAAAGTCAATTCCTAGAATATATGCTATATTAAGCCTCTAACTCTCCAATACATTAAAAAGGGGTCCTCATTTTTTTTGTAAGAAATTAGGAATAAAAAATTGGACTCCTCATCAAGTAATTCTATCTATAACAATGAGGTAAAGGCTGGTTCTCGTTCAGGGGGAATCGTTACTGGAGTTAATAGTAGCTTTACTGTATTTGATGCTTTTGATTATTCAATTATCAATGCTCGAAATGAATATTTTGACATTATCATTTGTTATTTTACTTTCACTGTAAAGAGGAAAAATTTTTCTAAAATTGTATCTAGCCGTACAGATAATCTTAATCCATTTAGATAAGGATCAATTTCTAACGTTTAAATGCTCTTGGTTAGATTTCTAATAGATAATAATACAACCAATCTTAGCACCCATTAACATTGAAGATATTTAAGAGATTTGACAAAACATTGCATAAAAACAAAGCAATTGGTTATGATGGAGATTTAAGATATTTTTCTGAATCTATCAAAAATTACAGGTTATTACGTACCACTGGTAAGCTCAACTATGGAATCTAACTTTTTATGCTGTTAGGCTAGACTAATACTTTTAAATAAGGTTCTTCCTCAAATCCCTTCTAATACATAATTTAGAGCCATCACTCTACTGAGCTCTTTATTCAAATTTTAGAATTGCGTTTCCTCTCTCAATTATAAAATTTTGCGGTATTGAAATTATCTAATTAATAAATCTGATTCTTTCCAATTTTTCAACATAAATCCGCATTACTAATCTCTTCAATAAATTTAATTCTTTCAAAAGAATGATAAAATAAATTGCATCAATATTGATCATTCGAATGCGTCAACTGTGTCAATTGTACCTTACTTTTTTTAAAATTATTAGATAGGAAAAATTTAATATTTGTATGATATTGAGTTTCATTCAATTTTATATTCTAACTTATACTATAAGGATCCTACTTATAATTAAACTTATTATTTTGATAATGGAGTGCCTTAGTTTCTCCTCTCTCTCCTGTCTTATTTAATATTTATTTAGAAGATCTTTAGATAAGGTACCTATTGATAGCAACTTAAATTACTAAAGTTTTTAAATTGCTGATAACATTGCAACAATTATTCAGCATAAGGATTCTCTTGAGTACTTAAAAATACTTGTGGAATATTTTTGCTTCTCAATCATTTAAAGATCAATAAAAATACTTAGGTATACTAGTAGGCAACAATGAAAAAATTAGATAGCATCTTCATATATTAGTTAATCACAATAATTGGATGCTGAAATGGATATCTCAAGAATTTCTTGGAAATAAAAATTCAATCAATGGTAGACTTATATTATTCCCCATAGTTATATGATTTAAATGCAACATCTTCCTAAAAATATTAGAATATCTCAAAGGGGCTGGAAAAAATTTACAAAGGCAGTTATGGATTATAATTGAATTTTAAAACAAAGGATTTTGATTAAATCAAATTGATTGTCCTAATAATTTTACAGAATTATTCAAATTAAATCCCTAAATTTGTAAATAGCACAATTGTAACTTCTCATTTCCTCATATTATGATTTGTCATTCAAAATTATCTTAGTCAGAACTTCTAATCCAATTAGGAGACAAAAATGTTAAAAAAAATAGTTAGAAAAGAGATTAGAAAATATTATTACGAAGATTAAAACCTTTAGGAATTTAATTGTATATGTGTATTAATAATAATAACTACTCAAAACAACAATAATCATAATTTAAAAGCAAAAATTCTTCGTGGTGTTGTCAAAGTTAAAAATACTTAAGATTTTTTTGTCTAAGGCAAATGAAACCAGATTAAAGCCGCTATACAGATAACTCATAAAATTCTGTACCAACCAATAATGCCTAATTTACACCCCTTTGATATTAAAATTGCTGCGGAATGAATTTATATCAATAAGAAGTTGGTATATATACAGATTGGTTTGATTAATTTTATATAATTACTATATTCTTAAGATGCTTAAGATATAAAGAAATAAATCAAAAACAAATCTTATTTTTATAGAGTATTATATAGTAATTAAAAATAAAACATAGAATTCAATAACACAAAAAATAGATGAATTATTTTATTTTCTTAGGATTCCTTAACTATAAGCCCTTAATGATTTTTTTATTGTTAATCTTGGAACAATATACAGAATAAATCAGAGATATTGTTAGTTAGCAAAAAAAGAAGATGAAGTTTCAGAAACTTAGGATAAAAAAACGATAACAAAACTTAAATTGATAAAAAAGAAAAAGGTCTGGAATATGTATCGTTGGATAATACTGTAGCGATTATTTTTATTTTAAATATTATTCTAATATTTATTAAATTTTTGTAAACCAAGCTTTCGGTTGAAGCAGTTAAGATAGTCTTTTTAATATCATAATTTCTTTTATTATAACTTAGCAAATCATAAAGGTCTAAAGTATCAATTAGAAGAAAACTACCCTAAATACTCAAAACAAATAATGTATATAATAAGTTTCAGCAATAAAAACAATAAAGTAATGTGTGATTATTGTTAAAGATCAAACGAAATTCATTAAAATTTTTTAATTTATATAAGCTCTATAAGGAGTTTAATCGATCAGTTTTACTCCAACAAAAGTGGAATTCAGAACTTTTTCTAATATTTTGAATAACATTATAATTATTTAATTAATCACACATCATTTCACTCTAAATGATCTTATTAATTTCTTTTATCTCACTTTATAATACCTAAAAATTATAAAAGATTCTAAGTCCATCTTGTTTATTCTAGACCACTTAATCTCCTCTGAATGAAAATTTTATTTTTCACTCTTAATAATTCATTTTTATAATTAATTAATATTAATATATTTTATATACATTCTAGAAAAAAATTCAGATTATTTTGGAAAAGCATTTCATGCATTTACCTTTCAAAATTGAAGTTGAAATGTAATACAGTAAGAAGAAATCTAAATTACAACATGAGTTATTTTTAGAAGGAAAATAATTGATTTATCAATATAACTTTTTTTATTCTCAATCAATGTTTTTGACGCACAATTTCTTTATTAAAAAAGTCTAAATCATGATTTATTGAGTCTTCATCTTTTTCATAATTTTGGATCACTTAGTATTCAATTTTTTGAATTTTTTAACTTTTCTTCTTTGTTAAAGCAACATTAGATTACATCTCAATTTTATCTTTATTTACTTAAGACAAATCAATACTAAAGAATTAAGTAAAATATCAAAAAATTTGTTATTTGCTCATTTGATTTGTTTGGGTGCCTAAACTATAATAGAGTCACAAAATTGATTACAAACCCTTCAAGTAAAATATAGATGTATATTTTTATTGTTAAGGAATGTTCTCACAATCATCATTTAATCAAAATGAAATCAAAATTATTGATATTTTTAGAAATTCTTTCATTTTAACATCTCATACTAGTTTTTTAATCCATCAGTATCGATACATCTAGAGCAAATTTGCTAAAGTTAATGGAACATGCAAGACCTTCACAGCATGTGCTGATGCTACAAAAGATAAATTGGCTTGTACAACCAACCCAACATGTAAATGGACTGAAAACTCAGCAGGAACATCTTGTGCTAATCACACATGTGATACCTTTGCCACAGGGACTGATTGTCAACCTATTCCAAGTTTCGATGGAGCCTCTTCTACTGTTTGTGTTCTTTAAAGCGGAAAATGCGCTGCTGCTGATCCAGGAACCATGACCGATTCCAAGATTTGCTACACTAAATCAGCTTACACCTATAGTTGGAATGCCGCTACTAATAAATGTGAAAGTTGCATTGCAGGATCTGTCACTCCAAATAATTCAAATAGTACCAATAATGGAACAGATAATGGCACTACCACCGACAGTGCTTACATCTTGTCAGTTATTTCACTCGGTCTTTTGGGATTAATGGCATGATTTTGATTTTCATATTATATATAGGGAAAAATTTATTAATGAAAAAAATTAATTAATTAAATCTTTTAAGAAAACAGTTTTTTAATTAAATCAAATAAATAGTAAATATAGAATTAATTAAAATAGGATTTAGTTATTACAAACAAGAACTTCTTTAGACTGAAGTATAAATCTCTCATCAATTTTGAGGAAGAATTTCTTTATTCATTTACAAATCTTCTTGGAATTCTTCAGTAATCTTTAAAAAAACTTTAAATTCCTTAAAAATTAAGTTTAACCTGTTGTAAATTTTACCTGAATATTTAAGATCAAATATATTAATTTATTAAACTAATTTTGAAAGACAAAATAATTAAAGCATTCCTTTCATTATTGATTTAACAATCACTGCGAGACAGTCAAATAAGAAGGAAGGTGATAAGTTCACAAAATTTATACATAAAAATTGATTGGATTACATAATTGTTTCACCAACAGAAGAGTGACACATTGAAAACCTAAAGGAAAGATATGGGATAATGATTTGAAATTCCAATTAACGAAAAAATTCTTAGTGTAACAATTTTATGATTTTTTAGACTAGGTATTGCACTTTTAAAGTATGCTATTTAACTAAATGGTATCTCGTGTCCATTGGGATAATCTAAAACGCACCTACTCAACCAAGCTGAAATCGAAAAATTTCCCTTTATGATACTTTTCATAAAGGAATTCCTAAAATATTAAAAAAGGAAACATTACTTGTCATATTCCTCTTTAATATAAATTGATGATGTGTTTAGTTTTATTTTAATAATTATTAATGTAGATAATTTTATCTATATTTTTACTTATGATTATATTAATATCAATATTTATTAAAACATTCTCATTGATTTATGAAATGAATTTTAATTTTATTAGCAAAATTTTGTGAGTGTTCATTAAATATAATTAAAAATAATCAAAATAATATAATATTGTTTTAATTTCATAATTCAAAATTGACAGAAATTATCAATTGTGTATTATCATTGATAGAAATACCATATATTTATTTCATTCAAATAATTTTTATTTAAGAGAATTTTTCCATGAAATGATGTTATTCTAGAGTACATATATATTTATGACTAAAATGTAGATTAGGTTATTTAGTAGAACCAAGTATCTAATATTGTTGAAAATCATTTTGATTCGAAGATGTTGAAAAAAGGAAATCGATTCAAATCAATGCTTCAACTAATATTTTATACCTAATGAGATGCATTGCTTAATAAACAATCATTCAATAGAAAAAGGCAAAAATAAATATTATGAATGGCTATTTATTTTATTATTTATAATACGAATGGATCCTGATTTGCCACACATCCATTTTCATTGGCTTAATAAATTATTTCATCTTCTTTGATTTCCTGGTTGATTGCCCTTCAATCGAAAATTAAAGTTGCTTGTTGAAATTGTACTATCCTTCTTCAATTTGATTTGTTAACTCCCTTCATTCGGTACTAACTGGAGATTCTTAATCTTTGATTAATTAATTATCAGATTCAATAATATCATTATATTTATTATCTTGTATTTGATATTTAATAAATAATCATTGATTTATTAATTACATTATTCATATACCTTAATAGATGAATCATAACTATCCAAAGGAATTTACTGTTAAAAATACTATAATTAGTATAGCTAAGCCATTTGTAATTTGAGCTAATTATTGAATTCGATATGAAAAAGTGCAAAGACATTATATCGAACCCAAACCTTTTTATCATTCATCTATTTAGTTTGTTAACTTTTCTTATTGCTCATAAGATAATAATTTAAGTATTATAATTCAGAAATATTTTATGAAATCTCTCAAGATCTTACAAGGTATTTATTTACTTCCAATTAAACTATAAATGCTGTTTTTATTTTTTTTAATTAAGGTAATTCTTGCATAGCTTGATTTCAAATTTTTGGAGAAACTCCAAACATATCTAGCATTTCTTTACTTAATTATGGTAATTGGGTATCATCCGAGGTTTGAAATTTAATATAGATCCATTTATGACAGTTATTGAGAGAGATATTTACTTAAAGGTCAGCCGTTGTAATTTCTTGGATTTTCAGTTTCTTCATCTCTTCTATTGACTAATTGTTAAATAGGTTATATTCTTCAGTTTTAAGAACGATTGGCACTTAGAAACTAAATGTGATTAATTTACTAATCTATTAGCAAATAGTGAATGCTACAAAGCCTGGGATATGTATGGGAAAGGAGATGGAAGGTAAAAGTTGCTGTTAATGTATTTTAAAAATAAAATAATTAAAAATATTATGNATATAATTAAAAATAATCAAAATAATATAATATTGTTTTAATTTCATAATTCAAAATTGACAGAAATTATCAATTGTGTATTATCATTGATAGAAATACCATATATTTATTTCATTCAAATAATTTTTATTTAAGAGAATTTTTCCATGAAATGATGTTATTCTAGAGTACATATATATTTATGACTAAAATGTAGATTAGGTTATTTAGTAGAACCAAGTATCTAATATTGTTGAAAATCATTTTGATTCGAAGATGTTGAAAAAAGGAAATCGATTCAAATCAATGCTTCAACTAATATTTTATACCTAATGAGATGCATTGCTTAATAAACAATCATTCAATAGAAAAAGGCAAAAATAAATATTATGAATGGCTATTTATTTTATTATTTATAATACGAATGGATCCTGATTTGCCACACATCCATTTTCATTGGCTTAATAAATTATTTCATCTTCTTTGATTTCCTGGTTGATTGCCCTTCAATCGAAAATTAAAGTTGCTTGTTGAAATTGTACTATCCTTCTTCAATTTGATTTGTTAACTCCCTTCATTCGGTACTAACTGGAGATTCTTAATCTTTGATTAATTAATTATCAGATTCAATAATATCATTATATTTATTATCTTGTATTTGATATTTAATAAATAATCATTGATTTATTAATTACATTATTCATATACCTTAATAGATGAATCATAACTATCCAAAGGAATTTACTGTTAAAAATACTATAATTAGTATAGCTAAGCCATTTGTAATTTGAGCTAATTATTGAATTCGATATGAAAAAGTGCAAAGACATTATATCGAACCCAAACCTTTTTATCATTCATCTATTTAGTTTGTTAACTTTTCTTATTGCTCATAAGATAATAATTTAAGTATTATAATTCAGAAATATTTTATGAAATCTCTCAAGATCTTACAAGGTATTTATTTACTTCCAATTAAACTATAAATGCTGTTTTTATTTTTTTTAATTAAGGTAATTCTTGCATAGCTTGATTTCAAATTTTTGGAGAAACTCCAAACATATCTAGCATTTCTTTACTTAATTATGGTAATTGGGTATCATCCGAGGTTTGAAATTTAATATAGATCCATTTATGACAGTTATTGAGAGAGATATTTACTTAAAGGTCAGCCGTTGTAATTTCTTGGATTTTCAGTTTCTTCATCTCTTCTATTGACTAATTGTTAAATAGGTTATATTCTTCAGTTTTAAGAACGATTGGCACTTAGAAACTAAATGTGATTAATTTACTAATCTATTAGCAAATAGTGAATGCTACAAAGCCTGGGATATGTATGGGAAAGGAGATGGAAGGTAAAAGTTGCTGTTAATGTATTTTAAAAATAAAATAATTAAAAATATTATGAAGACTCAATAAGCATATCTATCATTAGGATAGATGGCATTAAATTGCTTAATGAGTTAAAGAGAGTATAAATTAGTAAATTAGAAGAGAAATTCACTTTTAGTGTCGTTAGTTCAGCCAAAAAGGCTGAGAAATACATCCTAAATTGCTGAATTAGATGATATACCAAAGAAATAAAGAAGAAAAAGCTTTTAAGAGGGCAAGAGCTGTTAGAAATTGCTTAGATTAAATTGCCTATACCCTATAAATAATTGTTTATATCATATTAGTCAAAAACCAAAAATAGATAATAGGATTGTATTACGTAAGGCTGTAAAGAGGGCCTCAGTAATATTATCGACAGTGAAATACTGGAAAGACCGCTCTCAGTTGAAAATAGAAGTTCCTACTATGTTTAAATCAATGCATTAAAGGAATAGTTATGCAAGTGAACGAAATGCTATAACTAATCGCAGCACGAAGAGAAATGATCAGCATCCTGTTTTGTTAAATCAATTTAGAATTAGAAATAATGAAAAACTGATTTAGTATAGTCTTGATAAGACAGCAAAAAAAGCAAAATCTGCAAGTCACCATTTACCTAATTATAACTTGTTAAGTTATTCTTCAAGATATAGCATACAAAATGTGCACATTAGAATAAAATAATGATGATAAATTGAATTTATATAAATTTAGACTTATTTTTAATTTGTATTTTAAACCTCAACAAGAGTAATTATGAAAATTAAAACACATTGATACTTCTACATTTATTCTAAAAGATAAAGCAATCTTAAACAATGATTTTAAAATAATTGACTATAAGATTTTTTCTTTGTGTTTGGTAATTTTGTTCCAAAATTTATATTGGTTTTTCTACAAGAAATTTGTTATTTTATGTGATTTTTGTAATTAATAAGACTTTCTTTGATAATTTTCATAAATTTCAGAACAAAAAATAACTAAATAACAACATATTTTTCTTTTACAGTGTTTCATAAAGTGATTTTAATATATTTACTAACCATTCATGGTTAAATCAACTTTTTCAATTTTGATATTATTTGTTTTGATCTAGTTTTAATTGATTCATTCATGTTATTGAATTATTTTCTTGTAATAATTTTAATGGGTTTTAAACATAATGTTGTTTCTAAAGACATTCTAATTAACCAGGATTTATAATCAATGATTATTATATTGAATGTTTATTAATTTCAAAAATAAATAAATTCCATAAACTATCACTCTCAATCATCATCACTTGAACTTAAATCTTCATCGTTCTTTCGTTTTTCATGTTCTGTCATTGTTGGTGGAATCTATAATAATGGAGATTTTTGTAAAGGGGATTTATTGAATTAATCTTTTAATTACAGTTATTATCTTCTTTATTCTTCTAATAATTTTACTAAAATTTTAAATAACCATCTTACATCCTTCTTTGACTGATCTCACTTCATTCTAAAATTCAGTATTTATATTGAAGGTTCTTTGCTATGGCTATTGGGGTTGTACTAGTGATTTATTACTTTATACTCGATGAGGTGGTACTTAGACTTCGTTTACTTTTGGCAAGCATTTCTCTATAAACCTATGATTAAATTTTATTTGTTGATTACCTCTCCAAATCTTGATTAAATATTTTGGATTCTTAGATTCCTAAATAGTATTCATTGAAATCTAATTTGAAATGAAGGAATTTTAATCTATCTTCCTTTTTAAGTTTTTCTAGCAATTCAAACATTTAATCTCTATATTATTTCCTCAATTCCAATAAAGATTTTATAATGTCTTAATTTTTATTTTGAGTTTATCTCCCCAATGTTTATTGTTTGTTAAGTAAATTTTTCAATTATAATTGCTAATTATCAGTTTATGATATTTAATCCTTTGCAAAGCTTAAAAGCAACTCTTGGCAACTCTTAAATCTAAAAATATAATCAAATAATTTGAATAACAACTTTTATGTTAATTCTCCCTTTGTATTTAAGAATGATCTGTCTAATATATCTGATATGAATAGTTCATGTGTTTTGATTAAACTATCCAAATCCTAAATTTTATCTTATTCATCTATAAACTTTTTCCAAGAACTTTCTATTGCTTCCAACATGAGATAGCTATAAAAATTTTTGATAAAATGTTGCATCTCATTCATCATTTGGTAACTTAATTAAATTGCTTTTTTGATAGATTGGAATTGATTAGGAATTGCCATAAACTTTTGATGCATTTTCCAACATTAAGTTAAGGTAAATTCAACTCTTTTAATTCTCCATAAAAAATTGAAAATTCTATAATAAGATAACATAATCTTCTAATTAAAAATAGTATTCAAAGGTTCATCAATAGTATAATCCAAGCAGAAGATTTCCCAACCAGTATCATTTTAAGATGGCTCAAGGAGTTTTACATTCAATCTAACCTCCTATGAAATATTTTTGAATGCTGATTCCAAAATACTCAACAAAGTATGCCTATAACATTATTGAGCTGGCTTATTTAACTCAGTTTATAATAATTCCATCAATGTATGTATGAATTCTCCTTAACCCAATAATAAAAATCTTTTTATTGCATTAAGTGTAGTTTTAAAGTTTGGTTTGATTAATTAAATCAACTATTTGTTGTACTCCTTATTAACTTAGTCAACAAATAGAGAAAACTATTCTGTACCAAGTAAATCAATTGTTATTAAATCATAATTTTAATTGAATTGTGTGAATTTACACTATTTTCTAAGCCAATTAATAACTCTACCTGTATCAAATATTTTATAAGAATCATTTAAAGAAATCATATAAGGTATTTTATCTTGATTAACTTTGAATTCATTCTTCCATAACTCTCCGCTGTCTCTTATTTATACTTTATTAGTATCATTTCTTTCTATAAAGAACTCTTAGGCTTGATCACTTAAAGACCCATCGAAAATCCATTGATTTATAAATCTAACAATTGGTATTGTTGTTTAATGTAATATTCTAGAAAACAATTATGATGTTTATGGACAACCATGCTTTGAATATCTGCAGAGAATAGAAATTACTAAAGAAGATGTAGTACCCAATGAGACATTGGTCAAAATTTATGATAACACTAAATTAATTTAAACTAAATGGTGCATTGGCTGTTTCAACCACATATACATTTTCCTAAGTGTTAATGTAGATTCTGTTAGCAGATTTTCAAAATATGCAATCAATCTGTAATATTCATTTAATTCTTCTTTAATTGAATTCTGTAAAGCTTATAATACTAAACTATTATAATTATTTTGAGTAAATGCTTGTATTTTTTTGAACAGCCATCCACATTCACACAATACATTCAGTAATTTCCTACTAGCAGAACTAATGGCTATATCTTTTTTCACTTAAAATGAATCATTAACTGGATCATAGCAGATATATTAACTCTCGATACCTTAAATGCTAAATATTAGATCCTTAATCAGATCTTTTTCTGTGATAGATAGTGCCACATTTCCTTTATCAGTAATTTATTGGATAAAGTTCAATTAATCAGTATTTTTAGGACTCTCTTCTATGACTTTCTTGGGCATAGTTTGAGAATAATTAATTTGAGATATCTCTTATGATTTAAATAAGGTGTCTAAAGTTTAATTTGTATAACTATTATTCTAGCCAAGTTGACTCGTTCGAAATAGGAAATGAACAAGTTCATTCTTCTTTCTTAATCTCGTTTTGCTCAATCGATTCAAACAATCTTGCAATCTATATGCCTATGATTTCTTTTGTTTAGATATGATATTACATTAGTCATTTTAGTCATCTCTGCCTGAAGTTCAGATTCATCCATCAATGAAATCCCTGTTCGCACATTTAGAATTCTCAAAAAATAGGTTTTATAGTTATTTAATGTGCTGTCCTCAATTGAATCTGGGAATGCTTGCTTTACCAATTGATGTAAAAGTGTTTGTGTCTCCATTAAATATTTGAATTGAAATTTTTGGTGGAGTTTATAAAATTAATTATAATATAATCATTTTTGATCTTTATATTTTATTAAATAGATCTTGGATATCAATCATTCAATTATTCCCACTTCACACATTTATTGTTCAACCATTCCCCAATCGTCATGATGCCATTCTCGATTAATCTCGATTCCCCTTACAGTTATCCATCTACCCAGTTACTTTAAAACCTACATCCATCTGGCCACTTGAATAGACCTTCCCCATTTTTCTTATCATTTTTGTATTACTTTTAATTCATAATATTCTTACGCATTCAAATATGTTACCATTTTCGAATACAATCTATGCACTGCCTTCTTTTCTATTATCAATCCACTTACCAAACTTAATTATAACATTATTGTACCAATTAACTTCATCCCATTAGGATATATGTAAACACCTTCCCCTGAAAAACTATCTTTTTAAAATTATCCTTCATAAGATGATCCATCTGGAAATGTGATTTTACCTTTGCCATGTTTCTTTCCCTTTACGAATGTTCCTTCATACTCTGTTTTATCAGCAAATATTTCTTTGCCTATCCCATGCTAAAACCCATTATGCCACTTTCATTAAAATAATTTAGTATTACCCAACCAATATATTGATCTCCATTCTTTCTAGTATATACACCCCAGCCCTCTGCGAATCCATTCTCCATCTCTCCTTCATATGTATCTCCTTCAGTGAACTCTACATTCTCATATTGCTAAATGCTTTCGGCTGTACAATTTCCCATTATATTATTATTATTTTTAAATAGTGTTTTACTCTATAAATTATCAACCTAATTCAAACAATTTTGCTTTTAGTACTAACTTTCTATCTAATATTTAAATAACAATTATTTAAAATATCTTGAGATATAAGAAGACAACCATTTATAGTTTTAATTTTACAATCAATATATTCAAATTTTATTACTAAATAATTTTATTGATATAAAATAGCCATTTCCATTTTCTATATGTATAAACTTTAATCATTATCTATTCCTAATTAGATATTTTGAATAGGTTAAGGAATTACGTGCAATCTAACAGTTTTGTAATTTAGATTATTATTATAAAATATCTATATTATTTAATATTACACAAAAAACCTATATAAAATGAGTTAGTTATTTGGAAAACTTTATAATTTATTATTGTTATTATTTTCACATAGAATTCGACAAGTATTTGAAATCTTGCTGTTAAAATTAAAGTAATAATAAATTTTCTTTGACATTCTATTCATAGGAATGTAGAAGTATATTAGTATTAATACATTTATTTATTTATAAATTAAAGAAAAATAGGAATGATTTCATTATTAATTGATATTTATTATTTTATAACTGTTAAATCTAATGTGAATGATAGAGATGAACGAAAAATGTATTAATTTTATAAGTTTTATAATAAAGTTCATAATTATTTGCCTTTTTCATTTTCATCATCAGAGAATCCGAGGTCATTCATAAGTTCTGTTACACTCTTTTCAATATCTTCAATGCGCTTTCCTAATAACATTATATTATTGATTACCCATATCGTCAATTCTAGAAACGATAGTGCCTTACATCTCATCGAATCGATCTTGCATTTGTTTGAGGAGTGTTTACACAAAGTTGTTTAACTCTTTTGTAGAGGGATCCTCTGCCATTTATTAGGTTCTATCGTTCATTTGAATTTATAAAATATATATTATTAACTATAATTTAAAATGAGTACATATTTATAGTTTTCTTCATATATCTAGAATATTTGATTATTGAGAGTTAAGATAATTGATTTTCATTTCAGAATTGGTTGCAATAAATGAATTTTTCTCCTTGACTATTGAATAGGTACAATGAATATATCAGATTATACTGAAATTCTATCTGGACACTAGAGAAACTGAAGAATTCTATAAGTTAAGACATAAATAGTATATCTTAGTAATTTTAATGATTGAGGGCATTCAAGATAGTAAGATTATGATGATTACTAAAGAAAATAATTGATAAAATAATCTATCATTTAATGAAAACAAAGTTTTGGAGCCCATATAAAGAGGAAGTGAAGATTGGAGAGCTTTTGATAAAGTCAGAATTTTAGAAAAAGGGCAAGTTTAGATATTTAGGTGGAAGTGAAACAATGATAATAATATACGAGGTTTCAATACTAGTTTAAACATAAGGACCCCCAATTCAAAAAGCCCAAGAAGTACACAATGATGGACTTTGATCTAAAATTTGAGATGATACGAACAGCCCCTAAGATGAAACCAGGATGTTAGGTGATAAAGCTGTCAGGAAGTGCTCGAGTCGATTAGGTGAAGAGCGAAAATATAGAGAAACTTGGAGAGGCTACTGCATTGTGGCTATTTCGAGATGAGGACCACAGATATGAGTTGGTTGCTCCATCCATGATCCTCACACAATGGAGATGGTTCTTGGGGAAGAGGATCAACTAGTACGGGTTCCATCATTTGTTCAAGGTTTTTAAGAAGATTGGAAAGGGAAACTTTGCATCAGTTTATTTGGCTGAGAGAGTTGAGGATGGGCAATAGATGGCTATTAAGGCATTTTCGAAAGGTGTGGCCTATGCAGAAGAGAATGGAAAAGAAGGATTGATGAATGAAATCAAGTTGATGCGATAATTGGATCATCCAAACATAATCAAATTGCATGAGGTCCATGAAACAACGAATTCATTATATGTTTGTTTGGAATTATTGGAAGGTGGTCAATTATATGAGTAGTTGAAGAAAAAAGTCATTTTTTCAAATAAAGAGATCTTAACTATTATTAAAGGATTACTTGAAGGTACTTTTGAATATTTATATAAAAGGTCTCAAACATATTCATTCCAAAGATATCATGCATAGAGATATCAAATTAGAAAATATCTTATTCAAAAAGCCAAACTAAATAGAGTCTGTATGTCTAGCAGATTTTGGATTGGCTACCTATGTTCATGAGGAAGTGTATTTGTATTGCAGATGTGGCACTCCTGGGTATAGTCAAATTTATTAAAAATAGATTTGTGGCTCCTGAAGTTATCAACATTAAAGACCTAACAACTAAATATGATAAAGTTTGTGACATATATTCCTTGGGATTAGTATTTCATTTATTATTGACTGGGAAACCAGCATTCACTGGACGTAGTTATACAACTATTGTGAATCAAAATAAGGAAGCTAAAATACAATGGAAATCATCAGCATTTGACATAATTCCAAAGGCCGCTTTGAATCTTTTAAAAAGAATGCTAGAAACAGATCCAAAATTAAGAATCACAGCAGAAGAAGCATTAAAGCATAATTACTTCAACCCTTATCATATTCCAAACATAGCCTAATTTGAAGATGAAAACATTGATATCGATGATAGTTGTCAACTGGATTAGAGACTGCAAAAGATTAATGATCTTAATAACAAGTTTGATATGATGCGTATTAATCAACTAACCAATTCGCCAATACGATCACCAAATATTAGAGCAACTCAAACTTAGGCTATGAAGGAGTAAATGAAGGAAAGTGTTTAATTGCAAGAACAGATGATTATGCATACTCCAGTTATTACTGGAAGAATAGAAAGTATTGATGGTAAACATGTTCAATTTATTTTCATATAGATTCCCCTGTAGAAGGGTCAAAATAACAACAAAAAATAAAAGAGGGATTGTCTAAACATAAGAGACAAGAATCTTTGAATTTCCTTCAAAAATATAAACAACAATAACAGCAACCAGGTAATGATGAGGATTCATTGCATCAATAAGAAGATTGTAGAGAACCTGCCATTTAATAGGTTAAATAGAGTTTAAGCAAAAATTTATGATCAAAGCTAAAACAGCTTATAATATATCTATTCTAAAATTTGGATAGTCAAAATATTCTTTTTTTCTCCAACTTTTATATAATAATTAATATTAAATGGAAAACCAATTTGAACTTGAGAATGCCAATTGGTATTATTATATATAACTTGCAGTAAATCCGAAGTAATTCTTGAGAAATGTTTAACAATGATGCGTCCAGAAGGACTTGAACAGTTTCATTTCCGAATTGAAGAGTAGTTTTATAAAATCAAAGTAGAAGTTAAACTTATTGATTTACGAAAAAGAGGGTGATGATATATAGAAAATGATTGCATATTGGATTCAAGAACATTAATAAAGGAATGTAATTATAATTTAAGAATAAAGAGAGACTAATTATTCCATATTTTGTGGAGCACGAGAACTAGAATCATTATTATGCCATTTCTTTTAATTGATCTGTGAATAACATCAACTATACATTTTAACTAAATTAAGAGTATTTCTATTGTATAAATAGGCTGTTTTTAATATCACATAAAAGTTGAATTAGAGAGTGAAAAATTAAAATAGTATTTTGAATATTGGTTGGATTTGTGTTCAAGAGAACTTGATGATTAGTTGTACAGTGATTGTAATGTAGCAAACAAACGAGTATATTATATAGTAGATTGAGTGTCATTATGTTATTCAAGGCATAGATAGGTTTTACTGTGGTGGAGAAGTTCGAGCATCATCTTGGTTACCAAAAATACTACCAGAAAATATAAAACTTATCTCGTCAGCCAGATTAGTGAACAAAGCTTATGAATATTATTTGTCTATTGGGAATCCCATCATTCCTATGCAAATGCTCAATAGATTATTCTAGTGAGAATGAAAGTATTGAAATCTGGTATCTAATCAAGAATAATTCACCTATTCGTACTGCAATCATGCATGTTCCAGAATAATTGCGTGCAATTAAATTTCTCAAAATCATTTACCTCTTCTCAGTAACTCTGGAAGAATACTTATAGTTAATTTTGGAAGTGTTATCAGAAGCAGAAAGTATTCTAATAACTTATTAAATAATAAATAGAATTTCAAACTGAAATCGATTTTTTTGCTATTCTTGGGAATTAGTTTTGTACTAATGATCCAATAGCTTCTTCCATCTTTTGTGTTCTTTCATATGTTAATAAAGGTATCTCAATAGATGAAATGATGGCCAGTTGTTCATGCACTCAAGAACAATTGATAAAAGTTTATGATTTCTTCAAAGTAATTTTAACGATTCATTATTATTTAATAGATTTGTTTCCTAGAGAAGAATCAAGTCTACTCGATCTCTATACATACTATGAGATAAGCAATCTAATAAATCTAATTTAATAAAAACCTGAATGAGTAATTCTTATAAATTATTGAACATTCACCCAACTCCACTAGAAAATTGGAAGAACTCATTTAATAATAGGCTAAAAATAAAAAGTTCTTTAAACTCAAAGAAATAATTATTAATATCGAGCATTTCCTAATTCTCTAGAATCCTTATAATAATTTTGAATTATGTTAATAATGGGATATGCTTGAACAAAATGGATATGATTTGGTTATGGAATATAATAAAGCATTAGAGAATTTCTAGGCCATCTATTAACCTTCAACTGAAGGACTCTTCTTCATTATGTATAAAATTTGCATCTTTCTGAGAGAATTCTCCAATTTCGAGAAGTACTTTTCAAATTGGTTATTAAATAGAGACCGCACACCTTCTTATAAAAATCCATTATTGAGAGGTTAATCAATAGAATTTAAAGAAGTAGGATTAGATGGAGATTTAAGTTCATTAAAGATGTTGTCTAAATAGAAACCAAAGTAAAAACCCATTGATGATTATTTCCCAACATTAATAAGTACTAATTAGAGAATCTAAATTTAGGCATTAAGAATAATCGAGATAGCTTTATTAATTATTATTAATTTGATCCTAACATTTTATAAGAATAAATACAAACCAAATAAGACTTTTTAAGAGAGAAATTGATATCCATTTCTAAAGGGCCAAATCCCTATTAATATAAGAGATGGTTATGGGTTCAATTTCCATGGCTGGCCTTAAAATAAAAGAATAATTTCTCCAAACTTATGCAATTCTACGGGAAAGACTCTACTTAATATATGTCAATTCAGGAAGAAATATATATTAATCCAAAGGCAATCAGATTGGTTATCAATGCCAAGAGTTCCAAGGACAAGTCCATATAAAAATTACCAGAAATCAGACACCGCTATTATAGTCCAAACATAAACAAAGATGAACCAGTTAAAAGATTTAATCAAGCTTTAGGAAAAAGCATTGACAGAACACCTTCACCTTCAACTGGAAGAAAAATTTTGCCCGAGAGCAAAAAGAAAGTGTTATATAGCTAATAGTTGAAGAACAGATTAAAGGAATTATAAAAAATTAAATAAAATCTATATCCTCAAGAGGCCATGAATGAAACTTATAGATTGAATGATTTAACAATGACACAGGGAGATGAATTGAAAAAGCAGATGGATAATTTATAGGGAGTTTAGAATGAAATGAAAAGAATGCAGTCAGTTTTAAAATTATGTCAATTCAATTAAGATTAGAATGAAGAAAGAGTGTAACAACTATTCAGACATTGTAAGAAATCGGATAGTGATGAATGAATACAAATAAATAATAAAGGAATTAAGCGAGAAATTAAATATATATAAGCAGAAGAACAAGATTGAACCCATTAAATAATAATAATAAAAGCAACCTATTTCTAAATAGTTTATGACAATCAAAGATTTGAGTTAAGTAAATCAAAAGAACATGACTACTAATGGGAATATTAATTTGAATCCTAATACTGAATACAAAGTTAAGGTTACCTTTGAAAACGTAAGATCAGAATAATAAGAACTTGAGACATCAATAATCAATTAATAATAATTTATAATAATAGGATAAGCTACGTGGAACTTAGACTAGACTGATGTTGGAATAAATGCCATCGAATAGAATGATCACTCCAGGGTATAGACTATCACTCAAACAAAAGGAGATGTTTGTGATTAAATAGATTCACATCTTGTAGAACTGATTAGACAACTAAATGCTTTAGGAATTGCCAATACATACAATAATCCAAAATTTGATGATTTATAGGTCATTTAACAAAATACAATGAAGTAAATTTAGAAGTATAGGAATGTGCAATTAAATTAAATGAAATCAGGATTAAGAAATAGGAAAAGCAACATTTTTGAAAGTAAGGAATTAATACATACATAGATATTACAAAAAAATGGGAAGCCTTAAGATTAGAAGGCTGAAAAATTCATATCTTCCGATGATGTAGATAAATTGAGAAGAGATAATGATACAAAGATTATTACATTTAAGAAATTGAAACTATAAAAGGCAGTTTATAAATTTTTCCATAACAATTTATATAAAGATGTAAATGCCTTTATTCCAATAAAAATAACTTAACATTAACCTAAATATTTAGTGTGATTTTAACTAATTAATTTTCATTATAATCATGATTCAAAAAGTAACATAAAAGGTGCCAAACATTCTAATGTATATTTCTAGAGTAATAACTCTTTAGCTCTTCTTTCCAAGAACCTCCCTAATATTATACGTTAAGGAGGTTGATGCAATTTGTGCATTTTATAAAAGAGATCTCTTTCGGATGCATCATAATTGTGACTTCTGATCATCATTAGTTTTAATTCAATTTCCCTCAATTTCCATAGGTCAGAATCTTTAAAATATTAGGCATCATTTTTAGCTAAGTATTCATCTAATCCCTATAGCAATTGAAGTTCATCACAAATAACAGCAAATCTTTAAAAGGATATGTATTGTATTGAAGATTGTTCAATATCACATTCAGAATTAAAAATATTAATGTAGAATTGCTCTTCCTTCTTACTATCAAGTTCAAGCATGAGCAACCTGAATTAAGTCTAAGTTAATCTTTCCCCATCTTCTGAAAAAATTTGCAAAATAATAGAATATTTTAGTAGCAATTCCTGAATTTTCATATCTTACATAGGTCCTAGATGATGGGAGATCTCTTAATCATAATCAATATATTGAGGCAGTTTCTGTATACTCTTAATTTGATCAGCCAATTAAGATTGTAGAACTGAAATACCAGTGTCTTAGAAATTAATGCTTGAAATATTGCTCAAGATTTATAAGTAAATCAGGAAACTTAACTAATGATTGTATAGATAAAATTAATTACATCCCCGACTAACATTGCATGAAATAGTCTGGCTGAATCATTCTTTCTTTTAAAGTAGATTATTGACTTAATTACTCTTGCCACTTTACCTAGCCAAACATTTTATGGTTATGACTGGTTCTCATTTGAAAAATACTCATATAATTAGACATGCATAGGGTAATTGAATTTATTAAACTTTAAACACCAAGACACAAAATTTGATAGTGTTTTTATCAATGTACCTTAAGTAACAATATTTTCTATTTTATCTCTTCTAAATTATTGAATTTCCTGTAACAGAGTTTGAGTTGCAATCTAGGTGTTTTTGCTTGGACATCTATACACAAATAATTTCTTTTCGATTGAGAGTAGATTCTTTACAGGATTTAAACATTCAGATAAATCCACTTCTTCCTCTGAAGAACTTGATGACTCTTCGAATTTATTATCAGGAAAGACTTGGATAGAATAAAATTGATACAATTTAATGTTATTAGGGGTTTTTGAGGAGAGAGCATTTCAGGGGGTTCTGGTGAATCGTAACTTAATTCAACCAAAGAATTACGTTATGGAAGACTATTATCTTATTAAGGTTCTAAAGGAGTCATTGGTGGAAAGAACCCAAATGAATGCTTAGGATTTGCAGATAGCAATAAGTTTGGACTTGTACTTTAGTGTTAAGGAGGCAAGAGAGAAGTCGAACTATTGATAAATACTTGTTATGCTGGAGGATTCAAATTATTAGTGCTTGTAATCAGGGGGTTTGGAGTAGGAGAATATGCTTTTTGGAATTCTAAATGAATTTTATGCTTTTAGGCTTTCCGACGTATTTAATCTTATTGATACTGAGGGATGAATCTGGAGATAGATTTAAATTGCTTTTCAATAAAATTGTAATTCTTGACTTACTATTAGTATTTGTTACTCAAGATATCTAATCTCTTTTGAATTAGATTTTTTTATCGAACAGCTTATTTACAATCAATTTGAGTTTCAAATATCTAGATTTTTCGAGCAATCAATTCATCCTTCAATTTACGAATGATTTCTTGAAAGTGATGAGTTAAAAATACAAACACAGAATAAGAGCTCTATACATATTTGTCTGCTTCATAGAAATCATCTGCAAAGAATTCTTCCTTCATCTTCATAATATTGAACAGTTAAGATGATCGAAATTTGAGTTGTTCGAGAACACTTTCAAATACATCAGGAAATGTCTTCTTTTCAATTTCAACTTTTTCTATATACAATTGATAGTAGTCATCAATGAAAGCTTTGATTGGATATCGTGACATTTCTAAATAAGTTTATTCATCATTATTTCTAGGGATGCACTCTCTCTTAATAATTGCATAATTGGCTTCGCAAGCTTAATTACATTGTTGAGGTGGTTACGTCTGAGTTCCCTGCTCAAAGATTTTTTTCTTTTAGTATATAGTTTAAACTGAGCAATCCTAGGTTTAGATTAAACTATTTTAATATATTTTATTATATACTCCAGAGTATCTGCTTGTGAATCTGTAAATTCCTTATGATTGCCAACACATTTATCTTTAAAGAGAATCTCCTCATATTCTTCCATTAAGTTCTCATCTTTTTGAGCTTTGTCATCATTTCCTCTTTCTAATTCTAACATTTTATTATGATATGCTTCTTCAAATTTACGTGTCTGTTCTTCAAACACTAATTTAAAATCATCAAATATCTCCTTCTTTGCTTTATATAACTCCTCTTCGTAATCTGCTGTCAGATTTTCAGTAGAATGCCTGACTTATTAAAATAATTTAAGTGTTTCGTTTTCTTTATTCAAATCCTATAATTGCAATTTCAACAATTCAATATCATTATTGAGACTAGTGATTTGTGTTTGAAAGGTATTCGTCTTTTTTCGTAGATACTTGTTCTCCTTATTCAATTTCTCCACGTATTCTGTATTACGTTTTAATTATTTTTCTGCTTCTTGCAATCGTTGTACTTTCTCAGTCATTGAGTTCTAATATCTCTCATGGATCTTTATTGTATTAGCCAAACTCTCTTTTTCCAATTTACGATTTGTTCTGGACTATTTATCTATAATCTCTTTAACAGTGCCTGTAAATTGAGTCCATATCTTATCAATCAACTAAGAATAGTCATTGCATTTCACAGACAACTGTTGACAAAGTTATCCAATTGAACCAGAATATATCAACTCCATTTTATCATAGAACTCTGTTATACTATAGAAATGCTGCTTTTGAATCTGTTGCACCATTGACTAAATAATTATCGAAATTACTTACATCGATCCATTACTATAATAATTACAAATCCTTTCTTTGACTCTACTCATTTGTAATCTTTGATAAGGTTCTAACAGTCTTATTGCTGGTCCCAAGGTTTGCTCTGCTCATTAATTGATTCATTGCGAAAACCTAAAATTTACAGATATTCATACAGTTCCATCTTCTCCTTATATTGTCTTATTGATCTAATGCACTGAGGGTAGTTTAACAGGAGATGCATGATCATCACTCATTGTTTGCACCCTTATTTGTTTCTCCCTTTTCATTATTGTTAAATATTTTATGTAATTACTAAATAATTTTAGACTTTTGATCAACACTTGCAATGTATCTTATAAATTTATTCAAATTTCTACACTCTACTTTAATAATTCACTTATCTCATAGCATCTTATTAATTTTAACACTAATTGATAATATTTCCTCAATTAGAATTCTGCTATTAAATAAGATTCTATGTGTTGACACGATTATGATAGGTCTCTATTTATCGATTGCATCTCTCATAATAAAGGTTTTCTTAATTAATTTTCTTATCCGATATAATGCTTGATAATTATTGTAGATAAATTATGCAACCAAAGATAGCTATATTTAATCGATCTGATTTAGAATATGGCTTCCCTAGACACCCATTATATCCATATAAATACAAAACACATAATTATGTGGTTTTATTGCATTTTTATCAAGAACGTTGAAGGCCTTGCAATTTGAAATCATAGAAGCTGTACTCTATACTCAGGCTATATCAGCATCTACTATGGATTTATGCACTTTCGATTTTTAAGCAGCTAGAGAGTCAGAGAGAGACTTTGTAAGTTTGGGTATTATTAATTTAACTAAGAAAGATTAGACGAACAACTCAACGTGGTTTTGTTAGTCGACTTTTCGTAGGGGAAATACTCAAACATCAATTTATGGGGAGAAAAAATGGGAACTAACACTGCTTTGTTGTATGCTCTAAAGCATCAAAAATTGATTTGCATGATCTTGGACAGTCCTTTCATTTCGCTTGAAGAAGTAAATCTCAATCTCATTAAAGATAAATTAGGTACACACAAAAGGATGACATACTATATTATTCATAACATAATTCGGACAGATCCAACAATTATACAAATTTTCCATCTCTTCATTCAAAGTACCTTAAAGTTCGAATATTAAGTGTTCCATGTAATCTTTTTCCATATCGTCATTTCACTAAAATTCTAAAATCATATCATGGACAAAAATAAATCATTCATCTCTATCATAATCATAATGAATCAAGATCAAAAGATATCATTAGGAAAGTGAAAGGCTTCATTTAATCAAATATTTCATCAATTAATCATAATCCCGTTAATCGGTTCGTTGGAGATGTGTAATCACATTAATACAAAGCAACTGGAATAAAAATTACATAAAAAGTGATTAAAAATTAATAATTATTTAATCTATACCTTGTGTAATATTTAAATCATCCAATATATATGTAAAAACACTTAATGAAATAACTTTAGAAAACTAGAAATATAAGTTTTAAACTAGTATGTTCCAGAATTAGATAATTATGATTAACTATTAACATAGTAGATTGATCTATTAAAAAAAAGGATAATATTATCTAATATTCTTTTGATTTCCAACAACTTAGATAATGGAAAGGCTTTATCAATTCTTTTTGATAAAGAATGAGCAAGTGATATGCTCTTATCTTTTGCAGCAAAATAAATAGAAGAGAATCAACTTTTTCAAACTTCCCTAATTTTCCAAGTGATTAGTTCTTCTTCTGAATGCTATCTTTGCAATGAACATTTACAATACTAGCTATCATCATTAGAATGAAATTGAAAATTAAAAAAAATTAGCAATTTCATAACAAAAAACATTTCTTTTCTCTTAATATAAGTTCTAGATAAATTAATGAATCTGCAATACTACCCTGCATATATATAAATTATTATAAGAAATAATATAGAAAGATTTATGAAAGCCCATTACTCAATTTTGAAAGTATTTCGATTTTCACAAATTCTGTTGTTGCCATAATTGTAGATTTTTCATATCTCGCGATTTAGAGAAAAAAGTAATACAATGTTTTAATTTGATATTCATTGCATTGTCTCAGGACCGAACTGTTATATTATATTTAACTAAGGAATTTCATCGTCATATTGATTCAAATTGTCTTAATAGTAGCCTAATTCATATGAAACCTCCTTCTTCTTATAGATTTCATCATTTAAGTTTAAGGAGGTGGTGTCTTTTTATGTACTAGTTGAACACCTCCCAATTTATTGTTAATCACTCATCAAAATATAACAATTTATAATAAAAATATTTTTCATATTTTCTTAAACAATCAATACTCATTGATTTTATTGATATTTATTAGATCTTATAAAATAATATAATTGTCTAAGCAATAACATTTTAACTTTGCATATAAAAACATGTTTAAAATAATTTACAAAAATATACAAAATATTCATTTTATATCAAATCTATTTTTTTTCTAATATTTTCTATATCAACTTTTATTTCCAATACCTATCTTGAACTATGGGATCTGGTACTTTATGCGCGAATGAACTATGATTAGAGAATGATTAATACTTCTTAAACGTTGTTTTAAATTGTCCATCGTAAGATCCATTACTTTGGATATGGCTACTATTTTATTTTCTTAAAGGTAGATCTTCGAAGGTGTAACCAGGATAATGTATTTTCGATAAGGCTTCCTTGAAGATCATGGAACTACTTGATGCAAAAGGTCCACTATATAAAATTTGGAAAAGTATTTACAGAGATTTCTTCTTTGCAGATTCAGTTGGTTCACAATTAGTTGCTCGAAAGTTATCTTAATAGGATGTCTTACCAATAAATGGCAATGCTCCTGTGCTTTGGCCTCTTTATGGTCCTACTCTTTCAGTTAGAGCTGGTTTCCAGTTAAAGTAATCTTACTTATAACTTGTGAGTGTCATCATCTCTGAGGGATCTCTATAATAGGAAGGTTTATAATTTTCTTATTGTTGGAGTTTGGGTGTGCGAAACGATGTCTTTGGAAAATAAGATTGAAATTTACCTCATATTAAGTTGATAATTAAAGTGACTGGGCTAATGGGATCTAATCATACATTTTGATATTGAAATTTGATTGATCTAAGGGTTAGAGTCTTTTGAAAACTGAATCGTAGGTAGAAAGCTTTTTGTTTGGTAATGAAAGTTTCAATTCTTGGATTCGGTTTTATTATCTTTCCTGCATGTACAATCCAAGCAAATTAACAAAGTACTCTTGATTTTCACTAATTAATTTTTCAAGGTTAAAGTTTTGATCCTATTAGAGTTCAGCAGGTATCAATTCTAGCCAAATTGGATCATCGATGGGAAGCAAATCAAAGACTGATGTAGTTTATGTTTTGATGGTTTCAGATGGTGTGGGGGTGGTAGTTCGAGACTTAATGGTTTTGCTTTGTTATGAATATTGAGTATTTTGTAATCTAAGGGATTTTTCAGGAGGGTCAACAATTTCACCTTTATTATTCTTATAGAGCATCCTCTTTTTGCCTTTACTCTCATATCTGGAATAGCTCTTAAGAGATCCCTCAGTTGGAGAGCGGACTAGGAGAGTTTGTTGAGATGGCTGCAATAAACTTTGCATTATAATTAATGATTGTTGTTTTTTAATATATATATATATCAACACACAGATCATTATTATTTGCATTCTGGCTTTTCAGTTTTCTTGCCTTCATTCTTATCACCCTTGCTGCTGCTTGACTTCTTTCTTTTCTAATGAAATAATAATGTTAATAGAATACAGATTTTTTTTTATCATCTTCTTCATCATCATCATCCTCATCGTCTTCATCGTCATTTTCATCACCATCATCTAATTCTGCCATTTCTGGTTGTAATCCTAAGAACAATTCCAATGAACATGGAACAATGGAATCAAGGAATTCTGTGGCAATGTCAAAATGTTCATTCATTAAATCTTCTTATTTTTCAACTTCTTCTTCATCAAGATCTTTCTTATTAGTAAGATCGAAATCTTTGAAGAATCCAAAGAAACTAGGAGCATCAACAACTTTGTCCACAGTTCTAGATGCTCCAGTTTTCTTGTTCTTTTATTTCTTTGAAACTTTCTTTTGAGTAACATTCTTGCCTTCTTTCCATTCAATGTGAGTTGATTCACTTTTAACTGGAGTCTCTTCTGCCTTTTCAAATATAAATCTCTTAGTAAGAACTGCATTAGTAAAATAATCATTTGGAGCAAATGTGAGTTTAATTGTGAAGTTGTGACTGTTTTCTTCAAAATCTAATTCTACTTTAGTAAGTGATTTCAACACATCCCAATCTTTCTCATTCTCTTGACATACATCCGCTAAACACAATCAAAATATTAATTACCAATAACAACTGAATTTTTGAGTGCCTTGTACCAATAGTCATCTATGGGTTCAGCTGTATTGTTTTCTTATACAAGTGCTTTTTCTGTTTCACTTAAAAATTTATCTGAATTAGATAGTTCAATATCAGTGGCAGCTCTTTATCCAAGAATCAATTCGTTTTACTTTAAGAAGAAATAGAATTTAAATACTTACTTTTTAATAGAGAGGGAGATTCAAATGATCATATTCAATAGTGAGTTTCTGAACTTGTTCTTCCAGCTCTTCTTCGTATTGTTGTTTGCGTTTTAAGTGATAAAAGAGAGCTACTGCTTTGACTCTTTCAGCAACAGGTAGGCTTTTAATCTTAGTAATGACTTCTTCGATATTAGAGTTTTCGTGATCGCTCATTAAAATTTATAATGAATTAACAAATACATTTCAAATTCATACTGCAATATCTGGAGTTTAGCTCGAAATTTGATCAATAACAATACGAATTATCAATCATGTTGAAGAGAGGAACACTTTCTGCTTAAACTATTATAAGCAAAATGCAAATAAGAAATCCTGAACGAACATCCAATATGTGTAGATTGCCAATCGATCAAATTGCAGAGTTTCAGTAGAAGATGGTCAACAAAGATGGAGTCTATGTGGATTACAATGTACCACTCAATCATTCTAAATTAGATTAAATTTTTGTTTTATTTGGGTGGCAACCAACTTGGAGATTGTCTCATTAATTTGGCTTACTTTCTCAATGGGGAAATAGACTAGGATCAAAAAGTCAAAAAGCCATTAACCTCTACAACTGACAAACGAGCTGCCCTCTTGTTTCGGGTCATCAGAGTACCCTGGCAATCATAATTTGAATCTTAAGAATATCCTCAAGTCAATGTGCCAATGCCTGCACCTACGCATACCCCAATATCTTAGTAAATCCCATAGACGACTAGAAATTCTAGTAGTCGTAAAATGGAATTTCCAACTAGAACAACTAGAGCCAGGAGTTAATCTCCTCCCAAAGAATTCAAGAGTGCTGTTCTCGTTAATAAAACAGAAGAATAAAATAATGTGTCAATTAAATAACCCGCCGATAATCTCACTTAAAAATTCTTATAACTTGGCGAAAAGTTTTCATAAGAAAAACTTTAACAAGTTGCTCCTCAAAATGAAGAAAATGATAATTTCAGAGAAATCACAGAAATGCTTACTCAATAAGAAGAAGAACTGTAGAAGCAGATTGAGCAATTAGATAATCATATTAAAATCGATTCTAAGCTTAGAAAAACATAATTCGATAAAACAGCCACTTTTGCTAATACTAATAATAACAATACCCAAGAACTCGAATAGTTGAAATAGAAATATGCTGAATTAGAAGAGAAATACAATAAGGCTTAGGAAGAACACTAACATTTAAAGAGAATCATCAGGCAAAGTGGAGAACAGTTGAAGAAACAGAATTAACTTACATAATCTGGATACAAATAAATATCTGACAATGCTCTGAATCAATCTACAATCTCTAATTAAGAACAATTTGAAAAAACTATCGAAAAGAAAAATCAGATTATAAAGGATTTATCAAATTAAATACTAGAATTAGAAAAAAATACTAAGGCTACTGTTATTGAATAAATGCGAAATCAAATTACTAGATTAGAACAATAAACATTAGAAAAATAAGATTAATGGTAGATTTAAGAAAAAATCTATAAAGAAAAGATCTTTTAGTTGTTATAAAATACGGAATGAATCTATTGACCAAATAACTTTATTTATTTGTTTTGCATAAATTGTTTAACAACTAAAGATATATTGAAATAATTAACTTAGAAGCACACTTAAGTATAGATCTATGAAAATATTGATTGTTCATTATTAAACAAAAATTCTTACTCGGAATTTTATTTGATATTGAAAATCATTTCTTTTTAGTTTATTTTAATCATCTTTAAATTTTGTACAAATTTTCAATCTGAACTATTAAACTTCATTAACTCTCCATTTTACACCACAAAGAATTCAACATTCTACTCGAGTAGTTACTCTATAGTAAAATTCCTAATTTCACTATAAATATTTTCAATTCATTAAAAAATGAGAATTGGAGTAATTCTGAATGGTTGGATGTTTGATTCGAAGGAAATAAGGGAGAAAATTGATTTTTAATTGATTTGATGCCCCCAATTAATTATCATTTAATTAGAAATTGTCCAATATATATTATACTATAATATTAAATGTAATGAATGATGTCATAAATTTGTTAAATATAAATGAGAATAAAATCAGAATTCGTTATTGTAAGCACAACTTAGATAGGTATATGGATCTTAATAATAAGTTGGTGCATATTCATCTGTGGGAACTTCAGAACTTAAATATTCTTCTTTAATAGACTCCTCTTTTACTTCGTCTTTTTTTGAGAGACTAAGGAATTTATCATATGGTTATTCTTTGTGCAACTATTCTTTCAGTTGCTCAATAGCTTAGATGTACATCTATTTTGTAGTTTGATCTTTAATCTTGTTATTGATAAGCACACAAATTTCTGCTTATGTTCCTAAAAATTCTATCCACTTGTGTTATGTTTCCAACTGAATGATCTTTGTTCTAGGATTGATGGCTCCGAATAGTTTTTTTAGGTCTCCTAATTCGAACTTTTGTTGCTTGGAGGTCTTTTTCTTGTGGATAGCTCTCAAATAGCCATCAACTTATTTATATCCCATTACTTCAGCCCAATGCATGAATTGGTTCATGAAGAATGGCACAATCCTACGTTAGAAATTGTGTTGTTTCTTAACTGAGTATGGTACCTCAGTTTACTATTATTAAGGCTTAATGGTAAGATGAGCATTGATGATGTCCAACAAGTGTTCATCGATCTGCATAATTACTTTGCCATTGCATTTTTTAAGAATCTAAGTATAAATAAAGACAATACCTAATATGTGTATGTGTCTTACATTTTATTTGTAATAATGATTTGCACATTTAATAATTACAATTCATATTAGTGTAATCATACATTTTTCAACCAAAGTCATGGAATTTTCATTATTAATATTATTTAGTATTAATAAAACTAAATAACTACTCTAAAATCTACATACAATCCGAATAGATACAAATGAATGAATCAAACATGAACTCATTCACCCATCCAAAATGTGACTATAAGGCTAATTGCATACCTCAATTCGGCTGATCACTCCCATTATGGATATTTATCCCTTTTTCAACCAAATTTATGAAATCAATAAGACTGCTTAAGCTGTGTCACCCTAAGCAATAAATTAAGGAGTAAGCATTTCCTCAAATAATTCTAATCAATTTCATTTTTGATCTGAGATAGCTGATAAAATTAATTAATTTAATATTTTATTATAAATTATTGATTCCTTAACTTAAGTAGTCTTAAAAACACAAATATCTATTGATAAACACAATACATTGTTTGTTTTATATAGATCTTTCATATAATTTAATTTGCGAATAGTCATAAGAAATATAAAAATTGTAAATTAATAATTATAATTCAGTGAATGAATAAAACTTTCTAATAAAATTTCTTAGCAAATCAAGTGGCCATTGTAACAGGTGGAGCCACAGGGATTTGTTATGGTATAAGTCTGGCATACTTGAAATACGGGTGCAAAGTACTTATTACAAGTAGAAAAGAAGAAGTCTTGAAAAAATCATGTGTTACATTAGCATAAGAATCAGGTAATGACAATATTGCATACTTCCCATGCGATGTCAGAAAATTTGAATAAGTAGAAGCAATGGTCTAATTTGCATTGGACAAATGGGGAAGAATAGATATTTTGGTGAATGGTGCGGCAGGAAATTTTTTGGTTCCTTTCGAAATGATGAGTGTAAATGCATTCAGATCTGTAATGGAAATAGACACTTTTGGAACATTTCATGTAATCTCATTGTGTAGATTAATAGTGTTGTAAAGCTGTTGTGGCCAAATGGATGTCAAAAAACGGAGGGGTTATTATTAACATTAGTACCACACTTCCACATTGTGGAGTAGCACTCCAATCACATGCAGGAACAGCCAAAGCAGGAATAGATGCTCTTACTAGACATCTTGCTGTTGAATTAGGACCAAAGAGAATTCGAGTAGTAGGTATTGCCCCTGGAGCTATTGAGAAATCTGAAGGATTTAAAAGATTGAGAATGGATGATAGTGTAATTAGTGTCCCATATTATTTTAGTCTGGTTTTGGAGAGGATTTTGAAAAACTATTGCCATTATAGAGAGCAGGAAATAATGATGACATTGCTCCTTGGGCTCTCTTTTTGGCTTCTGATTGTGCAAGTTATATTACTGGATAAACGATTATTGTTGATGGAGGAGCAGTCAATACATTTCCTAATTTTACTCTTCTAAGTAAAAAGGCAAGAGATATGTTAAAACCAAAATTATGATAATATGGATTTGGCTATAATATATATTTACATTATATTATATTAATCTTGTAAAATTCAACATAATAATAAGATAGTACACTCTAATTGATATAATTTAAATTCTAAACATCAGAAGCAAAATAATGGATTCTCAATTAAACTAAGATAGGTTTTTAGATCTTCTATTATAAAGGAATAAAATATATATTGTTGGAAGTCTTAAAAACTAGGAAGGAAATTCAATTAAATTTGAAAAGGGGAACCTATTGAGAAAACCTTAATTTGGCGAATTTTATCAACTGATTAACGTTGAGTCAAAAGAGGTGTTAGTTGCAAAGATAATAACAAAGAGCAAAGTAGATACACATAAAATTAGATAACAAGTATCGAACATTAAGTATGATAGGTGTTACAAGAAATTAGAATTCATCAGTAAATTGAGCATATAAACATTCTTAAATACTAAGGGGTTATTGAAGACGAAGACTTTATCTACATTCTCCTTGAAGAATTTAAATGTGTAATTACTAGATGATATTTTAGACACTAAATGAATATTTGTAATAGAAGGGGTAGTTAAGTGAAAGGGAGACAAAATTATTTTTTATTTAAATAGTCAATTCATTGAACTATCTACATGAAAATAACATCCTACATCGAGAGTATTTATACAATTTCATATTTATAAAGTTTAAAGTTAAGCAACATATACCTTACTATGGAGTAGTAGATAAAAATTTGTGGATTCAATTATGCAATAAAATTAGAGTAGAAATAAGAAAGAAGAAGGTCTATTTGTGGCAGCTCTTAATATTTGGCTCCTGATATATTAGACAACGAGAATGGATATTCTTTTGAAGTAGACTTATGGTATTTAGGAATCATTTTATACACATTAATCTTTGGAGTACATCCATTTGAAGCATCTGATATTAAAATTGCTTATTAGAAGATAAAAGCGAATAAATAGTAGTACAAAGAAGAAGTGTAAATATCATAGAGTACAAAATAATTGATTGATGAATTACTAAATTCAGATCCTAAAAAACGAGCTACTCTTTAGAGAATTCATGAAATTTTGATATGATAATTGGGAATTAAATATCATCATTATTATTTTTAGTAGTGATAAAGTTCAATAACAAGTCTTGAATTTTCGCCTATTAAATCTTCAATAGTCAGTTCTTGTTCTTTAATTTTATTGCATTTGTTCTAGTAGTGTTGTTTGATGATAGAAAACTCATTGAATAACTCATTATATTGCTGCTAAAACTATTGATAGTCTTTATTCGAATTAATTCTCTCATTTAGTGATTGATATCCTTATTGCAATTTTTAATTGTCCTCCAAATGCAATTCTAATTGTTTCTAATTTGAAAGAGTATTATACTTCATATTCTGCCAGTTTTAAGTCTTTTTCATCTAATTCTTAATTGTATTTATTTTGAATGTCTTCCAATTGTTGCTCTTATTCTTCAATGGTATATTTTAGTTCTTGAATCGACTTCTCATATGAAGAAATAGCTAATTGTTATTCCTTTATTTATTGTTTTAATTCAACTATCAACTAATCGTATTTCTATGATTCTTATCTCTTTTAAACATCAACTTCTAATTATTTGATATAATTAGTTTGTTCATCCAATTGGTCATTTTGAAATTTGATTTCATTTTCTTTCTTTTCTAAAAGTGATTAAAGAATTTGAATTTCTTATTTCAATTTTGATTATTCTTCAGAAAGTCTATGCTGAGTGTCTTCTAACTTTTACGAGGCAAGTAACTAGTTTACGAGAATGAAATACTTCATTTTATTTAACTTTTTCTTGTAGAACAGTAATTTGCTTCATTTGCTATTGAATCTATTCACACATAGTCTTGTAGATGGTTTGCTGCCTATTAAAATCAAGAGTTGAGAAGACTTCCCATGTAGGGGGGAGGTTGGCTGTCTTCATTTGAATTGACTTCTATTATGCTTAGATACTAGATCCACTCATTATAAATAATTATCATGATTGTTATTGTTATATCTCAACATACGTGACAATCTGCTTTCAAGAAGCTTGTTCAATTATTGCGATTGTTCACTTACACTTAATCTGAATCTTTGGTTGTTTTGTTTGAGACACTCAACATTCTTATTGAACCTCCTTCTGCCTTGCACGTACTCACTCTTCTCCTTATATTCTTGAGTATAGATCTTCTATTTAAATTGCAGTGATTTGTTTTTTTGTTACTTGACAATCAACTCCAAGGTTGAATTCGGCATAAACCTAGTTTTGTTCTTCAAGGGAGCCAACTCTATTGTATTTAGTTAAGTCTTTGGTTTCTTTATACTAACTACAGTGAATGGAGCTTCTTGGGTAGAAATCGAACGACGATGGGTGTAATCGATGGTTTGATAATGTTGTTTGTTGATTTCCCGAATAACTGATTTCTTTAATTGTTCTATGGTGTTGATTGGATTACGTACACCTTCCACTATTTCCTTTAATAATTACATTTATTAATTAACGAATAAATATATGTTCGTTTCACAATCCAAGGTCTTAGAATGTAAGTCAATCATATTATTCTCAGAATGTCTAGTAGATATTACCAAACAAATCTTGGGAGAGTAAATGGATAGAGAAAACAGAGTAGCTGTTCTTAATCGAATCAAGGAGATTACTCTCGAGACCTTCCAAAGACACTATTCCGAAGAGATTCTCCTATTGCAACAAGAATTGCGTTAATAATCCCAGGCTAATGATAGAGTCAAAAGAGAATTTTAGGATAGAGAATAGCAATTGATTATAGATTTAGAACACAAATTGCATGAGCAGTAGATTCTACAATTATAGGAGATTAAGAGACTCTAATTATTGTGTGATGAGTAGACTGATCTAAGCAACAAATAATAACTAACCATTGAGAAACTCAATAAATAAATCAGAGATTCCAATCTGATGAACTAACAATTAGGCTTAGAACTTCAACAACTAAAGGATAATCAATAGTCATTTGATAGACAATCTAGGTATATTTCTTTAGAGGGATAAGAATATAAGTAAAAAGCAGAATAATTCCAATCTGCTTATTCTGCTCTGGAATAGTAATTCAAATCATTGAAATTGGAATCTGAAAAATAGTTGAAGGATTATTAGCGAAAATTGTAAACAGTAACAGATTAACACATTTTGTAAGAGAGTGAGTTGTCTAATCTTAAGTTGGAAATTGAATAACTCAAAATCAAAAAATAATAAGAAGCATAAAAATCAAAAGAACTTTTGGAACAAATGAAAGAAAAAAACCAAATTAAAATTAAAGAATATAAAGTTAAATTGAAAGATCTTCAAAATAAGGACCAACATATTGCTGAACTACAAGAACAAATCAAAGAACTTGAACAATAAATTGAATTCTAATCCACTCAACATAGATAAGCCATCAAAATGTTGGAATAACAATACAAGAAACAATATTCAAGATTGGAGGAAAACTTCGAATAAGAAAAGTTAGATCTATAATAATATCTAACTTAAAGTTTAGAATGTACTATTTCTGAAAAAGACAAAGAAATTCTAGGATTGAGTTAAGACATAAAGTCATTAAAATTACAAATATAAAATGAATAAGAACAAAAATAAAAAAGTAATTTAAAATTTGAAGAACTCATTTAAACTTATAAAAAATAAGTAGAAGAATTACAAAATTAAAATTCAGAATTAATATCGAAATGTAATACAATTGAATTAGAGATCAATAAAAAAGATTAAAATCTAAAGTTGTTATTAGCTGACATTGATGATTTGAAATCATTTTCAGAACAGACTCTAACGACTTTGAAAGAGAATTAAGATTATATGAGTGAAATCGAAAGAGAAAAATAATAACAATAAGAAATCATTATGGCTATTCAACATTAATTAGAAATAGAAATCTAAGGGTCATTCTCATATTAAAGATTAGGACAGGAATTAGAACAAAGATGTAAATTGTATAAACAAGAGCATTCTCAATTATTGGAGGAATAATTGAAATAGTAAACATTACATCAACAGGAAATCCAATAGAAAGAATTAAGAAATAAGTAAGAAATAGAAAATTTGATTTAAGAACATCAATTGATTGTTGAAAACTTTGAAAATTAATTGAAGAAACTTAAATTAGAGAGTAAATTACTAAATGAAGAATAAATAAGAGCGTATAATCAAATCTAAAAGGAATTAATCTAAAAAGCCTAAAAGTTTGAACAACTGGAAAAGCAGAACAATAGTTTGGTACAAGAATTAGAATCATATATATCACAATATACACTTACTCTATAATAATTAGAGGAATAAAAAGTGAAGGAGAAAATCTTAATTGAAAATGCTATTAAAAATCAAAATTTGTAGAACACAGAAAAATAATAATTAATAAAACAAATTGATGAATTGAAATTTAAATTTAGATCAGTTAAATAAAAGATGCAAAGAGTGTTTATTAGGTAAAAAGAGTAATTAAATTTGCAACTTTTTGAAATGAAATCTGTCATTTTGAATAAGCTTAAGCAATATGATGCTGAAAATAGACAACTTATACAGAGTTCTGTTAAAAAATTCAATTAAGTATGTAATCTAATTAAATTAGTTATTCGATCAAAGTTTGTAATAGGAAAAGAGGGAAAATGATATTCTGGTTATTGAACTATAAAAAGAAATGGAAAAGAAGATTGAACAATTAAAACGATAATACAAATAAAATGAGTAATTAATACAAGAGGAAGCTCAAATTAAATTTAAGCAAAAGTTGTAATAGATTTAACAATAAGATCAATCAGTTGACGATCTCAAAAATTAGTTGAATTTCTACATTTAAGAGAATGATCATCTATCTCAGAAACTTCAAGTGTAGGATTAACTTAATAGGGAATAATAGAAAAAATCAGAATATGAATAGAGATAACTTCAATAGACAATTAAGGAGCTAGAAAATGAATTGTAAATAATAATTTAATATTAGAATTTAAATTCAATAATCTGCTGATTACACTTTGAAAGAGAGATAATATCTCGAATAAAGATATAATGATCTAAAGGATAAATCAGAAAAGAAAATGGATTAAATCTAAAGGGATTATCAGTCATAAATATAACAACTTGAAACTATTATCCAACCAGTTTAACAAAGAGCTATATCTCCTCCTTTGCATTAACATTCCTTATCATCAAGTTAAGGCTTCCATCGCTCTCCAGTAATGTAGTAAAATCTATCATCTGCTAAATGTATGTTATATTATATGTATGTTCATCCCAGAACCATATGTCAAACCTCCATAATACAGTAGTCCATCTATTCGAACACCTCATAAGTCTCCATCAAATGATAGAACTGAAAAAACAATTGAAGAATTGAGAGCAGAGATTTAATAATAAAAGGAGAAACTTTCAAAAATGAAACTCAATTTTACAGAATCTCAAAAAAAATCTAAAACAGTATCAAAGTTTTGATAAAAACTATATTATATATTTATTTCTATCTATATGTATATCTAGATTATTACAATAATAGAGTATTAGTTTGCTGACTTATTATATACCTTCATCAAATTGAATTCAAATTTTCATAAGGTCTTCTATATAATTTTGAAACCATTTCTATAAAATAGCGAATTGTATCTTAGATTTGTGATTTACAATTTAGAACTCTAGATGAGATATGTTCTTCGCAAAAATAATGATCTTTTAGGAATATATCTTATTTTGAAATAACTATAAGAATTAAACCATATTATCTTAATCATTAATATTTATTTTTCATATACTCCTTATGTTTGAAATGTAAAAAATTATGACTATGGCTAGAACTCCAACAATCAAATAGATTTGTGAAACTTTATGCTACTTAACCATAAACATAGTACTATTAGCATTTTATGCTTCTATCCCTGAAGCTTTCAGTGATGATATGACTAAATATAGAGGTCTATCTATTGCCGGCAATGTTTTTATGATGATTGGATATTTGTTAATAGTAGCACTCCATTTCAAATACATTTTTTACGCGGCTTTAGGGATAATAGCAATTATGAATTTTGGGATGTTTTTGTTATTAATTGGTATGGGTATTGGAGCTAAGGAATATGAGGTATCACTTTAATATAATTATTTATAGATTTTCACGTTCAATATCGCAGTTGCATTTTGGTTCATTCAATTGGCAATAGACATCTTGGGAATGTTGGTGGTTCACAAAATATACAAAATTAATTAGGATGAATAAAATGACAAAGTCCCACAATAAAATAATGAAGCAAATAAGGCTGCAAATAATGCTTCTTAGCCTCAAGTTCAATTATGAAAATTAGAAAATAATTCAAATTTATTAATTTAAATTTTTTATACCTAAAAGAATTGATCATAAGTATTAGATAATCAAGTAAATTATTTTCAAGGGTATCTCTTTAAAACTCCTTTTATGATGAAACTATTTCTTCTTCTAGGAGAATTCTTTTTTAGAGGAGTGAATGATCTATTGACTTTCTTCTATTTCTAATTTCCGACGTGTTACTTTGCATTCTCAATAGATGGTAATCGAAATTAGGTTCTAGGTACAAACTAAGGCATTTCAAAATATTCTTATTCAAATGAGATTTTCATCCATTCATGATTGAGGATGTCGTAGAGTTTGATTCTTTTTTGCGGATCAATTAAGAAAATTCTGGATAATAGATCAATCAAATAGGGAGAGACATTCTTTTTGGAAAAAGTGTAATTGCTGGTTGTAATATTTTGAATGATGTCAAAATTGGAGTCTCCATCAAAAGGATACTTACCGAAGATGAGATGAAAGAGTATAACTCCCATGGCCCAAACATCTATGTGTGGACCTATCTTTTGGTTGTTTCCTTGGAGAGTTTCTGGTGCCATGTACCTGATGGTTCCGATATTTAGTTTATCCATGTTACTGTTGACAGCCATACCAGCAATACCGAAATCAACGACCTTAATCAATGTGTCATTCTTATTGGCGAACATGAGATTTTCTAGTTTGAGATCCCTATGGATGAGTTTGCGATTATGACAATACATCATGGCATCACAGATCTATCTGAAATACATTCGTGCCTCCTCTTCACATAACTGACCCTTGGCTTCATTAAAGAATTTAAATACCTTGAGTGTATTTGGAGAGATCACCGCCTTCCAAATACTCCATAACAACAATAACTTGCATGTTGGAGAGTGGATAACAATTATAGAATTTGACTATATTTTTATGGTTAAGTGATTTCAGTAAATAGGCTTCTCTAAAAACCAACTCTATGTCATTTGCATCTCTGTTTCTGGTATTCACATACTTAATAGCAACTAAGTTGAGTGTTTCTTTGTGTCTCCCCAATAATACTTTACCAAATCCTCCCTTGCCCAACTACTCCAAAATCTCATACTCTTGATGGATGATATTTGCATCAAAGTCTTCCCCTCTTGTTATATACAATTTAGAATTGTCTTTCAAGTAAATCAGATCCTCATTAAACAGTTCCACTCCGTCCTAAGTGAATACTCTAAAGTGTCTAAGACTAATTTAATGTCTCTATTCGCACAATTATCTCAGTTCTTTAAGTGAAGTGTCGCCATAGATGGATATTTAAAACTTACGATCACTGCCTAGCAAAGTGATATTGAGCGTTTTGGTGTTAGAAAGTTCATCAGACTCATGAAACATTTATAAGTGAAGTATTTTTAATTTAATTATGTCTTATATTATCATCCAAATAGTCAGTTGCTCAATAAAAGTTGACTTTTAGCTCTCCCAGATCTTTGCTTTAATACTATTTTGATAGGTTTGGCAGTCACATTTCCAATATTTGTTTAGGATTCCTCCTTTTGTATAGAACTCTTTCGACAACTTGATAGCATATTTGACTTCGGTTTCTTGGTTGTCACTTTTAGAGGTGTGGAGACTTATAGCATCTTCAATAAACTCAATGCAGGAATAGCATGACTTTCACTCAACCATCTATGATTCAAAATTCCTTATATTGTGATTCTGTTCCGATATTGGAATATTTGTTTGAATAAATCTAATAAATCATTACTGACCTTCTGAGGGATGGTGTATTTAAATATACTGATTGCTTAAATGAGTTCCTCCTTTGTAGATCCTCTAAATGGCAATTTCCCAAAGACCATTGCATACAAAATCACTCCAATTGCCCAGACATCAGAAAGCTGAGATGCAGGCTGTCCAGATATCAATTCAGGAGACATGTATGGCAAAGTGCCCATGCGAATCCGATCCTTGCCACAACATGCAATCCCAAAATCTACTATTTTTATCTATCTATAATGCATAGTGTAATTACTTAAGTACTATTGGGAGAGACAAGCAGAATGTTCTCTAATTTCAAATCCCTGTGGATCAAATTCTTCTTATGACAATAATCAATGCCCTCTAATATCTATTTCATGTAGATCCTAGCTTCAATCTCATCCAGATGTCCCTTCCTTCTCACCAAATCTAAGAGAGATCCTCCTTAGAGATGCTCCATCACCAATATGCATTCATGATTTAACATAATATTTTGAATCAGATGTACAATGTTCCTATGACTCAATTATTTGAGTATTTGTGATTCTCTGAACAATAGATCTATTTCATCCGCATTGAATCCATCTCCTTTTATTATCTTAATTGCTACATATACTTTTGTCTCCTTATGCTATCCTAACATCACAACACCTTGTCCTCCTTATCCAATTTAATCTAAAATTGTGTATTCTTGAAAGATAATGTTCTAATCAAGTTCCTGTCCATTCAACGTTGCCCATAATTTAGATTGCTTAGGTTAAAATCTGAGATCTTCTTAAAATATTTCAATTCCACTAGCATTAAATAATCGCAGCTCTTTTGGACTTATTCGCCATGCCAAACGAATCTGTCTTGAGATCTCCTTAATGGTTGAATATTCATTGATCATAACCTAAAATGGTGGATAGTTTGGATGACAGATTGTAATTGTTTTATATTGTTTCGAGATGTGATCAACCATTTATAGTAATATTAATAAATGGATTAATCGCAAGCTCAACATATTTGGAAGATGCTTGATGATATGGCTGCCTCCGATCCATAAGCATATAAATAATTTGTTGAGAAAAACATTCAAGCAGGAATGGAAGAGATGAAAATTGAGAAACAGCAAAAAATAGAAGAATTATCTATCGTACCCCAATTTGCTTATTCCATGAAAATTTGGGGCAATCTCCTTAAATAAACCATCAATGAATTAGAAAGCAAGCTATTATTGAAATAAAACGAACTCAAATAAGAAAATTTCCAATTTGATAAATTAGAAAAAAGAACCAAGTTTTACATCAATCTCCTCCATCATGAACGAGTATTGGGAGCATTCGACAAAAATGATACTCCAACAGACAATCCAGCGTAATTCAATTTAATTCCTCTCTCCATATCTGATGTCCAAATTGGCAAGTCAACTTCATTCAATACCTAAGTTTACTATTATGACATTGTTATTAATACAGATGTTTTTAAGAAAGTAAGACTATTTATTAATGTATTAGATCAATCGTCAAATTCTATAGTCAATTATAATTGATACATTATAGAAAAGGATAGAATTAGACAAGAATCCTGTTAAGTTTGTTTACTTTAAAGCATTCTATAAATTTGAAATTCCTTCTCTCAAGATAATCAACAAACAATACAAATATTGTGGACCTAAGAAGCCACTTAAAATGCTTTTAGAACCCTAAGCAGATAAAGAAGGAAGAAGGACTCCATAAGTTTAGAATCCAAGGGAAAACATTTAGTAGAATCTCAGTTTCACTAGATAGAATGATTCTCTTAATGATTTAATATTAAATGCCCAAAATTAGACTCAGAAAAAAGCACCAAATAAAGTTTTAATTGAGGAAATTGATACTAAAAATGAGGTGGAGAAATATTAGGTTGTCCATGAGAAGGATAAAATATTAATAACTATAAATGTTAATGTGGAAAACTTCTAGGACATTGATCTTAACATTTCAAGTCAAGGATTGAAGTTAACAACCATAATGGACGAGAAGATAGAGTTAGATTTTGGATGTTAAGTGGATGATGAGCATCCTTCAGCTAAATGGAACAAAAAGTAGAAATAATTGAAAATAGTTGTAAATAAATTATTGTGAATTATAAATCATCATCATCCTGCAATTACTTAAGAACACAATTATAAGTGAACCTCTTGCTTTTGAGTTGTACACTTTATATCTCCAATGACATCTAAGGGATTTGGGACCATGGATTCACACATCAATATCTAGGATGGTCAAAATATTTGATTACAATTTTTTGATTGCAATATTTTTCTAAATCTGACTTTATATTAGCTATGGTTGTTGTGCCTGGTAATCGAAGTTGCAAAATACGAGTTTGTTCATCAATTTTGGCATTTTTCTCATTCGCTAATTCTTGTAATGCTTTAAGAAATTGCTATCTATCCTATTGGGCAGTTGAATTGTAAATTTAGAGATTGACTATAATGTCCTCTCCTCTCACTAATTTAAAAATGGAAGGATACATGTATTTTTAAGTAAAGCTTCTTGATATTAATGCATTTAAAATTATTATAGATTTATATAGTTCACTTTTTTTTAATTTTTCTGGATTCTCTTTTCAAACACTTCTGGAGATCGTTGAATAAATATTTGATCTGCTATTGGATAGTTTCATCATCACTCTCTTGAGGATTGGCCTTTTTCTTATTTTTATCGCAATTGTAATGTCTCTTAATATTAAAGATAGAATCGGGGTATATAGGGATATCCATAATATAAAAATCAGATAATAATTTAAATAGTTTAAAATAATGGACGAGAAGAACACAGCAGACGGGTAAAAATTAATAGTAAATAAAGTTCGGAGTAGGTGGTGATCTTTGAAGAAAAAATCACTAAAGTTAATGGAGAAGTGGCAATAAAAAGATATTAGAGAGGCAAGTTTTTAGGAAAGGGTGGTTTTGCTAAGTGTTATGAAGCAACCAATTTAGAGACAAAGAAAGTCTTGGCAGCCAAGATAATAGCTAAAAGCAGTTTAACTAAGAATAGAGCTCGTTAAAAGGTAATAATTTGATGTTATGAATTAGCTTATTTCTGAAATCAAAATACACAAAAGTCTTCAAAATACTAATATAGTACAATTCGAGCATGTATTCGAGGATCATGAAAACGTGTACATTCTCTTGGAGTTGTGTTCTAATCAAGTAACTATCATCCATTTAAATTAGACTCTAAATGAATTAATAAAACGACGCAAAAGACTAACAGAAATAGAAGTGTAATGTTATGTTGCATAGATAATTAACGCACTCAAATACTTACATGCCAGTAATGTGATTCATAGAGAGTATCTTAATTAATATTTTAAGTCTCAAATTAGGGAATCTATTCCTCAACAAATCTATGGAATTGAAACTGGGTGATTTCGGTTTGGCAACTAAATTGGAATTTGAAGGAGAGAAGAAAAGAACTATTTGCGGAACACCCAATTACATTGCCCCAGAAGTTTTGGATGGAAAAGTTGGTCATTCCTTTGAAGTTGATGTATGGTCTTTGGGAGTTATAATCTATGCGATGTTAATTGGAAAACCTCCCTTTGAAACCCCAGATGTCAAAACTACATATAGGAAAATCAGATTGAATTCATACACTTTTCCAGAACATGTTCTCATCTCTGATGCAGCCAAGAATCTCATCACTAGAATTCTGAATTTAGATCCAGTGAAACGACCCACCTTAGATGAAATAATGTCTCATCCATTCATGAATACAGGTGGTACTATTCCAAAGACCCTTCCACTTTCTACTCTTGCTTGTCCTCCTTCCGCATCGTATAATAAACAATTCTAGCCATCCACAAATTCAAGCAGTCTAAAAATGTCAGTAAATGCCATGCCTTAAAGATTGACTGAGACCACTCCAAACAATTAGAAAAATCAATAACGACCTGGCAATGGTTCGTCTGATCGTTTCCCATGTATTCATTAATCATTATTATCCCAGTGCAGAAGCCCAGTTCTAGTGGAAATATCTTAGAAGATAACTTTGGCTCCAGTGGCCTAAATAACGCACAAAATGCTGGGTATGGAGGCTCCCAAAGACCTCAATCCCAAAAACCCAATGACATCAGAAGTAGTCAAAGTCAAAAGACACTTACTACTCCTTTTGGTGGCACTGGAATGCAAGCTACTCACTCAGTTAATAATCTTGGCCAAAGAGCACCACAATAAAAATAAGAAATTTATGTTAAAAAGTGGGTTGACTATTCCAGTAAATATGGATTGGGATATCTCTTAAGCAATGGTGCAACAGGAGTCTTCTTCAATGATTCGACTAAAATTATATTAGATACTAAATCACTACAATTTGAATACATGGAAAGAAAAGGAACTGACAAACAGGACAATTGCGAATCTCATAATTTAAATGAGTATCCCAGAGAACTCTAAAAGAAAGTCACATTACTTCAACATTTCAGAAGCTATCTTGAAGGCGAATAGAACAGATCAGATATGGCAGTCGAAGAATATGACAGTAAATAAGTAGTCTATGTTAAAAAATGGATGAAAACTAGACATGCTATCATGTTTAGATTATCCAATAAAATAGTCTAAGTATTCTAATTATTCATATGTGTAGGTTAATTTCACTGACAAAACTGAAATTATATTGTCATCGGAACATAAGATGGTCACTTATGTAAACAAAAATGGAGAAAGAAGCCATTATCCTTTAGCCACTGCTCTTGATAGTTAAAATACAGAAATGGCCAAAAGACTTAAGGTAAACTTATAAAATACATCATTTTAGTATACTAAAGAAATCTTGACTCACATGCTCAATGGTGGTCATACAGGAGATCAAAGACCTAACTAAATGACAGGGACCAATTGGTAAAACTCTGGACCTTGAAACGATTATTAAAATATAAATAAATAAGTGCATTCAAAAATAACAATTTTTCCATTATCCAATTATTCTATCTATTGTGGAAATCTACATAAATAACAGAGGTTAATTTGTTCGTTATCACTTATTGCATAATTTTCAATATTCAAATGACTTAGGATTGCATAGCTTAATAAATCATTTATAATTAATTTAAAATCTTAATAAAAGAATTTAATTGTAAACAACGCTAAACTTAAAGAGTTCTGAAATAAATGATAATAATGCTAAATAAATAATTGAGATCTGATTTGGATAAGGAATTAAAACGTCAATAAGAAGATATATTACTAGTTATTAGAATGATTATATAATAAATATAAATAAGGTTTCGCTAAAATGAAAAAATCAATATTAAGTCCAAGTCATTAACTAAGTTCTCCATCGAGTTCTCACTTTAGATCATAGACCTGTGGTTCTGGAGTGATTGACCAATCGAGGATCTTGGAGGAAACAACTGAAAGATTTCAGAGAACTTGGAATATATTGGAGAGTGTGGAGGAGTTTAAGAATGTTAGGTAGGTAGTGAAGTAAGTGACAACAGAGCCAAACGTTTAATGTGAATGTTAATTGGGGGGCACGATAATCTCAGGCAAGGTTTATAAAGTAGCTCCAATGGAGTTTTATTATTGTAATATTGGGACCAGAGGGCAGAAATCTCCTCTGAATTGTACTACATTTTGTGACGGGGAGTTTTAGATAATGATTTCATTTAATTCACCTTTTCCAACAAAGTTCAATTGCGATTAGGTAATTCGAAGTAGACAATGGGCAGTGAGACATAATGGGGAAGAGAAATTACATTTGGCAGTAGTTGCTAGAAAGTAAACAGAGATGAAGTTTATGGTTCATTTTGGATAGGCAGATTCTTTCCGCAAATTGGTGCGAATGACTAGTAATCATGAAAGAATTCCAATGAGTGACGAGATACCAAAGACACCTTAATTCATAGTGAATTAGAATAAGGTTCTAGCATTTAAGAAGGTGAACAAATTCGAGATGGAGGTTAGTCGATCAGATCGTTTTTTACAGGTATTGAAAACAAGAAATCTGCAAAAGAAGTCCGTTTTGGAAGCCAATTAAATTAAGAACCTTGAATTTAAGGCTAAGGAGTGGGCACATGATGAATATAAATTGATAACCTCGGCCTTACGAAACAGAGAGAGGAGAAGAGAATAAAAATATCTTTGGTTTGAATTACTTTATTACATCAAACTTATAGACACATTGAACACTTTGTTATAGTAGAGAAGAAAGCAATTGATGAAGAATAAGATGATGGTGATAGGTTTGTAGTTGAGAATCAAGACATTCAGGGAGAATCGATAGAGAGAGAGAGGAGACATTCAACATCGAGTTATTGGAGATACTGTGTTGTCTTTGATGATGTTTTGTAAGTAGGCAAGGAGGAGATTCATTCACAATTCTTTGGGTTCTGTATTGCCTTTGTTGAAGTGGAGAGCATCATTGTTTATGTTCAAGAAGAAAGCTATGATAACCAGTGGGAAGTTATAGTTGATCAAGGTGAATCTTAATCAATTTGTAAGGAATGTGAGAGATTACAAGGCTAAGATGATTCAAAAATGGGATTAATACACTTTGAAGATACACTCCGTTCCGTCTCTATAAAAAATGGATAAGAGATTCATCACTTGGATCAAGTATCTCTATGAAAAGGGATATCAAACATACTTTTAGAATTAGTTTATCACTTTGTTGATGAGGGATCGTTATAGATCTCATATCAGGGAATAGCGGGAAATCAAGAAATATAGATTGGAATTAAAGGCTGCCAAGTTGTAACTGAGATTTGTTAGAGACACTGCGGATATTGTTACTTTGAGATAGAGAATTTTCAAATTGAACAATGATATATTTGCTATGTAAGTGAAAAACTAATTCTTCATTCATTCAGATGTTGAACGATTTGTAAGTTCAATTCTAGAGTAGAGCTCATTTATCTTTTTAGATGAGGATACTAATCAATTAAATTAAGAGAAACAATCTCGCATGAAAGTGAGTTTGAAAAGATAGAAAACAATGAGAATCTCAAAGAATCTTTGAATTGTTTATGTTATTTTATTATTAATAATATCTCAATAGATATTCTCCTACTCTCATTTAAGTTAATATTTATGTAATATCATTATAAAATTATGCAATCAACTTTGAAGGCTGATATAGTATTCAGAGTGAAGTAGCATATAATCAATTTCAGTTATAGATGGAAATAGGAAAATAAGAATCAATTTTAATTACAAACCTATGAATTAGAGAAATTCAACCAAACATTAATTTACACTGTCGGAGTACAGCATTACATAATGGGTGATCTCAAAAAAGATAGCAGAAATAATTGTTGTTAACTGATATTATAATTATTACGATAATTGAAATTGGAAAAGAAGTCAAAAAAGACTGAAGAATGCATATGAATGTTATGTAGAATAGAGAACTTATATTAGTAAAGTGTTGAAATTGGAATTGATTGGAGTGTTGACTCTAGGGAATATACTGTTGATATAATATAAAATATGATTAATTAAATTAATGGCTTCAAACTTGTTTCAATAGAATGATATTAACTTCAATAAAAAAGTGGATGAATTTAACAACCTCTATAAACAATACTCGATGACTCAGAGTAAACAACTCACTTTAGAGAAGATGAAACTTATTCATGTTTAGGCCGAATAACAAGTAATCGATATAATCATTGTCTTAAATAGTTCAAATTCATGGAAATTGAATACAGTTCCTTTAACGAGTAGAATAAACAGGAATTTGCATAAAAGTTTAAATAAGATAAGATGCTTTACACAGAATGCCAAAAGAAGTTGAGAGATTTACAATTAGATATCGATAAACAACCTCAATCCCACTTTAGCAAAGTTGTTACGAAAACACAACCCTCTTAGATCAGTGGCTTGAATTCCGATTTGCACACATAAGTTAAGCAATTGAATCATCTGGACTCAAGATTACTTGAAGCTGAAGACACTTAAATAAGCATTCTTGATAATCTTCGTAGTTAGAAGGAGAAACTACTAAGAGCCATTGAAGATGTAATAATATCGTTACTAATTTAGACCAAAGAGATCTAGAGTGGAGTGAAAATGACTTAGAGACATGCGACTATGATTAAGAATAGGGAATCATACAACAAAGGGATATTGATGACTTTGGTTTGCATATTAACAATTGGAAATATTCTTATTATATACTATAAATTTGTCAATTGAAACACACATGAATTAATAATATATCTATGATATTAAGCAAAAATTTTCATTTTATTTTATATCAATCATACTCTAACTATTATTGTCATATTCCAAAATTCAAATATCCAAATCATATCCCCTGCATCCTCACAAGAAACCTCAGAACAATCTGATCCGAAATTGGGGAAGGGATAAAAATACTCATAGATCCTCCAATTTATTAGTGAAATTGTAACAAATAACTGCCGATAATATAAATAGTTTCCTATTTTCTCGTCTGAAATACGTGATTCTAAATACATCTTTTTAGTCTGCTGAGAATTTAATAGATACAACTTCATTTCTATTTAGATATTATAATACTTAATCAATTAGATCTTCAAATTGACATGTTATCTATACTTTTTTAAAAATCGGAACAGTAAATAAGCACCAAATTCTCTTTGTAGAGTTAAAAAATATCATATAGATATCTGATATCCAATGATACTATTATTTTTTATGAATACTATTTCAAAATTTTCAAAGATCAAAACGCCTTATATCAGATCAATAATTTTCACTTATTCCTTATATCACGATTATCCTTAGATTCAATACTTATATAGGGATTGTAAATAATTGAAGTGAAGGTATTTTTACATATTCTCTTCCAATATCTTAATAATAAATTCACCAAATCATGCATGCAAAGAAATAACTGAAGTGATTTACTTATTAAATTTGAAAGGAAAATATTATGAGAGAGCCAACTAAGAGATGATTTTAGTATGCTTTTAGGCTATTAAGTAATGATTTTTGTGATTTATATATCAATTTGATATTTATATTTTGTTATTGAAATTAAATCAGTATTTTATAAGGTGCATAGTATTTGAAATTCCGTATATGTTCATTATTGATTTTTTGAACTTCCTTGGACTTACATAATTAGAAGTTGGTTATGTTATTGTCTTTTATGGTGACATAATATCCAATTGGCTCCAATTTCTATGCATTTTTTTTGGAAAAAGAGGTTGATCGATTGTAATCGATTTATTGAAGGGGAACAATTTAGTGTGCACTTTAGCCTTGGGAGATGGCAAAAGAGGCATATTAATCTTCTTTGATTGGTTAACAAGATCAATTTATTAAACTGTTACTTTTGGTTTAAAGGTTGATAATATACGGAGCAAATTTACTTGGTCTTTGAAGCCTAATCACTTCTATTTAATATTCTTACACTTTTTTAAAGAAAGAATGCGCTTAGATTGACTTTGTGAATTCCCGTGTTTGAGTCTTAAAAATACTATCCTGGCTAAATTCTAATTCCGATGTTGTGGATTATCAATTTTAACTAACTGCATCCATTCCTTACTGGATCGAAAGTAGCCAAACTCATCTCCCTCACAAGATTTTCGACGGGCAATGGTTGTTGGAGTTTCTAAAGGTCCAGATGCATAAGTCTTGATTGCATTTCTACGAACATAGCGTATTCGAGTATTTATAAACTTATGAACAAGCAAGGGAATTCCTCTTGGCAATGATTTAGATCTAAAACTACTTCTCTTGAATTATTTGAGCATGAACAGTAAATTCAATAAGAGTTTTAAATAAATTATTATTTACATCACTCAACAAACATAATCTTTTATTATTGGAATAGAGGTATTTTTGAATTCTACATTAATTGATGCTGAATTCTAATCTGAAACTGATTGTTTAATAATGTATAAATATTTTAAGAAAATAGAATATCTATATAGACAAATGAATAAATAACATCCTCCCTGGGGTTCTTAGATAGGTGTAGCACATGGCGGTGTGATTGGGTATTCGAATTGTGAACCCAATTATGATATAACGAAAGTTCACATCTATGAAGTTCATTATAAGAAAGAAGAATCTGGATTGAGGTGTGACATTTTTATGGGCTACAAGTAAATGCATATTCCAAAATAGATATTAATGTGTTGAATTTGCAAGAAGGTTTTATGTTTTGAATTATAAAACCATGTTTACAGATATTTAAAAAGCACCTGACATTTGGGACTTGGAAACTGTTGAAGATTTGACAAAGGAATCAGGTACATTTCAATTTGTTGGATTCAAACAAGGTGGACCTGAGTATATATACAATTCATATGTTAGACCACCAAAATTTGGTGATTTACTATTAGCACCATAAAGTGAACATTAACCTTGGGGTCATGTTGCTGTAGTGGTAGGAGTGGGAGATGGATACATTGATTTGGCTGAACAAAATTATGAGGATGCAGGTTGGATTGCAGAATCATATTCCAGAAGAGTCAAGGTGGAATGCAAAGATGGCAACTACTTTGTCAGCTATATTAGAGTTGGGTATGGATTGCAGTTTTACTATTATTTAGTTTTGAAGATCAATTTAACTAATCCTGGGACAAGGACGAGGTAATAATTGGTTGGAAAAGAATAATATTTAATTGAGTGTATTATCATACGTATTATTTATTATTAATATCTAATATGGACTCATCAGCTACAACAAGACGTCTTCAACATCTCTCAAGACATTTCAAAGCTTCCAATATAACCACTCCTCCAGTTAGAGTTACTGTCACAGGTGCTGCTGGAAATATTGGATATGCACTTGTCCATATGATTGGATAAGGTAGACTTCTTGGACCAAATTAATAAATCATTTTAACTCTCCTTGAATTGCCAATGGCCAAGGATTAATTGGAGGGCACAATGATGGAACTTAGAGACTGTGCTTTCCCCATCTTGAAGGAAATCCGAGGAACAACCCAATATGATTAAGGCTTCATGGGTTGTGACATAGCTATCTTGGTTGGTGCAAAACCAAGGGGACCAGGCATGGAAAGAAAGGACTTGTTAGCTGCTAATGCTCGTATCTTCAAGGAGTAAGGAGAAGCATTAGAAAAATACGCTAGCAAAAATGTTAAGGTTTTGGTTGTAGGAAATCCTGCCAATACCAATGCCTTAATCACAGCTTAATTCGCACCAAGCATACCAAAATCTAACTTCACAGCACTCACTCGTCTAGATTAAAATAGAGCTCAATCCATCATTGCTTAAAGGGTCAGTGCCAATGTTGAGGATGTTAGAAATATTATCATCTGGGGTAATCATAGCACTACTCAATTTGCTGATGTTAGTCAAGCAACCGTGTAATAGAATGGAGTTTCATAAACGTATTAATCTACTCCACTATTTTAGTGTTCGAGGACTTGTGGCTGATGACACTTGGCTCTAAAAGGCATTCGTTGAATAGGTGGCCAAGAGAGGTGGTGCTATTATTGAAAAGAGAAAGGCATCCTCGGCTGCATCTGCTGCAAGTGCTGTTTGTGATCATATTCATGATTGGCTCATTGGAACTGATAATGGGTAATCCATCTATTTATATTCATAGCACATTTGTCTCCATGGGCGTCATTACAGATGGACAGTTATATGGAATCAAAGAATAAGTTTGTTTTTCATTCCCATGCATTTGCAAGGATGGAAACATCAAAGTTGTTGAAGGTTTGAAATGGGATCAATTTCAATAGTCCATGATTGACAAAACTTTGAAAGAGTTGTTAGAAGAAAAGGAAATGGCTTTTTCTGTTGTTGTTACAAAATGAATTATAAAAAAAGTTCAATATATATTTAATCATGACGCATTATTAAAAAAATTTAGTGTATTTATAAAATTATACGACATCAATTTTCCTCGGCAAAAAAAAAAATGTGATTTATAATCTAAGTCAATTTGAAAAATGGAATTTAAAAAAAAAATTCAATGACTTCACTAATGATGGAGAAGACATAAGGGACTTTTAAAGACGATTTTTTTAACAATTACTTATAACTTCTTTCTAATGATTCTTTTGACCATGATCAAGAAAATGAATCACAATAAAGTACGAGCAGTAATGAAGATATTACACTTAAAATTGTCAATTACTAAGGACTTCCATCGGAGAATTAAAATTAAGGCTTTAAAGTTGATCTCAATTAATAATATAAAGTCTATGTTTCTAATAGAGAACTTATAAAAAACCACATCGCATAACTAGCTTTGAGGAACACTAAATCAATAAAATATGATGTGGCATTAATAGCTTTGAGATATTTAGAAGGTTTCTTAAAATAATAATCCTTTAAGCAAATCAACAATTGTATAATTAAAATTGAGAATGTATTTAAAGAAGTTAAAGGAGACATACATTAGATTGCCGATACGGAGTTCAATAATTTCATTGAGAGGCAATTTTATTCAGATGAGAATTTTAATTAGAAAATATTCAATACTAATATTTTCAATATTATTGCCAGTTAATTAATCTTGTATAAAAAAGAAAAATGCATAAAAAAATTAAAAGAACGTCACAAATAATTGTCTAAAAGTTGGATTAATCTTCTCGACTTTTAAAAGTCAGAACATAAAAAATATTTGGAGTTAATAAATGATCTTGATCTTTAAGGTATTAAATTAAGTAACAATCACCCCGATAAGAATTACAAAAAATATGATTTCTTAGAAATTGCTCTAGAGTTACTTAAGAATCTACGAGATAATTACAATGATAGTTCAATTAAATAAAAAATATTGGAATTATTAAATGGAATTGTAAAAATGAAATACAACAAATATACCTAAAAAAAATAAATTAATTTTACTAAACATGATATTACTGATTTATTATATTTCAATAATGAATTTGATATGGAAGCTATGGAAGAATTAGAAGGTATTAAGGACAAGCCTTTAATTAAAAAATCAGAATTAAAAGAAAAAGTGGACAAGCCTTTAATTAAAAAATCAGGATTAAAAAAAAAAGTAAAGCAGGATCAGTGAAATGAAATTAAATACCTAAAATTTAATCTTATTTATATAAAACCTTATTTGGAATCCTTGGTATATAATTCTCGGAATCTGACATTTTTAGATTCCATCTCTAATATTTACAGCAAACCTTTAGTTCTGTTCTAATCATATCTTAGATTTATTCAAAAATCTTGTTTAATAATTGATCAATTAATATTGGATAAATATAATATTATATTTAAAATCGATTTTAGACATGATTTGTAAGAGGAACATAGTAGAGTATTTGTTCAATAATACTTTATCAATTAAATATATATCAATTAAGATCATTATAGTCGTCGTCAATGAAATCTGCAACTTCTTCATTGTTTTCTTAGTCTTCATATATTTGATCTTCTTTGTGTTCCTGTTGTTATTATACACTTTGCTGTTAGTCTTGAAATACTTGCTACTCTTAATGCTCCTGTGAAGATTGCGGTTTATTTTATTATTAGCTTTCATCAAGTTCTTGTATTTCATTGAGTGCCTTATTATATTATTTAGAATTAATATTTTCTTAAGAAACTGAATGAGTATTTTTTTTCGTTCCACTGACTAGGATGGCTCTTTTAAAGGACACATCTCCTGTTTTAGCCCCTTTATTGGGGGTAGTGTTATTTGATTTTTGACTTGATGATCTGTTTTCTTGGGAGTGAGTTGAAGTGTTTTCTTGCATATAATTCTTTCTTTATGTGAGCAAACTCATTTAATACTTAGTGGGATTATTTGATAAAGCTGATAAATTCTTTACATTTGATTTTTATTTGGTTTGATCAAGGATTTCTTAGAAAAGAGTTTCTAAATTATTCTTAGATTTCAATAGTTCTGTATTTTCCATTTCTAATTGCTTATTTCTTTGTTTGAATCTAGTTGCATAGCCTTAACTAGTCTTTAATTGGGTTGCCAAGGATTTCTATTACTACTTTAGTAATTCGATTTCTGAATCTTTCTCTAGGATTTGATTTTTGAGATTCTATAATTCATTTGATTTGCTTTTAGAATTCATTTACAAAAAAGACTCTAATTTTGCCTTTAGGTCAGAATTATCTTAAAGAATTCTTAATTAAAGCTATTTAGATTTTTATAATTCTTCATCTTTGAATATTAATTATTCCTAATACTTTGAGGATGCTTGAATAGATTTTTTGAGCTATAGATAGTAAGGTATACTGTTACTTCAATGTCTAACTGTTTAGAATGCTCTAGTGATTTGATGTATTGTCTATTGCTTTCTTGTAATTTGGATTCTAATTCTCTGATTTTAAATTCAAGATCAGAGATTTTCTTAGACTATTCTTTGAGAGTCTTGTTTGCTTATGATAGTTAAGTAGTGAGAGTAGCATTTTCCCTTTGATATAAATACAATGAGTAAATACTTTTCAAATTATTTAGTAGTTTATTCAAATTATTTTTTGGCTTCATTCAAAATGTCATCCTTTTCAAGCAATCTGTTTTTAAATAGTTCTTACTCATGAGCAGACTTAATGAATAGTTAAACAAAACAAATACTTTTTCTTTGTTCTTTTCAAGGATCTGCATAATTTTAGTCATTTCATCTTTGTATTATTTTTGTGAATCCTTCAATTCATTCTAAAGATCCAAGATCTGCTTAGAATTGGCTGTGTTTTGATCTTCTGTAAGTTTGAGTGAATTTAGTAAGTTAGCGTTGGTAGTGTTTAGTTATTAGAGTTAAGAGTTGAGTGTTTAGTTATCATTCAGCAAATTGTCTTTGAATAGTTTTAAATTACTTAGTTCAGTAGTAAGAGTGTTAAGATGACCATTCTATTGAGTCAACAGTGTTAATTGCTATTTTTGATTTTCTAATTGTTCATTAAGTGATTTGATTGATTAATCTCTTTCTTCTAAATCTTTCTGTAATTGGGGAATCATTTATTCTAAATGGGAGATCTTGTTTTCTCTTTCTTTGAGTTAAGCATCTTTTTCACTGAGAAGATGTTCATAATGTGAAGTGATTTATTGAGACTGTGATTCAGAATTGCTGTTTTCTCCAGACTTAGCAATGAGTTGTTAATTGAGATCCTTAGCCTCAGTCAGTTGAACTTCGACTTCATTCAGTTTGCGTTGGAGTGCTTGGATTTGATTCTTGATTAGGAGTTAGATGTACATTGAAATCTCTTTCTTTCGATCGCCATTCCACAACATCACTTTGATTCTTTTCTATGAGTTTGAGGTTTTGAGATTCAAGCATTCTCAGCTTCTCTCCAAGTTCCACTACCTAAGCAATCATGATTCGATGTCTACTTCTGAATTGTTTTAGATGGATCGTTGCAATTCTTCTACTTTATTAGTAAGTGATACTATTTGTCTATGTCTATTTTGAATGTCCTCTTCTAAACTTTTGATTTTGGTTTGCTATTCTTATTCCTTAGACATATTGGTAATTATTAATTATGTCTGAACAATCAGAAGAAGAATCGTAAGAGTTACAATAAAAGGAAGAACAACAACAAAAGAGTGAAATCTTACAATAAGGGAATAAGACCGAGGAATAATTATAGCAAATCCCATATGTTCATATGCTAAATAATAAATACAATGTGAGAGAGGCTGTACATGCAGGATCCTGGTATTCAAGCAAGAGCAACGAACTAAAGATACAAATTAATTGTTGGTTAGAGTAAGCAAAGGCAGAAGTGACCACAGTTGCATAATTGAAAGCCTTGGTTGTTCCGTAATGCATTTCTCCTTAAATTAAGCCATGCAGGTTATGCCTACTCCGGTCCTACTGCAGCATTCAGTTACAAATACTTGAAGAAGTACCCTCCTTCTGAGAAATTGAAGGTGTTCATCCTGGGACCCTGTCATTATGTTTATATAACCCAATGTTGTTTAACTCGATAGGAAATATACGAAACTCCTCTCGGGAACATCAAAGTAGATTTGGAAAGTAAGTGATTGATGATCACAATTAGCTGTAAAACAATTGCATGAACAAGGACTATTCGAATAATCAGACAAGGATGCAGAGGAGGAAGAGCACTCCATTGAAATGCAATTGCCTTTCTTGGCTCATATTTTGGGCACTGATAACTTTACGATCATCCCGATAATGGTTGGATCTATTGATGCTAAATCTGAAGAGTATTATGGAAGATTGCTAAGTGAATACTTCGATATGGATGATACTCTATTTATTATATCAACTGACTTCTGTCATTGGGGAACTAAATTCGCTTACACTTATTATAATAGTGCAGACGGAGAGATATTTGAGTCAATTGAAAAATTGGATTAGAAGGCAATGGAACACATAGAATTACATGATTTGGATAAGTTCAATGATTATTTGAGAGAATATGAGAACAATGTTTGTGGGAAACACTGCATTGCCATATTATTACATGTAATTGTAAATAGTCTATTTGAAAGTGCATAGCAATGAGTTAGAACACACATATGATGGAGACTAAGTTTATTAGATATGCGCAATCTTGTTTGGTGAGAGACAAGAAGGATTCATCAGTGAGTTATGCAGCAGCCATCACATTCTTAGAAGATTGAGTGGAAATTAATTTGATTAAATAAAAAATATAGATATACTCATTCTATAATGATGGCTGAGTCATGATTTTGTCCAATCTTAGATTTGTTGGTTTGTAGTTTTTGTTGTTCTTCCATTCTTGCTTATTGTTGCAACTTCATTTAATTTATGTAATAATTATTGGCATAGAAGTTTGCATAACTATTGCTCCTGAGATGCTGATTGGATGACAACATCATATTATTAATTACATTTTATAAGGTGTTTGAATAAGGGGGTTGGTTGACAGACTCCTTGGTTTTGATTATCTACAACTTATAGAAGATATTATTGGTCTCATTGGACAACATCTCCAAGTTTATCATACGGTTGTTGTTCTTAATGGCATAGTTGGGCAGATTGTCCAGACAGAGCTGTTTTTGAATGTTCTCATTGACTATTTGTCCATTGTTGTCGAAGGTGATTTCATTCACTTAGATATCACACTTTTTGATTGTGTTTAAGATTGCATATTGATATGCATCAACCTAAATAGTGAAGAGTTTCTTTTTACATATGGGACATCTCCATTTTCTGGGTTACATGGAGTACATGGCTGTAATGTAGTTTTCCAATCCAAAACATTGGATGTGTTAACAGAAAGACCCTCTTACTGGGGTATTCATCAAATTGAAGGTGATTGCACATGTCAATTAGACAGTGAGACTATCTACCTTGATATCATCAGCTTAATGTTTGTTCAGATAAAGAGAGATGAAATCCTGGCATTATTCGATGTTCATCCAATTTTCACTATTGTTGAAGATGTTGTCGAGTAATTGCTTTGAATTGAACTACTCTATAGAATATACTCCCAGGAAATACAAGTGACCCAAGGAGATTCGATATTGACTCCTCTGATCAGGAGTGGGTATGCATTCTTTAATTTGCAAACAATTCTATGGGAGCACTTCAGTAGTGAGGATGTGATCGTCCTTGCGTTTTTTGAGACTGTGATTGTTGATGAGTGGTTTGAAATCCTGGATTTTCTTTTGATTTAGGAAGAGTTCTCCAATATCAGGCCAAGTGATTTCTTCACAATTAGTCTTATTCTCTTGTCTCACACATCTAATATTAATGATGCTTTTATCGCAGGCGAAGTTGAAGGCCTTGTGATTGATTTAGCCCATTTGTTGGAAGGAAGAGGGTGGAACCAAGGCACTCTATATTTTGTTGAAATGATCCATGTATTTGAGCACACAAGGAGGACACACAAATTCTAGATCTTTGTAACACTTGTCAAAGGATTCTTTGGATTTGGCAATACAGTTGAAATGCAAGTAATTTAGGCATAAAAGACATTGTATTAAATTATCTGATTCTGATGGTGGTTTACCTTGACACACACAGTTGTCACATTTGGCTTCTTTTTCAGAGGGTCCGTTATTTATTCTTCTGTACTTTAATTTAACAGAATTGGGAATGCAAATTTCATCTTCTATAGTTTGGGATGGTTGAGTTGTCTATTAGGTGTTGACTGGCTATTGTTGTTGGGAACAAGGGACATTGGTTTGTTGGGATGGTTGTTGTAGTTGTGGATCCTCTTACTATTGTTGCTATTGCAGGATGGGATCATCTGGATTGTTCATAATATTTTGATCTTCGTCGTCCTCAATTTGCATAGGTTCTGGCTCTGGCTAGGATTTCCTCTCTTAGGCCATTATCTTTTGGATTAAAGGGGTCTGAGTCTGGAAGAAGGCGTGAATCTGATCATTGATTTCATCGACGATTTGTTGGTATTTGACACAATCACAACGTAACATGCTGAGGGAATACAATTCTAGAAATGAGTTTATGGAAGGCGGTTGTTTGTAATACTGAGAGATCTATTGAGTCTATAAGTCAGATAGATGATGTTTGGATGAAGTCTTATGAATGAGATCCAAGATGTGAGTGGAGGTGCTGACTTCGAGTTGTTTGAGCAGAGTGCAATTTTTCATTTTAATAAATGTCCATTCTGGAATGAAGCGCGCTATGTTTTGGTTGATTAAAAAAAGAATGAATTAATTGGTAAAGTGGGGCATCCATACTCCCCACCAAAAGATTAGTTAAATCCTACAACCCCCACTAAGTGGAATTAAATTTAGAATCTTTTTCCCATTGGCAATTTTATTATTTTAAAATACTTGAGAGAGCGCCTAGTTTCATGTCAGATGACCTATATCCATTGTTTGGTTGGAATGAACCAGTTCCCACAGAATTCAAAGAGATATTTTCAAAGTGTGTCAAGAAAGAAACGGAAATCCCCCACGATTCCAACTCCAGGAAGTGCAGTAGCACCCTAGAAGAATCCCTAAGTATTCTCCGCAATATCCCCTAGTCGTCGATGAAGATTATGAAATAATAGGAAAGAGTCAAAACGATAATTCCATATGTCCAATCTGCTATCAAATTGTGCAACTGGGCAACACCCAATTATACTCAAATCACCTCTCCCTCTACTTCGATGTCCATACCCAATGTGCCCTTATGTGTAAACAAAAACCAGCCTCTCTTGCCCAATTGCATCAACGCATCCAAATGGCCAAATTTGTTAAGCGTGTTCCCCTAGAATACGACCTCCTCGACCTCAACATCAAAGCCTTCGTTGAGTTCCGAGTCTTTCACACCATTGCCCAAAAACCATTCTTGCATCTCACCCACTCCACCACCCTTAAATAAAAGAAAACCACCTCCATTCTAATAGATTATGCCAATCTAAGAGAGCACTTTGGCAAGCGTCCCAAATACCTCATCCCCTTCCTCCAAGGACGCATTCAAATCGAACTCTACATTATAGATGCCAATCTCATGCAAGAGAGTAAGGGTGCTCGCACCTATGAATTTTATTACAATGCAGAATAAGCGACTGTGGGTGATTACATTTCCTTGGAATCCGATGGAGTGTGCATCTCAATGTAACTAGAAGAAGAATCAATTTAATTATCCATTAAATCGCTTCAAATCACACTCCCGACTGAATTAACCACCAGTCTAATAAAGCAATCCCCAAAATCATCACCCATCATCGATAGCTTCTTGTTCTCACCCAAAGTTAACACCTTCACTCCGCAAGTAGGTCCAACCCAACCAAGAGCTCGTTTTTAAAGTTTCCAACTTGAAGATAGTGCACAAACACCTATAGATGAGTGGACTGAAGATTTACAGAATCTGGAGTAGATCAGAGGGAATGTTGTTAACTTCGTTAAAACCCAGCATGGCAGCAGATTGATTTAGAAACATTTCACAACAAGCACACAAATGGAATTAGATCAAATGTTATAGGAAATTGGACCTAATCTACCAGATTTAATGATTGATCCCTATGCCAATTACATGTTTGGTAGTCTCAGTCAGAGTTGTGCTCCCCACCAAAGATTATATATCTTATAGACTGTATTACACATATATTTATATTTAGATTGGCAATCGTCTTGTTGACATTGCATGTGACAAAAAGGGAACTCATGCCATCTAGTCTTTAGTTTCATTAATCTCTTGCAAATAAGAGGAATAAATGGTTGAGAAGAGCATCAAGAATAATATTATCTCACTTACCCTTGATAGTCAAGGAACTCACCTCATCAAAAAGATCATTGCACGCTTCTCAGAAGATCGACTCAACAACATTTTTAATAAATTGATGGACAGATTCATTTAGGTTGTCAATCATCAATTTGGATTGTGTGTGTTGAAAGATCTCATCACCAAATTTAAAAACAATTTAGATAAATCCACTATCATAATCAATAAAATCAGGGATCATCTAGATGAAATTGTCCAAGATCCTTTTGGAAATTATGGAGTCCAACATGTTATAGATGTAATGAATCTGCCCCCTTATTGTATTAGGTCTACGGAGATCTCAGGTGTGGTTCCATTATTGATAAAATACTTCTTAAACTAATACAGCTATCCATCCATAAGTATTCATCCAATGTTGTCGAAAAGTGCATACTTGAAACATCTCCTAAAACTCAAAAAAGGTTCATCAAATAACTTTCTTAAGACATCATCTGTTTGGAATTAATGAAAAACAAATTCGGAACCTTTGTACTCCAAAAGGCATTGTAAGAAGCTGACAAATTAGCAGAAGCAGATCTATTGCAATAAGTACTATGTCGTAATCTACCTTCCATTTATGCTTTAAATATTAGACAAAAATGGATCGAATACTTATCTAGGAAGTGATGTTATATTTAATTGTATATTAATTAAAGTTGTCATTCTCTATTTAATAGATGCAATTGTATCTTTGGATATGCAATTTACTGAAGATTTCACACCAAAAACAATAATTCTATAAATTTTTATGTAATAAAATTAATTAATTTAAAGTATGATTTATAATTAATGATTTATTGATCCTCTCGTCTACTTGAATTCAGAAATTATAACATTTAATTCAAGTGATTTCTACAAATTCAATAACATATATTAAATTACAATAAGTACTCCGATGATTATATGATTCAGTAAATTTGCTCATAATGAAATTAAAATCAATAAAGTCTAGAAACAGGCCTACTAATTGTGTATTATCCAGGCCCAGGAGATGATGACACTCTAAAACTCTCCACTCTTGCTCTTGTAAATGAAATAATCCTTTTACTCAATGTAGACTCTAAATTGTACGCTCCTGGTCCTGGATAGACTGGTTAAATAGACCTAGGTCTCGAATTCATATAATCTAAAAATTCCTTGTTCACCTTATAGGGTTTTTCAGGCGGACATCTGAAAACCCTTACTACAGAAATGTTGTAGTTTCCAGGTCCTGGGGTTTCCGAGTTTCTATTGAACATCTATCGTTAGCCTTTGGGAAAAGAGGGTCCAATAGGTTTTTGTATTTGAATTAGTTCACTGAAGGTTGAGGTTTCGCAGCTGTATTTCTGTTTAGGGAAACGATCAGCCTTTCCAAAGGTTTGATGTAAATTCTTTAGTTTAGATTCTTTCATTTATTTTATTAAAATGTAACTATATACATTTATAGATTGGTTCTTCACGATTGGATCTCTTGGACTAGCCATTCTATTGGGAGTATATGTCAATGGAGCAGCCTGTCTTTTAGGAGTGTTCCTCTATTTTATCTACCCTTTCATGATGGAATTCTCCTATAACCTCCTAAGCGTAAGAGAGGAAATCTTCATAAGAAATATGCCCGAAATCCCAATCGTATATGATGAGAGCTATAATATCACTGCCTGCGGAATAGAAAAGTGGCATCCCTTTGATTCCTGCAAATATGGGAATGTCTATAGATAAATCAGGTAAAAGGTAAAGGCTTCGCACTTTACTCCATAAATGCTATCCAGAGGAACTTTCCTTTACCTCGGTATGAGTAAATGGTACTTGCTCAAAATGTGTTACAGTGCATATGCTTCCACCTTAATTGAATTGCCTGTATTCTTCTTGCCTGGAGCCTTCTTGAGATCCTGTCTCTTGGATTCAATGCTACTTGCAACAAGCGGTAGTATTTATGCAGCCAAACTAGCTCTTGAAAAGGGTTGGGCAATCAATCTAAGTGGAGGCTATCATCATGCCTCTTTAAATAGAGGTGGTGGGTATATATAACATAGTATTCAATTAGATTTTGTATTTATCCTGATATCACTTTGGTAGTAAACTACCTTAAGAGATGTTGCAATTTAAAAAAAATAGTAATAGTGGATTTGGATGCTCATCAGGGCAATGGCTATGAAAGAGATTTCCTTCATGATTCTTCAGTTTACATCATAGATTTTTATAACTCTTATATATATCCTGGGGATCATTTAGCTGAAAAAGCTATTAGTTGTTTTGAACATGTTGACAAGGATACTTCAGATCAATAATACATCAAAACACTTTAAAAAGATCTTGAAACGCATCTCAAAGATGATATGGAATTCCTTATTTATAATGCAGGCACAGATATCATGGCAGGAGATCCCCTTGGGCATTGTTGTATATCTCCAGCCGGAATTAAAAGAAGAGATGAAGTAGTATTTAAATGGGCATAACATAAAAAAATTCCATTCCTCATGCTGCTATCTGGTGGATACTAAAAAGAAAACACTTTTGCAATCGGAGAATCTATTCTGTAATTAATTACTTGAGCAAAATGATTATATAATTATAATTATATCAAATTATAAAATACTAGTTGATTTATTATTTCGAAAATCGTTCATAAAATGATTACATTTACCTCACTTGTGTATAATAATATTCTAAAGGTATAAAAAATGGCACTCTTCAAAATTAAAATTAAATTAAATTTTACAAATATAAAAAAGGGAATTACTCGAATAAAGTTGGGAAAAAAATAATAAAAATTAGGATATTCAAATAAGATTTTTGATTTTTGTTAACCTATTATTGAATAAACTTTTCAGAGTTTATCTTCAACAAAAAACCACTATATCTTTTTACTGCTTAATTGTCATTCTCTTTGATTATAAAAATTTATGGTTCATCATAATATATATAATTTATCAATAAGTGGATCTAAGAGAATGATAATTTTTAGTTAAATAATCTAGGCGTATTCTGCCTAATGATACATTTTATAATTTGAACATTAGATTATCATCTTAACAATATTAGACACTTTCAATATTTCAAAGTATTAGATATAATTCTAAATTTGTTAAAATCTCTGATAATTCAATCAAAAGATCAGGTTGATGAAATAAATGAATTTAATAGAAAATTTAGATCCATTATAATATATATTAATTTTTAAGGTAAGTTTTGTACTATAAAGATCATGGTATTTTCTTCATAGCATATTTTGGTACAGACCCAAATTCATTTCCTTAGTCATATCCACCAGGTCCAGGAGTGTCATTTTTAGGATTCAAAGGTGGTCGTTTACCTGTACCAAATCCCCAAGAAGGTCCTCCTAATTTTTCCTTAGTTTTGTATTGACCAGGTCCTGGAACATCTAAAGTGGAATTAAGGTCTTATCTTCTGGAAGTACCAATTCTGAAATTATAGTTTGAGTTAACAATTACTTGGCTGATTATGGCCTTTACATAATGGGACGTTCATATTAACCAGGTCCTGGTACCTAATCCTTTTGAGCCTGAACAGGATCGTATTTATGACCCAATATTTTAACTTATGGCCCTTCAACCATTTTTGATGGTAAATCATAAGTTCCAGGTCCAGGAACTCCCTTTACATCATTTAGTGGTCTTCTCGAGGCTGATCCTACTCTGACCATGGCTGATTAGGGTCGAACTGTGTCAATTTAAGGTTCATATTCTCCTGGTCCTGGATTAGGATTGGCAAACTACAATCCTCTCATTGACTTGCCAATCTTACAGGAAGGAGGTCTTTTAACTGGTTATGGATCATATGCTCCAGGCCCAGGGACAACAAGTTATTATGAAGATTATTCTTTCCTAGAGACCAAAGTAAAACCCTTAGGTTGGATAGACTCAAATTATGATTGATAATTGTATTATCCAGCTATGATTAAATAGTGAATTAATATACGTCCTGGCACTTTTCCAAGTTCGTTGTCATAGAGTCCTCTTCTTTAGGCATTGCCAAAACGGTACTTGGGAGCAGATTCCGGTCTTTCTTGTTTGTAGGCTTGTAATGAATAAAATTAGTAATAATACTTCCTGGTCCAGGTACTTTTTCCAAATGAGGATCATCTCTTTTGGATCTAGGAAATCTAAGAAAATGAGGATAAGAGTTACTTCATGGATGGAGCATCCAATTATTTGCTTAATTAATATTCTCCTGGTCCTGGTTATTAATCATCGGGGTGGCTTCCATATTTGCCACCAAAACTGTATAAAGGAGCTTGTTTAGTTGGTTTTACATTGTAAGCTCCTGGTCCAGGTTAAAAGGAGGTAACCGATTATTGTTTTTTGCCAGCAAATGAAAACTTGGGCCCTTTGAGTAGGTTCTAAGTTAGAGAGAGAGTATACATCGGAAGAAGCATATGCTCCTGGTCCTGGAGTGAAGCTTGATTAAAACGTTTATCTTTGTGCTTGTGGAATCCTTTTATAATGAGGATTGGTACTTGAAACTGGGAGGAGTGTATTTTTGTTTCTTGTCTCCAGAGTATTGTCCAGGTCCTGGGGTGTCAGGTCCTTGTTGAACTTCATTGGATCTTTTACCATTTCCAACTGAATATGCTGAAACCATTATATATAATTAAAAATAATTCAAATATGCTGAAACTATTGTATTGCAGTGATTCTGAGTGATGATATATATTACAGATAGTAATACTGAAGATGTTTGATGGTCTGCTTGTCAACGTCATACTTGGATGGCACTTTGAATTGACTCAATTATTCAAAATTGTATTTGATTCTAGTATCAATAGAATAGATATACACCTTTATTGAAAGATCAATTACTCTTGATAATCTCTCAAATTTCTTTTGCCTTGAGATGCTTCTCTGATGGCATAATCCAAGATGCTCCACTTGACTAGATCATTCATCTGATCTAACAGAGTGCGCAAATAGGTTGGAAAATTGTTGACTGGATTACCATTTCTATTTTTAAATTTCCTAGCCATTTCATTCACCTATTGAAATTACACATTATAGATCTCGACTACCATATCTCCCAATTCCACAAGTTCATATTCTTTTTGTTCAATTGAAAACTTTTTGTTGTCATTTATGACCTCTTCATAGAGATTCTATTGAATGTACTGAGCATAAACGGAATTGCTCGTATAATCTGAATAAGATTGAGGTTCAAAACGATCAGCACGCTAATAGATTAAACAATAGGCATTTGTTTTCGATTTCCCATCTCCATAGGCATCACGCAACACTTTCTCCTCACTTACCTAAGTGACATTGATATCATTGAATTTAAACCAATGCTTCAACAATGGATTGTAAATATAAGTATAATAATGGCCAGACTCTGCAGCCCCTTCATGTATTAAAATACTTTAAAGAAAATACTTATATTTTTTCATTATAGCATACAAGTCTTCAATCTTCTAATTAATTTGATCCAATTCAACCTGAAATTTCTATAAAATCATTTGAATACTTAATCTACATTACTCAATCCTTTTTTGCATGATCTCATCATCTGATTTCACCTCCTTAACATACTTAGTAGCTGTATTTAAGATGGTTAGCATAGAAATGCCTCCATAATTTTAATATTTATCCATCTAAGACAATAATTCAGCTTATTAAATTTTGAGTTCATTCAATTGCTATTACGTTTCTATAACCTTTTGTCTGTTCTCCAAAAGGAATCTATCAGCATAGATCTCCTTCTCAAATCGAAATTCATCATTCATTTTGATCAGTCCTCTCTCTGGATCATATCCCACTCTTTGTATTTGGAATAGTAAGGAATCAGGAATCTAAGTGATCCAAATAGTTTTTTCAGCCAACTCAATCACCTCACTTCCATTACGATAACCCTCTATTAAAAAGGAGTTATTTGCTTCCCAAGCTTAATATAAACTCCTATTCTTCACATTCAATATGATCTACAAAAATATTTACTCCTGTTCTTCACTCTAATTTCTCTGATTCGGATGTGTAATATACTCTTTTGTTTTTCCAAAGAATAATCTATTGATTATTGTCTAATTCTGTGATTATGATTGCAATGGCTATTATTCTATCAACTTGGCCTTGTTTTCATCCAAAAGTATCATAGACCTCGTTAAAGTAATGCCAGATTTATTTCTATCATTCTAATACTAATCTGAGTCATGCAAATCACCACTCTCATCTTTGTTTTACATTTCAGCATCCATTAACTTGTTCTCATGATATTTCAACCCCTCGTCTATGCATGTTATGAATTATAAATTGAACTCCGCCCAATCCTTTTAATCTCCCAATTAAAACCTATTACCAAATTCATCTACTACATTCAAGAACACTCTGTATGGATCCACGTACTTTCTGTCTGTGTGAACTAAGTAAGCAAACAGTCTAAAATTATAATTCTTGCAAACCTCTACAAATGCACAACCAAATCAATCGATGACTTTATCCTCTTTGCTTTTGCCTCGTTCTTATTTAAGAGATCCTCAAAATTCAATTGCACTGGGTATTTAAAGCTCAGTATCTCCTTCACAAAGATTGGGTTATGAAAATAGGTCTGAATCAGAGAATTCAAATAGCAGACTAACATAAATATCACAAAAACCATTAGCCAGATTTTTCAATCCCACAGGCGTTCCCTTTTATCGCAACCGCTGATCAGGAGTCAAAACATCAAATGACAATTCTCTCAAAATCTGGGATTGGGATTATTCTTTAATTGGAGACTACACATGTTTTAAAAGCACATCCAAGATCTCTATGTTTCGATTCTACTTGCAAATCTGTTATGCTTTGATAATCTATTACTAAGTGAATCCCATATTCAAATATTACTGCAACATGTTGATAATATTAAATTATAATAATTAAACATAATGATATGATTTCTCCCCTGTCATAATTTGGGTATAAATTTACAACATGAAAAAATACAAATAATCTTAATCAACTACCACACTCATCTAAATTTTGATCTGTCAGAATCTTAACTGTCGCCCACTTATTTTACATCAACTCGTCTTATAAGTAATATCCTTTCACATCCGAAAATGTCAAGGCCTGTTCACTCGTATTACCTTCCTCTTTCAAAAGATCGTAGTTGATGAACGTCTCTTAATATTAGAAATTGTTTTCTTTGGTAAAAGCAACAAGCTGCAAAGCAATTTTTCGTTGATTTAAGACACTCAAAGAAGATATCACTCTTTATAAGCCTGACTTATTATTCTTGTCTTTCTGATATTTCTCCCATTGATTCGTACCATTCAATGTGACTTTGTTTCCAGCCAATTTCACTCCCAAGTAACAAAGAAACATTTAAAGATTTTCTTCAATTTAATTAAGTGCCTAAAATTAAGTCAATGCAATTTACTCTCTTATCTTGTATAATTTCATTTCTTTCCTGAGGAGTTAAACGGACACTTTTTTCACAGAATTAACTCTAAAAGAAATTGGGGAACAAATATGAAAGGAAATATTGGTTGCTATTCATGTCAAAGTAAAAGTATCCCATCTCTTCGGTGTTCATATCATAAGTCCTCCAATTTTTTAAGTGGTTTTTGATATTATCCAAAATGGGATCGATGTTCCCTTGCAGAAACCATTTATTTGGACTTTTTGAAATTACTTAGGTTTTATTGCTTTCAAATTCTAATTCCTAAGAAAGACACTAATCTAATTCAGAATTATCTAAACAATTATCTATTATTTGCTAACATGGCTCAAATTAACCTATATTGATGTATTCTTTTAAATGCTCTTTTAATTTGTTAATATAAGATGTATTGCATTTGAGAATCTTCCTCTCAAGTCGAATGAATTCTTATAATTCGTACTCTTCATAATTTAAATGAAATTATTATGATTAATACTTGTAATCTAATGCCTACTCCTTCGATTAGTGTTCCTCCAATTCTTCTAACCACAGCCTTGTTGCCGTTATCGATTACTCTATCTATTATAACACTTATGATTTGAAATCGATGAGATTATCTAATAGTTTTTAGATTTTAACTTTATTGTTTTCAAATAGTGGGTCAACTATTTTATGGTACCTCTGCTTTTATTGTCTACACTTCTCCACAACCTCAGCAACTTTTATAGCATTTTTGGGTAGAGTGAAAACAGATAAACATTGTCTGCATAGATAAGTGGGTTGTTCTTTCCCATATTTAACGATATAATCAGCAGGGTTTTCGTGATTGTACGAACAGGAAACATCAAAATCCTTTAAAGGAATTATGACAGACTTTGTTGAATAAACTTTTTGCATTTTTTTGATAATAGAATAATGATAAATTATAATATATCGATAAAGTTCTTGTTATACTTGTATTTCAAGTTTTAATCATAGCTATATAAGTTACATTACTTAATGAATTCAATTTAGATTATCCTTAAATTTATGAGATGTTAAATAACCACTAAGTTATCCTGCATCAAAGGCAACGACATGCTAACTGTTTATTTCTATACATGAATATTAATTTTGTCGAAAAATTAAATATATAAATATTTTAAGAATGGAATTAGAAATTAACCTATTTTGTAAGCATAACCATCAAGCAGTTCAAATTATCAATGATCCTTCGATGAACCCTACATAAAGATTATTGTGCTATGAATGTTTGGATTAGTATTAATATTAGACTGAATTAATTGAGATATCCATTGCACTTGCTCAAGCCAATAAGAATTTTAATTAGACTTCAAAATATTCAAATTTAATTTTGTTACAAAACATTATGCATTTAAATACATTCATTAAAAACTTTTGGCTGCTAAAAGTTGAAATTTAAGAGGTTTGCGAATAAATTAATATCAAAACACTTTAATGGTTATAAAAATTATAAGACCTATAAAATAAGGAATTTATACAAAGGTTTGACTAATCATTCAATAAATACTAGGATGACTTAGATGAAGTGAATTACGGGTTTCTAACTTAGTAATATTTACCTGTTTTGAATACTCTAATTAATCCATTTAATAGTCTTAATAAATTTAATCCTTGTTAATAGACACTTCTTTAATTATCGAAAGTTAATATTGAGGATGCTATTCAACAACTCAATGTTGAGAATCAATGTAGAACTCTAATTGAGAAAATAGAAAGGGTGAAACTTAACAGTATTTGTGAATAGGAATTCACTCACATTAAGGAAATTATAGTTAATTCTTCAGAACAAAACAAGGGAATTTAATCAGAAATAATCGAGCAATCAACAAACTTAATAGGATTAAGACAACACCTATCACAATCCATACATAAATTAGAAATAGAATTAACTAATCGCATATCCTAACAGAATGGAGAATATTTTCAGAGTATTCAAAATTTGAATTTGCTGATAAATGAAGGATCTTTTAATAAATTTATTGAAAAAATAAATAGAATAGAAAAGGACTAAGCTATCATAATAATGAGAGAAGAATTTAAAACGAAACTAACAAATTGTATTCAAGGTGTATTAAACAATACTTTAAAGGATCTCCAAAGGTAACCTGCTTCAGAACCAATACCCAATCGTTTCATCCTTCATAAGTTGATTAAAACTGAAATTAGACAAAAAGATTGCTGCTATGCCATATAATTCAACAAGGATACTTCGATCATGATTTCAACAAGCGGTAAAGATATTAAAGTTTGGGATTTCTATAAAGGACACCTAAAATTAAGCAATACTTTATAGAAGCATATCGATGATGTCACATGTCTACTCTTTAGCAATTATTCAAATTCCTTCATTTCAGGTTGTGGGAATGAGGATGGCTCTATAGTATGTTGGTAATAGGATAATAATTTTGGATGGAAGTCTTCAAAACCATTCAAACAGCATTCTTTAGGTCTGAGGTGTATGATCATGAATCACGATGAGACTCAGTTGATAACTGGAAGTCTGGGTAAAACTATCATAATTTGGAAACTAGATTTTAAGGAGAATAACTTAGTTTATGAATACTCTTTATTTGAAAATCAAAATAAGCTATTAAGTTTGAGTATGAATGATTCTGAAACATGCATGGTATCATGTAATGAAGATTAAGTTATATTCATTTGGTGGAAATAGCAAGGCATCTGGAAGTTTAAAGATACCCTAAAATAATCAGTTCAAGATATTGGTAGATAAATTAAATTCTTAAGTGATACTGAATTTATTTGGTTATAACAAAGTAAAGGGAGAGTGCATTTCTTTGAAGGCTAAAACTTTAAGTTTCAAGAAAAACCTGAAAAATAACTATTGTTAAATAATTAGCAGTAAGATTGGAATTTATTTCCTATTTTATATAATAAACTGAAAAACGTAATAGTCATCAGACATAATTCAACTGTGTTCATAATCAGAAAATAATTAGATGGGAATCTGAAGATCATGGCTGATCCAATCCAATGCTAATCAGAATTTACTTATGGTTCCCTCTCTAAAGATTGCTAATATTTGGTTCTTTGGGATATGGTTTCTTAATAATACAACGTTTATGAAATTTTAGTTTGAAACTAAGTATAAAATATTTTAATAAAACACTTTTAGAATTGCATAATCAAAATAAGCTTGCGTTTTATTAATTATTTTCATTTAATATAAATTATAAAACATTTAGATAATGTTGTAAGAATTTTAACTAATCAACCATTATTAATAGAGTATTTTAGAATTTATAATATTCAAATTTAGATACTCAATTTAACCTCATCCAAACATTTTAGTGTGCCTTAATTATTTGTATCGATTACCAATGATTAAATAAAACCGTATCTGACTTTCTTACATTGTTCTCTAATTTATTAAGCAGGAGATCTCGTCAAATTACCAAGGGCAGTCACTAATTTAGCAATTGTTTCAGCATCCCTTTGTTGATATTCCAAAAATGTAATAATAGATTCGGATAACATTCTCACTAGTTTGGTCATTCAATCGGTTTCTCTGATATATTCCAATAGATAAATTGAGAATGAGGTTACTAAGGACTTTTACAGTCTAGATTATATTATATGTTTTACCTTTTCATCAGCATCTAATAGACTCAGAATAATGTCTTTAACTATTCTTAAATGATAGAGGATAGCACAAGTATTAGTATTATGTTTTAAGCAATTACATAATGTTTACATGGCCAATCTTAGAAGGACTGCATTAGCAGGTTATAAATTTTATAATGAAGGTATTCAAGAAAAGATTAATGCCTTTTTCTAGACCTGCATTGTTACTCTAATATTTTTTGTTAAGCATATTAACCTTTCATGTTTCCAACTCTAATTTATTTTAGCTTTGCGAATACCCAAAGGATATATTCTTTTTCAAGGAATAAACTATTTAGTAAAGGTAATGTTTAGAGTATCCCTTAAACAAAACTTCTTAGCTGTGTCATTAAAGTTTTCCCCTTCATTATAAGGTAAAAGCTTAGTAATTCCATTTGCATCTTCCACATCAAAGACATGATCATACTCTCCAGCCTCAAAGCATTTTGTCTCCATGAAAGAACTTTCTTGAGCTTGCCCCTTTGCCACCAATCACATCTCCAATCAATTACCCAATTCTTATTATATATGCTTCAGGTTTATTTCCATTTCTAAACAATGTAATTTCCCCCTCTTTCTTTCCTATCATTGTAGTTAGCTTGTCAAATCCTAGCAATTTCTGCACTTCTTCCTCAGACATCGCTCCTTCCTTTTTGGCATTGACTAACAAGGCTTCCTACTCTAGCCCTTTAATTTCACTCTAAGGAGCATATCTAGCTGGATCAGAGGTAGATATTCAGACCTTGCCATCACTTGTTCCAATAATGATGTCTTTATAATTATTGATAGCTACACTCAACACAGCATCAGGCAATTAAATGGTTTGTTTGGGATTACCATTTAAATTCCAGATATTTACTAATCTATCCTTACCTCCACTAATCAGTTGATCCATGTGAACTTTCATTGTAAAACCAAAGCTTTTATGTCCTAAAAAGGTCTGAATCAATTCAAGATCATTAGACCTGAGTTTAATTGTTTGATCATTAGAGCATGTCAAATACCCTCCCAAAGGAGAAGGTAGAATTTCCCTGATGATATCCTAATGAGCCTATACACTTTTTAATTTAGTTTCTTTGGACCAGGAATGCAGAATATCATCTTATGAGCCATTTATAAAATTTAAATTTTCGTCTCCTTATACTGCAACTCCATGTTTATGTCCACTCAATTAAAAGAGTTACTTCATTTACAATTAGTTATTTGTTTCCATATTTATAATTATTGAATACATCTGTAAATAATATCCCACTTAATAGCAGTTGCATCCCATGATCCTGATATTAGTAACTTAATTTATATTACAATGCTTCAATAATTAATGTTATTATATTTATTATTTTAACTAATTAGTGCCTATGTGAAGATCGACTTGCATAAAACTACACTCCCTAATTCTAATCGACATCTGAGGAACAACCTGATGATCAATAATTTCATGAACATGCAATACACAGGAATTATTAAAATAGGGGAATAGGACCTTGAATTGCTATTCGACACAGGTTCTTCTATTTTTTGGGTAAATTGTGCACACTATCAAGGTATTCTCAAATACGTGTCCCTCGCAATCGAAGAAAGCCTCTTTTGATTGCCAATCGAGTCCTAATTGTTTAATGACAAAAGAAAAATATAAGGTAGAGTATGGTCAAGGGGAGATAGGAGGGTACAAGGCTTTTGATTAGTTGCAAGTATCCAATTTCTCAGTTTCCAATTTTCAATTTTTGATTGTGAATTCATAAACTAATTTGGAGAATTTAAGAGCTGATGGTATTTGCGGGTTGGGTTTACAAGAATATGATGGATTCAACTCATTAATTAACATTCTGTTTGATCAACATTAGATAGATAAGCGCATTTTTGCATTCTTCTTGAATTCAATACCTGAACACGTCAATAATGCGAGTGTGTTATTCATAGGTGGGTATGATACTCATTATATGAGTTCTGAAGTGAAGTATGTTAAATTGGATAAAGCTGATTCGTGGTCAGTCAGATTGGAGAATGTACAATTGAATAAAAAGGTTCTGATTAAGGATGTATCGGCATTGATAGATACTGGAACTTCATTGATAGTTGTACCTACTCATCAATTTACTTCAATATTATCAATTTTAAGAGATGATTATAAGTAGTTCTGCCAATATTCCCAATACTAAATAAAATGTTCATGTCCTGATGGGGATTTTTCACACTTTCCTGAATTTGAATTTAAATTTGAAGGTGATTTGAGTTTGCAATTACACCCTAGTGACTACATATAAATAGATGTGTCAGTGTGTGTGTTGTCTTTTACGAAGAGTTCAAATAGTTATTGGATTCTGGGGGATACGTTCATAAGGAAGCATGTAACGTTGTTTGACATTGACAATAAGTAAATTGGATTTGCTAGATTGGCTGCATTTGAGAAATAGAGTAAATAAATTTAGATAAATGATTATTTGTATATATTTAAAGTGGTGTGTGCATGTATTTGTATAGCCATAGCATCTATTTGGATAATAAGATAGGTGAGTTGTTTGGGGGAAGCAAGTCATGAAATGAATAAATGATAAGTAAATATAATAACAACAAATCATTATTTTTTGCTAAAGAGAGCATCAGTCAGATTATCAATGGCTTCTTTCAATTTTGAGATTTCAAAACTAGAAGTCTCTTTGAAGATGAATTTATTTTTGAATTTCTTGGAGTCCAATCCCAGCACCTTGATGAGATCGTCCTTGTTGAACCTATTCTTTTTGTCGTTCTTGTTGAAGAGGAATAGAATGGGGATGGCACTCTTTTTGATTAAATCATCATTAAGCACCTCTTCAATCAGATGTCTTTATAAATGGAATCTAGTGATATGAAATTCGTTGTATGCAACCTGTATTCTGAATCACTGGTGTCAATGACGTAGATCATGGCTTGAACATCTTGATAGAGAATTCTCCAACTTGCTCTATGGCGACCATTTCCAGACATATCGTAGACGAGACAATACTTCCCAATTTTGGGACAAATGACATAATGGATCTCCATGGTGGGTGTAGGGAATATCTCCATTCTTTAACTATTGGAGAGTGTGCGCAATAGACTGGTTTTGCCAGCGTTGTCTAATCCAACACAAATGACACTAAATGCAACTTACATTATAATAATTAATGAGTGTTCGCAAGGCAAATGGCAACAAGTAAACTAAAATATCATTGGGGGAGATCGACGACATGTTCAACGATGCTGAATTCAGTCAAGCCATTAAGGATGTATTCAAGAAGTAATCCAATACAGCTCGCAATGATTGGCCAACCCAAACCACCAATATGTTTTATTAGAAGGCCACCATCTCTCAGATCATGAGATTGAGAGCCAAAGGATCACACACAGGTACACAGTGTCCTTCGTTGAAGAAGGAGGAACGGAAATCTAGATGGGCCAGTTTGATAAGTGAAGGTCGAACAGAACAGCGCAACAGGATTCCATCTGAAATGGAGAATATTCCAATATCAGCCCAATATGAATAGTACAGTTACCTTAGCAGAGAACATGAATAGTTGATTTAAAATTTGAGCGAATTGCCTCAATCCATTAAAATGATGCTCTATTCAAATAAGTACGAGGTTCAACGAGCCAAGATGTGTGAACACAAAACCGTTTTGGATGACAAGTTCATCTTTACACTATTCAACACTCTCCAACAGTTGGACAAACAAATAATCGAACCCTTACATTATTAATAGACCCGACCTGTGCTTAATTTCAAACTGCACTTTGTCCAAAATGCCGTGAATCTGGTCTCTGACACTATGGTACAGAGTGTTCGAGAAGCCTTAAAGCATGATACCAGATTGGGGATATTTTTGGAAGGCTTCTGCAAATTCTGGATTGTCTTGATCGACATCTAATTGCAATGGATGGGCAAGAGTTGTGCCGATTACATTGAGACTCAAGTCAAAGAGTTCAAGGAGCAATTCAAATAGGCTGTGGCGCAGAAGATCAAAGTGGAAGATTAGATGATCCAGATGGATAAGGAATTCAAAGCGATGGAAGCGTAATACATTCGTAAGCATGAATACTTATAATAACAGTTGTTGTCAGTCCAACAGGAATTTCAAGATTACGTTGTCACAGTTCAATAGATGAGTGATCTCAGAATTGCCGAGGAACGAATGAACTCAGTTGGATTGAAGGCTTTGGAATTGGAGAGCATGTTCAAACAATACGACAAGGTGGTCTCCCAACATTCCTTTGTCTTCCAAAAGGACATCAAAGAATTGGGCAGTGCTTTAATTAAATAGCAGAAATTGAATCAGCCTCTTCCGATGAAACATCAAGAGGCACAAATTCGATTGGGATGTCACAAAATGCAAGAGGAGAATTACCAATTGTATTACGTGAATTCCGTAGGCATATTTATGCAAGTCCATCCCTTCTAAATACCATTTGAAGTCAACAAGGAATTAGAAATGGATTACTCAACTCTTTTATGTAACTTCTTGGATTACCTGACTCAAATCGGAGATTTCCTAAATCATGTTTGTAGGATCTTTATCGATTGGGTTGGCGAAGAAGAAAAACTAAATGCCATCTTAACCTATCTTGCCGAATGCGATCTCGATTCACCCATCAATCAATTCTATGCCATTATTTTTGGAATCCGAGACCATCGTCAATTGAGTTCTCTATCTCTTAAGAAGTTGCTCAAATATTATAAAGAGTTACAGGAACAACACGAGTATCAACTGAATGAGTGTTTTACTATCAAAGATGCATCTCCCTATTTCTAATTACTATTTTCAGAGGAATTCAATGAAAAGGTGTTTAATAGTTAGAGATAATAAATGACTCTGTTGGAATTACTATTGATGTTGGCTCAACATTTCCTAATGATTGAGAACAAATAATGGACTGGATGGATCTACAAATAGGAGATCCAATCTGAGGATCTGGATATGAATGTGGTACTCTATCATTCTTAAACTTATTATTAAGATCAAATAATTCATTGAGTTACGTAACCAATTGAATCGGCCACTTGAAGAAAGCCTTGAATTGGTGAGACAACTCTCCCTACTCCATCCTGAATTATTTTATAAGAGCAAGCAAGTCCCACAGGAGCGAATGAAAGCATCAGCGCGTAAAGTGCAACGTAAAAACTCACAACGATCTCCTCTTAAGAGATCGAGTATTACTTTGATTAAAGCTATTAATCTAAAAAAGTGATAAAATTAATTTATTATAAAATATGGAGTATTTCTTAGATTGAGGAGACAACCAACCCTCAAATGATTTTAATTATTCGATAGTTTAATATTTGTCTTTGATATTAAGAAATCCAATAGGTAAGCTATTATTATTCTATTTCTGCAATTCTTAATCATATGTCTCTTGGATACTGATTTCAATACATAATGTTAGTNCAGAAGATCAAAGTGGAAGATTAGATGATCCAGATGGATAAGGAATTCAAAGCGATGGAAGCGTAATACATTCGTAAGCATGAATACTTATAATAACAGTTGTTGTCAGTCCAACAGGAATTTCAAGATTACGTTGTCACAGTTCAATAGATGAGTGATCTCAGAATTGCCGAGGAACGAATGAACTCAGTTGGATTGAAGGCTTTGGAATTGGAGAGCATGTTCAAACAATACGACAAGGTGGTCTCCCAACATTCCTTTGTCTTCCAAAAGGACATCAAAGAATTGGGCAGTGCTTTAATTAAATAGCAGAAATTGAATCAGCCTCTTCCGATGAAACATCAAGAGGCACAAATTCGATTGGGATGTCACAAAATGCAAGAGGAGAATTACCAATTGTATTACGTGAATTCCGTAGGCATATTTATGCAAGTCCATCCCTTCTAAATACCATTTGAAGTCAACAAGGAATTAGAAATGGATTACTCAACTCTTTTATGTAACTTCTTGGATTACCTGACTCAAATCGGAGATTTCCTAAATCATGTTTGTAGGATCTTTATCGATTGGGTTGGCGAAGAAGAAAAACTAAATGCCATCTTAACCTATCTTGCCGAATGCGATCTCGATTCACCCATCAATCAATTCTATGCCATTATTTTTGGAATCCGAGACCATCGTCAATTGAGTTCTCTATCTCTTAAGAAGTTGCTCAAATATTATAAAGAGTTACAGGAACAACACGAGTATCAACTGAATGAGTGTTTTACTATCAAAGATGCATCTCCCTATTTCTAATTACTATTTTCAGAGGAATTCAATGAAAAGGTGTTTAATAGTTAGAGATAATAAATGACTCTGTTGGAATTACTATTGATGTTGGCTCAACATTTCCTAATGATTGAGAACAAATAATGGACTGGATGGATCTACAAATAGGAGATCCAATCTGAGGATCTGGATATGAATGTGGTACTCTATCATTCTTAAACTTATTATTAAGATCAAATAATTCATTGAGTTACGTAACCAATTGAATCGGCCACTTGAAGAAAGCCTTGAATTGGTGAGACAACTCTCCCTACTCCATCCTGAATTATTTTATAAGAGCAAGCAAGTCCCACAGGAGCGAATGAAAGCATCAGCGCGTAAAGTGCAACGTAAAAACTCACAACGATCTCCTCTTAAGAGATCGAGTATTACTTTGATTAAAGCTATTAATCTAAAAAAGTGATAAAATTAATTTATTATAAAATATGGAGTATTTCTTAGATTGAGGAGACAACCAACCCTCAAATGATTTTAATTATTCGATAGTTTAATATTTGTCTTTGATATTAAGAAATCCAATAGGTAAGCTATTATTATTCTATTTCTGCAATTCTTAATCATATGTCTCTTGGATACTGATTTCAATACATAATGTTAGTGTAATTTACAATGGTCTAAAACCTGTAAAATTAATACTATCTATCTAAAACCTATAATGAAAGAAACAAATAAATAATGCTGCACTCTTTTGGATGGAGAACTAAATGATAATTTCCAGCCACATGTGAACCATAAAAAGTATAAACTGAGATTAACTATTTAGATGAAATTCAAGAAAAAATGAATAAAAATAGTTAGCTAGATCCAGTTTTTAATTTAAATTCTAATTATGCATAAGCAATTAAGGCATATCTATTAGATAAAACTAAAAATTTTAAATCAATTACAAAAGGATAAGTTTAGTTGGTTTAAGTAATTCAGAATGATTACCATATAAAATCACCACCGTCCCTGAACTCTATCATTGTTTCTTGTGTTATTTAGATTGTGCTTGATTATTGGTTTGTTTATTATTGATTTTCAGAATAATAATTTTATGTATTATCTAAATTAAGAAGTTTTGCGGAGTAGATATCACCAATTTACACACTTCAATATTCTCGATCAACTTGAACCAATCTACCAATCTCTTAAGGTAATCAACTGTTGTTAGTGTTAAAAAAGTTCTCCTTAGAGTCCAGAGACAGAAACACCTTCTTTTAAGAAAGAGTGCAACAATAACCAGATTGTTTCCAAGTGAATCCTATTTATGGGTTTACTCAATAGGCAAATGAATTGTATGGTAGTTACGGTCAACCAACTCAACTTTGCTTCTATATGCATCGTCAAAAGAGGTATCTAATGATTGGCACTCAACATTCTGTGATCATCTGCATCGAAGTGGTGAATGGAAGAGTGGAGTCCATCCAAGCCATACTCAACGCAGGTGAACGACAAACAAGATATGGCTCCGTATTAGCAATCCAATGTTGGGAGAAATATATGTTGGTTGGTTTCGAGAGAGGGGACATTCAATTATACGAGGTAGGTCGGAAATGGGAACGCTTACATCATGAATCCAGGTTGCATTCAGGCAAAGTGATGCAAGTCCTATTCATACCATCTTCTACGATTGAAGCACTCTCCCTCGATGAACACGGAGTCATCTACAAACATGCCTTCACAGTGATGACTGTCATGGACAAATACATCGTCACCCACTCCAAAGACAAGATCTATAAGAATGGCAAAATCTATCATATCAAACGCAACCCACAATAGCCAAAATAAAAGCAGTCTTCCTGGTGGGATAGCATATTCAAAAAAGAAGAGGAAGTCACTGATTATACAGATCCATCCGCCAAGCACTCCAGTGATACAGATGGCTAACAGACTAAGTTTGCTCTGGATATTAAGTTGATGCCTGAAGCTATGACTCAGTAACTCAATCAAAATATTTAATAAGTAGTTATTGCTGCTGTATTATATTCTAATCGCGTTGAAATTCTTAAATTCTATAAAGGTATTTGCCATACTCATCAACATAGGGTCATTGAAATGTGAGATAGTGTATACTCTGAAAAGAAATACTTTCTCAATTGATCTCCCTTAAAATGATAATAATGAAAGTGGTGAATTGTCGTGGGGAGAGGGGTATTTCGAAAAGTCATATCAGAATGCCAAATTGCTATGTATAAGATGGGGTGACATATTTCATTTAGTCAAATGTATGAACATAGAAGATGAACTAGAAATTGTAGAAGGGTAATATGATTTAAATATTTATTCAGTGCTGTTTATAAGTTAGAGAAAGAGAAAGGGAATATAATAAAGAGTTCCTTTTTAACTAATAATATCATTTATACGTTTTCAGATTCGAATTGGGTTGCTTTGATTCATACAACTCAGTTTTAATTTGCCAAGTAAGATGACGGGATTGTCATTTTGGAATCAAAAACTAGAATGCTATCAAAGGAAGATGTCGAACCATAAATTGCTGAGATTTGCGTATCATATGAGGGTCCAAGTATACCTTGTCAAGTGCAAATATACGAGAATGGAATTGTATCATTGAGGAAGAATAACATTTTAATAGAGAGACTCCAAACTTGGAATGAATATCTAGAGGATTTGATCGAGAAGAATCAATGGGAGAAAGCCATGCATTAAGGAATGCTGATCTACTAAGGATAAATTAAAATACTGAGTGAGATTGCCTCTTCTCTATAAGCACGTTAGGAATAAATGAGTCAGATGTTCCAGAAGATTGCTTTCACTCATATAATGTTCGCTCTGAAACCTTTGGATATCCCATTATCTTAATAAGAGAAAGAGAACAAAATAAAAAAGACAATAGAGTTCTTGCTCAGAGTTGATAACATGATTTATGCTTTGGTCGTGCTAAAGGACTTCTTCAAGGACATACAATAGATGAAGTTGTATTTCACTTGTTTGGATCCCTTCATTAAGAACAAACAAATTGCTGTGATTCCTGAATCGTTCTTCGTGGACTACGTCAATTTCTATTAAAATGACAAGGAGATGATACAATAACTCATACTGCAATTAGATTTACATCAACAAGAACCAACTCTTCTAATCAAGGTCTGCATGGACTATCACTTGTATAAGGCAATGATATACTTGTGCACAAAGCAGGGAGACTTCATCACTGGGTTAATGAAACTGATGGATCTATGGGAAAGTAAATGCTAATTGGAATAGAAGGAGTCATGTAACATTGAGAAGGAGAAGTTGCGAAAGTTCAGAATTAAACTAGGATACAGTATTTTGGCCTACGTTCGTATGTGTGTGAAGGGTATCAATATCCTTGGAGAACGTGTGCCACACAATATCTATTTCGATATGTTAAGGGGATTGGTTTCATTCATTTTCAATACAGAAAATTTAAAATAATTCATACTCATCGACGTTCGACTATCACTTCAATTGCTTATGCAATTCATGCAGCATCACATCTATACCAATATTAAATCAGCCACTCTCCCTGGGATTAAGTTTGAGGTCATTGATCACGTCCCTGAGATCCTGAAACTGATGCTAAGTTCCATAGAGAACACCAGGGAGGACCTTAAAACCCAGGAACATTACCAGATAGTTTACAATGATAAGACTGAACAATATCATTAAATATCCCTAGCTGAATAACTTAATCATTTCTTGCTATTCTACTCCGAATTACTAATGCAATTCCCATTGTAATTTACAAAACAATTCAAAGAGAAACTGTTCCTAGATCTCCTGTCTCCATCCTATTTCGAAACCCTGAAACAATACAACTTCAACAGTTAAGACACTGATCCCATCTACCTAGAGTCCTACGAAGTCAATAAAAATGCCTACTTAATTCACCTGTATGACACTAGTCAATTAAATGACATCTCTCTGGTTTTCGATGGAAGTATCCCATTTCCAGAATTCCGTACTTTTCTCATATACAAACAAAACGATTACATCACCTGCATTTCTAATTACTTCCAGATGCAGAATAGCATGATGAAGAGAAATGTATTTGAAGTCATTGAAAGACTGTTGATTTACTCAAATGCTTAATTGTTAATGTAGTTACAAGAGTTTATAATCGAGAATTGTGATACCTTGATGAACATTAGTCAATAGTATACGAATCGAATTTTCAAGGAGTATTTCCACGATCTCAAATTGTAAATGCAAATCATTCAAAAATTAGAAAAAACTCCCTAAAACCAATTGCATTACCTCAAATAATACATCAAGAATGAAAAGGCCTCCGATTCAATCAGATTGTTGTATCTTGATCTCCTGTGCTAAAGAGCACCTAAAGAAGTGTTGAAGGATGTCCAGAATGGAGACTTCCCTCTAGATGATGCTTTGGCCATCTGCGAGAAGTATAAGGTTTACAATGCTGCTGCCTATCTGCTTCAAAAGAATGGAGCCATCTAGAAGGCGCTGGATATGTTGACTCTGCTGTTTATCAATAGACTGAAGGATTGTCACAAATCATTCGCAAGATCAAAAACAGTCTCAGAAGCTGATTAAGAAGAGATTTTTGAGAAGTTGAATTACATCATTGATCTCTGCTCGAAAATTGAAGACGATGGTTATTGGTTTTAATTTTTAGACTCTTTTTTCAAACAGCACAAGCTAGAACAATTGACTGACCTTAAAGTCCCTGAAGCCCTAAGAAAATTACACGGAGACATCGTATCCGAAGTGTTCTTAGCCATGTCCAAATGTTTAGAATTGGACAGGCTCCTGGATGTAAACTTCCTATAATTATCTTTAGAAAATGAATCACTACTATGGCTCTATTCCACTGAGAGTATTTTACAAGACCAACAAATCCATTTAGGAAAAATTCGCTTTTGAATTGCCTTCCTACAACATAGCCATGCAATAAACTGACATCACTTACAAGGGTTTAAGCAAAAAACTCTTTCAATAGATGAATCAAGGAGTCTGCGTCGATCGATACTGCGGAGAATGCAATGATCGAATCACTAAGTGTACAAAAGCAGTTGCATTTTAATGTGGACACAGTTACCATTAAGAATGTTATATCGAACTCCATGGCAATAGTCAAAAGAGCTTCAATAGTTTGAAATTGAAAAATTAAAAAGTGTTCCAGGAATGCTTCATTTGTTTAGGCAACAATGAAAAATACAGTACTTTAATCATTTTAAATTCGCACTAGTATCCCATCTGATTGTCTAGGCTAGTTTGAAAAAGTTGAAGTTTGATTTCGATAAATACATACACAGACAAGCTAATGTGGTGGCTGAATCAAAACAAGTTGTTGTTCAATATGACAAAATAGAACAAAGAGAAAAAGCTATTAAGAAACTGAAATAAGATGACTTTAACAAATTGTATATAAGAGAGGTACATATTGATTGCATAATCTAGTCTGCCTTAAATTGGACGGAATGGTGAAACAAAGAATAAAGATTGTGTCAGAGCTTTGAATTTATCTTAAATTAAATTATTTATTGGGTTGTTGTAAAAAGATGTTCAAATGAACTACATTTAAATCATAAAGACTTCTTAATCTTCCTTCAATCATTAAGAATGATTCCTTTGTGTCTAGCAATCCAATCCAAAGAGAAAAACTGATGAAACTAATTAACTGTCTCATTGCTTACGATTGTCAGAACTCGAGAACAGAAAACCTTACTGGATAAGTTCAGATCCTACGATAGGACTTATAATCTCTATTCTATCACTGAAGTTATATTGATCTAAACTAAACTCAATACCATTCTACAAAACAGTTTACTATTAGAACCTTAAACAATTAATTCTTTGGAATGCTGTGAAGCAATCTCTCTCATGTATTTGTAGTCATATATGTATGTATATCAACGATACAAACTCTCGTATTATGGATTTTATTAATTTAAAATCAATTTCTCAACACTATCGTAAATAATGGGCTGTTGCTAAGATAGACCTACTATTACTCTAAAAGCAAATGAGTTGAGACATACGATTAAGGTTCCTTCTATTGTCCTTAGCCAAAGAGGGCAAACTTTGGAACCCTTGAAAATCTCAATTTTGGGAGATATCGACTAAATGGATTTCATTGACGAGATCCCTCAGTAAATACCTTCCATCACTTAAATTGATTCCAAAATACCCAATAAATTCACAACTTCTGGTGATTTGAAGGAAACCAAGGAATTGGTAATTGATTTATTCACTATTTAAGAAATCGACTTAAATATCGGATACAATTATTATCGATATGAGATCTGGCACTCTACTTCAGAGTCCACTAAAATCTAAGTAAGAGAGAAATTCCAGCAAAAACTTAAACTAAAAATTCTTAGACATGCTTTGATGATATCTTATCATATGAGTAAAATTATTTAAATAAACTTTCTTAAATATCTTTTCTTATGACAACTTCCTTAACTGATCACTTGCTAAACTTCTTATCTCGTATAAATCAAGCCTTTCCAATCATTTTTAACTTCCAACTCTCCTTCGAATATCTCCTATTGATAAATATCAGTTTGAACTCAAATTATGCTGTTATTTAATTCACAATTAAATTGCCAAAAACCTCTTATTTATAAATTTAATTTTAAACTCTAAACTTTTCATTGAAATACACCATCAGCTTATAATTCACTTTACTTTCAATATATCTTCGAAGATAATTCAATAATCACTCAAAAGATACAATTATTTAAAATGAAAACCAAAAATAATTTAAACTGCACAAATACTCATCCATACTCCCCTACAATGAATCGATTAATAAAAAAGGAATAATTGATTATCACAATACAAATTCCATAAGATCGGTAATATTAAATAATTACTATTTTTATACTTTATTTTCTATATATTTATATAATTAAATTATGTCAACTTTCACTGTTATTACTGCTATTATTATTTGTGTATCTTTTTGGAAAATAGAATGGCGCTTGTTATTTTAAAAGGGGCTCCATCTAATACTACTGCTGTAAAATCTTCTAATAATTTGTCTATCCTTCATTTTTGATAATGTGTTGTCTCCTCTATTCTAAAATAATGGAAATCTGATAATAATCTAAATTTGCATTACCTGGTCTTCATCTTTAACTCCACACTTCTTTCCGATCAATTCTAATGAACTGGTTAATCGAGCCTCCAAAACCATCAGTTTCTTGAGTTGTAACTCTTGCATTTAAATATTGTTAATTTGCTTTTTCTCTTAAAATTGCTCTAATTCTATAGGATATAAACTTGTACCTTCTTTTTTGACTTCATTTTAACTGAAATTCAGAGATGAATAGGCACTCTCATATGTTTTAGCTTATTCATTCAATTTTCTATTTAGATCCAAGACCTCACTTAATTTCTATCTAGACTCTGACAATTTAATTTCATATTCGCTTTTTCTTTCCTTCGATGCCATAAAATCTACGAATTCCTTATTCAAATGATAATCACTATTCTTAATATCAAAAACTCCTTTTATCATCTGATATTGTTGTTCTAGGTTCATTAACTTTTCTCTTTGTAATTTGACTTCCTTTTCTTGAGATTCTTTGTTTTTCTTGTTCTTGGTGTCATTTTCCTTTTTGTTCAATCTTTTCCTCAATTTTTAGATTGAACCATGAGCTTTTTCAGCAATTTGCAAATCACTCAATTAAAATATTCTATCTAAATGTTGCTTTTCTCTTAAACTATTTCTGATTTGAAGCAATAATGTTGTCTGATGTTATCGCTTTTAACGATAGACCTTTAAAAATTCATCAAATTATCGTTTTGCTTATTATATATTTTCCTGACTCTTTTTAATTTCAAGTTATTCAAAATTAATTAACTTAGTGAAATTTCTCGTCAGATAATTTAAATATCTAATGTACTCCTCATTTTATTATTTGTTGTCTCTGCATATTTTCAAGATCTTTTTCACCCTTATCTTAGTCTTGCAAGATTTCTTCAACTCCTTCTCTGCTCTCTCTATTTATTAGTTCAGATCCCTCTATGCTTACTTCAAGCCTTCTAGATTATTAAGTTCCTTTTTCAAATATCCCTTGTTGAAATCCATAATCTTTAACATTTTGTAAGTCTGAGCCAGCTACAAATTCTCATAAATAATCTAATCCAATTTTTACCTCATCTACCTTGCTTGATACTGTAATAAGTTAAACTGGGATGTTGAATGTTACAATATGTTTCCCTTGACGATTGGAAAAATCTCAGTAATCTTATAATTCCCATGCGAAACAGAATTGGAAGAGAACTATTTAAATTTACTTTTTTATTTCTTCAAATTCTCAAGTAAGTGCTGAGTCTCCTACCCATCATTGGGTACTACCGACTGTGTTAATTTGATTGTTTTTGATTCCTGATTAAGATAATTAGAATCTGTAAAATCCGAAGTTATAAACATCAAATGACTTTTATGATTATCTTAGGGCACATCTTCCTATGTCATCACAGCACTCCTATTAGATACTGGAGGTAAGATCACAGCTGAGGATCTAGCATATCTTTGACTTGAAATCGTACTAAACTCCATTTATTCTCGTTTTTGTTTTTTCAAGACCTCTTCCTATCCCTTCTTTAATAGCACAGGCACTTAAGGGATAAGTTACAATTGAGTTTCTTGTTCTTGCTTTTACTCATACATCTCCTTTCGCTTTCTCTTGGCTTCAAGGGCTATTTTAAGTGCTGACTCTGTGAAAGCATTCTCATCCTCAACACTCATATAATCTGTTGCTGAAGAGAAACATTGTTTGATGACCATGGAGTAATCGCATTTCTTGTCAATACTCGTGCAAGCCCATGGAAATTAGATCCAAATCCATCTCTTGTAATAATAATCAGTAGATTCTCGCTCACTTGATTACAATTAATCTTAGGAAAGATTCTCTTCCTTTTATTGAATGACCTTTCTCAATCTGTGATTAAGTTCTTCAGCCAATTGATCCACGTCTTCAGAGGGTTCTTCTTCATTCTCAGTTTACTCGAAGGGTTTAGATATCAATGAAAGATAATGTGTTCTGATTAATTGTCTATTTTGTTGTATCTCTACATTGAGTGCCTCCATCTTGGAAAGCACAGGAGCTGTCTTTGGTTTAGCAACACGTTTTAAATGCTTAGCCGGATCAAACTCCTTTAACTCAGGTGCTTTGTCATAATAAAGGTCTAGTTTCAGGATTTCATAGAGCAACCCGATATCATATAAGTCACTCAATACTCCAATTATAGGAGGGTGTCTAAATATGGGAGTGTTCCTGGTCTCAAAATCACCAAATTCCTTGAGAAACCTTGAAATTTGTAAGATTATTCTGAACATGTCCTCAGATGAAGGATGATAATGAATTTGAAAACCTTCGACTGCTTTATTGTATTCCAAAACAGGATCAAAACCATTCTCTTCAAGGGATTACCAATATCTACATAGATCATATTTGTTAGAAGGATTAAAGAGAAGCAGAAAGTTCTCAATGATACTAATGACTTCTTTCAAAGAGAAATAGTTCTTAGCACTATATAATTGGAAGGTTTATTCTTCCAATTTCCTTATGGAATTGGGAGTAATCTTGTCAATAGTCGTAGCTATAGTATCATGCAATTCTAAGACGTCCTTAATGTCAGTGTAGTAGGTGTTTATGATTACTTTTTTAAAGATTTCATTATGAATGATCCATAATTCTTTATGTTTCATAATGTACACTTTAAAGAAGACGAGAAACAATTTCCATTCTTTGATTGTAATGTTACAGACACTTTCAATTTCTTGATATGTCAATCCTTTTTAAGTTAGAGACAAGACCAATAAGATTTTTCTAAATTTAGCAACTTCCATTATGTTGGCCTTTGAAAAGTAATCTAATTGAAATGCAAACAGATCCTCTACTACTTTCATAGATATGAAATGTTCCAATTTTAGTGGTTGCAGTATCTATTCCACAATTCTTTCATCAATTTCATTTTCTTCCACAACTCCTTCTGAAGGATATGGAATGAAGACAGAAAAATAGGATCTCACAAAGACTGGTTGATTTCTCACTTTATAACTTAATTGAATGAATATATCCAACAGATTTTAAGGATTCTCAATAATTAGTAGATGTAAATACTTAAATGAGTAGATGTTTCCCCAAATGATGATTGACTGTCTATTTCATGACTGTTTTATCAGACACAATCGGTATCACTTGACAATCAGGTTTCAACAATCTCATCGAGGCTGACTGTCTTTCAGCAGTTACAATGACTTTGATATTGGTTGGGAAGTATTTTGGCAACCAAAAATTTACATTGGCTTCTCGATGCATATCCAGTATCTCTCTGAAATTGTCTATCCCTTCAAAAACTAGAATGACCTACAGAATGAAGATTATCAGGTACCTTGTCATAAATGATTTGGGCTCCATTTATAATTTGCTAATCCAATTATCTACTACAAATTTCTAACCAATATTGGAAATATCTTCTTAGCTTCTCCTCTAGCAGCTCCACCTTCTGCTTGATGTTGAGTGCTTCTCTCAATTTAATTAGGATTCTGTAGATGGCATAATAATAATTGCTATTTTTGCCTGATTAAGTGGCGAAATGGGGAATGATGAAATCAGGATATCGCTATTATTCACTATACTCTTACTCCTTTCTTATTTCTGGCATGATATTCCATCCATTTGACCAAAAGGGTCTTCTTCCCAATCCCATCATCTGCTTCGAGAACTAAGGGTGTATTGGTATGCAGAGTCTTGTCTTCTTCCAGCCATTATTCGATTTCCAGAAAATACCTATCCAATCCACTTGCTTGTCTATAGCCATAATAACATTAGGTACTAATTTTTGTAGTATTCCACTATCACGTCGTTTGAGCTATAGACTATCTAATTAAGATTACTCAACAAAGTTCATGTTCTCGTTTCTCATGGTTTCCAATTTAGATTTGCGATGTCTGTCTGAAGGAGTTGAAGCTTGATGGGAGTAAGCATCATCCATTATAAAAATAAAATAATAATGTATTGACTTAATCAATTTAATTGAAATTCAACAATAATTGAAATCATCAAGAGATCGCTTCTTGAATTATTATCTAATCAAATAAGATAATGAAGATTTCTTTATCTTCTCCTTTTATTACGAAAATATATAATCATTGAAAACAACTTCCCTTAATTTATTAATTGATTTCTAAAATTTTTTGTATTATTTTTCATAAAATACACTGAGTTCTTAATAACCGATGGATGTTACAAATAATCTGCAAGCTCAATTCCTTGTACTTTTAATGATACCGTCAATTACTTCAAATTAACACCTCATCATCTCTCAAAATGCTGTAAATCCAATATACCTTCCATATATATACTTAATTTACACTATTTCTGTGTTCAACCAAACGTATTTTTATAATATTTTATAGAATAAACAGAGAATTATAACAATGTAATTTATCTTTCTTTCTTAAATACTCCCTTAGCAAAGGTTACAATCAAGATAATTTAATATCTCTAAATAAATAAACTATTACTCCTTTAAATTAATGATATATATATTTAATTCATTATTTACAACATAATGATCTCATCATTCTTTCGTTATCATATCGAATTACTTAAATCTTAAGATATTTAATAATTATACCTTCTCTAATAAACTATCTAAATCCATTTAAGTCATTTCTGAATCCTTAATCATTTATTGAAGTCGCCTATTCTCATCCTGCAATAAATCTAATTTTTCTTAGTAGGTCTCCAATAGGTCAGCTTTGGCTTCTGCCCTTGAATATTTTTTGTGAGCATTTTCTTCAACTTTTCTATATTTAATTAGCTTTTGCTTTAATTATTAATTCTAATTCTTCTACTTCAATACCAAACTCTTAATGTTTTTTCCATTTCTTAATTAAACATTAATTCTATCATTCTCTAAAATCAGAGTCTATACCTTATTCTCAAATTCCTAAATTAAGTTATTGAACTAATTGGATTCTTCGTTTCTGAGCTTCTCCTTTAAATCCTCTTACTTCATTTTATAGTTTTAAATTTCGGTCTTCATTGCAGATAGTTAATTATATGCAATTTTTCTATCATTTTAATACTTTAAAATTAGATCTCTCAAGGCTTACGTATCAGGCACGTTTATCAACTCACGATTATCAATTTATAACTTGTTATTCATTTATGATAACATTTGTATCTTATCTTCCAATTCCTTAATGAATTGAGCTGATTGACCTCTAAATGCTAGAGATTCTAATTTTTGAATTTCTTAAGTCATAGATATGTTTTGCAATTATAAAGTTTTCAACTCTTCTTAAAGAGCATATGTATTGGTGTAGTTTACAACTCTTTGTGAGTTCGAATTATTTTAATAGGGTTGAGTAATAGATTATTAAATAAAAGGTTGATTTTAAGAGTAAAATAAGGTTGTTTGGTATTACTCTCGATTTGGAGATTAAAATTGCAACTATTGCTGTTGATACTACATTTTATTTTAGGGAGATTAGAAGATTGAGGCATTTTCACGATGTGTTTATGGACTCATAGGAACAAAAGGCCTCACTTAAGAAATCATTGTATTAGGTTCATCGTATTATTGCTTTGCTCCACTCACTTTGAACTAAATTTTGTATTCAGAAGCACTTGGTGTTTATGTTAATTGTTTTGTGGATTGCACAGGTTTATTGATCATTTCTTGGTCATTGTAGGACTGTTGAATAAAACCTTTGTTTTCCACATTGTGAAAGGGAGAGCGTATTTATTATTATTATAATTATTAACGAGGACTAGGACTTGCTAATTGTGATTATTGATATTGAATACCTATTTGTTTTGTTTTGAATACTTGAAATTATTGCATGAACCTAACAGCCAATTTTTATTTAAATATTTCAATATTTTTAGTCATTAATGTATGCTATGGAGAAGGATGGGATAAGTATATTAATAATTAGTTTAATGTGATTTAGTAATTTGATTAAAAATCATATTTATCTATTGGTATGACTTAATTTGAATTCTTGGGGTATTGTAACTCCAGGTTTCCATTTTGAGGATTTCTTGGGTTCTTCTTTCTTCTTATTGGCTTGTTAGACTCTTTCAAAGTAGGTGATGAGTCCTTTTTTATTGAATTCTGATACTTTGACACTTTTTTGTGCTATTTTTTTATTTACTTGAGGTTTAAAGGTGCAAACCGTTTGACTTTCATTTTGTACGTCCTTCTAATATTAAATAAGTTTTTCTTATTTCTTGGTTTCCCAATATCGATTTCTCTATTCAAAAGGCATGGTAAAATCGCAATACTTAGTTTAACTCTTTGAAAGATCTGGCTAGAACGTAGTCTCATTGTCTTTTGATCGTTCCATTTCTATTTACAATTTCAATGCTTCCTTCTTTGATTTATAGAATTGATCTAATGTGTATAACTATTCCCATCTTGGAGCGACCCCAGAGACAGTTCGTTTCCTGGTTTGCGATTAAGATTATTCTTTGATTTCAGGTGTGACTGATCTAGGTTTAGTTAGTCTTTCCTTGGCATCTCCCAATTTTTCAGCAATTCTGAGAGACTTCCTCGATAACATGGGTCTGAATGAACATTGCTCAGTTTATGGATGTTTAATATCTTTTGGCTTATTGTCAATGGAGATGATGAGATTGACTTTATCCTTGTTCTACATCAATGGTTGTTGAACAACCTAGGGAGACTTGTCTTTTCCGTTGAGAGAATTTAACTTAGCCAACTCTTTTTCAACCAATAATTCTAATTCATCAAGCATTACGTTAAATTTTAATAAATATCATTATTTAATCTTTTTGTGTACTTCTGAATTCTCTTCATGTTCAATTAAGTATTTGAAACTCTGAAACTTTCTCTTGCAGAGTGTGCAAAACTTAACCTTCAACAATTCCTTCTTGATCTATTCACTCAATTTGATAAGTTCATTGACCTTCTCAACATCTTTGGTAGGTTTTTGTTCTGAGTTCTGTGCTTAATAAACTTGATTGGTAAAGTGTCTAGTGACTTTGACTTTGCCACTGTTTTGAGTAGTCTCTTCAGGGTGAAAATTCCGATTCTTCACAGAAAAGCTTCTCTCAATACTATTACTCATATGTTTATATAAATATTGTATTTACACACATGATAGTATATATAATGTATATTAAGATAGATAAATAAATCATGCAGTCTTATAAATAGATATTTAATCAGCCATACTGATTTTTTAATCTGGCTGTACTTATTTGGCTCGAATCACACTCATCATTGACCCACTTGAATCCAAAGCCAAATCAGTCACAATGGTCTCAGGCACATGTTGCACATACATAGGTTCATTCGGAGCATTGATGTTATAACATGAAATAGAACCATTGGCATCGCCAGTGAGAAATATATTTTAATATTTTGGATGCCAAAAGATGGTGTCAACTTGATTCTGATGCAATTTAAATATTTCCATATCCATTTTCCTGAGATCAAACAACAAGGTTTGCTTATCCTTACCTGTTGTTGCAAAGTATGTCCCATTTCTATTCCACCTAACCTTCTTGACTCCTAAATTGTGTCTTTTTAAATTCAGAATCTCATCTCTGCTCGAAGCATCCCAAAGACGAATTGTCTCATCATCTGCTCCACTGATTATCAAACTGTTCTCTGGATTCCATTGCACTGTGTACACCTCCTTGCCATGTCCCATAAGAGTTTCCTTCGATTCTGATTAGACATCGTAAAGATAGATCAACTTATCCTAACTCGAAAAGGCAATTTTATGATGATTGGGAGAGAAGGCTCCCTCTGTGATCTACAAGATTTTGGTCTCCAATACTGGTCTCTACTCAAGTCCTCCCTACCCTTTCTCAATGGTGTAGATCCCTCCATTACTTCCAATTCCAAATACTTTGTTTAGATATTCTTGGTTCAGGATCCCCACCATTGCCTCGTCGTTTGCAAATTTCTTGTAAAACAACTTCCAGTCATTCAGATCGAAGATAGACAAGTGTCCTTGTCGCTTTTGATTATTGATCTTATTATAACCCAAAGCGAAGCTATTGTTTTTGGCTAACCACTAAATGTGTGAAATTGAACGAATACTTTGAGATGGGTGAATTTGAGTATCTTGATGACATCCTTCTGATCTTGATCATTGATGCATCCTACGAATTCCGTGGGGATGCTAAACTTGATCTGAGTTTGCACAGGCAATTAATTTGAATGAGTGGGATAGCCATAGAGTCTCTCCTTCACATTCTGAGCTGCCTTCTGTTGAATGTACCACTTGAGATCTGGCTTGCCTAGATTCATTTAATTTTTAATATAAATTTATTTTAGCTAAACAAAAATATCATCATAAATCATCAATTACCCTATTGTTGCAATGCCTTCAACTCCTACTAGTACACCTTCTCCCATTCAAAAATGGTCTCGTCCAAATTATCCATGCACTCCTAAAATGCCCCTTTGCCAAACAAGTTCAACTGATGATACAATGGCCTCACTATCACCTTGATGAATCCAATTTCATTTTTAGACATCACATGCAACTTCGATATTAAATACTCTAATTTACCTTATCCAAATCCTTCATGAACGGCTACTGAGGATACCCTTTCTTCCCCTCCTCAGCATACTAAGCCCGATATTCTTAATTGATCTTCTCACTCCACAACCTACTTTAAGGCCATTTCCTCGCAGTACCATTAAAATCAGCTGCATGAGTGATCATCCCACACAACAAAGACAAATCCTCAGGATCATTACCATATTATTCTATTCTGGATTCGAATTCCTTCAGCATCTTGAAGTGTTCCTGCATGTCAGTAGATAGGATGTTGGAGATGAGTTATTTCCTAAATGTTCTGAAATCCTAATCAGAAAAGTTGCAGAGAATGTTCGTCTGGCCATCCCTCAAGATTTTGATGGTTGTTGCCGCATGGTGTTGTTCCAGTATCTAATAAAAGTGTTAACAACATAAAATATACCACTTTGTCATGGTACCGAATTGCCAACTGACTCAATGAATTGGCTTCGTATGCATTGGTCTTACCTGTGTGAGCAACATCATGACACAAGGCTGACAACAATAAGCAAAACTTCGTAATATTGTTGAAAAACTATTGATCTAATTGTTTTGACAATGACTTGATGAAGCAATTTACTGCTTGCATCACTGCGACTCCGTGATCAAAGTTGTGATAAGGGTTGTTATTCATATTGTATTGATTTTCCATTTCAATCAAAAAGTTTATCAGTTTGTCTTGAGGCAATGCAAAGACCTAATTAAAGTTGCTCCTCTCCAGCATTGCCCACACTATTCTTTACTTCTCAATTGTAGATTTAAGCTAAATTATTTCTATGTATTACCAAATGAATGTTGAACTCCATTGAGTCTAGTTAATTGTCCTCCTCCTTGAGAATCAGATGACCGTCATTAAATTTATTTGGATTTGTTTTCATAAATCTCCTCTCCTCCTCTCGTTGTTTAAAAAAGAAACTATTCTTTCCAACAACCTATTCCTTATCAATCTTCCTGAAAACCAAAGTTGGGGTCTTCTGAGATGGCAATGCAGTTTGATTGAACTCCTGCGTTTAAGGCATGTACATGGCAACAACAGAATTTCTGATGTCAGGATTAAATTCTTCCAGTTTTTTGATGTAATCCATGGTCTCGGTCTATAGCAATTGCTGTCTAATGGTCTTTCCATTAGTGGGAGGCTGAGTCTTCTTCCGAACCCATTCGTTCTCTAATAGGATTAAGGAGAATCCCTTAAATTGTTTCTCCTCCTTTCTAATGAATATCTCGAATTGCTTATTCTAGTCCTCCTCCTGCTAAGTCAATTTCCACTTTGCATTACTAATGTAGTTTTCAATGCTTTGAAGCATCTGCTGATTGGATGTGAATATCTATTTGTAAGTGGAATCGATTTGGATCTTCTCAATGTGAAATTGGGTCTTAATCTTTTGTGACAAAGCTCTGCTCAAAAAACGCAAGCGACCCTGCTTGTCGAAGTCAATCATGAATAGGTTTTTGGATCTCAAGAAGTACTTGTAGAATTGCATTCTTTCGTAACACTATTTAATGAACTGTTGGTAGCGTTGATAAATTTGATTGACAGTGTTGTAAACTAGCAGGTCCTGTTGCTTCTTGAGATCTAGATTGGAGGCAAAGAGGTATGAGGAGGAGGAGTCCTTAAATTTGAGGGAGACCACGTTGGGTTGATTGTCAGTGATTTCGTGGATCGAGTATTGTTTGTTGATGGTTTAGAGTATGTTCTCGATGAGTAGGTACTTGGAGCATCTTACAATTTCTAGACCAAACTCCAGGATGGTGTCTCCAATGGACAAGATGCTGAAGTATTGGACTTTGATCTGTTGGGAGGTGTATATTACAAATTGAGCCAATTCGATTAAGGAGTCAGTGTAATTGTACTTGTTGGACAAAGTAACAAAGGACTTGAAATTTGGATCCAATTGCATAACAAAATACTGGTAATCGGTGAGTTTGAGTATAAAATGATGAGGTGTTTGGTAGTAGTGTTTGAGTGTGTTCAAGGAGTGAACTTCAGTTATTTGTTGCAAATTAACTAGTTCGTCTAGGACATCTTTGGTGATGGGAAACTCTTCGAACTTGTCGTCGTAATGAATTTGGACTTTCTGATCTTTGAGGAGGATGAAGCTGTAGGATTCGCAGCCGATGAGTTGATCGAGGAATGTGTTGAGGAATGCCTGGATATCTTTGGGTTCTACTTTCTCATCCATCAATTCAAGAAGTGAATTCATGTAACGAGAATACCTTTGCTAAGTGTAACGGCAATATTACCTTGATTAATGAATAATTGGATTGGAGTAGTTCAATGTAGGAGTAATCAACGTCTTCGTCTTGATCCAATGAGTTGAGTACATTTCTGAGTTGTTGAATTTTAGAGTTGAATTCTTGGGTGGCCTAATGGACTAATAGGCGAAACAGAATTACCTGTTGATTGGCATATTGTTGCATGCATTTCAATTGGATGATCAGTTGATCCATAAGTTGGATGATTTGAGTCTATGTGAAATATGTATCGGTCTTACTTGTAATTGTTGTCCTTGTTTTTTGGATGAACCAAACTCCTGAGTGTGTGATTTAGAGCGAGTGAGCTGAAAAGAGGACAAGTATGAGAGCAATTCGGATTTGATTTGCGTTTCCTCCTACTATTGAGACAATAGCAGCATGAGTGAGGGTTCCTTGATGGTTATCTTCTGCTTGATGATCCTCTTCTCTTATTGGGTGATTAGACCCTCCGATTCCATTTCCCCCAAGACTTGGAAGAAGTTGATGTACCCACAAAGACTGGGTGACTGAGAATCCTCTTATTTCATTTATTAATTAATGAAAAGAACAGTTGATATTTACAAAGCAAATGCGAAGAAACCAAAACAGGCGATTGGTAGCAAATCACAGACGTCATATGCAGCATACTTGAATAGTGATGTTAAGACCATTGCTAAATTGTACTGATTGTTAGCATTTACATGAGGAAGGAAAACCTTACCCAAATCACCAACAATTACTTTATCAAGAATCTACGCATTGAACAGACACAGAAATCCAGTGCCAAACAGCTCAAGACCAATTTCTCTTAGTTGAGATAGCCCAGATCTGCTACCATTGATGCCAAGAACTCTTAAAAAAGTACTCTGACTTCTTTAACAAGCAGAAATATCCAGACCCTATGAATCACTGTAACCCAAGAGATAGACAGCAGTGGAATCCACTCAGAATCTCATCAAATAATATGCCAATTAAAAGTAGAAGACCAATGTGGATAAAAGAAATTTATGGCACAATTTTGTAACAGAATCTATATTCATATTGTACAGCTTAACAATTCCATCATCGACCAATAAGTGCGCAGAGCTCAGAGTTCAAGTACTCACAACATGAGATCAGAACCAAAGAGCGATCTCAAATATAGATCGGCTCAATCTTTGCATTACAATCGTGATTTCTTACAATTCAAACTCTCCTTCAGTAGCAGAACAAGACAAGGTCAATTGGCATCCAACCCCAATAAAACTAATTAGGACACTTTTATTTGCGAAACCAACATCGTCTCTGATATGCATCTCTTCTCTGTCTGTGATGGTCATGGTTAAAATGGGCATTTTGTTTCATAATATGTTAGAGATCATTTCACCAAAATACTCAAAAGAGATCATCAATTAAAATAACATCCCAGACAAGCCATCGTCAAATCTATCTCTGTCCTAGCAAACCTAATCAATTAACAACCATTTGACACTCAATTCAGTGGCACTACCATGAATGCCATCCTCATCCAAGATGGAGGACACCTAATCTGCTCCAATGTCGGAGACAGTAGAGCTATCATTGGCAAATTGGGAAACAATTAAAAATTCAAACCATTCCCCCTCTCCATCGATCATAAACCATGTCTTGAAAAAGAAATGAACAGAATCCACATGCATGGCGGAAGAGTAGACACCTACTATGATGATCAAGGTATCATCTATTAATCCATTAGGTAATTCGATCGGACCTGCTCGAGTTTGGGTCAGAGATGGAAATTACCCAGGATTGGCTATGAGTCGAAGTCTTGGTGATTAAATTGCACAATCAGTAGGTGTGTCCAGTGTTCCTGGTAATTTAGTGTTATTTCTATGTTTGTAGAGGTATTCGAATACTAGTTGACTCCTCAAGATAAGTTCATTATTTTAGGAAGCGATGGAGTCTGGGAATTCATTGACAATCAGAGTGTTGTTGATATTGTAGGCAAGCATTACATTTAAGGGGATTTGGAGGGTGCCTGCGATGAATTAATGCAGATATCCTATAAAATGTGGACTTTAGTAAATAATTATATGATTAACATAGGAAGATGATTCAGTTGTTGATGATATTACCTTCATAGTTATATTCATAAGCTGATTATATATTATCATTAATTGATTTTTGCATTGAATTTTATTATTATGAATTCTAAAATTATAAGATATTTTATATCCAATTGCTTTGCTAAAAATCATCATCTCCCATTGGCACAACAGGATCCAGAGATCTTTCATTTGATCTCAGAGGCCTCCAATCACAAATGCATTGATTTTACAGAAACCCCCACTTCTTTGGCTGTCCAATAATCACTAGGATCCATGATGTCAACCAAATATGCATCAGGTTATCCTGGAAAGAAAAACAAACCTGGAACTGAGATTTATGATAAAATAGAATAGACTTGTTGGGAGAGAGCTCAAAAACTATTTAATCTAAACAACTTTAATGTGAATGTTCAATTGCAAAGTGTTACGGCTGCTAAGCTGATTGTGAGCAAGGCTTTGGTTAAACCTGGAGGTACGATATTAACTCGAGGGAATACAGACACGAAAGCACTTGAGAAGTATTATAATGTGATTAAGAATGACAATTATGATGGTGAAATTGATTTGATCATTGACTCCAAACTTGATCGATTAGATACTCTTAGGTCGGAGTACAAAAACACTACGCCTATTCTTTTGGATGTTACTGAAAAGGCTCCCTTCTATGTTACCAATCTCCTTGAGGAGGAGTCGAAATTGTTATAGCAGTACCAATTCATCGTAGTCAACACTCAAAGGTAATTCTATTGATGTGAGTCTCAGTTTGCTGGGTCCCAAAGGCTGCCTACTATTTTCAGACAAGGCGTATTCTGAGGAGGTCGATGAGGCATGTTACCCTGGTTATCAATCTGGTCCTCATTTCCACACTATTACAGGCATCACTGTGAGTTTGGGAGAAATTTAACATGCCGAATACCAAACGTTATTTAAATAGGTGAAAGGCAATTGTGCTGCTTTGAAAAGGCAATTGAAATTGAAAGGTATCATAAGGGAATTTAATTAGAATTCCCATTGATCGAGACATCAGGAACTTGTGTTAGTATAGAAGCGAGTTAGGAAGATTCAAAAAAGTTAGAGTTATCTTAGATTTATGCACACTTTAGAGAGTCCAGATTGGATTTCAAGTGAGATTTTTTTGAAGAATATTTTTAGTTTGATCCCATTGACTTATAAGGGAGTTAAGCAAGATGCCATTCCAAAGTTGGCAGAGTGTTTGGGACTTGCTTTATACCATTCGAGACATGGTAAGTTTTTATAAGATGAAAATAACTCTTTGTGGGAAAGAGAGTTGGAGGGATCAATGAATGAATTTTATTCTATGATCTGAATTAAATGAATGTACAGTTTAGCTGGTAATTATTATTCCAGTTAGTAAATTTAATATTATTCATTGCAGAATTATTGGATTGAGTAATTCTACTTTGGAAGAACCCCAGAGTTTGACACACGGGTAGAGTTCCTTCTGAGTGTCAAATTTAAGAGTCTTATTGTTATAACAAATAATTCATACAAAGGTTTCCTTGGGTTGTTTTTTGATCCAAGTTATTTGCTACTATTAAAAATCAATCTCTATTGTAATGATGTTTTTATTGTAAAACTTAAATGATAGCGATTTGTCATTCATTTCAGTCTCGACCGTTGAGAAGACATCTCCCTAATTATTGATCAGATAAGAGCTTTAGCATATTCATTGTTACAACATACCCATGACCGACATTTGCCAAATTGGGATCATATTTTGATTCGATCAGCATGTCCCTATCACAAACTCCAATGTGAATTCTCCAATCGCACTTTATTATTCGAAATGCGATGATAGTGGTTCCACATTTAGAAATTGCCTAATCACATACACAAAATCCAAAACCCTCAGCTGAATTCTCTGGCTAAATGACATTAATAGCTCTATTTTTGTAAATATTTGAGAATTGATATTTCCCTTGATTGTGGATAATCTATTATTGTTATTATTACTTCTTTTCATCCTTCGATTTACTAGGCTTAATACAAACAACTTGATGTTTAAATTCCTCTTATTTTGTCTATTATTAATTTTAAACAACTAAATTTAATCACCTCATCTCTTACCTTATGACCCTTTTGAAGATGCCTTCTCTGCCTTCTTCTGCTTCTTAGACCTCACTGGAGTCTTTTTGAGAGGCTCCTCCTCTCTGATCAATTATTGCTCAGCTGTGAAATACTGATGAATATCATACTATTTTTCTGTAATAATTCCTTAAAGTCCTACTTGATTTTTTGTAATGGTATCACTGCCAATTCCAAATTGGTTTTGAGGGTTTTCTCCACTTCCTTCACCCTTATGATTTTATTAATCAGATTGTTTATTGCTATAATGGATATATCTTTAAGATTGATCTTTGGGTTGAAACTTAATTAATTTATAATGATGGTAATCAGTTTGGCTATGGATTGTAATTCCTCTGCTAGGTTTTGCATTTTGTTGTAGGTATTCAAACCTTCTTGCATATAATTGTAAAAGTCTGTAAAATCATGAAGATCATGGAGATGTTCTGAATGCAGATAGCATTTTAGACATTACTGACAATATGGTCTGATTTTTTGGCACTCTGAATTAACACAAACACCAATTATTTATTTAGAGTAATGATTCTCATGCAAACATTTAAGCACTGGCTCTTGCATAATAACGGAATACGCTACGATTTAATTTCAAATTATACTTCAATTCAAAAATTAGTAGAATTTGATTAATATGTTATTATTATTCCAATTAATCCATTATGATTCAATCCTTTCGATCCTCCCACTCAATCCCTAATCCACAGCTAACTCTATGTAATATATAGTAATAAAAATTAACACATTCAATTTTATTTTATTGCTAAATATTTCCGATTCCTTATATAATAATCATGAAAAAGGGTTAGAATCCAATATCTCCCAAAAAAAATTAATAGAATTCAAAACTATCCTTGAAAGAATAAAAATTGTATGAAAAGTTTACGAACAATCAAGCATAACTTTCTAAAATACCCAATTCATGCATTCCCTATTAGAGTTCCTTTAAAACTAAGAAGAAAATCGTAACAAATAATTCGTATGTAACTGAATCTCAGAAACGCAGAATAAAATCTGAGCAGTTTTCAATTCTAAAAACAATACAAGAAACTCTAAATGGAGGCACTAAATCATTTCATAGAGTAATAACTTATGAAGATGGGTATTCTTATCAAGGAGAATACGTGGAATCTAAAGACGACGTTATTCTCTAAGGATATGGAGTACTCAAATATGAGGACGACATAATTTATTAAGGGTAATTCCGAAATAATAAATTCCATGGAGATGGCATCTGTAAACAGGATAATAGGTTATATAATCTCGTGGATTGGAGGAGAAAAGATCAAAAAGAGATTAGGGGAATATTTGAAAATGGCATTTTAATCGGGGAATAGCCTGTGTTTAATTGATTTTTAAATAGCAATAAAATTTATTTAAATAAATTGTCACACTCTTATTTCACTTCTTAATTTTTATTGATTTGAATAGCATTTTTTCATCTTGTGATAACTAACACATATGAGAAACCTGTCTAAAGTAGAAGTCTGCCTTCACTTATTCATCCACCTCCTGTAAACAAGTAATTAACCGATAATAATTCTTGACTTCATATGGCTAAATCTAACTCAAATAAATACCTTGTTTCTCATTTGACCAATCAAGGGCTCAAGAACTGAAATGGCTTGTTTTAAATCTTGTAACTTGATCAAACATTGCGCCTTATTACTTGATAAGACCAATAAGGAATTCCTTTTGGCCTCAATGGCTACAGGGTTGTCCTCAAATTTCTTGGGCCATTTTTCTAAAAAGTTTAATCCTCTTTGGTATCTCAATAGCGCACTTTGATATTTTTGCTTTTCATAAAATTGGTTTCCTTCAATTTTAAATTAATCCAATTACTTTAGACGACTACAAATATATATAAGAATATTACTTGTCTAAACTAGTTAAGTCTAGGGGTAGTTCAGGTTGAGTTACTTCTAAGATATCAATTTTGAAATATTTTTATAAAGACTGGACTTAGATTCCACTTGCAATTTCTTACTCGGTGTACATCTATTCATTCGATAATTTGAACCAGGCAACATCTCCCTCCTTCATGGAAATAAAAGCAGACCTCAAGCCTTAGATATATGGAATACTCGAGGCCATGGATATTTTAGTGGCCTGAATATTATTGGTACCCTTATTGGCTAAACTTCCATCTAAATCTCTTTCCTCACATTTGAGTTTAATCTTTGATTTACAGTTGATCTGTTTGGAATTCTCAGTTGTCTCACTCTCAACTACTATGTATTTGATCAGATTGGGATTTATTTCAATTGATTTGTATTAGGAGAGGAGAGTTTCCATGTCTAATTTTTCTGGTAATTTCCTCTCCTTAATAACTGGAGGATTGGCTGCAGTAATTTAATGTTGCAATTCTACTTCTTCAAGGGAAAACCAACTTGATTAGTTCATTAATTATTATTGAGCAACATTCTAGTCGAATTTATATATTATTTAAAAAATGAACTAAATTCAAAGTCTAAGCAATTCTTATAGAATCAGTCTTACAAAAATTAATCAAAATTTATCTTCTATAAACGATTAGCATTTCTCTTTTATTATGTCGCCATATCGAACTTCTTCTTATCTTTCTTTGTATCTTCCTGTAATTCCGAAAGTTCTGTAATGATATGATTTAATTGATTATTCTTAGCTAATTATCTTAACGATAATTGTTTAAATGATTGATTTGATTGGTTATATTTGATCCCGCTTTATTTCAAAAGCTCTGAATCTTTGTACTTTTCTAATTTCCTTTGTATATCATAACTCTTTTGTACTCTCCAATCTCTAAGTATTTTCTGTCTCAATTTCTTCTCCCCTTCAATAGTACCCAACTGCAATTTGGTCACTAATTCACTCTCATTGGTGAAAGTAGTTTATTTGACCTTATCAGTGAGGTTCTTAAATCTATCCTTATTAGAATTCTAATCCCACTCCCAATGAGCAAATCTTTTCAGAACTCCCTTGGTTGTGTATGTACTGAGCATATAAACATTAAGTGTACTTGGTTTACTTCAAATACTATCTAAATTGCTTTTTGGACCAAAGTTCGCTGGTTAGCATTGAACCCTCTTTCTAATTCTAATAAATTCCACTCACAATGGGTCTTAATTATTCGTCTTATTCTAATTCAGCCTTCTGAAATGAAAACTTCGCGAAGGTTAATGGTCTCGTCGTAAGTGTAGATGTCAACTATTCAAACATGTTTTGATGATTCCTCAAGAATCTATGCTGAATGCGAAACTATTCATTGCTTGCTTCATCCAGAAGGATATCATTCTATCCCAAAATATCCTTTATTCTTAACTTTAAAATGTCTCAATGAATCAATACCTTATTCCTATTTCTCATACAGTATTAAATTATTTTATTAAAATTTTATAATAAAACTGTATAATAATCAATTTAAGATATACTTTTCCTTGCATTAATCCAAATCAATCAAAAAATTTAAATTTGTACTTATAGGCTTAATCTTATTAAATTGATATAAAATTAATTATACATTGTCCATCCTCACTCTCGAATTCAATTTCATCCTTCTGCGAATATTCCCCTATCACCCTATTTATCATTATGTTTTCACACTGCACAATTCTCAATTTACCATGAAATATCACATACAGAGAACATTTCTTCGCATAGATGTATCTTCCCTTAACAGCCTTACCTTTTAACTTTATCTTATTTATAAGCTTCGTTTTATCCTTTTGCAATAATTCAATCTTGTAATCGCTGAATGGTTTCCTGTATCTCCATATTGAGGATTGCAATTTGAAAACTGGCTCTGACTCACATTCGTAAAAGTGGACGAAATGCTGACTAGGCGAAATGTCAATAAACAATATCTCATCACCAAATTCTATTTGGCCAAACAAACATTCCCCCACAATTGATTAATTATGTATGTAAAGGTACTTCAACTTTGACAATCTCCCCAAAGCTATGAAGATCTCAGGAACCTTATATGTTATATCCTCCTTGTATCTTATTTGCTTGAATAACTAATAGTTCTGATTGTCCTCGTACTCAAAATCCTGAGCAATCCACTTGATCACATCGGATTTCAATAAAAACTAGTCCATAAACTACTGCTTGTTTAGTGTATTCTAAAATTCAATTCTATGAAATGAAGAATAATTTGTATAATGTATTTATTAAATAATATATTCTAAATATTATAAACATTTCACTTTTTCATATTTGATTAGATTTTCATTATAAAAACATATGTGGCATTTGTTTAGGTTTAAAATGATATACTTGTTTGACTAACCCATTTCAAATTAGAAGGAATAGTATTGCTTTTCCGAAGAATTAAAATGAGTCACATACTCGTAATTCAATTCAGGAGTGATCATCATCACCACTATGCAACTCCACTCCTAAAAGTCAAACACTGTCCCACTTATATATTAATCCTGACTCTCAATCTTCAACCCATAATTCGATCTCAAAACCAATGTTTATTGCTTCTTATTTGCATTCTGTTTCGATATTGTTAAGGTCTGAAAATTTTATTTTATTTCCTTGACCCCCAATATTTGATTATCCACATTCACCTTTATGAATTCCTCAAAAGTATTCGCAACATCATTTATTTTAGACTCATCCAAGTACAATTTATAACCTTGGTTAAATTCGCGATACAGTAATTGTCCTAGCTTACCCTACTCCTTGATCTCATATTGGTAAGTAGGAGCCCTAGTTTCTTAAAATAAAATTTGATCAAACATATAAAAAGGATATTATAATAATAATAATACTCTAGAGCATTTTAGAAGAAAAAAAGAAGTATCTTTATTATTTTCATTTACAACTTGCTAATGCTAATTCTTATGATCTTAACCTAGGATTCCTTTACCTTAGTTTAGTACAAAAAATAATATACTTTATAATTACATGATGAGATTAATAATATAATTAATAAACTAGACCTCTTGGATCTCACCTCTACCAAATAAAGGATAAATACAAGCAGATGAATTTAAATTTAAATGAAAATAATTAAAAGGTGAAACTTGAAAAGCTTATGAAAAGTCAGATGAGATTATTTTTACGAAGATGAAATTATATAAAAATCTAGAGTTTATAAAAATAATTATTTTTTCGAATTAAATTGAATAATGATTTGGAATACTTTCAAAAGTACATGCATTCAAACATTAATATTGCAGCTACTTACTTTTTGTTTATTTTCTCATCTAAGAAACCATCTAAAATGATTTTTTAAGTATTTACTTAACCTCTGGAATCCTTAAAAAAGTTGACTCTCTCTCTCTTCCCAAGGAAAAAAGCTTAGCTTTGTAGATTCCCCCAAAAGCCTTTAAGTGATATTATATTTTAGGTTATTATTCCTATCATATATATTGCAAGTTTGATGTATAATAGCATATGGAACTTCAATTTATCCTAAGAACACATTTTATCCATTTTCCATATAAATTACATCTAGTGGAGATCTAAAAATAATAAATCTTATTTTTACCTATTAAAACAGCATAAGCTGCACCTCCACTTTCTGTCTAATTTCAAAAAGAATCCATCTTGAATTGGTGCATCAGGCATTTATTAAAGATTTGTTTATTAACTTTTCTTTACAAATACTAATAATGGGTTCAAGTCACCACTTGATACAAATAAAATAAAATTATACCCACAAAATCGCTCAGGAACATGAGTTTTTACGCTCGAAAATAATGGCATTTATAATGCTGGTTGTCCACAAAAGTTTGTTGGAAATATATTGAAAAACCTTTCCCTTTGTTAACATATATATATATCTCGATATTTACTAAAACTAAATGTGGACTACTTTAAAAATTACTCTTAAACTTAGACACCTGGTAGAGAGAACATCATCTGTAAGCAATTAGTTCTATTTATAACTTATCTATATTCATTCATCTAGTAAAAATTTTGTTACTGCATATCGTTAGAGACAGTTAGAGGAATGTTCATGACTTATTTATGATTAATTATGTCATAATATATGTCGTAATATGCATAAAAATAAAGATCAAATTTAGTATACTAAAAAAGATAACAAAACTTTAGCTGTTTTACTTTGTTAAGCTTATATAAAATATCGCTATGTAATCATATCTATATTACCTGCATATAATTTTATCACTTACTAATAAGACACTTTTGCTAAAGACAAATATGATCAAACTTAATTACTATTCTATATAATTTTATTAAAAAAATTAAATTATTAAATTATAGAATGTCTATTAATTATAATGTAAGAAATTATTTTTTCATCATAAAAAAAGAATATAGCATCTATATACTTTTGAGGTACTAAGAATATTTTTAACTTTAGAGAACTACAACTCAAATTAATTTTCTTAGTCTAATTTTATGAGGCCAACAATTACTTTTTCAAATATTGTGATGCTCAAATGAAAATCTAAACAAATATACTGATCCAATGCTATTATATATGTAAACGTTTTAAAATTAAGTATTTATCATATATTTATTTGTCTTATTTTTAATAATCTTTACAGTTAAATAAATTACAATAACTGGATCCAACTTTATTAAGATAAATTCTTAATTGGTTATATTAGATGTGGTTAAAGTAATTAGATATAATGCTGAGTCATTATAGTCATTTAGTAAAGAAGACTTATATGATGTTGATTTACATTAATGATAATTTTATCAATTGATGGATAATGATAATCTATTAATAATAATTATATATTAATTTTAATTCTTATTCATTTAGAATCTACTTTGGGTGCTTTTTCGTCACGCTCGAAAACACCAAATTTGGACTTTTGAGATCCATTAAATGCATTATAAAATACTAGCAAAGACACAGCCAAACTCACATTCAACGTTCTCTTTAGGTAATAATTATAAGTGTTTTCCAATCTTGCTTGTAATGGAATAGTAGAGGCTCTAAGAGAGTTTAGTATGGTGATTGCATCCTAATCCATGACATAGCCCAAGACAATTCCTTAACATTAAACATCCTCCTTCGTTAAATGCAAGATAAGTTTGTTGGCCTCTAAATCATAAACTAATAAACCTAAATTTAGTATAAATATATTAACCTGTGTCTGGGTAATAAGTTGTTACTCCTGTCAAGGTTTTTAAAGCATCGAAAGATCCTTCGAATATCATCTTGGTTTAATCTCGTAAGATTTTATACTCCTGATTTTAAAGAAGCTTCTTGAGGATTGTGTTTGTTTAAGCATTATTAGATTTATTAAGGTTAATTGAAATGTGTCCCATCCTGTGGCCATTCTCTCTGATAGTCATTCTGTAGTTTAAGCCAGACTTTATAGAGTTGTAATTGAGACTTTAAGTCTTGAGTACTTGCAATGCTTTTTTCATCTGCTCCTCCTATTAAAATATTCAATATATATAAATTAATATCATAATCGAGTATTAATTATTAATATAAATCAAGCAATATCTTTAACCTAGTTTAATCATTCTACTAATAGGAGACCTACTCTTGATTTAGAGTATTTATTCAACTTTGAAAATTTTCTCCGAATATATCATCTTATAATAATCCAGTATGTATTATGTATTGATTTCTTCACACAAATTAGACTTCCAAAAGGATTTTCAAATCACAGAATTTGAAATTTTGCCCTCCCTTTCCTAATAGATTGTTTTCCTTTGGGTCTGAAAACATTGGCAAAATAGGAAATTTGATAAACAAAATTGTATTCAAATTATAAAGTAATAATAATAATATGAATGAAATAGAAGAACAAGAAAAATAGTTATACTATCTTTAGAGATAGAAAATTGCTCAATAAGAGAAACAGTTACTAATGAAGGATCAATTGATATTGGAATTGCAAAGCAAATACAAGACTCTCTATGATGATTATTAGCATAATTTAAGAGTTATTAAAGATAGGGATGAGGAACTGGATGAAATAACGGACAAGCTTCTCTCTATGAAACAGTAGAATGATAAATAGCTGAATGAATATATTGAATTGGAAGCTGAGATACATAGAAAGCAGGAAGAATGGAAATTGTAACGGGATAATTTGAAATCAAAGAATGATGAATAAAGGAAAGAAATTAAATATTTAAAGCGCATTCATGAAGAGGAGATAAATTAATTCTAAGCCAAATACAAATAAACGCTTCACTAATTAGAGTAATTGAAAAATGAAAAATTATATTTCAAAAATCAATAGGATTAATTACAAGATTAAAAGGAGCAGATCGAATAATTGCTCTAAAAATACAATGATCAAAAGAACATCATCATTAAGTTGGAGCAAGCTTCAGAGTAGCATATCCAAATCAATAATGAAAATGCTTAATTACAATAGAAACTCAATCTTCAAAAACAATAATTCAATGAGCAAATTGGCGAATTTCAAAATGATAATCAACTTTTGAAATTGAAAATCTAGTAATAATAATAAATTATTGATTAAATCAAAAGAGACCATGATGATTAATAGGGATAGGATTCTATCAATTAAAATAAATTATAGTCGAAGATTATTTAATTGCAATAAGAGAAATAGGAACTAGAATATAAGTTGTTGGAGATGAAATAAAAAAAGAAAACTAAAGGTAAGTTTTTGAAGGAGCAGACTCAACAACAACTGAAATCGATTCAAACTCAGTCAGACGAGAAGATTAGAAAATTGGAATATTAATTGCAATAGTATTTGATTGAGAATGAAAAACTATAAATACAAGAAGCTAATTAGAAGGAAAAATGCTAGGAAATAGAAACCAAGCTTAATCGACTGGTTTTCGATAATGAATAAAGAGTATAGTAATTACTTAAAAATAATGAGTTGGATAAAAAACAATCAAAGAATGATTTGGATCTGAAGATTTATTAAATTACTTAATTAAATGACGAAATAGTAAATCTAAAATCGACAATCAATGAGTCAAACAAATTACTAGATAATATGGCAGCCAAAATTTAAGAATTGAAGAATGAAAATAACATTTTAATAGAGGAAGTAGTCAATTTGAGAAAAAACAATAATTTAAATAATACTAACAAAAAACCCTAATAATAATAATCCAATCCTTCCAATAAGAAACCATCATAATAGTAGCCATAGCTACAATAACCAATTCAATAACCCAAGATGAAATTCTTAGATGAGGAGGAAGAGGTGGAATCAGTTGAAAAACTCCTCTTTAGTGGCGATGAAGGGCCTGTATCTAGTCTACTATAGAGGGGATCTATGCAATAGTAGATCAAATAATCTAAGCAATCCTTGTCTAAGCATCATCGAAGTTTGGAATAGGAAAATGCTCAATTAAAATTGTTTGTGAAAGACATGCATTAAACCATGGAGAATACAAAGGATTAGTTACTTTTGAAGGTTTAGGAATTAAATATCCAAAAGCAAGAGTGTTATTAAGCCAAAGAAAAAATATAATCGCTCTAACAGGAAATCTTGAAGTATAAAGAATAAATCTTAATTCTCTAAGCATAAACAAAAAATAATGAGGATTTGGAAAGTGTAACGAGTGAATTAAAATTATAGATAGAGAATCTTAGTAAAAAACTTTAGAATTCAAAGGAAGTTATTTTGAAGTTGAAGTAAGAAAGAGAGAAGCTCTTGGATATTACAAATGAATTGAATTAAAAATTAAAGGATTCTGACAATCAGGAAGAATTGTTATAGATGCAAACTGAAATAAAATACTTATAAAATTAAATTAAGTAGTTGTAATTATAAAATGAAATTCCAATAAATTAAAAATCACAACTACCAAATCTTAGTGAGATTCAAAATTAATTGTTTGTGAAATGATAAAAGTTTATTCCCAAAATTTATATAAACAAATCTAAAACTTCTTAATCCAATGATGAAATTTATTTATTATATAAAATGAACTCCAGTCCTCCAATAATTTTATTTTGATATTTTATTGGAGTGGCAATGATTGGCAATTGAGTATTAATGTCTATTTTTGGTTAGAAGTTTTCGTGATTGTAACAATTGTTAATAAATAGAGTCTGATTGTTATGAATAGCCTCCCAAATGATACTCTTTTGTAGTTCGCCTTCCTATTAAAGTAAGATAATCTTGCATTCACTGCTGTTCATAATTTCACAAAGTCTCTATTCTGAGAAGTGTAATTTAGTATTTAAATCATCTATTTATGACAACAATAGTAAGCTTTTGAGAGTGTGTTGATACTTCTGAAGTTGAATTTCTATCTTATTATTGGATACTTAATTATTTAGTATATATTGAGCCTGTCTGCATATGTATTAGATCAAAATTTCATCTTCATCGCTAAAATTAATAGATTTATCTTAGCAAACAATAACTCCTAGACATCTGTTGTTGTCTAGAATCGGAGCAGCTAATAATTGATTGAAATTCTCATTTTTAAATCGTTCATCGAATTTGGCATTCTTCAAATTAAGGATTTACTTATTGTTATAGACGTGTTGTATATATGATTTGCTTGTCTCGTCAGTATGAGTAATGATCTAGGCATTTTTGCATTCCAAGATGTTCTTGCATTATTAGCTCAACTGATTGAGTGCTTCTAATTGTAACTTAATATTTTATAGGCTAAAAGAGTTGTCAATGATTTATTTGAACTTTAAGATCATTTCAAACATCTATTCATGTTCGTTGATCAATTTCTTAATTTTGTCGTACATTATTGAAACTTATTAAGGAGGATATGTTGTAATAATATCAATAAAGGAGTCCTCATCTTTTAGGATCTCTTTGACTAGTTATATGCTGCTATCATCGTGGTATAATTATTTGGCTTGCTAATTAGTGGCTTCTAGAATTGAACTTAGCTTAAAACATTCGTTGTTAGTCATTGAGAGTTTATTAGAGACTACAATCTTACGAGGCGGTGGTTTCATGGCTTATAATACATTCTTTATAGTTGATCTTCTTGCATTCCTAGCATTGGGTAATTATTATGGTAATTCTGAATGCATTTACAACTTCGTAGAGTTTGTACGCAGCGTTCTCTCTTGATAAAGCATGGAACATTAATGCTATGTGAGGACTTAAAGATTCTTATTCTGATGTTCCAATCTGTCGATTTCCTTCTGTTACATTCTCAAAAGATTTTGGAGTATTGTAGGATCCTCTTTGATTGGTGATGTTTTGTTGGAGCAACTGCTTTTAACATAAAAGCTGGTAAGAGAGTTTCGTAATTTATTTATAGACGATGTAGGTGATTACATTATTTTATAAATCAATCAATCAATCATATACAGGTGTGTAATCTAGATATAAATTGGGTTTGCATTCTACAATATTGGGATTTAATGATAATTCATCTACATTTAGCATTTCCAAATCCTCAATAACTCTTTTTTGGCTTCTTTTTACTCTCTTCTGAGTTTCATATTGTATAAGTTTCAACTCAGGAGATGGAGATTTCGAGTTTCCCTTTTAATTCTTCTTACCAGCTGACTTCGATTCTCTCTTCTTATCTCTTTTCTTCTCTCTTTATTCACTGTTCATTTTTCTAGTTTCTCTTTATTCACTGTTTTATTTACTATTGACATTCTTTTAAGTGTTCTTTATCTCATCAAATACATTCAAGTGATTAATTGTTTTTTTTTCTTTCTCTTTTTTCTCTTTTCTTTATTTCTTTTCATTTTTATCTTTCTTTTCCTCATTCTTCTATTTCTTTTCGTCATTCTTCTATTTCTTTTCTTCATTTTTCTATTTCTTCTCTGGTTCTTTCTTTTCTTTTGAATGATTATTATTATTATTATTATTATTGTTACCATTAGGATGTTATTCATTTTGATCTTTCTTTTCCTTTTGATCGTAAAATAGATGATTGATTCTATTTTTTATTTCCTTTTCACTATCGTCATCATTCATCCCAAATGTAAAGAACATTGTTTTCTATTTGTCTTGTTTCTTTTCAGATTTTGGTAATGCTGTTTAAGGTAATGCTATTTCATTAGGATTATACTTGTTATTTTGTTAAACAGATTCTCTGTCCTTAATACTTACACTGTCTCGTCCATCGGAATTCGATCTTAAAGTTGAAAGATGATTATTAGCAATCCTTTTTCTTTGTTTTGGAAATTTTGGTAATCTTATTTTTGGTTCTTTTAATATTTTTGGTTCAAGAGGTTCTTTAAATTCAAAGGAGTCCTTAAATTCCTTATATTCCTTCGTGTCATTAAATTCCTTGTAATCAATCGTCTCTCTAAATTCCTTTGTTGTTTTTTTATTATCTTTTTATTATTCTTTTAATTCTTTTGATTATTCTTTTTACTCCTTTGATTATTATTATTTCCTTTCCCTACTTTAAGTCTTCTTCTTGGATGATTTCCTTTCGTTGTCATTTTCATCCTCTTCCTCCTCTTCTTGCCTCCTTTTCCTACTCTTAGGGAAATCCATGGGTGCAGGTCTGTCTCCAAATACATCATCAAAATTTTCATCGTATCTAGCCAAGAAATCGGCCTAACCTATTTTAGGTTATGGTTTTTTCCGTGAATTGTAACTCGACAATTGTTGGATACTTTATTTCTTGAATTAAGGGATCTCTAGGTGTTCTGGGATTTCATCCTAATCATCCTCGGAACCGGAGACATCCTCAATTTAGAAAGAGCCTCTATTGTGTGCACTTGCAAATATTTTGTTTAAGAAATTCATGAAATATAATTATGCTGAAGTGGACTATAATATATTGATAAAATTATGGAGGCTTTTTAATTAAAATTATAACGAATGAAAAATTACAAATAACAACTTTAATACTTATTGTAAAAACCTATTGCAAGTCCGCAATTCAGGTAGATATTCCTCGAATGCGATCAATATCAAATGATAGTCTAAGTGCTCATAGAAGCCAAATCGGATAAAATTAGTGTGGTCAAAGAACAATTGAAGTTGTTTGGATTATTGGCCGAATGTGCCAATGAAAACTTGAGTCCTCAATTGCCCATGATCTTCACTCATCTATTGAAGAGAATCAAGGATTTCGAATCAATGAGTTGCGTGTGCACCCAAGTGGCTGAAATTATAGGGAAAATAGTCAAACTCTGTTGTTTCGACGGAGATGTCCTCAATAGCATTCTGAAACCACTCATGAACCATCTAAATTAGAATGCATAACACGCCCTCTGTTTGACAAGAGTAGTCTAATTCTTGTCCTTCGAAATTCTCGAACAAAATGCCTTGTTCCTCTTTCGGAAATTCATCTCATTATTGAATCAACAAAATGGGAAAGTGGAGATCCTGGAAGGAATGGCCGCAATCATTTTGAGCGTGGAAGAATAGTCAGAGTAAAGCAGTTCATTTATTCTAGTATTTTTGCTGATGAAATCATCCCTCATTTGCAATAGTTGTTGTCAAATCAATAATGGCAAGTGAAGAAGATGGCGTTAGACATATTGTACTCCCTGGTAGTCCTATAAAAGGAGAAAATTCAGGAACATTCGTACTTTAAGGAATTAATGTATGAATTAAAATCTAATAAGGTATTTATTATAATAGAAATTATTAGATAAAACAAGTAAGAGATTCAGCCAACTTAATATTGGATGTATTGTAATAGAATAGTTCACAATCGTAACAATAATCATAACCATAATTAAATAATTAATAGCAATTGGATAAATAAGTTACCTCTGTGGAAAGATAACCTAATTATGGAAGCTAACTTAAGTCATCTTCTTAACCTCAATTATTCATTAATACTACAAATAAGTAATCCCATTCTAATACGGCAATTCCCCCGTAACCACAAACTCCTTCTTAGCAACAAATTAATAGACTGTCCTAGACACCAGCTTAAACCTACAAAATGAGCACAGATGAAAAACTGCAATTGGCAATCGAGGCAATTTAGTTATTGAGTGGGATATTGAAATCGAAAGGGATTTGCGATTCTGCAGAAACCCAACAGATAGATTCGATATTGAATAAATTAAATGAAAGAGATAGTTACAAATAACCCACAATGAAGTTTTCTTAGTTTAATGACACAGAAACCTTTATCAGTAAGGAAGCGGCTGAGATCCTGAGGGAATTCAAGGAAAAGTAGAGATCAGAGTACTTAAGGTGAGAAATGTGTTTACATATGATGAAGTTTTATTTGTTATATAACCATTGCTTTTTTATTAGATTTTGCAAATATTTTATTTGTTAATTAATATCCAAAGTATATCATGTCATAATCATATTTTTCTGGTCTCATGAGTTGGTACATATACATGATTGATTAGTTTAGGGTGAAAAAGCACAATGGGAATAAACAACTAGTCATTGGTCAGAGATCTATCAGCCTATTTATCTTAAAGATGTATTTACATGACAGATTAGTCTAGAAATCCTAATATAAATTGAATTCGAACTAATCGATTCAATTCAAGGATTCTATTGACTAAATATGTTAAATCTCGGAATGCAATCAAAAAAACAATTTAGAAGAAGTACGTCTTCACTATTATCTTTAGAAACTTTTATCTTAACTCACCCTGGTGGATTAAGATGAAATATTCGATACCATCTGTATCAGAGGAGACATGAATGAAATCATCACTTTATTACGGGATTGCTCAAATGGCAAGGCTTTTGCAGAATAACTCAAAATTGTTGAAGATAATAAACAGTTGAAGGTTCAAGATGCTCCTTGGTTTGACTCCAGTCAACCCTAGACCTGTCTAAATTGGATAATTAACGAATTTGAAAAGTAAGTCACCCTGCTCTATTATAAACACATTAATTTCATCAATCACGAATGCCTCCTCCAATATTGGATTAACAATGGCAAAAATATAAGGAGGAAGGTCACTGATTGTGTTTCCACTGTCATTCGACTAGATCAGAATATTCAACTCTAATACTACACCTCTTTCATTAAGGATCATACAATAAATATCCAGAGTCTTCTTAGTAAGTTTAACGACAATCAGCTTGAATCCATATTCTATTTACCCTTACATCAAGCTTTGACTCTTCAAAGTCTCTGTGAAAAGTTGGTACTTCAAATCATAAGGGAATCTTATAAATAATCGATTTTGCAAGAATTGGAATGTTTAACAAAGAATGATCATCATCTATAACATCAATAAGCATCTCAATAAAAATTAAAAAAGAAGAAGAAATAAAATAAGTAAAAGAAACTGATACATTAAGTGACGTAGGAAAAGTTTCCCATTGTTGTTTAGAAGGAGCAGGAAAATTAGGATGTTACTACTGACGATAATCAAGACACTGAAGATTGGATTGTAGTGACAAAGAAAAAAAAGTAGAAATCTCCAAACCATTCAAATGCATCCTCTACAAATAAAGAAAAATAATTAAGTTTAGAATAATAAGAATAATAACCTTAAATATAAGAAAATAGGATCCAAATGGAGATTGAGGAAATAAATAAGAATGATTTTGATAATTAAGTATAAGTAAAAATTTTAAATTAAGAGGAAAAATAATAAGAATAGCATTATTAATAGTAATAATAATAATAATAATAATAATAATAATAATAATAATAATAATAATAATAATAGTAATAATATTAGTAATAATAATCATCATCATAAGTATAAGAATAGAATCTTAGTACTCCTGAAAAGAAAAAACTAATTAGAAAGAATTTAGTTTTACCTAAAACAATTGAATTAATTGAAAATCCCATAGATGAAAATCTTATGAATCAAGCATTCTAATAAATGATAAAAAAATTAGATCTTGACATTAAGGAATTTATCGATTAGATCAGGAGGGATAATGATTAACAATTTCCAATTAGACAGTTAGTTTTCAATCGAATTCAATTCATAATTTAGTTCTTGTTTAAAGATGCTGGAGTGTGTCTGTTTGGATCTTGTGCCACAAGACTGGCTCTGCCTGATAGTGATATTGACATAGGGATCACTGGTCTGGAGACGCATCAATTAAACCAAAAGATGGATATTATAATAGAGTTCTTGTATAAAATGAATTGGGTCAAGCGAATTAAGTAATTAATTTATTAATGTTAGACCAATCTATCCTACGTAAACAACTCTGCCCCTCATTAAACTATGGGTGGACCCGAGCATCCCCTTTAGGAATGGGAATATGAATTTGCCTCACATTGACCTTGTGTGCCAATCCCAGTTGATTTAAGTAGATATCAGTTTCTTTGGACACATTTAGCATTAGGGATTGACATCAACGGAACTTACATGCTATTGGCTCCAAGAATATTAAGAGCTGAAAACAATTACACTTTTATTTAAAAGTCTACTTAAGAAAAGAGGATTGAATGATTAATCCAAAGGTGGAATTTCGTCGTTCTGTTTGGTACTGATTGTTGTGGCCTTTCTGGAGCACTATTATTAATAAAACGCTGGATTCCATTCGATAGGGTTGGCTACATACAAATTTCTAGAATTTTATGGAACCAAATTCAACCCCCATTCTATGGGAATCTTTTACAAGGGCTTTGACTAGAAGTATGTATATTTATATGATTCAAAACTAGTCCATTTTTTTATTTGGAAAAAGAGGACTTCTAGTTGACAATAGTGAGTCCCATCACCTATGATATCATAAGTCAGAGTAGTTCATTTGTTTAGACTATCCTATAAGATATCAATGGGTTGTTTAATGCTTGCGAGAATGAAACTAAGTTCTTCTATGAGAAGGTTAAGTTCAACAAGAAGAAGAGAGGGAAGAAGGAGGAGCGAAATTTGTTTTATAAGGAATTTGCAAAACTCACACCACTATTTAGTACTTGATTATATATATATAAATATTAAATTGAATGAGTGCACCAATAAAGATCGTGATGCTTGGAGAGGGTCAGTCATATTCATTTAATCTTTAGGCAGAGTAGGCAAGACTTGTTTGACTTTGAGATATTGCTAAGATCAATTTAATGAGAATTAAGAATCATCTGTCAATGCCACTTACTTCGATAAAGTTGTGGACTTGGGAGGTGGTAAGGACATCAAATTGGCCATCTGGGTATGTCAATATTTCATTTCTAAAGGACACTGCTGGCCAAGAAATATTTCATGCACTGACCACCGTATATTATCGAGATGCATATGGAGCTGTTCTTGTTTATGATGTCACTTACAAAGAGTCATTTCTCAAAGTAGCTCATTCAAATCAACTCATAGGTGGAAAAATGGGTCGAAGAATTAAGACAATTTGGAACCAAGGATATTTCAATCGTTGTCGCAGGGAATAAATGTGACATGAAGAATTAAATGCAAATTGATAAGAACGAAGTGGAAGAGTATTGCAAAAAGATAGGAGCTAAGCATTTCTTTACATCAGCCAAATCAGGGATAGGCATCACTGAATTGTTTAGAGCTTTAGGCGAAAGTATTATTGTTCCGATTACATTAGGCATCTCAATCAAAGTTTAAGCTTAAGAAAGTAAAGGCAAGAAAAAGAAAGGTCTCTAAATCAAAGATGTTAAGGACACTAAGAAAACAAACTCAAAAAACGATGGATGTTGTTGAATTACAATACGGAATTCTTAATCAATATATATTTTATATTCTATATTATAGAATCAATCCAATCCCTCAGGAATCCCTTCATCATCTCCTTTTATTGTTTTCGGCTAAACTAAATTTTACGACATCTTTTTTATAGTATCAATCTCTAAGAATAAGAAACATGCATACATGTATGAGCTTTTCTGGTTTTCCTTTAAAAATCAGCATTTGGTTTTTTTATTCCTTTGGTCACATAGCCAATCATTTTCTAAAATCCTGGAATTTGACCATCCCCCAATTCCCAAATTGGCAATCTACCCTCACTAACCACATCTTCACTCTAATGATAGTTATTCATCTTTGATGTGGCTACTGAGGGATTCAAAGATGGCAAATAATCTATTAATCCACTTGAGTTTAATTAAGGTATTTGTAAAAATGAATTTTATTATTGATATGGCTTAAGATTTAATATCCCAAAGGACGGCATTTAAGCAGGACTATCCGGTTCTGCTATATTTATCATAATTGGATCTTTCTTTTTTGTCTTATGACTAGTTGTTTTTTTAGTGCTTTTCTTTTTCTTAGTATCTTGCATGATTTATTCGAAAGTCTAAGGAATTGGTCGAGGAGGTTCCTTTTATTTGATCAAATTCACCTTTTCCTCTTTGCTACTTTATTACATGATATGAACTGTAAGGTGCTTCTTCTTTTATTAATACTCGGGTAGTTTCTCCCAATCATACTAAAATTATCCCTTTCGTTCCTTTTGAATCTACTCCAATTCTTCTGAGAAATAACTCTTCAATAGTTGATAATTTGGTTATTATTTAAATTCATAGCCTCTGACATCTTACATGAACTTTGTGAAACACTTATGATTTAATATATTTATAATACTCTTGGTAATTTGGCACACAAAACATCAGGTTTGATTGTCTTCTTCATGTGATGAATTTTAGCATATTTTAAATCCTTCTATTCAATCTACAAATTCATCCAAGGCAGTGTCCCACTTGCCAAATATATCAAGACGTAGCCAATACTTTCTAAATCATCCTTCCTTCCTTATTCCATTTCATCATGAGCACTGATGCTGGCGTATCTGGCAGTTCCAATCAAACCTGCTTTCTTGATGTATTGGATGTGATCCCCTTTTGAGTTCTATGCTAGTTACATCTAATTACAATGTAGTGTTTTGACAGTCCAAAATCAATCAAATAAATCAGTTTAGGTGATGGTCCTGCTTCAAGTACAAAATTATCAGGTTTGATGTCTCTATGCAAGAAACGACAATTGTGGAGGGTTTCGATTCTATCTATCATCTATTGACTATATATTGTATCGATGACCTACTTGAATTGCTATCTTTAATGATGTCCCCAATTCGAAATTGCCTCCGCACTTTCTCACCACTGACTCCAAATTCTTTCCTAGCATTGTCATTATGCAATAGGTAAATCGCTTTTCCTATCCATAAAACTTTATTTAAGGGAATCCAGTTTTTTTTCTAATGATTATCATCCTACTCTCTACCTCATTTCGATCAACACTTTGATTTCCTTCTCCAACATACTGTAATCCTCCTCCTCAACCTCTACTTTCATTGCCATCACTTAGTCCCCACTTTTCTGATCTATCACTTTATATACCTACCCGAAAGAACCCTCTCCAATTTTCTAACTTATACTGAATCTTCCTTAAATTATGTCTCCAACCTAACATTTTGTAGATCCATTACTTTCAGCTCTTCATCATCTTCATCACTTTCGTAATGATGTTTCATCTGTTTTAATAATAAATATAAATAATACTTTAGACTGGAAATCATCCAAACAAATAAATATTATTTTTCTTTATCCAAATTAACTATATCTATTTGATTATTGACGTTTATCAAAATTAACTCAAGCTACAATATTAGAAAAACATTTTATTATGATACCATATAATATATTGAAAATACCTAAGACTGAACATAGAGATATAATTAGAATAATGTATTTTTTCGATTGCTTTTCAAAATAGATCTCAGTAATTATCAAAGTCCGTGTCTAAAATAATACTTGATGCCTCCAAATCAAATAAAAATGATTAATTTTCTAATAATATCATACAGATATATTAATAATAAAAGAATTAAATTAATTCTAATTTTTTAGTATGATAATAATTCATCAAAATTTGATTGTCATGTTGTTTACTTGAATAATTTTTATCATATCCAAGTCATAATGCATGCTTAGATACTTATACAAATAAAATTGGTAGCATATAATCAATTCAACTCCTATTTGAAGATGATAACAAGTAGCCCTTTTTCCACTAAGGCCTATATCCTTGTATTAGAAACTTTAATAATAAACGACGAAAAGTTTAGAAATAGATTTCTTTTTGATTATTGCTTTGTTTATTTTTAGATTGCATTTCTTAAAAATAATTCTATAGAATTCATCAGAACACCTATTTGATATACATTTCTATAATAGTTTGAATTAAAATTTGTAAAACCAAAAGATGGCTACTTTTCTAAAGGTGTAATAAAGAACTAATGACTCTTTTACGATACTGGTATTTTAGGTAATAAAAATAGTAATGATTTTAGATTTAATAAATTATATTCTATTTCCTTGTTAAACTTAGAGTCTAATCTCCCTTTGGTTCTTCTTTTTGATGATGAAATAAAAATTTGGGCGAATAGGACGATTATAAGAATACATTTTTATATATATAGATATATTGGTGTAGAAACTCAAAGATTCCATCTCCTCTAAACTTCCTTATTCAACGTGGATGTAAAATGAACAAGGTTTTGATCATTCTTAAGTTGAAATTCTGCTGCCTATATTCCTTATGCTAAGGCCATCATAAATTATGCTGCGTTTCTATATCCGATCCAAGTATCATTTTTTTAGGCCTAAGAGCATTGAAATTTTGCATGCTAGATGAAATAACCTTAGCATTCTGGCTTGTCTTTGAAGTTTTTGCAAAAAATATCTCCGAACTCGTTAATGTAGGACGGGCAACCACAGACTTTATGATGCCAATTTCTGATAGCTGTTGATTTGCACTAACAACCAGGAGGACAGGAACATGATAAGCCTATAACTAAGCCCTTATTTAAACCACCAGGGGGTAATTAATCCATACTTTTATATTATTATTATCCTATCCCAATAATACAAAACAAATAGGATAAATAAAATATTCTATTAATTATAACTTTAATAAAAGCAAGAGAAAACTTAATTAAAAAAATTCATAAATTCATAGTATATTTTTAGTAGTTCTGCTAATCAGTAAAGCTAAGGTATATTTAAGTAGTGATTTAAACAAGTTACTCAATATCATTGTAACTTTCTTTATGAATTTTATATATTAATAAAAATAAGCACTATGTATCCAATTGCATACAGGAGATATCTGAGTGATTTAACGAACCCCTTTGGATGTTAGAATTGCATCTAGATCATGAGAACACTCTAAAAAACAAACTATTATTATTAAATACATATTTATTTATGCGTCGTTATAATTTAAATAATAAATTATTAAGTAATATTAATGGATTCATTAATTGAAAAATGGAAAAAGACAACCTAGAGTGCATCCAGATACAGCGAGTAGAAATTGAAAAAGCCAGAAAGGAATCACTCATCATCTTCAGAGAGCTCTTAAGAATAAAAAAGAGTAAATAATATCAATAAGAATTCACCACAGCCTCAAACTACTAAGAGTTTAAAACAGTCCAATCAGTCATCAGGTAAGAAACAGACTTAACAATCTTTGCCAAACTCAGGTAATAAGAAATTTCTCAAACCACAAACCTTTTCATAATTGCTTGACTTCTATACATCCTAATTCTAGACCTTATTCAAAAGCAACATATTACCGTCATAGTTGAATGAGTAAATTAAGACCATCTTGGTTGATTATGCTGAAAATATATAATCTCTAAGTGCGTCTGGTTACACTGGAGCTTAGGTTGAAGAATTGCAAAATAAATTGAATCAAGCCGAATAACAAATCTACACTCTAAAAAATAGCAATGCTAAAGACGATTTCAGCAAGAAGATTATCAATGAATTAGAGGATAAGCTCTTGGATAGCGAAAAGTAAAGGGTTAAATTAAAGCAATAGAAGGAGCAGATGCAAATACAAATTGAAAAAATCTCAGAATCGTTAGGAAAGTATCAAATCAATTAGGAATTAATACATTAGTTGAAATAGGAGAATCTGCAATTAAGAAAAAATAATGATATCTTGGTAACTTAAATCCAGCAATTAAACACTCAAAATAAAGAATAATAAGTGTTATGGAATTAGCAGATTGAAGACTTAATTAAAATGATGGACATTTTGAGGAAGTCCACGAATTCCTGAATATTTATAAATTAATCAATTTTAATCTCTTTAAGTAAAATAATCATAGTTCAATGAATTCATAATATCTACTTTCATTATCTAAACTTACAAACTCTTAATTCAACAGTTTACATTGTTCAGATAACTTCCTCATCAAGTATGATTTATCTTTATTTCCATTGTCATCAGTTGTCAGTATGAGCAATTCCTCAGGGACATTAAGTTTAACCATTCGTTTGCAATTCAACTTTTTTCCTTGATTTGGTATCCTAAAATAACCCAACTTGTTAATATTGTATAATTCATAGCCATTTTCTAATTTCAAAATCTCCTCAAAATCAATATGAGAAATGTCAACAACTCCTGACCAATTTATTTGCTTATTATTATACATAATTTATAAATTTTACACTCTTAAACCATCATACTAATTTTGGTAGACTTACTCATGATTGAACTAATAGTGATAATCTTGGTTGAAATTTGGAGTCTTAAACTAAAATATCTCAATCAATATAGGATGTCTGATTTCATTAAGTAACATCTAATCTTCAAATATGTTTCCATTTACTAATATTCTAGAGCACTCAATATATCCTTAAATTTTTTGAGTTATGAAAAGCTGTTTTTGTAGTAATTCACATAGAATCTATTGTTTCAATTGATAGCATGTATTTATCAAATTCAAAGAGTAATCTTTGAGTTCCATGCTTTTTTCACTTTCTCTAAATATCAAGGTTATGTTGGCTGCTCTTGAGCATTCTGGGATTCTAGTTAATTGAAAAGGTCGTTTTTAGGTTTTCCTTTTCTTTTATGAAGAATATTAATTCTCCTTTTTTATTTTATGAATGCATTTAATATTATAAAGTTCTTTGTTGTTTTCTTATGATGATTAATAAACTTCTTAAAACTGTCTCTCTATTGCCGAATCCTGTTTACTTTGAACTTGCAAATGAGTAATTGGAGTAAATTGATTTTAGGCGGTCTCCATTTTTAAATCAGCTCTTTAATAAGATTAATTTAAATTTTATGTCATAAAGGAAGTGTTATTATTATTTGAATTGACTCTCTCCTTCAAAGAGAATAACCTCTTACTGCATTTATAATCAATCTAAAGCAGATCTTGATCACATTACTTAGTTTGGAAAAGTTAATTTTATTACTGCCCTCTCATTTTATTTAAGCTTAATTTATGATATTTAAATTCTTAAAGGGTATTCAAAAAGTTTGCAATTTAGAAAGAATGATTATTTTTAAATTAATATCAATTTGATCTAACAAAAAGTTTCCAAATGGTCAAGTATTTAAAATATATTCTAAATCTATTTCAAAATACATCGATATTTAACTTATCCATTCTATTATGACCTTTATAAATATCACTGTATTTATGAATGTCAACTTTTATAAAATGTAATTTTTATAATTTTTTGTCATGATAAAAGTTCTTAGATTTTATGTTATTAGTTGTATAATTCAGTGTATTGAAGTCATCTAGTATAATAGAATTTATGATATTAAATTTAGGAATTTTAATTAAATAATTATTAGAACCCTTTTAAATCTTTCCACTGATTATTCTTTTGAAATAAAGTTGAATTAAAATTGTAAGCATCTTTATCAATCCATTTTCATCAATATTCTAAATGATTATCCTTTTTTCCTATACATATGCTATCTAACCGTATTCCTCTACATAAAACACGTATTTAAACTTATGTTTATTTCATTATTAAAGTCAATAAAAATACAGTTTATCATTTATTTCATTAATATATATCGAAAAGGTCATCTTATTATTTAATAATTTTGAAGAATATTCTATCTAAATTATATTATAATATTTTTTATTCCTTTTCCATTACTTTTTAACTTGCTTTGAATTGTTTTCAAAAATCGATCCTTAAATTCTCTCCAGCATATTGTATAAATTATGTTATAAATCTAATATTTTTTATTAGAGATTTATATATAATAAAAGTTATCTGTATTTTAATATTAATAAAATTTCGCGCTTATGGAATTTGAAAACCACAACTCTCAAGCCAATTCGACTCCTTGCTTCCAAAATCCATTTCTCTTTACTCCGGATCAATCTTAACATTTTTACACTGTTCCCAATAACACCATGAACCCTTTCAACAACTAATTTTAATAATTCTAACAACCCTAGTTTTGGAATTAAGGAACGAATTTGATAGCACAACAGAACCAATTTAACCCCAATCTTGCATTTTAATAGGCCCCGATACAAATGAATACTTAACAATTTTTCTAACAACCTTAAGAACAAAATGAAGAAGATTATGACTAAGATTATTAGCCTGAGGAAGAAGAAGATTCTAGTTCAAGTGAAAGCGAAGGATAGGAAGAAGACCTTTAGGAAGAAGGTATTAGTATAATATAATTGTTAAAGAATAGTTTGACGATCCAGACTTTGATTTATAAGCTTACTTAAAAGTTCGTGATCAACTTTGAAATATTAATTTTATATTAACATCATATAATCATTTTTCACTTATATAATTTAAAAACACAAATAAGTATTTCCCTTTGCTTTAATATAAGTTATTAGTCTAATATGCATAACAATCTGGATCTTAAGTTCTTTGAACCTTCAATTGTAAAATTGATCAATTGGAAGGGTTGGTGCATTCAAAATTGTAGAGATTGATTAAGGAATTCAATATTTAAAAGTTATTTCTTCGTGTTTAGGCACTCTGGTAAATATTATTGAGTAGACATAAAAAATGTTAATAATAGTATTTAGTTTATTGATCTTCTAAGAAATTTTCCTTTTAGAGAAAATCTTTAAGGTTGATATATATACTACTTATGGGATTTTTTTTGAATTTATTCCATAAAAATTTGTATCTTACACATTGACTTAGAGAGGTAAAGAAGTGCTCTATTAGATTAGGTAGACATTATGGTTAGGTTTAAGACAAATTTCAAGCCAAGTAATAGTTCCATTAATAATATTAAGCTGATTAATGAATATTTCAAAAGAAGATGAACATTTCATTCCAAAAAGGATGGCGGTAGCAATAGCAATCTTAATAATGTTTTTATTGCATTACACAACTTTGTTTTTGAGTTCGTGCTTCAATTTTAAATATAAAGGAGAATACACAAGTCGAAGAGTCTTTTTGTATGGGATATCAGGTATTAATAGAAAATATAAAGGATTGTTAAGTCTGAGCACAATTTAGAGTAGTATATTCTCGGCTGTATTGGCTTGGTTAACTTTAGTGCCACTTTCAATACTACATTTTAGTAATTATCCAAAGTTCAAGACATTGTATTAGATATAAGATTCATTGTGGTTAACATATTACACATTGTAAATTACTTGGTATTTGGGTATTATAATAGATTTTTACTCATGAATTATTTATTAATCATTTTTAACACAATTAAATAGCAATCTCAGCTCCTACTCTTGCATTGTTTCTAATTAAAGCAACATTAGATTTTGAACTCATCCCATCAGTAATTTCATTGACTCTCTTTAATAGAAATGGAGTAACCAAAGCACCATTGACATTCTATTCATCCAACTCTTTGAGTGCCTAATTTGAATGTAAAAAACAAATACTTTGTCAATGGCCTACTGCACAATCTAGCCATCTGCTGCTTAATCTTAAGGCACTGGCACACAAAAGAGGATTCCATTCTTGAGCTTCAACAAATCAAATTGTGCTTTAATTAACTCACTGGCCTCCTGACTGGAATTCACAGATGTGCTGCAGAACAAACCTGAATCGGGAGTGAAAAAGTTAGGAAAATGTTTAGTTTTGTACCCAACAACAGGAACTCCTTATGTTTCCAGATACTCCAAGGTTTTTGGAATGTCCAAAATAGATTTGGCACCTGCACAAACAACAGCAACTGGAGTTTATCCCAATTCAACCAAATCTGCAGAGATATCAAAAGTATGTTCAGCGCCTCTATGTACTCCTCCAATTCCTCCAGTAACAAATACTTTGATTCCAGCCATATGAGCAATCATCATGGTTGCTGCCACAGTTGTACTTCCATATCCTTTTTATGCTATTATTTATGCTAAGTCCCTCCTTGAACATTTCTAATAGTGGTGTTTATTCTTTCCAATCTCTTCGATCTCCTCTTACTTTAAACCAACTCTAAGGATTCCCTGAGTGACAATGATCGTAGCAGGAATAGCTCCTTTGTTTCTGATTTCCTCCTCCACTCCCAAGGCTGTCTAAACATTCGTGGGATATTCCATTCCATGTGTGATTATGGTTGACTCCAATGCCACTACTGCTTGGCCCTTCTCGAGTGCTTCTCTAACTTCTTATGAAATCTATAATAATTTTTCCATAAATAATTAATGATTTTTATACATTTTATTTTACACTTAGCAGCTGCTTATTAAGTCGGTTAAAATAAGGATGATATCGATAACATCGCAAGTGAAGGGTAGGTTGGCCAGCATCTGATCAAAGATGTGAGGGCCTTTCTCAGAAAAGGTACAAGTCAATAAGATTATCTAGGACATGATCAAACTTAATTCTTAATTTATCTTAATAGCATGGAAGCCAAGGTTGCTTCACTTACTTCGGATGAATTCCAAGAACAATGCGACACAGGTTCATTACACATCATTACTTTTGTTAGAACTTCAAAACATTGAGGAAACCCAAAGGATGCTCCAAGATTCCAAATATAGAGTTACTTCATTGGAAAATAAAATAGCTCTATTAACCAATTACACCAATAAGTTTGCATAGATTATCGATGAAAAGTAAGCAATTCTAGAAGTGACTGAAAATACCGTTTCTGAATTGGTCTAAATTAGAGAAAACGAAGTTCAAATATCAACCAAATATTTAGGTTGCCATGTTCGAAAGAAGGAGAAGCGAAATAACCATGTCCAGTGGCATCGTTCGCAGATCCAAAGGCTTGATTGGGTAATTGATACCCAAAATGCCAGATCTTGCTCCCCAAACCAAATTTGCTAAGCAGGACAATGAATTAGAGGTTAGTTACGAGGACATACGATAAGAATTCGTATAGGTACGATCATAAGCAAAGGAGTAATTGGGAGAAAAGAATCCCTTTAGTTAAATCATTGGTACTTGTCTTTATCAACTAAAGAGTCATTCGCCCAAATTCCAGAATAGACTGGAAATCTAGAACATGTCACTTATGTTATTGACATGCTTGCCAATATGTAATACATTTCTCTTATTCTCAGGGAACAAAACTTAGCAGACACAAACATCGTTCTCTTTAATGCTGAACAATAGCGAGTAGAATTGCATGAACGCTTGTTAGAACATATTGATGAAAAGACTGAGAAATTAAATGAACAGATTTCAGAACTAGAGTAGATGATTGCAGATATGGAATAATAGATTCAAGATCATTAAGCAGAAATATAAGCTGAATTAGAAAATCAAGAGAATATTCATCAGATCTATGAAGAATACATTGATGCACATGAATCTACTTTGGTAATCTGATCCATTAATAGTAGCATACACATGATGAGGACATTAAAAACAACATCTTGCTCATTAAAATGATTAGAACTCTCAAAACTGACTTCATGAATGATTTCGAAGCAAGTTCAAGATATATTTTGACTCCCCGTTTTCATTTTTAAAATTTATCCAGTTTATGAATATTATTTTTATTAGAACTAACAATAATATTTATTATTTCATTGATTTACATCAACAATATTCAAATTCTGAATCTTCACCTTTATGAGTTAATATGATATGCTACAACATATGTTTAATAATCTTATTTGTCTCTTTATTATTGAATTATTTAATTTAAAAAATCTAATAATACCTCTTATAGTAATATAGATTTTAATTTAAATATTTTTTATACTTTCATAAAAATAGGTAGGTTTTCTATTTAAATATCAAATAACTAAAGACTATTAGGAGATTATCAAGTGAACTTTAATAACATATTTAGAGTTCTTTAAGGTAAATCAAAAGAACTTAAAAAGGTAGTTTTATTGTTAATAACTCTTCTTATTAAAGCAAAGTCTTTTAGTAGATATGATTTAAGCAACTATTTTATATTGAGAATATTAACTATTAATGTAAAATCGATTATTGGGCTATAGATAGATGTTTTATTCATTTGTTAAGGTGGATAAAATAAATTAATCTAAAATTAATAAACATTTTTTCATTTGTAATACTAAGTCTAATGAATTTAATATTCAAATAAAACTAAATTTATGAAAATTTTAATAATTGCTTAAATCATAATTGGAACATCTATATGAAGGTTTAATTGTTTAATTTATTAAATTTAAATAAAATGAATTTTAATGATTAAATCAGATATCTACATATTCAAATTTAAGAATTGTCTTCTCAGTTTATATGTAATTATAAAGTACTTGAACTAATTCAATACTTCCAGGTGTGATATTTAACTTAAATTTTTATTATTCATAGATAGGGGATGTAAATGCTAGATAGAAAGTTATGAAATTGATGATTTTTTAATGTTGATATTTAAGAACTTGGATTTGTGATGGATTGCATTTATCCTACATATTAATTGAACTTTGAATTAATTTCCCTTCAAAGCTTTTCATAGCTACTTCTATTTGCATATAGGAAAGCTTTTAATTGAAAATCAATTCGTATTATCCTTGATTAATATATTGGAGATTTGGATCAATAAANGATATGGAATAATAGATTCAAGATCATTAAGCAGAAATATAAGCTGAATTAGAAAATCAAGAGAATATTCATCAGATCTATGAAGAATACATTGATGCACATGAATCTACTTTGGTAATCTGATCCATTAATAGTAGCATACACATGATGAGGACATTAAAAACAACATCTTGCTCATTAAAATGATTAGAACTCTCAAAACTGACTTCATGAATGATTTCGAAGCAAGTTCAAGATATATTTTGACTCCCCGTTTTCATTTTTAAAATTTATCCAGTTTATGAATATTATTTTTATTAGAACTAACAATAATATTTATTATTTCATTGATTTACATCAACAATATTCAAATTCTGAATCTTCACCTTTATGAGTTAATATGATATGCTACAACATATGTTTAATAATCTTATTTGTCTCTTTATTATTGAATTATTTAATTTAAAAAATCTAATAATACCTCTTATAGTAATATAGATTTTAATTTAAATATTTTTTATACTTTCATAAAAATAGGTAGGTTTTCTATTTAAATATCAAATAACTAAAGACTATTAGGAGATTATCAAGTGAACTTTAATAACATATTTAGAGTTCTTTAAGGTAAATCAAAAGAACTTAAAAAGGTAGTTTTATTGTTAATAACTCTTCTTATTAAAGCAAAGTCTTTTAGTAGATATGATTTAAGCAACTATTTTATATTGAGAATATTAACTATTAATGTAAAATCGATTATTGGGCTATAGATAGATGTTTTATTCATTTGTTAAGGTGGATAAAATAAATTAATCTAAAATTAATAAACATTTTTTCATTTGTAATACTAAGTCTAATGAATTTAATATTCAAATAAAACTAAATTTATGAAAATTTTAATAATTGCTTAAATCATAATTGGAACATCTATATGAAGGTTTAATTGTTTAATTTATTAAATTTAAATAAAATGAATTTTAATGATTAAATCAGATATCTACATATTCAAATTTAAGAATTGTCTTCTCAGTTTATATGTAATTATAAAGTACTTGAACTAATTCAATACTTCCAGGTGTGATATTTAACTTAAATTTTTATTATTCATAGATAGGGGATGTAAATGCTAGATAGAAAGTTATGAAATTGATGATTTTTTAATGTTGATATTTAAGAACTTGGATTTGTGATGGATTGCATTTATCCTACATATTAATTGAACTTTGAATTAATTTCCCTTCAAAGCTTTTCATAGCTACTTCTATTTGCATATAGGAAAGCTTTTAATTGAAAATCAATTCGTATTATCCTTGATTAATATATTGGAGATTTGGATCAATAAAAACAATTTTCTTTTCTGGTAAATCATTGATCGCTAAGATCAATTTGCTTTTCGTTTTTATCACAGCGCAACTAAAGTAAGTATTTTAATAAAATAACCAGAGCTAAGAGTGATAACTTCCAGTATATTATCCATCCCCTAAGATTTGATAAATTTAATACATTTTCCAAACTTATAAGAAAGAATATCAGCAGTATTATTATTTGTTAGGTTTAGTCTTATGTTGTCTGTGCTTGAATAATTAAGACCTTAAAGGTTAAAAATAAACCATCCACTACATAAGTTTTAGATGGGTTAACTTGTAAAATTTTGAAGAGTAGATTGAAATCCAAGATTGATTATCTCATATGATGTTATGACAACTTAATAACCTATTTGTAGTAAATGAGGGAATTTTCCATCTACTTGGTTAATCTCAACCGTAATAGAAGAGCTGGTCAGCTCACTTATCTGAGAATGTTATTACATAATTGACTTACTTAAAGTAGAAAATCTATTTATCCATTGTATAATAAACCTGTTAAACTCACAAAACAATATTTCGGATTACTCAATGAATGTGGAAAAGTATTATTGACAATGGCTGAGGAACTAATATAATTTATTACCTGAAGACCTCCTCCACAAATCGCATACCATTTAAATCTCATAGCATATACTCTTTAATTTGGACATGAAATCGTAATATTGAAATCTTACTAATCTAAATACTTACATGTAAGCTGAACATCTGTAATCTCTAAAATAAAACCTGAGTTATTAATCGATGTGTCCAATTTTTCAAGGGAAATGATGATTTTAGGAATTTCAGGAAATGAATCTGAGAAGAGGACTTAACCTGCTATTTAGGAACCTGAACAATAGAAAGATGTAGCATAAACATTATCAAAACCTTTGAAAACATTACTATCGTATGTTATAAGGCTGGAGACTAAATTCACCATAATTGTGATGATTCTTATTTAGAAAGACATTTAAATCTATAATTATTAATAAATGGACTATGAAATTTCTACAACCTCAAATTAAGAAAAACCTAGATATTGTCCTCATAAAAAATAGATCAAATATTTAAAAAATAGAGAAATATCAATACAAATAAGGTTAAAATAAATGAGTGAATTAATTCATATTTCCTCTTCGTCTTCAATTTCTTGTTTTAATTTAGTCAATTCATAGCTTTCATTGGCTTTGGATTGTTTATAAGCTTTAGCCTTTTGAGTCAAAATGCAATAGAATACAAGACATATCAATAATGTTGGAAGGAGTATTTGTTTAAAGTAGCCTATTTCAAGTTGTATCTATTAGAATTAATCCTAACAATTAAAATCAGAAAAATAGAACTTCTCTGTATTTTAATCAATTGTCATAAGTTTTTAGGCCAAGAATGGTAATCCTAGTTCAGTTCGATTTAATTTAGATCTATTGAATCTTAAGATTTGAGTGTCATTTGAAAGTTTCAATATGTACGCTTCAGGTTCCATAATGATTTTTTCATCATCATCATCAAATATAAATTCAATATCAGGTAATGTTAGAGATTGATTCTTCACGATTAGAGTATGAGATTCTTCAACGACCTGAAATTTGGAAAAATACGTGATGATTTTTTAATAATTTTCTTCAGGCAATAAAATGTATGGATCTCTGCTATCGACATATGTAACTTTTCCAGTTAGATTAACAATTGTTTGATTTTGTATTTTGATTAGTTTGAGATCTACTTAATATTTAGAGGAGGAATTTGATTTGTAATTTATTTGATATTTGTATGGATTCTTGAATTCTTTTGAAATGAAACCTTTATCATAACCAAGACAGACATGAAAAATATTGGAAAGAAATGGATTCTACGGAGTTTTTGAGGCTACAAATATAGAATCTATTATTTACATCCTCTCTATTATCCCAAACCTAATATTTCCTCTTGATCCGTGGAAACGTATAACATCTGTTCTGTTTGATCTTCTTACAACACGTTGGTGAGGTTGACATCACTTTGCATCAAATTACCATCTCCAATGACACAATTTGGAGTGCACGAGGAACATTCGATCTCATCTCCAAATGGAGAGGAATTGCATTTGACTTCCTCTCCTTTAAGTTTCATAAAGGTCAATTAAGAATTCAAATCAAGTGTCAAGGACCCTTATTGATAGGCCAATTAAAAAGCGAAGGTTTTTGGATTTTAGGCGATGGGATAGATATGTGATGCGAAAACACTTGTAATTAGGAATATTATCATAATAATAATTCATAATGCAATTGAAGCAGTTGCCAATGTTGTAGTGACCAGGCCGATCTTGAAGATGAAATTAAGCATTTTGTGGTGGACTTAATCAGAAGTCACATTCTTTTTATGATGTTCCCAATTCTTTAATTACAAATCCATAATTTCAAACCATAAATTTGGTACCCATGCCAATAGTATGCACACAGTATACCCATGTGGCAATTGAGGGCTTTCTTCATAGGAACAGAGTGTTTGGTAGGATTTGTATGGATTTTCGTGATGGTCTGAATGTCTTTACAATTTAAAGAGGAGATAATTGGATAATCTGTGTGGAGCATTCCAACTGTGTCGGATGTCTACCTACTCATATTTTCCAGGTTGTATTTCTTTACGGCTCAAACCATAATGCTCCACATAATTAATGGTTTCCAAGTACACTACACTGTTGATTACAGTGCCTAAGAAGTAGACACATCCGAAGAATCCAAAGTAATAATAAATGATGCATGGAATAATAAAATAAGAAATTGTATACCTACACTATTATTAATTATTACCATATCATTCTATTTTAGACTCGAATAACTGATCCATATTTTTTAAGCATAAGATCTGCTTCGAAATTCCAAGCAGACACATATGAACCAATTATGGTCTAGGGCAAGAAGTTCCATATCTTTTATCCTTTCAATGAAGTTGCTGGATCTTTGGGAGTAGCAACATTTCTATGATGACCATGGATATGCTCTATTGCAAAGTGGATGTATAGGTTTCTTGCCAATGTAACTGTTCCCAATAGCTTGTCGAGCAGATTATCTTTATGAAACAATTCATGAGCGATGTTGATGTTGGATGCAGCCAAATTGCCACACAAAAAGATAATGCCTAGTTTATTGAATATCTGGATCTCATTGTTGAGGAGGAAATTGATCATCCAAATCAGACTTATCCAATCGAAGATGACGCATACATACAATGGAAGCTTAAATCTCATCTCTTATTCCAGTTTACTAGTAATAATCTAATATGTGGTTTACTTCTATTCATCTTTGCTTGGATTACGAAGATCTAATGAGAAGAATTCATCTAAAAATGGAATTAGAGTGTACACTATCCAAATGGCTATCCAAGCATTTTCGAAGTAGGAAATCAATATAATGGCCATTGTATATAAAAATGGAACCGTATAATATTGATAACTACTGAATAGAAGGGAGTCATCATTGAAAATCTTGATTTTGCTGTTTAACATGATTGTAATTTTAATATTATTGTTCTATGACGTACAATTTTTGGAAGTTGAGATAATAATTTGTTCTAAAAAATGTTCTTTTAATTAATCTATTTGTAATTTAATTAATAAATATTATATAATGGGATTATGCCACTCGATTACTCATTTTCAAGGAGAAATCAACTTCGAAGTCACCCAAGCCGATTTCCAACATGGCTAGTATAATGGTTCAGTCTTAATCAGCAATCCAACAATGGATAGCTCTTATTATTTATATGTCAATCTCATTGGGATCGAGCAAATTACGACAAAAGGATTCACAGTATCCAACCAATTTCTCGATATCAACCTCATGCGACAAAAACTAAACGGAGATGCCCAATTGCATATCCCTTTTGATCAGCATATTCAATGGGAACCCATTTATCAGAATTATTACTCGATAATCTCCGATTAAACACTCTCCACGATCGTCTACTTAGAATGCTTCTTAGCTGTAATTATTATATCTTAAACTCACAGAAAAGTTCTTCAGCAACTTCCTTGAGCAGCAGTATCGTACCAAATACTAGACAAATTCACGTAGTCAAAACAAAAAAGAATAGATAGGATATCAAACCAATTTCCCTCAATTATGAACCAAAATTTGCTGGTTTTGCGCCGATTATTTAGTTCAAGTATAGACTTAGTTAGCTATCTCTAGTTTGGATAAGAATACTTATAGAGTAGGTGAACATTTAAAAGGCAAATTGCTTGTTGACAACACAAGATCCCAATTTGCTTTAGTTAAGAATCAGATTACAATTTTATAAATTATTGATTTGCTATTTAAAAATGATACCAAATATAAACGAGTAAGTTTGGTTATAATTATCAGTTACCTCCACAAACGATGATCTAATAAAGATTGGATAACATGCACAGTGAGAAGAGAAATCTAGATATAGATATTGCAATTACGTAATCTTTTAATGATGCGTGCACCTACCCAGGAAGACTGTACAAAGTTAACTATGTAATTCAGTTGGAATTTATGTGGGAAGACTAACAAACTCACGTAATGTCTAATGAAATTGTAATTTATAATGAAAATGATTGAATACTTTAAGAGAGTTTAAACTATACTCTATTTTATACGATTATTATTATTTATCAATTTTTTAATCCTCCTCTAAATTTTATATTTCCTCGTATAAAATTCTACTCAGAAAAATCAACCTCTTCTTACATATTCTAATTTCTTCTATTTTAATTCTTCCTCTCGTTTTTATTTCTCCCCTATTTTTAATCAAAAGCTTAAGCAAATCCATGCAATCCATCTGTCTCCAAGTCTTCATCATTCCCATTGTAATTCTTAGGTATTCTCTATTAATTCTTATTTTTTGGCTTACTCCATTTGTTGTAAATATCATCCTATGTATTTGTATCCACTTGTTAACCCTATTCTACTTAGACTTGTTGCTTCTTTTATTGTTATTATTATTGCTATTATTAATTTTATTTTGGTTTTGTAACCTCGTTATTATTTGGTTTCTATGATTTTTCATATTGAATTAATTATTGCAGATACTTTTCAACGTAATTCATTGGATTGTACACATCATTTCCAAAATCTAATACTTAAAAGTCTATTTTTAATCCACTCACTTCACAGTCTTATACGTCTTTGATACTGCCACTTGTATTTATCGAATTTTTATTATTAGGAAATTAATTCTTTAATAATTCTAACACACAAGTTGCCACACAGATGTCCTAACCTTGAGCTTCAACGCTTATCGATTTTGATTCATTGAACCGATCTCTTAATAACAACATGGCTTCTAGGAAGTACTTAGCTGTATCTGCTTCCATATTGCCTGAACTCTTTACTTTTATCATATATTTAATTTTATAAAATGGAATTTTTTTAGGAAGAGGAAGAAGAACATCCAGAATAAAAAGGATGTTGCGCCTTTTTAACAGTCCAATATTATTAACCTTACTTCAATGTCTCTGAAGATGATGTGATTGACAGAATCAAGGCCTCCTTTCTCCCTTTCCGAAGAGACTTTCATGAGCGAGTTGCAGGAAATCCCGATCTGTAAATTCTAGCACTATACATCTAGATGGGGTCCTTTATGGATTAGTGCAACAATTATCTTTCTAATTACGGCTGTCGCAAATATCAACTAAATGAATTTTGAAGGATAAACAACATATTCAGTAGACTATGTTCCTTAATCAGCAGCACTCCTATATTGCATAAGTTTTGGAACACCTGTCATACTTACAATCGTAATGAAGATTCTTGGCAGCGATATCCGATTCTTTCATACTCTGTGTCTTTATGGCTATTCCATGTCAATTTTGATGCCCATAACCATATTGTGCGTAATTCGAAATTCCTATGTGTAATGGTGTTTGGTTGGCTATGGAATGATCAGCTCCTCAAGCTTCTTGATAATGGGAATGAGAAAGTAATCAACCATATTAATTTAGAATTTTAGGGGATTTAGAATAAGCCAAAAGATACATCATAGTTGGAATAGTTTTAGCCATGTAATTTAGTCTATATCTGCTATATAAACTAGTATTTTTTAAAGTTATAGAAAAGAATTCAACAGAATGAATAATTACAATATATAATTTTTCAATAATTAAGAAATGATCTTAATAGAATAGTCTTCTGCATGAAGATTCTGAAATTTGTGAAGAAGAGCTTATAGTATTGCTCAATATGAGATTTAGATATTCATCCAGCCTTATAATTGCAATTGCTCTTATATATTATAGATTAAAATAGGCTAGCTAACAGTATATCAAGGAGAAAGGGAGAAATAGAATAATTCTAAAAATAGTAAGAGTCAAGAAAAGAACTATTAAATAATCTAAAATAGATTGATGGTAAAATAATTGTTAAAACTAGAGGAGATCAGTTATTAGAAATGTTGAAAAAGAAGAAAAAGAGGATCGACTTGACTAAGAGAATAGAGCGATTATTATTTTCATATCAAAATTTATTAGGTAGTGCTGATTATAGTATCCTATAGGAATCAATCCCTAATAATGGTATTTCCTATTAGAAATTGTCAAACACGATCTCAAACTTTCGATAATGAAATTGTAATTATATTTTAATAAATATAAAATATATGGAATTTATTTATTTAATAACTAAATTTGTCTCAATTTGTACAATGTGATGTCAAAGAAAAAGGGATTCATTTATTAATTGTAAAAATTGGGATTGAGTTATAATTTTAATTAGAAATTTTAAGTTAAACATATGAATCAAAGGGTATTAGTATGGTTTTCTTATAACATAGAACTCTATGAGTCATTGTTGCTAATATTAAAGCGGTCTTTATTTTTATGAAATATTAAAATATCTAATTCATATTTTTCTATGTAGTCACCACTTAATACTGACGATAGCATTGGATAGAACAATTTTTATCAAATGGCTGACTATACACTAAATTAAAACCAAACAAATTGCTTAGATATTTTAGGTACATAGGTGGGAATCTTCATTTAGTAGAAATTTGAATTTTTCTAAGTGATGATAGGTAGAACTGGTTAATCTAAGTAATTGATTAGGATTTTAGACTCCAAATGTTTTTAAAGTGTACGCTGCAAACGATTAAGGTGAGTAGATTGAACAAAAAGAATTATTCAAGTGTAAGGAAAAATCTTCAAATTGCGCAAGACTGACATTAAGGTAACTCTTATTATAACATTGAGTCCATCTTTTCGACCATTTGAGATGTTTGTTAGTAATTACGGATGCAAAGACTTTCAACCTAATATGGATCAAATGTTCTAGGAAAACTCTGATCGCATTATTTTTAAATTTGATAGAAAGTACGTGTGTACTTGCTGCTGTTTGAATAGGTTTTTATGCGTATTTATTGATATTCAGGCCACGCTTAGATGTATAATATGTTGAAAATGGTTAAAACAGGAATTTAGGTTATATTGTCAATCCATGGTATTGTTGTACTCTTGGTTGTCATATCTTTGATTCAGAAAATAAATTGAAATACATTATAGAGGGTAGTTGTTGTTAATGTTATTTTTGGTGCAGATGTCCTTGTAGTGATTAATGCAATCATGTAGAATTTCATATCAAAACCCCAAATGGAGAAGTAAATAATTGAGCTAGTTATTTGAGGTTGTAGCTCCAATGAATAAGATAGTGAAAGGTTGCTGTCAAAATTGGGCTGACTTCACTGATAATATTAGTGTTGTATTTCCTTAAAATGCATCGAAAGAAGATAAAGCTTTAATTTTAGCAGCCACAATTTTGTTTGAGTATATGTACTTTGAGAACAAGGATGGTCCACAACCAACAAATTGAAAATATTGATTATTATTCAATTAAATCAATTCTATATCATAAAAAATAATGCAAGTTCTATTGCTAAGCAGAAATATGATAATTTTAGATAAAATCAATTTGTAGCTGTTGTGTAAAATTAAAGTTAAANTTAGAAATTGTCAAACACGATCTCAAACTTTCGATAATGAAATTGTAATTATATTTTAATAAATATAAAATATATGGAATTTATTTATTTAATAACTAAATTTGTCTCAATTTGTACAATGTGATGTCAAAGAAAAAGGGATTCATTTATTAATTGTAAAAATTGGGATTGAGTTATAATTTTAATTAGAAATTTTAAGTTAAACATATGAATCAAAGGGTATTAGTATGGTTTTCTTATAACATAGAACTCTATGAGTCATTGTTGCTAATATTAAAGCGGTCTTTATTTTTATGAAATATTAAAATATCTAATTCATATTTTTCTATGTAGTCACCACTTAATACTGACGATAGCATTGGATAGAACAATTTTTATCAAATGGCTGACTATACACTAAATTAAAACCAAACAAATTGCTTAGATATTTTAGGTACATAGGTGGGAATCTTCATTTAGTAGAAATTTGAATTTTTCTAAGTGATGATAGGTAGAACTGGTTAATCTAAGTAATTGATTAGGATTTTAGACTCCAAATGTTTTTAAAGTGTACGCTGCAAACGATTAAGGTGAGTAGATTGAACAAAAAGAATTATTCAAGTGTAAGGAAAAATCTTCAAATTGCGCAAGACTGACATTAAGGTAACTCTTATTATAACATTGAGTCCATCTTTTCGACCATTTGAGATGTTTGTTAGTAATTACGGATGCAAAGACTTTCAACCTAATATGGATCAAATGTTCTAGGAAAACTCTGATCGCATTATTTTTAAATTTGATAGAAAGTACGTGTGTACTTGCTGCTGTTTGAATAGGTTTTTATGCGTATTTATTGATATTCAGGCCACGCTTAGATGTATAATATGTTGAAAATGGTTAAAACAGGAATTTAGGTTATATTGTCAATCCATGGTATTGTTGTACTCTTGGTTGTCATATCTTTGATTCAGAAAATAAATTGAAATACATTATAGAGGGTAGTTGTTGTTAATGTTATTTTTGGTGCAGATGTCCTTGTAGTGATTAATGCAATCATGTAGAATTTCATATCAAAACCCCAAATGGAGAAGTAAATAATTGAGCTAGTTATTTGAGGTTGTAGCTCCAATGAATAAGATAGTGAAAGGTTGCTGTCAAAATTGGGCTGACTTCACTGATAATATTAGTGTTGTATTTCCTTAAAATGCATCGAAAGAAGATAAAGCTTTAATTTTAGCAGCCACAATTTTGTTTGAGTATATGTACTTTGAGAACAAGGATGGTCCACAACCAACAAATTGAAAATATTGATTATTATTCAATTAAATCAATTCTATATCATAAAAAATAATGCAAGTTCTATTGCTAAGCAGAAATATGATAATTTTAGATAAAATCAATTTGTAGCTGTTGTGTAAAATTAAAGTTAAAGCCATTTTAATTTACTATTTTTTGTAAATATTTTAGTATTAATTTTAAGAATTCAAAAAACTATAATTTTTAAGAATTTAGTGTAATATAAAAAATTGTCTATCTTGAATATATAATAGTCATTAGCCATAATGTTATTAAACTGTTCTTTGATTGATTAAGTTATTGTTAATTAATAAAACGTTAATAAGATTTAAATTAGTTAGATCTAGAATAATAATGTCTCAATTTTAAAGAAATACGGTTTTTATTCATCATTTAGGTTGCGTTTATACTTTGTATTCTTTTTGTAATAAAATTTCCAAAATGATAAGATTATATTTATAACTTCCACAACTTATTCTTATATAAATGAGTGATAATAATTATATTCTTTTATGAATTAAAATTCCATTTCTCATTACATTTAGTCTAAATGTACATAATGATATTTAAAATAGTAAATGAGTTAAATATACAAGGGGAATAAGATGAAACTTTAGAATTGTTGAATAAAAATATTGAGAATAACAAAAACAACATCAATTTATATATGAAAAAAAGTAAATTTTGTTAAATTTAAATAGCTTAACTTTTAGCTTAATTGGGTAAATTATAGGAAATTTTAAATACTTGGGATTTCGGAATTTTAAATAACATACACGATATCAATTTTTATTAAGAAAAAGGTAAGATTTGTTTTCAATATATTAGCTTAAGCTCTAAGGAATCAAAGTAAATAAAACTAGCTCATTGAATTATATGATTTTGCGATAACCTAAAATGTCAAAGATGTTTCGTTTTATTAGTTAAAATGTAAAAAAATGGGTTTCATAATCATTAGGTCGAGAATTATTTTAATAGAAGAGATATTAAGAAATATTCGAATGCTGGGATTATGGAATTAACAATAATAAAGAGCATAAAATATTTTACATTTAGAAAAGTAAATTTCTACATTTAAATTATCCTTAGTTAACTCTATAAAACAAATTTATACTCTAAATGACGCTGTAATTTCTGATGAAGGATGGAGAAAAATAGCTGAATGTTGGGATGCAGGGATCATCAATAATATCTATGATTACTCTTTCTACATCTAAAAAGGTAAATCTCAGTTTACTAATCCATAGTGTAAGCTTTAGAAAAATTAGGAGAATATAATGAAATATTGGAATGCTTAGATTTAGGACTTAAAAATAACAAATATCAATATATTTTATATAAAAAAAAAGGTAATCATGAGCGCCAATTGATTTAGGGGAAATCTTAGAGAAAATGGGAAAACAATAAGAAATAATTGATAATTATGATAAAGCAATTTCTTTAATGAAGCATCCTGCTATTTATGAGGAAAAAGGTAAGAAAATTATTAATATTGTTAGCAAATGCTTTAATTAAATAACAAAAATGGTATGAGTTGATAGAATTTTGTAATTCAAATAAATCGAAGGAATCGAATTACTTCTTTTTAGTCAAGAGTTTAAGTAATAAACAGATGGTGCTATTAAATAGTTTAAGCATTATCAGAATTAGAAGGACAAGAAGAAATTATTAAAGTATGTGATGAACATATTCATAGGAATAATATGTTTATTTATAAATCAAAAGGTTAAATTATTATTTAGATATTAGCCAACGCATTATTTAAATTAGGATTCCTAAATGAAGCCATCGAATGTTGGGATGATGCTCTTCGAATAAATAACAATTTAGAAGAATATTAAATAGAAAAAAGTAGTTTTATTGACTAAAATTAGTGAATGCATTAAAGGAATAACATAGATATCCAGAGGCACTTCAAATTTGTAATTATTTAATCCGTTTGGAATTAAATAATTAATAAGAGATGTAAAATTTGAAATGTATTAATATTTATATTCCATTTAGTGGATATCTTAGAGGAGCAAGGTAATTTTAGAGAGGCTCTAAAGATATCAAGAATGAATGAATCAATTAGAAAAACATTATACTAAGAAATTTGATGCCCTTATTAACTGCTGTTATATTATTCAAGATATCTAAATAGTTATTCTTTAAGATTCTAAAACAATTTAAATATTAGCATATAAGAAAACCTATAATCAATATATGTGTTTCTAAATTTAGCAATTCTTTATAAATTAATATCGATTTCTATCATTATAAGAATTTGATTTTGATAGCTTATGTTATAATTTATTTCTTTTTAAAATAAATTTTTATAATTCAAAATTATTTTGACTGATTCAACGAAATGTCCCCTACACAGAATATCATCTTGAAAAATTCACTTTACATAAGATGTGTTATTTTAATGATATTTGTACACTGGAAGCATATAAAACTTTAATCTAAAAGGAGGATATATCAATTTATGAGATATTGAATTGCAAAATCTGTTTAAAAAAGTGGTAGGCAAATATTTACAAATATTAATAGAATTTTAATAAATAAATTGTATTATTATTATTAAGAATTATAAAAATGAAAAATATCAATTAATTTTATAATATTATATATACAATATTATTTCATATGTAAATTGGAAATACTTTTTTACATAAGCGAATCTATTTGATCTCTTTTCTCACTTGTTATTTCCGTTAAGAGCTCGACAATTAATAAAGAAATATACACATTAAGTTCTTCTTGTTAAAATAGAAATTCTATTTTTATCGTGCAATAGCATTAAACAGATGATATTCTCTTTATCCTAATCGTTTTTCTCATTTATTTTTAAATAGTAACATTAAATAATAACAAATATGTTTTACAACAATTTGTTTTTGCTAAGATGATATTGGAAGGAAATTCTAAATCTAAATATTATTTATAAATTTTGTAAAATTAAATTATAATTAATTACTTAATTAATGGTAAATCTTAAAATTTACAATAAATAAATATCCAAAATAGAAACATGCATTTTATAAGCCAGATCAATTAAATTAAACTATTTAAGATTGTAATTCCAATATTTAATGATTGAATAAAGTACAATTTATAAGCTGCAGTAAGATTATGTAATTCATGAGAACCTTAGACTTCCACTGATTATAGTTATGGATGACTGAATTAATTCTAAATGACATCATTATTTATAAATTCTATCTTGTTGTTTGACTTGCCTCTTCAAAAATAGATGTGGCTTGCTTATCAGGAAGATGAAATCGGTAATGTACCCAAATATAGTCTGATCCTCAGAGCCTTTCTTCATTTGTTCATTATCTGCAGTATTTACTTCTCCATATAACTTCGTACAGTGGGATCCCTTTTTAGCTCAGGTACAAGGGAAATATGTTTTACAGAGTTACTAGAAAATATGAACTCTATGTTAAGAGTTTTAACCACACACAAACTATTGATATTTATGAAAAGTCAAATAATTTATTACACTTTAGCGATTATTAAATATAAAAAAAATGTAACTTCAGGGATATTGTTTAACTTTACAGAAACTTGCACACTAATTTACAAGTTATCAATAAAAAAGAGTCAGAAGTAGCACATTAAAATATGCATTTCAAATAAACTCATAATTTGATATATTATCATTTTATTTACACGATTTCAATCTATCCATCAATGCATTTTTAATTCTTTTTAATTTGCATATTAAGCATTAAAAAGACATTTTAGGTTGAAAAGTACAATCTTTAATAACAATTTGCTTTAACCTATGAAGATCTCAAATTCTCTGTAATGACACTTATCTATATGATATATTGGATAATTAAATGAAATAATTTCTATCAAATGTTATAATTATTAGTATCATTCACACAAGTTTACATTTAAAATAATGTTATCAGAATCAAAAGTACTATTCCATTTAAAAACAACCATCTTTACAAATACATTGATCAGCATAGCCTTTACAGGTAACACAATTGCTAAAAAAATTTATTTATAACGGAGAATTTCATACTATGTTTGTGTTTGATTCAAATACCAAGATATTCTTAATANATCTCATTTATAAATTTTGTAAAATTAAATTATAATTAATTACTTAATTAATGGTAAATCTTAAAATTTACAATAAATAAATATCCAAAATAGAAACATGCATTTTATAAGCCAGATCAATTAAATTAAACTATTTAAGATTGTAATTCCAATATTTAATGATTGAATAAAGTACAATTTATAAGCTGCAGTAAGATTATGTAATTCATGAGAACCTTAGACTTCCACTGATTATAGTTATGGATGACTGAATTAATTCTAAATGACATCATTATTTATAAATTCTATCTTGTTGTTTGACTTGCCTCTTCAAAAATAGATGTGGCTTGCTTATCAGGAAGATGAAATCGGTAATGTACCCAAATATAGTCTGATCCTCAGAGCCTTTCTTCATTTGTTCATTATCTGCAGTATTTACTTCTCCATATAACTTCGTACAGTGGGATCCCTTTTTAGCTCAGGTACAAGGGAAATATGTTTTACAGAGTTACTAGAAAATATGAACTCTATGTTAAGAGTTTTAACCACACACAAACTATTGATATTTATGAAAAGTCAAATAATTTATTACACTTTAGCGATTATTAAATATAAAAAAAATGTAACTTCAGGGATATTGTTTAACTTTACAGAAACTTGCACACTAATTTACAAGTTATCAATAAAAAAGAGTCAGAAGTAGCACATTAAAATATGCATTTCAAATAAACTCATAATTTGATATATTATCATTTTATTTACACGATTTCAATCTATCCATCAATGCATTTTTAATTCTTTTTAATTTGCATATTAAGCATTAAAAAGACATTTTAGGTTGAAAAGTACAATCTTTAATAACAATTTGCTTTAACCTATGAAGATCTCAAATTCTCTGTAATGACACTTATCTATATGATATATTGGATAATTAAATGAAATAATTTCTATCAAATGTTATAATTATTAGTATCATTCACACAAGTTTACATTTAAAATAATGTTATCAGAATCAAAAGTACTATTCCATTTAAAAACAACCATCTTTACAAATACATTGATCAGCATAGCCTTTACAGGTAACACAATTGCTAAAAAAATTTATTTATAACGGAGAATTTCATACTATGTTTGTGTTTGATTCAAATACCAAGATATTCTTAATAATTATTTTCTTATTTATTCAAAACATGATAAACAAGATGGAAGAGAAGATAAATGCGTTTAAAAAGGTTTATCAGATTTTTAAAATTGTTCGATTCCAGCTTTATAGTCATTTCTATTTTAGCATTCTAAACAAGTTATATTGCATTCTCAATACAAAGTGATCCTATTACATTAACATAAATCAATAAAAGAATCAAAATAAATAAGATTATGGGCATCATAATTTTTATTTACCGAAAATACATGGATCTCAAGTCGAACAATTATCTTATTATAGGATGCTAGCTTCATAGACACTAGAATATTGTTCACCTTTTTAAATATGGGATTTTCATAATATCTTTCATATTGAGTCACATGTTTTTCCAAGTAAAATTATCTAATCATCAATAAAACATGTTAAACAGCAACCTTTTGAATTAGTACCAGTTAAACAAGTCTTATTAAATTTGAAAATGATTAATACATTGATATAGGAGATTGACATATTTTTATTTTCTCAATTCTAATTAAATAATAAATAGCAAATATAAAGTAATTCACCTAATGAATTCCTAAATTTAACATTTCAAAATAAAGTGGATAGCATAAATATCATCTCATTTTAATAACTTCCCTATGTAAAAGAATCCTAGGAAATATATTTTTTCTGATCTTGACCATTGCAGGTGTTGCATTTAACATGATTTCCTAGCATATTTATTAAGATTTCTTCAACAACTTATTTCCTTTATTCTATTTTCATAATATTCACCTGAAAAATACGATGTGATTGCTAACTAAAACCCTTTTCTGGCTAGATTTCACATGTCTCACATATATGTGAATATCTCATCGATTATGAGTAACCAGAAATGCTTTTACAGTACAGTATTACTTACTCTTCATATATCCATCAGATAATTTGGAATATTACCTGTTATTAGTCATAGACCTTAGTTACAAGAATAATGGTATTCTATTGAGATTTAACTTCACATTCTAATTTCCAATATTAAAATATCCATTTTTAAACACATAAAATGATAATTGTAGTTATCTAAAAGTTGAATCACATGTTAGAAAGTTAGATGAAAGTTAATTATTACATGTTAAACAAGTATAATCGCATTATTGGTATTCTAATGAAAATCCATAACCTTCCTGTGTGAATATGAAATATTGCATTTAAATTTCATGTCTAGACTTTGGATATGATACACATTTTGTCTTGCACAATATTGTTGTTGTAATTAAATCTGAGTAATGATACTCTATTAGTTATCCTGATTTAATACTTGAATGCAACTATGGTTTCTAATGAGTTCGCTGCTTTGAAACAAGTAATAATTTCTGGATACCTTCCTTTATTGAGAATTAATAATACCTCCACATTATTATTCTTTATTTTTATTACAACTAATCTAGTTTAACAGGGACAAAAATTACCAACCTAAATTCTGTTTGAAATACATTCCTCTATATATCAGCATACTAATAATCAGAAGCCATTCATAGATTATAATAACTAGTCTTCATTTCAGCCTAGTGTTATTTTTGCCAAAATTTAATTCTAGTTTAATTTTAATATTTTAATTTCTATTAGTCTGCTCTCATTATGCCGATGCTACATTTCCTTATCAAATTTTAAATTCAACTGTCTCAAAAAATTAGAAGTGAAATTTAAAATCTGATTTCTGATTAAATGTATTTCTAATATTTAATGTTTTAATATTAGTATATGTCATCATAATCATCTAACTATGCCCTTACAGGTATTCACCATAGTTTTAATACATTTAATAATTTCTGGTTAAAAATATTGGAAATAATAATTTCAAAACGATAACTTAGATTTAAATTTCATCTAGATATTTACTTACCACTTGCTACTAAATTCCATTACAATCTTGAAATTCAAATATGATTTTTTAGAATGAATTCATCTCTTTGCCATTAGGTTGCAAGCGAAAATTAAATCTTTAATTCTTTTTCTAATATTTAGGTGATACAAGGAAAGAACATTAATTTAAGGTGATAAATTTCATCTGCTAGGCCCTGCCCCTTTAAATAAATATGCCTTACAACTTTATTCGGTATTCCGTTATTGGAATATTTAAATTAAAAGTATATATTATCAAACCAGTTCTAGTTTCTAAATTGTAAACCCAATTAGAAAGTATTACATTACTTTTTAATATATTTTCACAAATCAAAGAGCAAACTTGCTACCAGTTTAATCTAGAGTTAAAATCATTAGCCGAGAATAATATTGATATATTAAATAACCTATTTGATAGCAATAAGAAGACCACATACCATAATTATTTATAGTTAATAATATTACTATACTGTTGAAGAAAACACTAATATCTAAATCTTGTCAAAGTGGTTATTAATTTGTTTCATAAATAAATTTTTATAAATATATATATATAATCTAAACTCCTCATAATTCAACTAATTACTATATAAAAGTGTAAAATCCTTCTCGCGATGAATTTGGATATAATAAAGTGACAGTAAATAAATAATTATAATCTTTTGAATAGTCACTAGTAGTAGTACCTAGTTCACTCAGATATATCTCAATTATGATTTCATATTTATCCCAATATTAAAAAAAAAGTTGATATTGTCTCAAACAGCAGTAAGGTATATTTGACAGAATTTGGTATATTTCAAAAAGTGCAATATATTTTTTATAAACTTTAATATATAATAAGTACGAAAATAAAATATTATAAATACAATAAAGTTGATAACTATTTTAGATGTAAATTCATATAAATACTTAATAGATTAATTCTAAAGATGTACAAATATCTTCTTTGATTTTTTGGTTCTCTTGGTTGATATAAATTTCTTCTGTTTTTCATTTTTGTTATATTTACTTTTAATAATTTGAAGGATCATTTTAGACTAAATGATCAAATTTTTATTTTCAAATTTTTAATCTAAAGTTTTCATCATTAATCATTATTGGAATTCCAATTTTTTCAAAATGAGATAATTTGAAACTTAAATATTTTATTTAGAAATAATTAATATGATAAACTCAGTATTAGTTTTTGAAATGAAGAGTGAAGTTAAATTTAGTATTTAGAAATTATATAATGACAATATATATCATTTTTAATTAATAAAATCACATTCCTGAAATGCTGAAATCTATACTTGGAATTCTGCCATTTCTCATCTATTTACAGTAATCAACTTTCAATATCAAAGAAATACTTATTGCTCATGCACATTTATGCCTTACGGGCCTCTATTATATCCGGCGAGTCCTCGCATTGAACTTGACTTAGATGAGCCAGATCAAGTTGTATAGCATTAATAAAGTATTGGTTACGGTGTTTGGACAAAATATCAACCTTTTGCGTAGATTTTAGACTTGAGTATTATTATTATTTATTATTTTTAGGAAACAGAGACTAGTAAATAGATGCTACTTTAAATAAATTAAATATCATTTAAGGAGGCTAGTTTATATATTCAATGAAGCAAAAGGAGAACAGCTTTTAACTTTTAGTTGTTTCATTAGTGGTTGATTAAATTGAATAAAAATTTCAATACAGTATCTACTATTCCTTCTCTTAATCATCTGATTTGATTCAATTCAACACAAATACAATAATAGAAGGATTATGGATTATGTTTTATGCTTATTATGATATGTAATCAAAGGAAACAACATTTGGACTTTACAATATTTGGGAACCATTACAAACATAATAAATATAGGATGTACCTATATTTGCGAGTAAAATCAGACACAACATTGGTGGGATCTATTCATACAAAAACATGAATGGGATGCTAGTGTAATTAAAGTAATTCATAGGGTAGATGTCAAATTTGTTTACATCAGATATTTAGAACATTCTTTTAAATTTAGAATGGTGCGTTAATTAATTTATTAATTACGATATTTGCGAGAATCAAGAATACAATATAAGCCAAAAAAATTAGCATATGAATGGTTTTGAACTAATAGAGATGTCAACACAGCCTCTTAATTTGCCAATCTTTTTAATTTAAGGGTGGGTAAAGCTTGACCTCCCAGATGTGAACTTTCTAGAAACAATAGTATTGAGAATAACCATTAATTACAATTACAGTGATGACTCTTATATTGGAGACAGAGATGTTTTATTGAAATACTTTCAAAGTAGCATTCCAGGAGAAAATGGCTTTGAAATTTCCACCTACAGTTATTCATTTCCAATCAAATCAAGATATAAGACTTAAGAAGATGATAAAATTTATGAATATGGTGATTAGTATTCTGCAATGTTTGTAACTTGGCACTATTTTTCATATGAAATAGGCACATTGAATAATGACGGGTAACCATTATTTACCCTCTATTTTCCTTCCATTAATTAACACTACAAATACACTTGGGGCAAACCAATAAAGCACTTTACAGGAGGAACTTACTACGTATATATTGGAGGTGACAATTATGCAAACTCATACCTTCGCGGTTATGTTAGTGATATCATACTGTTTTAATATTGCTAGCCTTAAGCTTCTTTGGTTGTAGCAGGTTGTGATTACTCATGTCTAGATTGTGATGGTCCAACATCTGTAAATTGTCTGAGTTGCCATGAGAGTAGTCATAGAATATTTTCAAGATCAGAACAAACTTGTAATTGCCAGGAAGGATATGTAGATGTAAATGGAGAATATGAATGTGTTTCAGTAGCACAAGCATTTTCATATATTAATGAATAAGAAATTGAATTGTATTGCAATTTAGAAGGTTACATAAGATGCGAAGGATCAAATGTTGAGTGTAACATAGGGTATTTCTTATTTTAAAACTAATGTGTTAAATGGTAATACTATGTTTATTTATTCTAGTCCAGAGTAGAGCTCATCATATAATGAAGTTTATGTCAGTTGTTTTGATTGTATTTCTAGTCCAATTAATTTTGGCTAATCATTAAAATGTACTATGGATGCAACAACATTTTACTTTAACTCACAATACACATATGAGGTAGTCTTTAGAGATGAGTACCACGTGAGTTTTTATGAAATGCAAATGTAGGATGACTAGACATACATCACTAAATTATGTGTTGGATGTATTGGGAATTAATTATGTAAACCAGGGTACTATTTTACAGGAGAAGAATGTTCTCTTTGCATTTAATATTGTTTCATTTGCTTAAACTCGTTTTCATGTGAAAGATGTTAAATTGGATATTATCTAGGTGCACATAATCAATGTATCTAATGTCCCTATTGTAAAGAATGCTTTCTATTTGATGATTTATTATGGTGTAGTGCTTGCGAAGATGGCTAAATATTATAAAACAACGAATGTGTCTCATGTGGTTAAAATTGCAATAGTTGTGATGAATAAGGATATTGCAACTATTGTAATGGAGACCCTTCAAAATATTACCTAACTGTGGATGGAAAAAATTGCAGAGAATGCAATATTGAAAATTGCATTTATTGTTTTGAATATGTGATTATTTCAGGACAATATTCTAACACATTAGATATGAATTTCAATGTATTCAATTTTACTACAACTTAAGTTACTACTGCTTGTGCTCTTTGCAAACCAAACTATCACTATAATCAAGGAACAAACCAATGTGAATTGAAGTCAAATGATGATGGTTGTGAATTTGCACTTATTTTAGCTTAAACTGCTGAATAGGTATGTATAATCAGCCTTAAAAATGATGATGCTGTTTAAGTTGCTTCTTGTTCCTCCCTTCAACATTGCAAATAATGTATTCATCAATACATTGCAAATGAATCATACTGCGTTTAATGCGAAGATGGATACTACTCTGGAGTACTGACTGGACAATGTCAATTGTGTAATAATAATTGCAAGACTTGTCTACAATAGAATAGCATTTATAAAGACTATTGGAAATGGAGTGTGAAAGCATTCTATAAATAATTTATTAATGTTAACAGTGAGAATTCCTTTGAAGATTAAGGGTAGGCTAAGGCTTAGTCTGATTTAGAGATTATTTGTACATCCTGCTAATTATCTTACATTCTCTATGAATAATAATGCATCAAGGGATGTGAATAGAGCTGTAAATAATGCGAAATTATCGATGGAAAAGCTACCTGCATTCAATGTTAAGAAACTGACTCTGGATTTCTCAAAAGCAAAGACCTAAATGGAAAATGTCTTCAGTGTCCATCCAATTGTATTGCTTGCATGGAAAGAAACCCACAGGAAATTTTAGATATCAACCCACATTACATTTAGAATGACAATAACTCATAATATTCCAGAAAATGTTATGAAAAGTCAAAAAAGGAGGATAAGTATTATTTTGATTTCTTAACTTAAACAATAACAGTTTGTACAAACTACCTACATTGTTATAAAAAATATATAGTTTAGTAGCATGTATTTTGTGATTTCATTTAATACTCATAGTTGCTTAAGGATAATTAAAATGATTAATTTAAACAAAAGAACATTTTCTTAGGTGAATTTTACAATTCTGATTATCTTAATTCTTTTGAATCTTAATTGCTTTATAAGTATTTAAACGAAGTTCAAGTAAGATATGTGGAATTCTAATTTACTATAATGCAAGGTAATCAAATGGAATGCATCTTTGAAGCAGACATACAATTTTATTCACTTTTATAATAAAACATATTTACATTATAATAGGTTGACATAACATTTTAAGGTGGAATTACCCCTACTATTGTATCTATATTCAATGAAATATCCTTAAGTAATTACACTAACGTTACTTTTAAGAATATTCATTTTAACTTTGATATGTATCAGTCTCCGTTTTTCATCACTTTGTTTAACTTAAGGTTGGAATTGACTCTGTCCTTCGAAAATTGTATTTTTTCTATGCCAAAAAGAACTTAACAGAACCATTCTTTAGCAATAAGATCTAACATCCCTTACGTTGTTTTATTAGAGAATTTTACAATTCAAAACTTTTATGTTTCATCATCTGAGATATTTACGTTTATATCTTTGGAACGTACTCTTAAATTTTCAATTTAAGTAAAAAATTTACAAATTAAAGAATCCTATTTTTATAATTCAACTCTATTTAAATTTCAGGCTAATCATAGTAACTTGCCTTAAGATTCATATGTGAATTAAATTTCAGTAACGGATACAATATTCATCTCTTCCAACTTAATCACTAGTTAAGGGCTCTTACATTACACTACTGGATCATTATTAATTAAGTAAATATACCTTTCAAATGTGCAAATTATAGAAAATTCCTCTTTTTTTCTTTTTTCTCACTTAACATCACTTTAGATTATTAATTTAACTTTACTTGATTCATAAATAGTCTAAAACTCAAATTTTATTTCATCGAATATCATACATCTCAAAGATGGTACCATTAACAATACTTAAATTAAGAATAGTAGCTTAATAAATAATCAAGTTGAATATTCAAAATCAGAATTAGCCTTGTAGTCTAGCTCTAAAGCTTATATAGAAAATTATCGAGTTTTAAACACTCAATATGACGACCAACAACAAGTAATAAAAATAATAAAATATGTTGAAATAGCTTAATTATATTTAAATTTAGTTGATTTTTCTTTTCTGAATGGTCAACTAACAACAGAAATATTATAATAAGAGATTTCGTATTATTCCTCTATTATATATTTTGAGTGTTAACTGTGTTATTTAGAAGGCATAAAATTATTCAGAGGACATGGATTACCTGAGATGACTTTGCTATACTCAGAATAATTGGATATTAAAAATTTCAGCATCTCCTCAAATTAAATGTACCTGACTAAATCTTTGCATAGTTCATACGAATGCACTGAGAAGTTTGCTTACAAAAATATGCATTTTTTCTTGTATATAGGTTTCTACTAAATTGTCAGTATCAATTCCTTAGAAGTATCAGATAGCTTAAGTATCAATAACCCATTCGTCATCCTTTAAGGGTATGATTTAATGTAGAGACTATTGTAAGAAGTTATAACAGTTTTCAATGTCAAATTCTATTCAAATTTGCTTTTGATAACTGGTTCCAATAAATAAACAGCTTTACTATCCATCATATCTTAATAAAATTGCTCAATAACCCTTTAAAAGTTAAACTATACTGGAAATCATCTAAATGAATATTTTCAGGACTAAACAAGAATATCGGCAACTACAGCGTTCATCTAATTATATTAGGGATATGTTTATATATCAAACTCTGATTTCTTTTAAAATATAATTACTAACTCAAGTAATTCGATTTTATATATCAAATCAACATAGGTGTAAATAAGTTCATGTAGATTTTCATATAGCAACGATAAGATTTATGGTTCTCTAAGTCGTCACCTCTTATATTATGAATATTAAGATTTAAGTAATATCAATTTGCTCAGTATTTTCCCTATAAAGTCATTAAGTGGAAATGGCATGATTATTACCCAGTCATTAATTTTTGATAAGATAATTATAAATCAATCCTATGCTACAACTGGGGGAGCATTCAATATTGTTACTTAAGGGAAAAGTTCAATAGTAATTGTAAATTCATCCTTTTAAAATACATTTAGTTTATCAGATACATCAACATTCTCGGAAGGTGGATGTTTATATATCGATGGTTCTGAATCATAATTAACGATTGTCATAAAGAATACGATAATTCAAGAATCTTTTAGCAGACATGATGGAGGAGCAATTTACATTTTGCCATCCAAGAGTTATAACTGGATTGAATTGGAAAATTTAAGAGTATCGGATTGCTTTTCTTTGTAAAACTCCTTCTTCTCTTATGATCCTCCAAATATAGGATCGCTGAATACTCAAATAATGTTCAGAAACATAAACTTCTATTCAACAAAACAGGGTTTTGACAGATTCATTCAATCCATAAATAAGTTCACAGAAAATGAGGCTTTTTAAGTTGCTTATTCTAATCCGTAAATATATATTCGCTATGGATTTATAAATATACTAAATTGTAGCTTCATATCATCTCATTTTCAATATTTAATCTAAATCAAGTAGGCTTATAATATCAGTTTATAAAACATAACAATTTAAAATAGCACATTTTTGTTATCTCCTTTAATTGATTTAAGCTTAAAAGAATGTAATATAATTTGTAAATTTTAGAATTTAATGGCTAAATTTTAATAGACAACCTTAAGATATTAAATGTATAGGAATCTGATAAATCCATAGGAGGGGAGTGCTTAAAAGTGAAATCAAGTGCAAGTTCCGAATTAGAATGTCCTTTATCATTACCTTAAATATCTTGGTCATATAAACCAACTGATGATACCAAAAAAAAGCAGGAATTATTAATTTGCAATTTATTATCTATCTTAAAATATAAACCAACTAATTTAGGTTTAGTAATGGTTAAGTCAATCGATGGAACTCATTAACTAATTTTTAATAATATTATATTTTAGAATGTAAATTGCAAAACTTGTTAATATGGAATTTTTCAAATTTTTGATATTTAACAACAAAGATCCCATTAAATAGTATTTTCGTCAATAACAATTCAAAATTGTGTATGTGGTTAAGCAGGGTGTTTGTCAATAATGAAAAATCCTAGTGATTTAACCATTCATAATGAATTATTTGAGAATAATCGATTTTTATAATAGAATAAACTTGAATTAATTGAATTCTAATAAAATTACTAAGTAACTATTTCAGGTGGGGTATTTGAAAATAATTCTGCCCATAATGGTGGTTCATTATTTATTTAGGAGAGTAACATATTGATTCAAAATAGTTTGTTTTACAAGAATTCTGCAAAAATTGGAGGTGCCATTTATTATTTTTCTGAATAGACTTAATTAGATTTTTTTAAAAGCAAATTCTTAAATAATACAGCTTATATAGCAGGTGCAGTTTACTTTAAAAATTAATCCCTTCAATTAATTAATGAAAATGAAATTGAATTTTCAGATAACAATTCAACTTAGTTTGGTAACAATGTATTTGAGAAGGCACGTTCGTTGTCAATATCAATTGATGGTGGCAAAACCATCTTAAATAAAGAATTAATGAAATAAAACTCAGACGAAATCATCGAATAAATAACAGTCACTCCTTACAAAATTTTAGGATATTCATCCTTAGTGAATTATTTAACACTTCCATCAGGTCGAAGTATTTCATCATATCAATACTTCGATCAATATACAAACTCTTTTATTCCTTATAACTTAACTTTTCGAATTATTGCATTGGATAAATTCAACAAGTAAAATAAGGGTCTGTATGATTCAAGTTGCACTCTAAAACCAATAACATTTAATTTAACTTCATAATAAGAAGTCAAAGAAGTTGCTTTTAGTTTGTCTAAATACCATGTTTTCTTTGATAATTCCACTGGTGACTTTAATTTAGATGATTTAATTATCTACTGGAATCCCAATTATGATTTGGATTTGGTGTTAAGGATTTCAATTTAATGCCACCATATATCAGTTCCGTTGTATCTTAAAGAACCACCTTATTTAATTTAGGATTATAATACGAACTATAAGTTGTTAGTAGATATTAGAACATTCTAATGCTAGATTGGGGAGTTCTTAAATAAAACAACAGGAGGCTGCATACTGTGTGATAAATTCTAAAACTAATACTAACTCACAAGAAATGCCTAAAATTGCAGTTTTAAGGATGATATGAAAATCAGACTGATAGAGTCTTCAATGATTGAATTGAGACCAACATATTGGAGAGCATATAACCATAGTTAAACCATAGAATATTGTTACCACATGCCAAAAAATTGCTAAGGAGGATGGAACCCAGGAGATAAATCCTGTTTAATAGGACATATTGGTGCTCTGTGTGAATAATGTGATCTCTATAATAGCAGAGGTTAAGGTTCATTTTATTTAAGTTCAGCTTATTCATGTTTAAATTGTAAAATAACTATTTACAATATTCTTTCTATAATTTTTGTGATCTTTTGGACATTACTGTCAACTTTAATTTCTGTTTCTAGCACCACAGAAATGATTTAAGAATTTATAGCAGGACTAAGATTAAGATTGTTTGGAGTTAAGTTTCCAATCAAGCAAATATCTTCTGCAATCCTAATAAAAGTTCTAACAAATTACTTATAAATCATATCTACTCTCCTTAAATTTTAACTAGAATTACCACCAGAGCTCTCAGCAATTATTAGTAGCTGTTCCAGTCCAATTGAATCAATGGCATTTTCACTTGATTGTTACTTAGTTTAATTTGCTGATATATTGATCATATATTTCAGAATAATCTGGAGCTTTATCATGGCTTTGTCCTATATAATTTTATTTGTAGGCTTAGGAGGGTTGGCAATAGCAGTTCGGCTAATCAATCATAACTTCTCATTTTTTACGATATCACTTATATATTTGTTCATTTTTCTACAACCTAGTTTGATTGGATAGCTTATATCTCTGTTATCATATAGATAAATATCTGATGAGTTATGGATTTCAAGTAATGTGGCTTATAGATATGATACGTCCACTCATCTTAAATGGATTATTGCATTTGATATTCCTTTGTTAATTATTCTATGTATTACAATCCCGACAATTCTTTGGTATGGAGTTTACAAAAATAAACATAACCTCGATAAGACTATCACTCGGAAGACATGGGGCTACTTATACCATGAGTATACTAAAAATGCCTATTACTGGGAAACAGTTAAAATATTTTAAAAGGAGATGATAATCTTGGTTCGTATTTATTATGATGATTTCATTACTATCAAAGCCTCATTAATTTTTTTATTGCTCTTTTCTTACAGTCATTTTGCAAAATCCATAAATCCTTATATGACGAAGTAATTGAATTATCTAGATTAGTAATCAATCATTATATGTGCCATTTCAATAGTCTTAGCTTGCTCAATTCATTCAGCGCAATAGCAGGATCTTAATGAAATTATCTGGCCTTTTTATGTCGTTATTGGAAGTCTCAATAGCTTTTATATACTTAAACTTGTTATTTCAATACTCTTAGCCTATTTAACAAGGATATTTGATAAAATAGATAATGTGAAATAAAAAATATATAGTATCCTACCTGTTAAATTTCGTACTCATCCTAAAATTTAGAAGATATTAGAAACTCGTTAAAATTAATTAAGCAGAATCCAAAAAAGATTTAGAATTCTAAAAGAATACTTATTAGCTGTCTCAAGAGACAATCTAAAAGTAAGAAAGTAAACAAATTATAATAATTTTAAGGTCTAAATAAGAATAATTTAATCAGAGAGAAAGCAGCTAATAGCTTCATAAAATGATTTTATAGTACTCCTTAAAAGGTAATTCTAAGTTTTCTGACCATAATAGAAGGTAAAGCTAAATCTAAACAAATCAAAACTTTTCAAGAATTTCTTTAAAACCTGAAGAGGACCATGAGAATTAATTTTGGAGGACTTAGACATAAAGACAAGAATCACAGATTCTTTGATAGTTTTTTGATTATTTAATATACCCATTCTACAAATTTTATAGTGTTTTTTAATTTGTAATGATACACCAAATTATAAATAGCACAAACTCTTCAACTAAATGTTAAATAAGCATATTACAATTTAATAACTCAATTCAAGTTGGATTGATTGACAGCTCTTTATTCAATATTTTCTATTACAAATAAGCAACAAGATATATTATTTTACTCTACTTTTAATAATGTTAAGACTGTTATAACAACTCCAAATTATTGTTAATATGTCTTATCGACTAAGAATATTTCAAAAAATGATTAGTATAATATTATATTATTAATTTTATTGATATTACATTATAATAGCCTGCTATAGCTTTACATTTAAGAAGTAAGGCCAACTGTTGATCAATTGATTTTCATTCGTTCTTCAGATATAAATGAGAAATATGGATAGAATTTTTGAAGAAATTGAAAGAATAATTTAACAAGAAATCTATTGGAATTTTCGCTATATTTTTTAATGATGATATTATCATAATTCTATAAAGTTTTTCTCAAAATAGCCTTCCTGTTTATTTAGGTCAGTATTATTAAAGATCGATTCATCAATTGTGAATAGGCGAAAGTCTGCATCATTTAAAACATGGCATTCATTTGGTTATTTTATGAACATAATTTTTGAATTCTCAATTTATATTGTTTACTTTCTGATAGGTGATCCCAGGTTTTCATTTTAATCAATTGAGTCCATATGTGAAACATCATATATCTAAATATTTTCCATAGGCACATTTTTATTATTTTCTTCAAGGTTTGCTTGATCTTAAACTTTTGGAAATGATTTAAGCCTTATTCCAACTTTATGAGCATATTTAAGCTCATTCTAGTTGTAGGTTGATTAAATTAAAAATTACATTTTTGCTTAAGTATAAATTATATTGGCAATGCTAAGTTTTTTAATCGCTACTCTTTGAATCTCATAATAATATTATAAAAACTCAGCTTTGTTAATGGATAATCCATTTTATAGAATATCAATAATTTTACCATACCAATTATACTTGAATTTTATATTAGCCATTTCTGGATAATACATTCGAATTATCTTTTCAACACATTCCTTTTCTAATTTTTACTCATTTACCAATAAGCACAAATGTGACAATACCAATATAATAGAAACAATCGATCCAATATCTGCCAACACTTCTGATAGTTTTGGATACTCGATAAACTACTCTTACGCTATTTCACTCAAACTATAAGCTAAAACCAAATATGTGGCTCTATGGAATATAGTTGAAAAACTCAGTGTGTCTACAGATTAGGATATTAAGACCATATCAACTGGGAATTCTTTTATAGTTTCAGAAGGAAATAAGAATCCTTAATCAACAGTTGTCTTTGATATTCTTATTTGACTCTGAAAATACATGGTTGTATCATTATTCAGCATTGTTAATGATTACTTTTTCACATTTTCAACTTACATACTTTTTGGATTATACTCTTTAACATAATTATTCATGAGCATTGCATGTCCTTATTATTTCATGTAAATATCCACCATTGATTAATTTGCACACTTTTGCCCTTCCAGTAGAAATAAATCAATGCACGTGCCAAAGGATAATATGTAATCAATTTAGGGGTTATCATTTGAATTCTCTAAATTCAAATTTAATTCTAAATTCTCCAGGATTATTTCTGAATTATTGTATCGACTGGATTTTGAATTAAATTCAAATGATTTCGACTCAACTAATTATTGGTTTGAAAATTTCGAAAGGATTGGTTGTAATATGATATTTTAAGGGTCAAACGGATCCATTTCATTTTCTCTATAACTTTTTCTCATATAAAATGAAGAAATGGTATCCTACATGTAGAAATATTTTTCAGCTTATGAAGTTTAAATACTTGTTATTTTTGGTAATAGAGTATTACTTTACCACTGAATGATTTAATAACAGAAATAAGCCAGACACGAGCCATACAAGAATAAAGTAGCAATTCCCCCAAATATTGATTTGTACTCAGGATTAAGATCTATAACAGATGGTCGAAATATTACACCAAATCTGTCTATCTATTTGATGCCTTGAGCTAAACCCCCCAGCATTTGATTAATTATTAAATTTTTTTCAAATCAGATTATAGATTTTTGTTATAATGCTCAGATTTTGAAACTACTATGATTCTACCAATATCCATTTTAGTTAATTCCGACAATTAAGAAGCGAAAGAATCTTTGAGAAATAATAATGAATTTTTAAACAGTTATCAATTTGAGATATCTTCAATGATATTATCTACCATAATTAAACAACATAAATTCTACTCGAAATCTTTTTCAGAAATTTAGTAATGTTGTAAATAAACACAATGTAAACTATTAACTTTAACTCTATCATTATAAATAAATTTAAGGTCAAATGCTCAAAATCTAGCATTATTAATATAATGTAATTAAATATATTATAGATGTAACGTTAAAATCAAATAATTCAAATTTCACCTTTTTATCATCATGAATAAATAACAAATTTGTTAAAATATGTGCAATACATTCAAGTGAATTGGAACACTCAATCTCAATTGAAAGGAAGTTCTCTATATTTTGTTATGTTAATACAAAAGAAAATGTAAGATGTATTTGCAAATTTACTTTACTCGTGCTCTACTACATGTATATTAATAAACAAATAGATAAACGATGTAACAAATTCAATTGCTTTAGCGATTCTGTAAATTATTACAAAAATGAAAAAAATAAAAAAGAACCAATATAGCAATACTTACCTTGGGTTTGACATAACAAATATATAGATGTTAACTTTAATACTATAAAATAGTTAAGTTCCAATTTTAATTGAAATCCTTTAGAATAGACTTAGCTAATGAGGCTGAGACTATAATTCTATTGAACAGAATGAGAGTTTAGTTTAAATAATATAAGTGAAATTTGAGACTGTTATCTATAGTAAATGACTACTATGCTATATAGAGAGATAAACTACTGATACTAATGGTTTTATTCCCATGGCAAGCTTATATTCAATATTCTTCAAATCTAATAATGGACATATGCGGATAAATCATAATATATTTTGATAACTACTAAAGCTAAAAGAAAAGAAGAATTTGATTTGTTATTCTCTTTTAGCATTTTGGTTTCTAGAACAATTACAAATAAAATCCATCAAAAAAAAAATGAATAATTAACTTAGTTGATTTTCAATCTTAAATTAGCCAATATAGATTGTAATTGCCGAAAACGCTGTTACAGCGTTTGAGAAGAATTGGATTTATCAACATAGTTGAAACAATAAAAACAATCCTTTAGATGGAACTTCAAGTAAATTTAGTCTGAGAGAAATTCAAAAACCATTCTGAATTCAACTTTTCTCAGAAAAATATAAATGATGAAGAGAGGCTTGTAAAATCCTAACCTGGAATTAAAATTGAACACAACTTCAATTTTCAACACCGAAATTAGAAGAAATGGAAAAGACAATCTCATAAAAGTTTTATAAGGGATTTTTCTTGCAATAGATTTATCAACCATACAATGAATCAAATTTCCATAAAATAATATAAGTGAAATGCAATATATTTATGGGTAATATGAAATCGTAATTGATTTATTTATACTGCCAAAATCTACTAGACCTTTAAGAGGAACCTTAAGAATTGAACAATTTAGGGTAGTTTAAATATCTAAATTGATTTGGAGGTTCCGAATAAAATAAATAAAGAATTAGGAGATGAGCAGCAACATGGAACGATGAAATTGGATAAGAGGTAGATGGAATTTATAGCTTAGGTAAGTTAGCTTATTTTTTCATTATTCTATGAAATTTTAATATAAGGTTTTTGGAAAGAGAAATTATCGAATTATTTGACTCTAGGTAGAATTCAATTTATGAAATGCTTAGCTAGCGCCTACGAAATAGGAGATTATTATAATCTTATCATTCACCTTATAGATTACTTATTTACTATTACAAAATTTCTTAATCTATATCGATCCAGTTAATAAAATCCACCATCTCTATGACTCTCACTAATTACTCTGATTTTCACTACTAATAATATGATTCTCCTCCACGAGAGATAGGNTGACATAACAAATATATAGATGTTAACTTTAATACTATAAAATAGTTAAGTTCCAATTTTAATTGAAATCCTTTAGAATAGACTTAGCTAATGAGGCTGAGACTATAATTCTATTGAACAGAATGAGAGTTTAGTTTAAATAATATAAGTGAAATTTGAGACTGTTATCTATAGTAAATGACTACTATGCTATATAGAGAGATAAACTACTGATACTAATGGTTTTATTCCCATGGCAAGCTTATATTCAATATTCTTCAAATCTAATAATGGACATATGCGGATAAATCATAATATATTTTGATAACTACTAAAGCTAAAAGAAAAGAAGAATTTGATTTGTTATTCTCTTTTAGCATTTTGGTTTCTAGAACAATTACAAATAAAATCCATCAAAAAAAAAATGAATAATTAACTTAGTTGATTTTCAATCTTAAATTAGCCAATATAGATTGTAATTGCCGAAAACGCTGTTACAGCGTTTGAGAAGAATTGGATTTATCAACATAGTTGAAACAATAAAAACAATCCTTTAGATGGAACTTCAAGTAAATTTAGTCTGAGAGAAATTCAAAAACCATTCTGAATTCAACTTTTCTCAGAAAAATATAAATGATGAAGAGAGGCTTGTAAAATCCTAACCTGGAATTAAAATTGAACACAACTTCAATTTTCAACACCGAAATTAGAAGAAATGGAAAAGACAATCTCATAAAAGTTTTATAAGGGATTTTTCTTGCAATAGATTTATCAACCATACAATGAATCAAATTTCCATAAAATAATATAAGTGAAATGCAATATATTTATGGGTAATATGAAATCGTAATTGATTTATTTATACTGCCAAAATCTACTAGACCTTTAAGAGGAACCTTAAGAATTGAACAATTTAGGGTAGTTTAAATATCTAAATTGATTTGGAGGTTCCGAATAAAATAAATAAAGAATTAGGAGATGAGCAGCAACATGGAACGATGAAATTGGATAAGAGGTAGATGGAATTTATAGCTTAGGTAAGTTAGCTTATTTTTTCATTATTCTATGAAATTTTAATATAAGGTTTTTGGAAAGAGAAATTATCGAATTATTTGACTCTAGGTAGAATTCAATTTATGAAATGCTTAGCTAGCGCCTACGAAATAGGAGATTATTATAATCTTATCATTCACCTTATAGATTACTTATTTACTATTACAAAATTTCTTAATCTATATCGATCCAGTTAATAAAATCCACCATCTCTATGACTCTCACTAATTACTCTGATTTTCACTACTAATAATATGATTCTCCTCCACGAGAGATAGGTATAATTTAGATTGTTTATGTATATATATTAGCCTTCAAATTTTCTTATTTTCACTGCTTTTACAATAATAATTAGATAATCTTAGATATTATCCAGATTATTTGATATCATTTATCATCATTTTTTATGCTTTGACCTGATAGTTTGCCTTTAATAATATTTTTGATTTCTTTAATTTTAATACAATATTGAGTAAGTACATAAAGTTAATTGTTGTTGCTAATCTAGAGCCCACTATTTTTATTTTTTTGATTTCATTCATTTTTAATTCATATATTATATATTTTCTTATTACTCTGATTAATATTGAAGTTTCTATTATATAGCATTTTCTATTACTCATATTTTTTATTCAATATTAAAAATGATTCCCGCAAACTTAGATGACGTAGAACTTAATCAGAAACATATTTAAACTAATATTCCAGAATAATTAAATCCTAGCTTTGAAGAGGATTAGTCTCAAAAGCAATAATTGGAGATCTAAAATTTGGTGAATCAAAACTCTCAATAAAAATAATCAATTGGATTAGATGATAAAGTAGAATAATTTAATCCTCAGACTGTTGAAATGATGTACTAAAAAGGTTAACTATTCTTATTATTTTTAGCAAATACTTTAACTTAGTTGAATAAAATTGAAGATGCTAAATAATTATACTAAGATATAATTAAAATAAATCCAACACATGAACTATCATACCAAAAAATAGGTATTTATATTTATAATAATTTAGGTGATATCTTAAGAAATTTAAAACTCTATCAAGAAGCAAAGGAATATTATCTTTAGTGCATCTCAATAAACTAAAATAATTCAGACGCCTAATTTGGAATTGGTATCATTTTAGTATATTTTAAGGTGAATGCTTAAAGGAGACTTACAAAGTTAATGAAGCTTTATAATATTATATCAAGGCTGTTGAAATAGACTAATCTAATTTAGAATATTAATTTTCCTATGGTAAATATTATGGTTTAAAATAATTAGGGGATTGCCTAAGATATTTACAAAAATATCATGAAGCAATAATTGCTTATGATAAATGTTTAATGTTGGACTCTAATCATGCTGACGCTTATGCAGGAAAAGGTTTGAAAAATAAAATAATTATATAAGGAATATGTCTATAATTTATAAAAAGTTTTGAGGAGGCGCTAAAAAACATTAACTAATCATTAGAATTAAAAAATAATTCTTATTTAGGACTATATGGGCTTGGTAACCATTTAATTTAATTATTAGGGTTTCATTTATTTGAAAAGGGGGAAACTCAAAAGGCATTTAAGCATTTATATGAAGCTTTGGCTATAAAACCCTAACATCTTTATATATTAGATTTCATAGGTATATTGAGATCAATTTTTTTAAAGGTGGATGTCTACTCAAAATGGATCAATATGAATAGGCGATTGAATAATTTGACAAAGTTTTGGCGATTGATCCTTAAAATGTTGATATTCTAATTAAAAAAGGTAAATTTAATTTTTTTCAAATATTTTAAGGTCAATGCCTATCTTAAATTAAGCAACATGAATAAGAGCTTGAATGCTATGACAAAGCCTTGACCATAAATCCGAACAATAACAAAACTTTAAAACGCAAAGGTAAACTTAAATCAATTTTTCAAGGTGGATGCCTATTTGTTTTGGGTAAATATGAAGAGGCAATTGAGTGCTATCTCTAAGCTTTGGCCATCAAACCTTAACAGAAAAAAGTTTACTAAATATTAGGTAAATTCAAAGCAATTAAATAAAGGTAGTTGTCTAGAGGAATTGGGTTATTATAAAGAGGCAAATAAAAGCTTTGACAAGGCTTTAGATATAGATCCTTTAAATTTTGAAGTTTTGATACTGAAAGGTACTATTGAAATTATTTTAAAGGCATATGCTTAATGAAGAGGGGAAAATTTGAAAAAGCAATTGAATGCTTTGATAAAATATTGGCCGTCAATCCTAATTATGAAACATCTTTGATTAGCAAAGGTATATTTTAAAAAAGTATTTCAAGGTGGTTGTCTAGGTTTGATGGGTCGTTTTTAATAGGCAATAGAATGCTATGACAAAGCAATTGCCATTGATCCTTCAAATTTAAGTTATTATGGTTGCAAAAGTAAAATTAAATCATTTATATTAAGGTGATTGCCTATTTGGATGGGGTAAATATGAAGAGGCGATTGAATGTATTGACAAAACTTTGGCCATAGATCCCTAAAATATTAATTCCCTAACTTTAAAAGGTATGGTTAATTCAATTATATAAAGCAAAATCTCTATTTCGCCTTCATCAATTTAAATAGGCACATGAATACTTTGAGAAAATTTTGGCCATCAATCCACTAGATTTTAATGCTTTAAATGCCAAATAGATCTTAAGTACATTTATTTGAGATTTATGCATTGAAAATATTGTTTAAATAATCATAAAATAAAATTGATTTACATATCTGTATGATATTCGAGAGGGTCTAAATAAACATTAATTAAACCACATGAAATTGTTGTGCAAATTACCCATTAATTTATTTTTTCATCCCCATTATAAATCCTTCCAGAACAATTAGATATTAATAAAATAATTCAAGCAAATTATTCTAAAAACAATGTTCTAAAATCCAATTTTATTCATTTTATATTCTCCTTTTTCAGTATAAACGTGATGTATGCTAAATTCTAAATAGTTTGTCTCTAAATAATCAAATAAAATAGTGCTACTTTTAAGTTGTAGAATACAACTTCTACTACCCGATACTTTATCTGATCATAATGCATTCCAATCACAAAAAAAAATGTGAGTCTTGTGTAACTACTTTTTAAAGCTTCTTAATCTATTCCCTTTTTTTGATGAATATTGGTTGTTGATATGCTGTTCTACAATACCCAAAGGCATTTATAATCCATCTCCAAACAATATACTGTGAGAATTTTTGAGGACTGACTGAGATCAAAGAACTTTTATCAAATCAATTTATCCCTTTACATATCGTACAATGAATACATCGCTTTGCCTGTATAAATGTCTGTACTTATTTGAAAAGATAAAATACAATTATTGTTGAATTAATGGACGTATTGTGAGCAGCAACGACTAAAAATTAACATATGAATTTTCGGCTCTTAATCACTCTTTGTATCAATATTTTGGCTGACAGATTACGAGACATGGTTATTAGTGTTTCCTTCAAATATGCGCTGTGCAATTAGGTTCAAAGTCTACGCTAAAACAATACATAAAAATGACTAAATAGATTTCGCACTAATAAACTTTTTCTCTATCTTATTAGTGATATCAGGAATAGCATTAACAATGAATAAATTACACCACAAGCACACCTGTCTCAAATTATAAATTTTTGCTTCTTTTACTAATGAGTAAGAATCGTCCAAAATATTGCTCTTTCTGATATATGACTGAACTTAATTATCATTCAATACTTTCACAATTATTCCTTGCACAAATATTATGTTGATGGTTAAGCGAAACTGTTACTTGTGATGCTTAGGCTTCAGTTCCACTTTGATCTTAGTAATGTTGCCAAAAAATTCTTGAAAATTATTAGATAAGTTGCCAATGTCCCAGATTGTACTGATGTTTGTGATCCTATGTTTTTTGAATTAAAATTATTAGAAGTATATACTAATGAAGCTCATATAACTTGTGGTGCAATGCAATCCAATTATGATGGATGCAGCATTAGAAAATCAAATGAATTTCAGCAATAAACAATTTAAATTATCCAAACCATTTAAAACAATTCTTGCTACTTGAAACAAAGATGATATAATTAAAGATAAAATTGTCTTTATCGCAACAATTTTAATGCTAGGAAGAGAAATCTGATTAATAAATTAATGGTTTTTTCAAGTTTTTTTAGGGGAAACACATGAAGATTTAATGTTAAGAATGTCAGAGTTTTACAGTGTAATATCACTACAATTATGTTAATTATTATGCTTATCAGTTATCATATTAAGAATAAATTCTAAATATACAAGAGGATATTCTGAAAAAGTTGTTGGAACTTTAAAGGAAGCTATTGGCTAAAAGTTTTTAATTAAGATATAGTGAACTTAAGCTTATAAAAAACATGATGAAACTGCTGTTAATTGCCTAATATTAAATCAATTAGAGGATTAACTTTTATCAGGAGGATGCGATGACAAAATAAAAGTTTGGTTGCTGGAAATAAAATCCATTACACTCAATTACTTTCTCATTAGTATCCTCCTTATCGCTAACGATTTAGTATTTACCATTTCCTACTTCACTTATTCTTTTGATCAAGTATTAACTACATCTATTACCTATTCCTAAAGTATAGATTCTAGTTACTGCTAGATTATTATCTTAAATCAGTTTAATAATTGGACCAGCACCATCCTCTCCATCAGGAAGCAGATATACATTTCAGAGTTGTATTCTTGTTTTTGCTACAATTTTGCATTATATACCAACTCTGTTAAAGGAATGATTATATTAGTTCCTCCCATATCAGCATCCATTAATTCAACACTCATAATAGCTAAATCTAATAAAAGCTGAGAATATTTTTAGGAGACCTCAAATAATGGTTAAAACTACTACCAAATGAAATTATATTAAACTCAGAATCTTAAGGTAGACTTTTCAAAAATAGAAACATTCTTTTTGCTTTTTGTTCCTTGATCCACTTCTATTTATAATGAATAACTAATTGCCTCTATTAATTACTTGATCCTCAGCTATTCTTTACCCTTTAAATATTATGTATAAGCATCATCTAACTAAACATCATTAAATTTTGGAATGAATGTTAGCACAATATTTTTAATATTACAAGGCATCATTATTAGTATATCTTGGCACGAGGTAAATTAACTTCATCAGATGAAAAAAGTAAAGGATATATTCAAAATTAATTTTCAATTGTTTATTTGGTTCAATTTATCCTATTTTCACTTTCTTTATTTAAGGAAAATTCATATCCTAACCACTAGATGCCATAGTCTATCTTTACGCTAGCCCTTCCTGATATTCTTATTTAGCCTTTTCCATCTCCTTTATTACACTATAAACTTTTGTTTCTCCTAACTCTACAACCATTTTAGTAATAGCTGCATTTTCATTAATTGAAAATACATATTCCAGTTCTACGGGCTCTTGTTGTGTATGAGTAGAATATGTTACTTCTAATTCTACAATACAATATCCAGGTAAAATCTTGGCTTGGTACTTTACAAAAAATTTTACTGGTATCAAGTCTTTTTTAATATTTCATAACAAATGAACATATTAGCATTTTTGTAGCAGTAATCTTTTTTGCTCTAATTAGGATTCTTAGTATTTTAACAAATCTTAGGTTCATATAATTAGATCTAAATCATTTTTTTATTATAAATTTATATTAATTTGTGACATTTAGGAGGGAACTATCTATTCATTAATGATAAATTGTTTTAATTAATAATAATAAAATAACTAAATGATGTAATCTAACGAATTTTTTCATATTAATCACTTCATCAAAATCTAATGGATTTAATACTTCTTCAAGATTTTCAAAGGATACATTTATTTAAAATTATAATTAATAAATCTTTATTGATAAAATGATTCATATATTAAGATATTTATTCATTTGGTTCGAAGTACCTTCTTTGAATGGCGCCATAGAAATTTTCATTTAATATTTTTAGATTTTCATACTCATAATAATGTCCTTATCAAATTTTGACAGGTAACTTTGATGATCAACTATTAATATTAATGCATCTAATTCGGAAACTTCAATCAATTAGTATCAATAGGCAAATGACACCCTTAAACCATTTTATTCAATTCTCCTGAGCTCTTTAGGTTTAAAACCTTTTTAAATATAAATAAAGGTAAATAACCCATTATTATTTAAATGTAAATAATTGTGTTTTTTTTGATGTATTATTAAATTAATAGAATTCAAAATTTCACCTTTACAAGGGAAATAATAAATTATTATTATAGATCCTGTTAGGGAATTAGACATATAATGAAATATATTTCGAATAACTAGTTTTTATGTGGCATCAGAATTTATATGGTTTTAATTCAACTCTACTACTAAATAAATTGTTTTTATAAAATTAAGATTATCTTTTTAATAATAATAATTCATTCAAATCTTATAAATTTTTCAAGAACATTTAAATGCTTAGTTACTTAATAATTAAGATAATTGGTTTGTTGTAAACTTTTCACAGTTTGTTATACGTCAAATACAAAAAACAAAATTTCTCCATTGTAATTAACTTCTTAATGTAAACGCTTCAGCAATTCAACTCCAGCAATATAATTAGTTTTATGATTTTCAATCCTGACCATATCAGAAACTATTCTAAATTAAGTTGTTTGTAAATATAGTAGCCATTTATAAGAGTTGATTATTAAAATAGCATCACTTGTAGATTTACAAAAAATGATCGATAATTGCCCATCTTATCTTTCTAAATTTGTTGCAAATTTATAATTATTCTCTGGATTATCATCTACCCAGAGTATATTTTTTTAATTTCTTGGTAGAGAAATCTCTCTCATTTATACAACAACTGGTTGATTATTCCTGCATGTCACATTTAATACTTCATACGTAGAAAATGGGAACATTATTACTTCTTATTCAGTTGGATATTCTGAAACTTAAGAAATAATCTTAGAGCTCAATATTTCAATTTCAAATATCATTCCTTAGCTATTGCTAAAATTCATGGCTACTTCTTATCTTAATGAAATAGCTTATATATTTCTCCATTGAACTATTTTCTTTATTTCGTAATGTTGAATATTTTAATAATTTTTTATTCCTCTAAAACCTTTTCCTCCATAGTACTCTGAAGATTTTAGACCATCAAATAAACACTTTAAATATTTTATCCATTTTCTATAAGAATTATTCATTAAATCCTCGTTTAGTTATTTGTATAATCTATTGCTTGTCCATAGCATGAGAGCTAATAAATGATGTAGTTTATATTTCTAATAAATTCCTGCTTTCTATTAATTCTAATTTATTTATAATAACTTAGTTTCAAGATATTGGTCAAAATTAATATCTGAATTCAAAGACTATAGACTTTACTTTAATTCAGACACATTACTTAATTCTATGGTATTAATCTCTTGATAAAAACTTATACTCAATCCTCCCTCTTCTTTAGAGAGTAACAAAATTTACTAGATTTTTGGAAATTCATTAATATTTTTTTCATCAAATTCAGATGTATACTATTTACCATCAATCATAATGTACTTTTTATTTTCAAAATAATAAAGGACTTTTTTTAACTCATTTAAAGTTATACCATTTCTTAATAATAATTAATATCTAGATGTATTCGTTATGATATCAACCGAAACTACTTATGAATTTGGTTTTATAATATTGTTTTATTATTGTTATTGTTCTTTATCCAAAAATACTTATAATTTTAATTCACATATTTTTTCATCTGGTCCCAGATAGTCTGAAAGTGCTTTTTCATCATCCATTAATTAATCATGAAAGTATAACTTCTAATTTTCTATAGGAATTCCTCTTCTTTTAAATATTAAGACTTTGATTGATTATATAAGCATTCCTGGGAAGTATTCAAATTCTTCTTAGTTCTATTCATCAATTACAATATTGATTATATTCATATTATGAGCTAGAAATCCAAAAGCTAGGTAATTGTTTGGATATTGCAAATTCAGATTATAAACATAATCAAATTTATTCAATTTTTAGATGGACAAAATCTTAATAAAAGTATTATCTTAATTTAGTAATTTATCTTCTAATGTTAAATTATTGATTTAGAAATCAGGGTGAGGTTAAAATGCTTTCCATCCAGTTTCTGTATAAAATGGGTGATCAGCAGTACATTCAATTACTCTTATTTCAGTTTCAATTCTAATTACTTAGATTGTTTGTTTAGTTTTTGTAGTTCCTTACACTATTCCAGATCTAAAATTTCTTAATTCATAATCATAACATAATATATGGTCTCCTTTTTTTATCTAATTTATTGGCCTTTATGATTTATCAGCAAGAGTAATGGGTGCATAACCAGGAAAGCATCCTCCCATTGCCTCAAATTTCATCGTCAATGTAGCATTATTCTTGATGTGATAATAATCAAAGGTTTCTTTATGTTCTATTACGTAATTATTATATAAAAAATAAATCCTCTCCTACTTTCTAAGCTTACGCATGTAACGAAATTCTTCCGCCAATTCACCTATCCGGCTTTTTTTTTTGATCTCTATATAATAAATTTTATTAAATTATCCACATTCAACCACAATATTAATATATTCCCCCTCAAACTATCCTGCTTTAACAACTTCTATTACTGCATTATTTTCTATTTAATAGTAAATCAATTTCGATTTATCCATCTTCTGATCACCATAATAAAGATCAAAAGAATCTATATTTATCAATTATTTTAGATATTTTTTCAGAATAATTTCTTTCAATTCTTATATCTTTGTTTCAGAATTTATATCAATAGTTATCATTTCTTTTACTTTATCTAATTCAATAAATATTTTAATGGATAATCCTAAGTATATTTCCTCTACAATTGGAGGCAAATCCATAATATCCTCTATTGGCACTTAGAATTAATACATAAAAATGATTTAATTATTATTTATAGATTTAAACATTAACAGAATAATTATAACCCAATTTTTGGACCCATTAATAATTTATATGAAAATTTTATTATGAGTTAAATTAATGTCTTAATAGATTTAAAAGCATTTTGAATTGAAATAATTATTGAATTGGTTATTTTACAATTTTTGAGCTTAGATATATTTCTGGCCAATATAAAATATGATATTTTTATTTATATATTTTAATTTTTAAGAAACACTTTCATAATTTTAAAAATATATTGAATTATTTGCATCGTTGTTAGAGAATGAGACAATATTGGAGGACAAAGTATAGAATCAATATTAACAAGACAATTGAATTATATGGAAGAGGTAGCAAGAATGATGAGTCTAGACTAGCAAACCTAAATATTCTGGTGTCACAAAATTTGAGTAGGGTGACATAAAGGCTCAGTATTTTTGATCATGCTTATCGACCAGTTTTGCTGTAATAAAATAATGGCATCAATAAAAGAATATCATAAATGAATAAAATATATATTTGTATATGAACAAGTGATTCAGAGCATTATTAAGTCATAAATCTTCGCTTTTGAAAATAAACTGCGAAGACCAAAATCATTAATAAAAAGAAATATTAATGTATATATGTCTTTATAATATATAAGAACCAAGTATTACGCATTTCAACCATGCTCTATGATGGATATTTGTCCAAAATATGTCAGAGTTATTTTGAGGAAATAAAGTCTTCATAATAAACCTGAATAAGTCATCAAATGAATTTTGGATAATATATACCTATCATCCAAATTTCTGTTAGTGTAGTTGTCAGAAACTGTCTGAATTATTCTAAGATATGAATTAATGTATCAAAATATACCCTATCTACTTGCTAGTAGTTACAGTGAGCTCAAGATAGCTGTGGCTTTTTCCAGATGGGTTTCTTCGTTTAACCTGAGATGCTATCGCTTCTAGAATGTTTATCAGATTCTACTTTCTACTTCTGTAGTTTACTTTTTCGTAAAATGCAGACTTGTGGCAGTATTTGACCATATTTCTTCTATACAGTTAGTTCACTAGAATAATACTCAATTATTAGATCATTGGTTCAACTATAATCGCCTGATATCTTCTGACCTGTAAAACATTGCTTGAGTAAAATTTGTAACAATTATTTAGCAACAGTTTTGGATAAGAACTTCACATATAACTTATTAGCTTTCACTCTTTTTTATTCTTAGCCAAAATTCTTTTAGTTATCTTTAAGTTTTGCCAGCATATTCATATATGGCAATGGTGAAGATTATCCTTTGACCATAATTTCTCTTGTATTTGATTCCTGATCATTATAAAAAGCATAATTCTTACCACTACTGAATTTTTATTAATCCTCTTCTTAACTTCTTGATAGAATTTCTAATTGGACTATATTGCCAGCAATCAATTGTAACTTCTAAATATTGTTCCTAACAAGTTACTTACTCGAATTTATAAGTGGTTCATGTAGCTAGAGTTCTGGCAAATTTTTTTTAGAACTCGATTTTTCTTATCAAATAAAAGAAGTGACTCTTCCCAAGCATATCGGCGACTGTTAGTTTCTCTGCTTATGCTCTAATATACGAATGTACCAAACATTATATCCCGTTGCTAATTAAATCTACTTGCATCAAAGCTTATTTTTTTACATAAGTGTGTCAATAATAAGATAGGAACAAAGCATATCTCTGTATATAGCTTAGATCATCAAATCAATGTACTGGGTGATCACCAAATGCCTGTGAATCAGCAATATCAACTCTACCTCTGCAGAATATAATGCATGGACAAACTTCTTCTCTTTCATGCATTTCATCTCATGGCTGATTCCGTCTATAAGTTTATATTTAAACCTCATGATCATCAGTTCATAAACTATGAATTTTTTTGACTTTCATTTGTTGACTTCAAAGTTTCTCTTGGATAAATAAGCAACAGTTATCGACCTCGATGATATCCTTGTCGCTATTATTGTTTTCTAGCAAATATGTTGACATCTATGAAAAAAATTTTTGCAATAACAATGTTTTCAAATCTTTGTATGCATGATAATATTAAGGTAATTTTTGAAGAGTTAATTGTTGTTAAATTTTAACACAAATTAGCCACCTCATATGCTTATTTAATGTGATTCCACTGTATCGAATTTTACTTATTAGTATCACATTTCCATTTATTAAATTTGCATGAATTATGTCAACGGTTCATGTAACAAGAGCTCATATCCTTTTCTAGTCTCTTTTACATTTGTTAGTTGTTTCCATTTCAATGAGGTTTAAACTAAATACATAGAACAATTAATAGGAGACAGAGCATCCTTCTTAAACACATTAATTATGTAAAATTTGAATAAATATTATAGAATCAACAAATAAAAAATGAATTTATTTGTCAAACTCAATAATTTCTATTATTCTTTTGACATCGAAAGAACAACTAATGAATAATTAATTTATGAATTTATCCTCTGCCAAAATTGCGCTATAAAAAAAATAATCGTTAAACAAAATAAAATTCCTTGCTTCACCCATTCAAGCCTCCTTTATTTAAGTAATGTATTAAATTACATTAAAGTATAATCTAGATTTTTAACTCATCTTTCATTAAAATGCTATTAATATTGTTTTAAAGGAATATTTTTTTTTAAGAGAAGCATGGTTAATTGTTCTATCGTATTCAGATTAACCTTCTCAAAAAGTCTATGCTTTTAAAATTTTAGGATCATGAATTAATATCATAAAAATTGGTAATTTAAAGGTTGGTAAATAATATTGCTTATTCACGCAGGCTTAAGAGGATAAAATGCAAATCAGAGAAGAATAAAATATTTTAACCTTAATTAAAATTATAAACGATTAATGTTGTTGAATTAAATGATTAACTTCGAAAAATTTTTGATTTTCATATCTTTCTAAATGACTTAAGAACGATTAATCACTAATGAGCCTACCTTTGTTACAGAACTTTCATTAATTTAGTTGCAGTTTTATAAATATCAAAATATTGTTTTAAATCATTGTACATGAGTTTCCAAGATTTAGATAATCCAAATAATTTCATCTTAAATTCTTAATAATTAGAATGAAAAGGCTAGAATAATAGTGTGAAACTGAATTTATTGTTCGAGTTAAACATAAGGTAAAATTCTGGAACTATTTAAATGATTTGAAATCAAATTGTTTAAAATAAGTAAATGCTAAAAAAATTATCTTGAGAAGTTTAATTCTTGAAAAAGTAAATAATTTGACATTCTAAACAAATTACAATTGTATTGACAATTTTTTAATTCAAAAATATTTTAGGTTATTGAGATTAAAGTTCATGGCTTATTTATTCACACTCTAGTAATCAATAGAATAAGTTTAGATCAAATAATTGTGGCTCTCACAGTAAGGGGTAATAATGGGAAAAGTGATAGGATAGCATAGAGAATAGCCAATATTTATTAGACAAGACTGCAAACAACCAAATTAGATGAATCCAATTGAAAAAGAGATAAGCTTCCAAATAGGTGATTTTAGCATATTTACAACTAAAATTACAAAAATACAAAATTTATGAATTCAATAAATCTTGTTATTATGAGAACAATTCTCTTATTAAATCATGTGATTGTAAATGAAGATACTGCTACATTTTTTAATCGAACGTAAATCGGGAGATGTTTTTTTTGCTAATTAGAATTATAAAGGCCTTACTCAGAAAATAAAGCCTTTGCCCACTAACTTAAGTGTGTGTAACTTTAAGGAAGATATTTTAGTTAAGTATTAGCATTCAACATCACCTTAGTAGGGAAATTGAGAGTACCACTTGGCTGTTGAATATTTGATTAGGTAATTTATGAGGAAGGGTAATATGGGGACCCGATTAAAAAACCATTATTCATTGGAGTTTCTAGACCTAAAGATGGGGAAACTAAAGTTGACCATTATTATTTAGAGGATTAATGTCCTGCTGGAGGGACAAGAAGGAGAGAACATATGGAATCAAAGAGGTCTTAAAGATGAAGGTGAAGAAAGCTGGAATGTACATAGACATTAATGGAAAGTTGGCAAAATACTTTATGATGGGGCCTGCTTCATCATATCACCAAATATTTGGATTATTAGATAAGGAGAGGAAAAAGACTTTTAAAGGTAGTCAGAAATTTATTAGAATGAACAATCAGAATTTAAAGGATGGTTACATTAAGAAATTGTCATCAAGCATTTAAGCAA